TCGACCAATCCGAGTTGTCAAAGACTCTGGTTCTCATCTCACAAAGAGACGGGACTCGGCAGGCCTCTTCCCGCGTCCGCTGCTGCAGCTGCAGCTTTGCCGATCGGCTCGGGGCGGACCCGCTTCACGCCCGCCGGGCTGTGGGGCCAGGGTCTGCAGCCACTTAGAGCGAGGCCGCCGGCGGGCGACGCGCGCGTGAGATCGCGGCCCATCATCCTCTTGATATCGGTCTCGTTTTTGTGCTCCGAACGTCTTTCAAGATCGTATGTAAACCGCTATCGTCATCGTCCCCGGAGTTCCAGATCAAACGGCATGCCGGTTTGCGGAGTCACCGCACCACATCCCGCGCTGGAGGGATGAGCTGCATGTTGCCTAGACTCTCGGCAGCGGCGAGGCCAAGGCCTTTCGTGATTATTTATCTATCATGAGCATCAATGACCTCGAACATGCGGTCCGGGCTGTCGAGATATCTACATCACTGTTACTATCGATTCACATCGGGCATTGAAGATGCCGTGGGTTAGGTGAGCTACTGCCGCTGGAATACGGAGACCGGCACTAGTAAATGGGGGCACGTGTAAATGGGCCCATCTTGATCAATGGCATCGTGTAATAATCGTGGCCTTCTGCGTCGACGAGAATAGATCGGGCAACGCGTTCAATAACGCTTGCAATTGCCACCACGAGAAGCGTTACGAACGCCTCCTCCGTCTCACCCGTTATCAGCCATCACCAACCCGATTCCTTTGTGCGCGAGTCAGTATCCCCGACGCCACCGAGATGAGACGAACAGGTTTTGGTATGCCCTCCGCGTCCTCCCACGCGTCCAAGACGAAGTCTTCGAGAGGCACTGTTAAAGAAAGGGAGTCGTTTGCAAGGAAGAACCCTCAGTTTCTGTATGGATCCGGAGATAAGGAAAAGAGTTCAATGTACGGAGTAAGATGTCGTCCTGCGGCTTCGCTTGCTGCTGCACCATGCACGAGCGGCCCCCCCTTGCGGAGACCCACGGAGACTCTGAATAATATCTTCATGTCTTTGCATCTGCAGACTTGCCAAGCGACAGGCTGAGAGACGGTTTCAGTAACGATGCAGCTTCTAGTCTGCTTACAACTCGGCATTCTGACAGAGTCACCGACCTGACCGCCACGGAAATGCGGCATATTCTACAGGCTTCCTCGCATATGCTAGACCAATTTTCATGCCGTTCAACGGCTCACTTTCTTTGATCTCGAAATTTCAGCTAGCTTCCCCGATGACGGACGCAACCCGAACACACCATCAACACATCAGGACAAGACCGAACTCAGGGAAATGGTTCTCCCTCGCGTCCCTCCCGAGTCCGGGGTCGTCCCCGGAACTGAACATTGCCCAGACTTGACCTTATCTAGAGTAGTCCGCGACACATGATTGGCGGACGTGTTATCTCCCCCACCGGCATTTACCAATTGACTTCTCGCAGGTGTGTGTGTGAGGGACCCCAAACTCTTTGACACCACCCTATCACGTCCGTCAATTGACTTGTAGATAAGAGAGGCAGAAAAAAGAGAGAGAGGAGAGAGAATTTAGTTGCGCAAATGCAGTTTCTAAAACAGATACGGATAGCTCGCGGGGTGGGCATTATGGAGATGCCCGTGGGTGGCACGTCGGGATGGATCGTACCATCCACGCGGAACCGCCAGGGGTTTCTGGACTTATAACAACCACCTCTACTCCCGTCGAGTCTGTGAGAGGAAGTGTGTGAGTGAATTGTAAGTCCTCGACAACTTCATCAACTGCCGCCGACAACAGGCTCGACAAGAAGGTCAAAAGATCGGTCGTCCCATACCCTGAATCAACTCTCAGGGCTCACCTACCATCACGATATCGACCACCTTCACCGAGACCTCACCGAAACATACACCAAGCAGCCTCACCACCGTCCGCCAAAATGGTTGACTGGAAGGCCATGTTCGCCCCGGCGCCGTCCCTCGACGTGCCCGGCCTCGAGACCGTCGACCTCGCAGACACGGAGATGGAGAAGAGGATCGTCAGGAAACAGGACCTCCGCATCCTCCCCTGGATCTGCGTGACCTACCTCCTGAGTACGTCCCCGGACTTATAACCAGTCTCAAACATCACGGAAAGCCATCTAACACACCGGAGCAGACTACCTCGACCGCGTGAACCTCGGCAACGCCCGCACCCTCAACAACGACATCCCCGAGGACAACATCGTCACCATGCTCGACCTCACCGGCCAGCGCTACAACGTCGCCGTCGCCCTCTTCTTCGTCCCCTACGTCCTCATGGAGTTCCCCTCCAACATCCTCCTCAAGTACTTCTCCCCCTCCAAGTGGATCTCCCGCATCATGGTCTCCTGGGGCATCGTCACCATCTGCACCGCCGCCTGCACCACCTACGGCGGCCTCCTCGCCGTCCGCATCATGCTCGGGCTCGCCGAGGCCGGCTTCTTCCCCGGCATCATGATGTACCTCTGCTTCTGGTACAAGCCCGAGGAGCGCGCCACCCGCATGGCCATCTTCGCCTCCTCCGTCGCCGTCGCCGGCGCCTTCGGCGGCCTCCTCGCCACCGGCATCTCCTTCCTCAACCGCCGCGGCGGCCTCACCGGCTGGCAGTGGCTCTTCGTCCTCGAGGGCATCCCCGCCGTCATCGTCGGCGTCATGGTCTGGTTCATGCTCCCGGACTACCCCCAGACCGCCGCCTGGCTCACCCCCGAGGAGCGCGCCTTCGCCGTCAAGCGCCTCGGCCCCTACGCCCCCTCCATGACCGACAAGCACTGGGACGGCAAGGTCGCCAGGTCCACCCTCGCTGACCCCTACTTCTGGCTCTTCGCCGTCATGTACTTCCTCATGACCAACTCCCTCAACGCCTTCGGCTACTTCGCGCCCACCATCGTCTCCTCGCTCGGCTTCAAGGGCTACAACGCCCAGCTGCTCACCGTCCCGCCCAACGTCTTCGCCATGTTCGTCATCATCGGCAACTGCCTGCACAGCGACAAGACCAAGGAGCGCTCCCGCCACGTCATCGGCGCCCTCGTCTTCGTCGCCACGGGATATCTGCTGCTGGCCGTCGTGAGGCACTGGGGAGCGCGGTACTTTGCCGTGTGCATCATCGCGTGCACCAACGCCGCCGTCCTCCCCTTCGTCGCTGTAAGTTCCAGTCCCTCAGACAAAACAAAACAACTTTTTAAAAAAGAAGCATCAAACTGACTTGAACACCAGCACCGGACCGCAACCGTGCAGGGCTCCACCGCGACCGCGCTCGCGACGGGCGGCATGATCGCCATCGCCAACACGGGCGGCATCTCCGCCCCCTTCCTCTTCCCCAGCACCGACTCCCCCATGTACAGCATGGGCAACTGGACCATCTTCGCCTTCCTCGCCGCCACCGCCCTGCTCGCCGGCTACGTCTGGTACGTCTTCGGCAGCCACTCGGGCTACCGGACCGGCGCCAAGGACGACAAGGGCAACCTCGAGGTCCTCGACGCCGGCGCCGGCGACCCGGACGAGATCATGAACAAGCAGCTCGGCATCGTCACCAAGAAGGACGTCGAGGATGTGTAAGAGCAAAAGTGACCCGGACCGGAGTGAAACCCCCGGGGGGAAACGAAACGCGGGTGTTTTGGTTTGTCTTGTTTTGTCGTTGTAATGGATTATCCGGATTAGAAAAAGAGGGAGAGAGAGAGGCATAGAAAGGAAGAGATACCCCTGGAAGGCTTTAAGCATAGTATTACCCCGAACGGGTAAATCAACGCACCAGAAAGTTTATACGGTTTAATCAATCAGCATTTTCGATCCTGCCGTGCCGTGATATCCAGCGCATCAGCGTTCGCACATCACCCGCATCTTCCAGCTGGGCTGAGCGGGCGCGCCCACGCGGGTGAGCGAGTCAAAAGTCGACACAACACCAGGATCGTGGGGACGGGGGAATAGGGCGTGGCGGCGCGCGGCAAAGACACCCGCCAGAGACAAGCTTTCGAAGAGGGGGGGAACCGCCCGAGCCGCTCAACGGTTAAACGAACAGCCTCGCATAGGGTACGAACGTGTCTCACGGAAACCACAATCCGCCAAGAAGCTGAGGCGGGTGGGTAAAAGGTGTGAGAGAGAGTCAAGACCTCGACAGAAGAAAGTTCCGGGAATGGCAGACCGGGGCACTTCTCTTCCGTCCCAAGGGTTTCCCTTCGTCTCGTTGCTTCCGCGTTGTTCCATGTAGGCGTATGACGCATGGCAAAAAGTATGCAGCAGAAACAAGCTGAAGGAGAAGACAGGACAGGACAGGCACCGGGCTTCAATTAAGTCTCCTACCCGCATCGCGCATAAGTGCCCGTGTCAGCAGGACACACCAACTGCCCGTTGTTCGCCCGTGTTTCTAGAACGCTGCAGTCCTTTTTGACAGTCATGAAGCAAAACGAAACCAAACACATCGCAAAAACTTCGCTCGAATTCGCAAAAAGGAATTGGGCCCTAACCAGGGATCGAACCTGGGACCTCTCCCAAGCGAGAATCATCAAATGACGACCCTAAGGGAGAATCATACCGCTAGACCATCAGGGCTGATTGCGAACAACTGGGACCAGCTGGCGCTGGCTGCTGCTGGTGGGAGCTGCGCAGATGCGCCTTAAGGACTGCCCGACAGCGGGAGCTAATGCACCTAGGGCGCATCTCGACCACCCTGCTTCAACCTGCAAGATTGAGTCTTCTACCACGCCGTATGCCGGAAGCATAACTCAAGCTTAATCTTATCTGAGAAGGATGGAGAAGGAAAAGTTTCCTTCGTTATCCACCGGGAAAGCAGTCCGCGCGCCCTAGGTGTGGTCCAGCGTGAACTCTGCTGAGGCTTTAATTCGGCTTGTATGCAATGTCGCGCTCTGCCCAAGTTGTATACCGGCCAAATGCTTGTATGAAATTTTGCTTGCTATAATTTTTTACCTTTTCTATCCCATGCCACGACCCAAAACCTTCTCGGACCCGAAAGATGTCCCGTCCCCTCCAATAAAAACTCTATTCCTCGTTCTCAAACGTCACCGAGTTGACCATGGCCCAGTTGCGGATGTCATCGAAGTTGCGGCACGTGTGCAGGGTGCTGAAGTCGGGCCAGTGGCCCTCGACGGGCAGTTCGGGGTACATCTTGAAGGTGAAGACGCCAATGTCGGACTGGCACATGAGGTTCATACGGAGCGCCTCGATGCAGTGGTCTAGCGAGTGTGATTAGTAAACCTTTGGAAGTTTAATGTTGGTGGGATTAGTAAACATACCGAGATGTCCTCGAAGATCCTTGTGGCCGACGGGGACGTCGCCGCCGACCTCCGTCCGGTTGTAGTACTCGGGGTAGGAAGACTGGCGGAGCAGGTTGAGGCAGTGGAGCTGGTGGAAGACCTCGAGGCCGATGCGGTAGCCCTCCTCGCCGGTGACGGCGTTGGTGATCTTGATGGACTTGGGGTCCAGGCCAAGCCGGGTGAGCTCGGCGTGCGAGATCATCTGGTCGCCGACTACAAACACATGTTAGCCTCTGACATGCCACAGCGACGAGATGATAACCTACCATTGTTGGTGATGTGGTCCCATGCACGGTCAACTTCGTACCCGGCACCGACGAAGGGTGAGTTCACGATGGGCAGGAGGTCGTATCTCTCGGTGTGGTACTTGACCACATCCGCGGCGGGGGCTGTCATACGGATCAGTCTTCCGATAGAGATGCATCGCGAGTCGAGGATATGGAGACATACAGTAAGAAGAGTACTTCTTGGTGACAAAGGTATCGTCTTTCGTCGCGTTGCCGTAGCGCAGGCAGAAGGCCAGCGCGAAGAAGGTGATGGACGTCGTCAGGAGCACTCCGTGAGCTGCCCACGGCCAATACCTCGCCACCAGCCGGCGGGCCTTTTCTTTGCACGGAGTCTCGTCGCCGACCCTCATCCGCCTCCATCTCGACGTCGACGCCGCCCGTTCTGTGTTTTCTGTGTTCTCCGTGTTGAGGCTTCCCGCGAGGCTCTCGACCTCCTCCTCCTCGTGGGGCACCTCCCGGTAGACCTTTTCGGCGGACATGATTAAGTAGAAAATGGGTATGGTAAACAAAATGCAACTATGGGAGAAATAAATGACTGGCACTCCAGGTGCGAATTAGAAGAGAATGGAATATGTGACACACGGACAGGATTGTCTGGTGTGTGTTGAGAGGAGAAGTGAAGTGAACGACCAAACAAATTTGCAGTAGATGAGAGGTAAAGAGAGGAAGAATGAGTAGTTCGAGGACGTCCGGCGTTCTGTCTGAAGGGTAAGAAGAGACGAGTGCCAAGGCGATCGCTTCGGGCAGCACGAAAATCGGATTACCAGAATGATGGGAAGATCACAGACCGTCGGCGTCAACCGTCGATTCAATCAACCGCCCTAGGGAAATTTTTTGATTACTATTGACGGGGTGCCAGGTTGCCAGGGAAGGGAGAAAATCGCCGTCTGCTGTGCTTTCTCCACGGTGAAAGTGACACCGGGCCAGCCACTGGAGATGTCATCCAGCCATCAGAAACGTTTGGGCTGTTTGATCTTCGTTGCGAAGTTGCGGACGGGCCAGAAAGGGCTTTCATCCAAAGCAAGAATAGACGACACAGCGCGGACTGCAGCGCCGTCGCAGCCGGGGCGGGAACAGCGGGATCGCTCGTCCAATGACCGACGGCGACAGCGTAGTTGGTCCCATGGCTATATTCCTTCGTCCAGTATTGAACAATTGGGAACATTGACCACTGACCCCTTCGGTTGCAGTCGCGCGCGAGTCTTGTTCCCTCGCCTAGCATCGTAGTCGTGGTAGTGTAGGCTCGTACTCCTCTTCGGTAAAGACGGTGTGCCTTGTCAGCTGCAAGCCTGACTTACAACGCGACGAATACTTGTTAACGACTGGCTGGCTCTCCCTGGGTCCCCATGTTTGGCCAAGCTGAGGCGTTGGTGCGGTGTCTCAGAACAGGGGGCTGACGAAACGCGGAGTTGGTGCGCGACAGGGTGTGGCTTGCGGAGAATTTCCCACGCCAACCAGAGATGAGCAAACGCCAACCCAAACCTCCAAGATGACAAGCACAACACCCACCAATGTTTGCGGCTTGCCTCGACTTCAGCCAGGAACCAGAGCCAGGGTCAGCCTAGCAACCTAGATCAGCCATATCCGTACAGGAAGGGGGACGTCGACGTTCGCCCGGACCATCCCTGGGCGCATTTGCGGCTCAAAACCCGGCATCGTGTTGCCGTTGCCGCAACTTCACAATCCATCAATTCCACCATGCGAGTCGGGTCCTTTACCAGGTTCGGTGTCAATGTCTTGGCGCCCTGGGACTGCTGTTGTATCAGAGGGCCGTTTCTCTCTTCTCGAAATGGAACCGCCCCATACCCTTCGACCTTCCCACTGGATCTTCGCCCTGACCGCGCCGGTGTCGTGAACACCTTCCGTAACAACCTGTCGATCAGGCTTAGCATCAGATCCGGCCAGGAGCCCTTGGTGTTCTTCACCACGATACGACGAGGCGCTCTGCCAACGCCCCTGGTCCGCTGACCACCGCAGACAGTCTCCAAAACTGAAACTGCAACCGAGGGCCAAGGCCGGGGTATTTTCCTCGTTCTATTGTTGAATAAGGTGTTATGCTTGTTGAAGCGAGTATGCATGCAGGCGCGGGTAACGGCTCGATTCCACTCCCAACCAAGCCGCTCCCCGCATCCAGTGATCCATTCTCCCACCTCCCAGTCCTAACCATCGTCAGGACTGGCCCTGGGTGGGTGAGGTTTTGAAAGAGTCCCGTCTCTACGGCTAGCTCAGTCCGAGCAACCTTCACATCCGTCATAGCCCGTAGCCCTGCCCTTCCTACCCCCTCTAGACCCTTTCACTTGAACTCTGAGACGTTTCTGGTCTAGCACAGCAGGACGACCGCAGTTTGACGTCCTCGAGCAGAAGGAATTCGTCTAAACTTGGGGCCCCGACCCCTGGCGCCAACGGACTCGCGATGAAGCTGGGGGGAGACGACATGTGCCGAAAGGGGTACCATGTCACCCTGTCAGGCACACGAGAGACGAGAGAGAGAGAAGACTTGAGCTAGATATAAATCACTCAAACCCGCTCATCAGCCCACAAACAGCTCATCATTCCGCATCTCTCATTCCACAGTTGGCCCCTTATCGCTTGACGCGACCTTTCATTCCCTTTCTTTGGTAATTCAGTTGCTGTCATTCGCTGCCGGTCAGCCTATCATTCTTTTCAAAATGCATTACCCTTCCTTCGGACATTTCCTCCTGGCGAGCATCCTTGCCGCCCAAGGTGCTCAGTCTTTCTCCCTCGTCCCCACGGGCGAGGTCGCCAGACGCTATGTGGTAAGTTGGATGCCATCATGAGCTTGTTTGGTGGGAACATGCGCGCTAATATGAGTTAATTAGGCTCCCGCCTTGGCACTCGCCATGCCTGTCGTGGCTGCGCCCCAGGCTGTCAGCATTGAGGCTCGCGAGGTAAGACACTCGCCTATAAATCATTCCAGTTCCCCGAAGCTGACATGCTCTCATAGCCTCACCACAGGGGCAAGAAGACCAAGAAGGCCAAGAACAACCGTCGCGACGAGTTCGCCGCCGACGATGCTCTTGAGGCTCGTGACATCGAGGCCCGTGAGCCTGAGCCTCACCACAGGGGCAAGAAGACCAAGAAGGCCAAGAACAACCGTCGTGATGAGTTCGCCGCTGAGGATGCTGCCGACCACGCCGCCGTAGAGGAGCGTGACGTCGAGACCCGCGAGCCCCACCACCGCGGAAAGAAGACCAAGAAGGCCAAGAACAACCGCCGCGACGAGTTCGCCGCCGACGACGCTCTTGAGGCCCGCGACGTCGAGTCTCGCGAGCCCCACCACCGTGGCAAGAAGACCAAGAAGGCCAAGAACAACCGTCGTGACGAGTTCGCCGCCGAGGATGCCGCCGACCACGCTGAGATCGAGACTCGTGAGCCTCACCACCGCGGCAAGAAGACCAAGAAGGCCAAGAACAACCGCCGTGATGAGTTCGCCGCGGAGGACGCCGCCGACCACGCCGAGATTGAAACCCGCGAGCCCCACCACCGCGGCAAGAAGACTAAGAAGGCTAAGAACAACCGCCGCGACGAGTTTGCCGCTGAGGATGCCGCCGACCACGCCGAGATTGAGACTCGTGAGCCTCACCACCGCGGCAAGAAGACCAAGAAGGCCAAGAACAACCGCCGTGACGACTTCGCTGCTGAGGAAGCCGCCGACCACGCTGTTGAGGCTCGTGAGCCCCACCACCGCGGTAAGAAGACCAAGAAGGCCAAGAACAACCGCCGTGACGAGTTCGCGGCCGGTGAGGCCGTCGCTTTCGTCGCCTAAGGGGTGTCCCATAGGCAAGGGGCCAACTTCAAATTGCTTTGCCCAGGGCACCCTTGACATCAGACGGCCTCCCGTCACCTGTACTTAGAGTCCGAGATGCTTAGGAAAGAAAACCCCACCTCGGACTCGGTGGCGGGTTCGGGTTCGGGAATGCTTGGCCAATACTGTGTGTAGACTAGATCAGCTCTTCCGTTTTTCCATATATTCTTACAGTAATAATGACGGTACCTAATGTGCTTCCAGTGTCCAAACATGTCGTGTGCTTTGTGTGTGTCTGTGAGTGTTGTCCGCGGTCAGTCGTGAAACTGCCCAGTCGCAAGGCCTGCGATGTTGGAGCGGTCTGAATTCCGTAGATTACTGCTTGCATGAACCGCTGTCGGTGTTGCGACGATTTTAGTGTTTCGCCTCAAAGCGTCTTTCAGATGATGTCAAAGCATCTCGGAGCCGGACCGGATGTGCCACGCGGCGAGACGGGGACACCCCTCGCTCTCGGGCTCGCGTGCCGGCCGTATTCAGAGCGAAAGGCGGGCTAAAGTCCGCGTGATCTATTTAGATCGGTTGACGGGGTTCCATGAAGAAAGCGCGCGAAACCCGATTCGGGACTGAAGATATCCGGAAATGCCATGACGTTTGTCGCTGCTTGAGCCTCAAGATCCAGGGTCTGGAGGTCGTTTCTGCCAAGAGTTGCTTGTCGACGGGATCTGCCAGGGTTGTTTGCCCACAAGCCTTGGAACACGGCCTACAGGCTTGGAACCAGCGATCCAACAATACCGGTTCGCAGCATCCATAAGATCGCTCTTGGTGATTATCCCCCGCTGTCCATCATCTCGATACAGACCCGCTGAAGGACGCGTGGATGATGAACGCCCGTCGTACTCCGACGCAGTTCCACAGAACCCGCATTTTCGAATCAATTGACTTCTTCGAGAAAAAGATGCAAACTCTGATGTTTTTCGTTGGAATACCCCTTGAACGGTACCTTTCGCGATGGCAAGCTGATGTTTGACTTTTTTCCAAATGCGATTCGCCGAATCAGGTTAACTCGCCTGAAGTCTGGGAAGGTCCGAGTGACATTGCCTAGCTGTGACGAGGCCTTGGGCTGAGTAATAGTGATGAAGGATGTTTTTTCGGAGTTCTCCAACCAATTCTTTCGTTCTTTAATCAAATTTCGTCGTTCGTGTGTTCAATGGTGGTTGAGGTTGACGATGCTTTCACCTTGCGGTCGCGATGGAAGGAGCCAGTTATCCACCTTGAGAGCTCTCAGTGGTGGTAGACCAATGAGGTACCAGTATAATGATTACATAAGTGGACGCTGGAGACTGATAGCTTTATCTTATCGATACGGATAAGCTTCGACGTGAGGCAGGCGCCTGGATGGTGGGGTAAGGTCATTGGTACCTGGCTGCACCAACGCCTCCAACTTCAACTTTCCGTCACCATCGCCAGCTCCGTCAAACTGATCCTGCTCACGCAATTCGAGCAGCAAAGATGGAGACAGCTCAGAAGTCGTGGGGTACGTTGCCCTTTTCCCTCACCGCGCGCCGCGCCCGTACTGACCGCCCTCAACAGAGCTCGACAACAACGTCAAGTTGGTCGACCCCAAACGCGATGCGCTCTACAACCTCGACACCGATGCTCAAAAGGAAGCGATGAACGCCCGCCCCTGGGCCAGCAACCCGAACCACTTCAAGAACGTCCGCATAAGTGCCGTCGCACTCATCAAGATGGTCATGCACGCCCGGTCCGGCGGCAACCTCGAGGTGATGGGTCTGATGCAGGGCTACGTCAACGGCGACACCTTCATCGTCACAGATGCCTTCCGCTTACCCGTCGAGGGAACCGAGACGCGCGTCAACGCCCAGGGTGATGCGGAGGAGTACATGGTCGAATATCTCAGTCTTTGCCGTGAGCAGGGCCGTATGGAGAACGTTGTCGGATGGTACCACTCCCACCCGGGCTACGGCTGCTGGCTGTCCGGCATCGACGTCAGTACCCAGGCCCTTCAGCAGCAATTCCAGGAGCCTTTCCTGGCCGTTGTCATTGACCCCGACCGTACCATCAACGCTGGCAAGGTCGAGATCGGCGCTTTCAGGACGTACCCCGAGAAGTACGTCAAGGAGAAGGAGAGCAGCAGTGGTGGCGGCGGCGGCGTTACGAGCGACGGCTGGCAGGAGGTTCCCCTGGCCAAGGCGGCAGAATTTGGCGCCCACGCCAGCAAATACTACAGCCTCGAGGTATCACACTTCAAGAGCACGCTCGACTCGCACCTGCTGGAGCTGCTGTGGCACAAGTACTGGGTGCAGACGCTGAGCCAGAGCCCCCTCTTCACGAACCGCGACTACGGAAACAAGCAGATGCTCGACCTCGCGTCAAAGATCAAGGAGGCAACGACCCAGGTCTCGCGGCAAGGACGGAGCACTTCGGCTATGAACGCTATGGCGACGGGTGGCAAGAAGGTGGACGCGTTGGTGGAGAAGCTTGTCAAGGACAGCAACACGGTGGCTACTCAGGAGCGGACCGGTTTGGTTGCCATGGAGGTGAAGAAGAAGATCTTCAACGACGTGAGCGCGAACGCGTCGTGAAGCAAAGAGGCGCATCACTGATTAATGATTTCTTGACGTCATCAGAGGTATCTTCTTAGCAGGCCTCTCGGGCATGATAGATGGCGTTTAGAGGATAGGCTGGGCGTTGACCCCGAAATGACATGATGAATTTGAGTTAGTAAGGTATCGGTAAACTCTGTTATGTGAGGTTGATTGATCTGTGGGACGTTGCGATGACTGAACCGTTCATCTCGTGTTTCGTGTTCAGTAAACCGAAGCATCTCTTTCTATCTCTCTCTACCTCTCTCTCTATCGCAGTATTACAATCTCATTCAAGTCCCTCCCCTAGCATCATGTGTCCCAGCCACCCATACCGTGCAATAGATCAGGGGAAAGCCTGGTCTTTGGGCGATATTCCTCGTCTTCGTGACATTCAGAACGGTGTTCCAGCTCATCATGTGCACGAGAGGCCTCGTCATCGTTGCGGTCTTCTTTGCTCCCCATTGAGTAGAAGCCAGAATCTTGAACCGCGTGAGTTTGCTGAAATAATACATCGGGCTGCGGTCTTTCGTTCAGTCTTTCGGCGGCCGGGGGTTCAATTAGGTTTGTCGTCGAACCATCAAGCAAGGTAGCAAAAGGCTCTACAGTCGATCCTTGACGGCTGAAAAGCCAGCCCGCTGCAAACCCGTCGTGATATCCTGCTTCATACCTAACTTTATTCCCGTCTAGTAATGGTGTCTCATTGCCAGGGAAAGCCGTGTGATCCAGCGGGGACAAAATTGGCTCGAGGGCTGTATGTCTCGAAGCTTCCTTCACTGTAGAGCATGGGTGGTCATGGAGCCATGCCAAAAACCCGTTGATGAACGGTATCTCGTCGGCAGCGGACACCAAATGATCTAGAACAACAGAAAACAGATTTAGCCAAATTTCTTATATCATAGTCAGAACGAAAGAAAGTACCGTTTGGTGGCAGGGTGCTTCGTTTCGTTGTCAAGCCCAAGGTTACCGCAGTATCCCACCACTTTTCTCGTCTGTCACCTTCATCCATCTTCGAGCCCTTTCTGGTTATCGAATTTTTCCAGGTGTTGTAGCTTTCCCGGTTCAACAGCGGCGCTGGTCTTTCCCCTTTGGTGGCAAGGTCTGGGTCGTGCTGGCGCCTCAAATGTTCGCTGGCAGTCCTAGCTAGTCAAAATGTTCCTGAAAGGCTGCGGCAGAGGACGTACTTCAGCTTTTGATGTGACGGAAAACCTGATCCACGGCAGGATTCCACAGCGTTACTATATCGATCATACCAGAATACCGCAACCGGGCAAAGCATGTTCTTGGGATGGGCCTTATATCCCATGTCAACCCAGAACTGCTGGTAAAGGGCGGGAAGATCCAGCGCAGAGGGGCGAAAGGCGAGGGTGACAGAATGGTCCGTTAGCTCATTTTGAGCCTTATTCCATCCCTCTTGTTCGCCTCCTCGCAGACGCTTCGACATAGTGAGTAACGGGTTGGGTTGGCCGCAGACTTGGTCTGACAACTCAGACGTTGGGGTGTATGTCGTTCCAGACGTGTTCCCAAAGGAGCAGCTTGCGACAGACAGTGTGAAAATGCTGCTCGTCGGCAATGGTGTACTTCTGGCGCGACGCGACGAGAAACAATCGCTCCGAGATGCCCTTTTCCTCGAGAAAGCTAGCCAGCATTGGCCGTGTATCCCTGACTTGGTATGGAGTTGGAGGCGGGGAGGATCCGCAGCTACTGGCAACTGAAGAAATCGAGGTTCCCCTGCTCCATGAATCTCATCAGAATTGAATGCGTATTGATGTGGAGGAGACTGCAAGACATACCTGCCTGCTCTGGGACGAGGGGGCATTACCGATATTGCTTTCGCAGCACAGGGTCAGCACAATCGACAATGATAACCTAGATAATAATCGATGGGATATCAAGATGAAAACAGCTAAGATGAGAGTGTGAGGGATGGTTTTGAATGATCTTCCCTTCTTATACTACGCAACAGCCGTTCGTCGCAGCTGCGTCGACCTACGTCAGCGAATGGCAGCAGGCTTGGCTCGTCGCAATTGAGCCGACCTAGGCGCAGCAGCCCCCGTCTGGACGCCGATGACCATTCAAAGCCCTCCCTCGTCCTGCACTTTAAGTGGCAATCAGCTGTATTTTCTATCGTTTTCCTGTACATGCCATGTCCACCCAAGGTTGTATGCAAGGCAGGCTGGTGGAAACCACCCGTTAGCTGCATCAGTCACTCGTAGCCGTTACGATTCACCTTGAGCTTGTAGACTACAGCCTGACCACCTATAACTCCGGGGCGAGGATAGGAACTGGCGCAAAGCAGTTATATCAAGATAGATGAACAAACCTCAGCCATCATAGTCATCGCTATCTGATGCGACATCATCACATATGCAATTCAAATACGATAGTGGTCTAGACCCTCTGCCACCTCAAACAAGTAATGTTCTCTGGCAGGGTAGAGGACAGTCATCATGGGTTGGAAGCAGCTGCGACAAGGCTCAGACCTCGACTCAACCGCGACGACATCCGTGGCAACGGCTCAAATGCGACGACGGCGAACCATATTAAGGGCCGCATGTCCTGCGTTTCTCTCCAGATCCAGATTTTTGTTGCCTCCAGTTGCCTACTCTTCCACTCGTACAACTCCCATAAGCTCTATCTCTGATACCTCTTCCCTATGCCACTCACCAACAACGCGGGCGATTTGACGTTGAACGATGTTCCACCTGCGTTTCGAGTTCTTCCCGTGATCGTCGACGGGAAGCATGGCACGTTCTGCCTGTTCTATCTTCGAATTCGGAGCCTGCAGACTGTTGAGGAGACCATAGCTCAGACCCGCCAGCTCTTCGAATCGGCGGAATACCGCGCAAGCTCGGCTGTTCCCCATGGTCATCTCTCCAATCCTTTCATGAAGGAGTCGATCTACAAGGCTACAATCTCGAGTGTGAGTTCTTCTCATTGTTTCACCTGATGGTCAATGTTTTCACGTGGGAACGCAGTGACATGATATCCCGGGCTGGCGCTGACAAGCATAGGTTGGCGTGCCAAACGAGGACCTCGAAGCTGCGATTCTGCCCCGAAACGTCACGATCACCGCAAAAGAGTATTCCCCAGAGCTCACGGCGTTCTTCTGGCGCCCTGCTCGAAGCAAGGACTGTGGACCTTTTGCGGATCGCTATCCGGACATCCTCATCGATGCGGCGCAGACAAGGTACATCTTGATCCACCACGAGATGAGCAAGACAGCGGTTGTAATTGCTGCGGCGATCTTGGTCGCATCTTGGTTGCTCCTGAGCGCGCTAATTGGCATTGTTCGAAAGAACATGGAAGCTGGCTTTACGGTTGCCGGCGTTGGAATCGGTGTGATGGCCTTGTTTGTGGCTGTTCTGAAGGGGATTCAGAAGTAGAGCATTGCAAGGGTCCAGCGAGGATAGGAAGACTTTGGGAGACTGTCGAGAGTACTGTTATTTCGATATCCTGTATTCACATATGGTACTTGTCCATAATGTCGTACATTACATAGATTGTGTCACTCACAACTTACATAGCGAAAGGAAAGGATGGCAACGCATTCCGTCAACATATTATCTATTTAGGATTCCCAGCAACCCCGGAGTGAGTCCTGAGAAGAGACAGAACCGCTCGAGCGTGTCTCTGATTTCGTGACCTTGAACGACCTTTTAGTTCCTCGTCTGAGTGTGTACTTCGGTTTTGAGTAATCAGGCATAGGAACAAACAAAAATCCACCAGCTGTCCAATCTCTGAGGATTTCCGCTAGTTGTATCCTTCCCAGTTATTCGACAAAGAACATGTACCCAGCCGCGACGGATGCCGACGCGTTCGATTCCAAACTTCAACGTCGTGACTCGTATGTCTCTGCTCCGATAACCTGTACGGTTTCGACAGGACTGCATGCTCTGATTCTCGCGATGGTTTGCTTGGACTCTGCCGTACCTCACGCCTGATTACTCCACTTACTCCATTCCAACTGAGGTCTAGCTTTCATGTGTACTGCACAATCAAGAAACATGAGGACATATCGGTAGTATAAGAGCAGACGTTATCCGGGAGAGTTCATTTTTTGGCCGGACAGCAATACGTGCCAGGGGGTAATCTTCCTCCCTGTCCGAATAGGCTGAATGACATAGCATTGGCCACGTCGTCTGGGCTCTTAGCTCCCTGCTATCGCCTCTCACGTTGTCCTTGAGTGAGACGACGGCATGAGCGTTCAACATCTCGTACGTTTCTCTACCGACTGATTCAGTGCTGTATACACCACCAACAACACCGATCAAAGACGAAGGATAGATACCCAGCTGTCGCAGAACCCACGAAACTCGTGAAGTACGCCAAGGGGAAGACGCTGTTGAGCCATCCTCTAAGCAAGCAGACTGTTCTAGGAGGCATCGAACCCGATGCAGAGGTTATCGACAATCAAGTTTGCGATCTGCACATATTCACTACATCAAGCGTTCTTATAGCTCCACCTACAAGCTCCTCAGCTGTCCCTCATCGACGTGTTGAATGAGTACTTCCACTTCCACACGGTCTCCGTCTATGAGAACGTCTGGCGGGGGCTCACTCTTCCTCTCCCATGAAGCTGCAATCTGGTTATCCGTGTCTGAAATACATGAAGAACTCTCTATATAACAGCGTGGTGCCTCCTTGCCCAGGGATATCCAGAGAAGAATTGACAAGACCCTCTCGAGATGCACTGGCTTTAACGATTCTCAACGCCTTGATTCAAAAGACCTAAACAACCAAAGCCATCGCGAGAATCGCCATCATCACTCTGGCCATTTGTAATGTCATCTCCCGCGTAGTCCACCTCGAATATCAAGCCAAAAATGACGGACGATGAATCAGATGTGAACCGCGAACGAAAAAGGATACCCAAATCGCCGAGACTGGAACGAGGCCAGCAGCGCATCGGCTAGCAAGTGCCGTAGATGAAGAAGGCAAGTGAATCTACCTGGAAGTTCAAAAAAAAGTATCAGGTCTTTGGCGAAGGAACAAGGATGGTTGCAAATGGCGCCCAGTTTTATAGCCCGACCATAGCACAGCACGCAGCATACCAGCAGATATAAAACCACATGCCCATTCGCGGAAGAGTCTGGTCCTGCAAACCAGTCGAAAGACACGTCGTACTGAGATGCTGTTGATGGTCTTCACTGCATATAATAAAGCCCTGAGATGGCACTCTTCGTGAAGCCCGCCAGTACCATCTCCGCCCTCAACGACGTCGCGATCCCCTGCGCGATCAACTGCATAACCGACAAAAGATACACAACGGAGACAATATCAACTCGACATGAATATCCAGCTGCGCACATGTGCAAGACCAGGAACGTTCAAGCAGCTGCGCCTATTCAGACACCCAGTCCTGCGAAGTCCATTGCACTACACTGGAGCTCGGTACATATCATGGTGCGTGAAAATCAAGCAGATTTGTAAACGGCCTCACCTTTATACCCCTTCACACAAACCCAATTCTCTCCTGCGTTGGGAGAAACATCCAATGCTGCGTCTACTGAGGATTCCATCGGGCGGGCACGTTCCCGGCTCCGTCCGGATGACATCTCCAACGCCGATCCGACCTCCGACCCCACCCACCGGCGCCGTACCGAAAACTTACCTCGCCGAAACCCCTTCCTTTCAACATTTGTTGTTGTCGTCGCCGACAAAAGAATCAATCCTTCTTTTCCATCGATCTCTTCACGCATCCTCATTCATCCGGCCCGTCCGGTCAAGAGCCATGGAAATCCCTATCAGATCCCTCGGTATCCTCCCAAAGGTAAAAAGACCGATCTTCGAGGCAGGAGCGGTTCGATAATCGTCGTCGGGAATCTCGGGTTCCTGATATCCCGTCTCTTCACAAATATCCAACTCACCTCCCCACATCGTCGTGATCCCGAAGTCGGGTCGTCATAATCGTGATCCAAATCCCACCCTCACCATCTTCCCTCAACTCTCCCTAGCCTCCCAGCCCTCAATCCCAATGCTCACGATAAGAACAATAAAACGTCTCACAACAAATCGAGACAAAAATCGAGAAACCAACCCTCAATTCCTCCTCGAGGCAGGAACCCGCCCCTTTATACCCCTCAATCACCACCACCAGAAAGAATGTCGCCATAAAACACCATCCCCTCGCAACCTCACGCAATCAACGCCACAGTCTCACTTACACAAGCACTCATACTCTCATATACTCCTCTCACTCTCACACATTCACCCGATCACGCCCTTCCACGTCCTCACAAGTCGTGACTGACGCCATCAAACACTCCCCTACCCCAGAACCGCCCCCAAACCCGCCAACCAACCCACCCACCCTCCATCGCCACCTCCAGCCTACACTTAGACTACTGCCTCCAGACATCATCGACAAGGTATCTGACTAGCAACAACGGAGTTCCTCGACACAATCTAATGCTCCCCAGAACTCTCATCTCCTCGCATCTCAGATCCCTCTCCCACCCGCCCGCAAAGCACTCCGAATGGCCAAATCCACCTTACCTTCCTCCCCTCCCCAAAAACCGCAAACCACCAAAAAACACCCACATCTCCAGCCCCCAATACATCACCACAACCTCACATATTTCACCCACAGATCCCTTCCCTTCCATTTCATTTCATTCCATTCCATAAAAAAGGGAAGTACCCGGTCCGTCCCGCACATGACACGTCCCTCTCCCCCTACGATATACTTCACGATCTGCTTCCCTCTCGCTCGGCTTGCCCTACATGCATACGCAGTACCCGTACCCTCAAGCCCCTCATCCTCATCCTCATCCTCATCCCAAAACACCGCCTTCCAAACCCATCCTCGCGCCGCCTTGGCATACATACACGCCAAAAAAACCACCTCCTTCTAAAACAAGACACCGAGAGAAACCCATCAAAAAAAAGTTCCCAACCACCTTCTAGAACGCGCCTAGCAAGTCCCTTAACCCCATCACAGAAAATAATCCCACGCCCTCCCAAGCAAGACCCTAGGGCTTTCTGTCGTCGTACCTTACACTAAACAGACCCGCGCCCAATCACAGCCCTTACAAGGATCTCCCTCACAACCCGCCCGCAGCGCCCAAACAAGCAGGACCCCTAAAAGTGTTACCACCAAGACAGCGAACCCCCTTCCCCTACGAACCTCTTCAATGTCGCACGCACAAAAAAAATACGATATCCATAAAACCCTGAACAAATTACACCATCAAAATTGCCCTTCTCGCGGTTTTAATTTGCCAAGAGAACAGACCTCAGGTCCCCTCCCTTCGCCACAGCCATGTGCAAACGGGCGCACGATCGCGTAACGCGCGACGTCCCGCGAAAGGCGGATCCCGACGATTTGGTAACATTATCTGCAAGGAGGTGGCAATACAGAAACGGTAGGCCCTTCCCGTATCCGTGTGCCCTTTCCTTTTTGTGAAAATGAAAGATATGAAAAGAGACGACTGCCTGCCTCCCGAAGTCTGGAGCCGATCGCTCGAGAGCGGGCATTCCGCGTCGAATTGGGTAAGTAAGCTCTGTCAACTACCGAGGCGTGGAAAAATCTCGTCTAAGCCGCCGGCGGTCGGTCGGTCGGTGTTCGCTTGCCTCGTCTCGGAACCTATCAAGCTGAAATCGACGTCGGTAATGCGCGCGCGGCGGGTATGCCGCGCCCACTACGAAAATCAAACCCGTCGAAATTGGAGCCCACACATCGTCCGACACGTCCGACAATTTCTCGGTCCGCCGAAGGACGAACGAGCCAGCCCGGACCACGTCGTCGTGACTCCTCGGCTTGGCCGCATTGGGGTGGCGGTGAGATTGCTCCGGAAGCTGATCCGTAGTGTGTTCTGCTCCCTTATCTCAATTCTCAGTTTTGCCGTCGCCTGCTAGGACCAGCGGTGTTTCTGCAGGCCGCGTTCCTGTGAGCACAAGTTGGGTTAGGCCTCCTTGCATGCGTCCCGGCCCAGTCCGAGCAACGTGTTCCTGGGTCATGCCCTGCAAGGATAAGTGAGGTTGGGCTCACTGTCTGCAACTGTCAGTATCGGTCAGTCGTGCCCAGTAGAGTTGGCTGCAAGAATATGTGTCCAATATGTGATCGAGATTGGTATGCAACTAATTTCAACAATGTGCATCTGTAGCGTGCCCTTTGCTCCCATGCGGATTCTGATGCCGCAATGTCTGAATCCCATGCTCCCGCTCCTTGCTGATGCCGCTGCGCCGTTGTACACCCAAAGCCTGGCGGCTGTACCTTCCCAAACAAAAAAAAAAGACTCCCGCTCTCATGTCGTTGCGTTTCTCTTGCATCATTGTATGCAGAGATAAGGAAAAAATTTGCCAACCCTCCTCTTCCCTGCTGCGTGCGAGGTCCTTCCCTGACTCACGTCGCAAGTCCCCGTTTGACCACTCAGTAACTCGACCTGCAGTCACATGCAAGGTGGGAGTCAAATCGTTGCCAAGACGTGGGCTGCTCGCGTGGGGAACAACACCCAACGGGGTTGGACCAAAAGCCCCCGCAGACACCGAGTTCGTGCCGTGTGGACTGTTTCCCCATGGATATTGGCGGTCAGGACGCGTCGAAGCCGGAGTGGTTGAGGATGAGATGAGGAACAAAAGAAGTGGCAGAAAAAAAAAAAAAAGGTTGCATGCGCCGTAAAATGCTCGTGGTTCCAATCCGTCGCTATGCATATGCTGTCGAATCAAATGCGAATCAAAAGTGTCGTGGTTGGCCCGGTTCCTTCGGTGACAGCAACATCCGCAACCTTGGGTGCGTTGCAAGGTGAGATGCAACCCTACGGTGCGGTCTTGGCTATGCGGATCCAGTGCTGGAAATCCAGTCTTCGTCGCGTGTCGCTGCAGTCAGGCCATGCGCTCGGAACCGGGCCTTGGAAAGAAGTCGTGTGTGTGTGTGTGCGTGTGCGTGTGCGCGCGCGTTGCTGTGTGGTATGTCGGACGTGTGTCCAGTCGTCTTCGCCTGTAGTCGATGACAACGCATCCTGCGTCTCTCATTTTCGTGGATTGCTCCGCCCCCTGTTTCAACAATTCGAATGTGTGAACATCCGACCGACCAGGTGAATCTCGCTGCTCGCCTTTGGTCGGTCACCTTCGGTTCTAGAAAAATCGACAAATGCAGCAGGTGTAAGTGACCCGCTGGCAAACAGCTCATTTCGCAGCAATCGCACCGCCGGCGAAGGGCGCGAACAAAAAATCCCTGGGCCGTAGGCCGTAGGCGGCAGGCGGTAGAGGGATTGCAAAAGGTCCTTGGCGCTATTACCAAACGGTAAGGTAACGGCAATGAGAAGACCCGCCGATCGACTGCTTCTAGAAGCGAAGACAAATGGATGCCGTTGTCGGTACCCCCAGACAGTTCAGTCGACCGTTCAGGCAGAAAATGGAGACGGCCAGACGCGCGATGATGCTGACCATTCCGCGATATCGGATAAGGCAGGCACTTAGTGTCGGTTCCCTGTCTGTTGATTGCGGACCCAAGGCTTCCCCGTAATTTAGCGTCCCGGGCCCTGTCGAGTGACGATTCCACCCGAGAGGCACGGTGCAATCAGGGCAGGCGCACACAACGTCGCAGGAACCCTGCCCCTCTTGTTTTCGCCCTTCTCCGCGGCCAAGATCGTCGTCGTGTTGCACACCAAGCGAGGAAAAGCCACGGTAGTAAACAGGCTTGCCGCGGGTGAAGAAATTCGGGGCCACCTCCGACCACCTGACGTGCTCGGTTCCTGGAGTCGTGGCACGCTGCGGCATCGGTGCTGGGCGAATCAGCGTTGCATCGTCGGGCGGTGTCCGGTCGTGATGGTTCCTGGAGCTTCGATGACGTCCATCGCTAGATTCGTGTGGTGCCCTGTAGCTGAGTGCGACATTCTTCATTGCGATACGGGGATCCAACGAGCTGGGACGCCATCGGCGCCAACTTCGTAGGCCCGTACGCTCGGCTTCCGCGGTGGCAACGCCCAGCGGGCACGGCCGGGCCGCTGGTCGTCGAGCTTTCCGCGTTTGCGCATGGCCATCTCCATGACGGCGATGCGAATAAAGTCTGAGTTCTCACGCATCTCGCGCTGGCGCATGCCCCCCGGCGGGTAGCCGAAGGCGGTCTGGTTCGGAGATTGAGATGGGGGCTGATAAGGAGACGACTGAGTCGTGCCTGCCGATGTCGTCGGAGAGGGGCCCCGGGTCGCGAGTGGTGCTGCACTCCGGATTCGCTGAATCTTGTAAGTCTGCATCTGAATGGAGGCACTGAAGCTTCGCGTGCCCGTAGGCGCTGCCATGACCGTTGCCGGGTGTGGCTCAATGCGAGCATTGGTCGTGGGGTTCAGATACCGGCGGAGCTCGGCGGACGGCTCCTCCTCCAGCACGGGCGGTCGTCGTTCGTCCGTGTAAGGCACCTTGGGGTCGATGGTGAGAATGGATCTGGTCAGAAAGTCGTCGGGCGGGATGGAAGAAAAGTTGATGTTTGAAATGGATCTCGCGGCCGAGCGCAGCGCGCGAAGAGATGCGGTCAAGTTGGACTTGAAAGCCGACTTGAGGGGGCGCAAGGGAAATGTGTAGTCAGAGAATGAGAACTCCGACTTGGTGTCCTCCTCATCTTGCGATTCGTCGAAAACTCTAAAGTCGAGTTCATCCAGGTCAACTCGGTCACGAGACAGCGGATGGTCCTCTGGCTGGCCGGGAGGTGAGGAGACGGGCTCCAAAGACCTCCGGGGTTGTTGCGATCGCCTCCTCCGGGGGCTTGACCCAAAGGGGGACTCGAGTGACGACAAGGTGTCTGTCGAGAAGGAGTCTCCGAGGGAAGGCATGGACTCGACAGAGACGGTCCTAGTGGAGAGAACCGAGCCGAGCCCGCTGTCACTGATAGACAGGTCGTCGTCTTCCAACTCATCAGGCGGCGAGAGCAGCAAGTCCATGGGGTTCTTGCCGAAAGTGAGGCTGAGCTCCTTCTCACATACTTGCTGTCTTTGGATGACGGCTTCGAGAGTCATGGGGTGGTCGCGCGCAAGCTTCTGCTTGGAGCCGCGTCGCTGTCTGGGGATATCAGTGACGGCCAGCAGTGCAAGCATCGCGGGAGGGACGGCCTCTGGAGAGTGCACATCCCGGGGGCGGGATGGTTTTCTCTGGGCATGTCGGTGAAATAAGTTGGATTTGGATTTTGAGGGGATCTGAACTGGCGTAGTAGGCGTCGTCGGCCTGGTCGTTACGCTGGTGGTTGTCCTGGGAGGACTCGACGGCGCCAGCTTAAACGTTTCGCGGCGAGCATCCTTCCTTTTGGCCATGGTAGCTGAGGTGGTAATGGGAGAAGCAGGGATAGGCGTGACGGTGACAGAAACGTTCTGAGCATCCTTTTTCCGATCCAGGAGGGCAGAAGGCGGCGCCGTTCTGGGGTTGTTGAAGAGGGGAGTAGTCGTTGTCGATGTCGTACTGGCGGCGAAGTTATTGCTGGTCGGTTTGCGTGTGGGAGACGAAGGGGAGGGAGAGGCCGACGGTGGTGTGGCCGTGGCCGAGGGATGCCTATTGTAGTAAAGGAAACTCCTGGGGGACATCATGGCGTCTGGACATTCCCTGGGCCTGGTGCGCCAGTGGCTCGGCGGGGCAGGCCGGACCCGACAGGCAGAGACAGGTTGACAGGGAAGGGGGTGAAAGGGGACCAGACCAGACCAGGCACGCACACACACTCCCTTTGGGGGGTGGTAATGGTACTTTGCTCCCTGAGGTCAGGCAGAGAGGGAGAGGTAGGGATACCTCTGGGCCACTGGACACTGGGACGGTGCTGTTACTGGCAGGCGAGCAACCTCGGGCGGCGGCGGAGGCGGCGGCGCAAACTAGGGAACGACACCGTGACTGTGACTGCGACGGGTTGGGTTGAGCAGTGGAGAGCGTGGCGGGCTGCTGCAGAAGCGCACGCACGATTAGGGGACCAGTTCGAGCGGTTATGGGCCTTGGGCTGGCACTTCGATTAGGCCCTCGCGAAGGGGAAGGGGGTGTGTAACGTGTGGGCGTGTGGACGAGAGGTGGACGGACGTGCTCGTCTGTCTTCTTGCCCTTCTGCCCTTCTGCCTTTCCGGGACTGGGAGGTGCTGTGTGTCGTGTGTCGGGGGCAGGGGTCGGCGATGTTTTGGTAACGTAAAGACAACAAGGCGATGGCAAATCAACGGCGATGCTTTTCAAGGGGACGCTCGAACAGGAACAGCGACGGGTCCTCTGGCGACGGTGATTGACGGGAAGTGACGCAGCGGAGACCTGTTGGAAGGCTTGATTGTGATCGGGTCCTGGATGCTGGGTCTGAAGCCGGGATTTGCTGGAACTGCACCCTTTTTTTTCTCCAAATTCCGCGCGATCGAGAAGCCAGCCGACGGGACGGAATGCGGTGCCCTTGCAGAAGTGAAAAGCGGTTGGCGAATGTCGGACGCGAGTGGGTTTGTGTGTAATGTCGGTGCGGTGCTCTGCGGGTGCGGTTTGCGTAGAGTTGTGGAGGTATCGAAAGCGCACGAGTCGGTCGTCGTCAGAGGTTGAAAGTAGAGGGTGGCTTCTGATAGCACGATGCGAGGAGGACCCGGGTAGGACCTGGATGAGAGTTGGGGGTTGGAGGTTGACGGGTTGAGGTCCTTGGATATCGAAGATGGAAAGCCGTCACGAGGATGAATGCGAGACTGGCGATGACGATGACGGGAATTAGTATTAGGTACGAATAATCGAGGATCGGTCGGGAGGCCTGGTGTTGACGAAAGTCGCTTTCGTTGAGGCGTTGAATGAAGGTATCGGTATTGAGTAGGCGGCGGAAGGTCGGAGAGGCGAAGTCGAGGCAGGCGAGGCGATGACGATGACGACGATGCGATAAGCACAGCTGAGGGAGAAAAGAAGAGAAGAAGCACCACCACTTTCAAGAATGAAGGGTCGAGATGGGAAGTCACTTGGTTTTAGGTGGCAGGTGTTTTGTTTCTTCCAACTTCCAAGATAGAAGTCAGGGCTGGCAGGTGCGGTCTTGATAGAGATAGGTAGATGACTACCTCACATGGAAAGAACGAAAGGAGAGCCGATACACGACTGCCCTGATTAACAATACGGCTCCTGCCTTCTCATTGCACGTCGGTTGGGCTGCTATTGCCAGCACACCTTACACCTCAGTCTGATTGCCGTTTATGGAGCTTATCACCAAGACGGAGTTCCAGGCTGCTGATAAGAAACCTGGGGAAGGACAGGCTTCGACACCGTTAAGGGAAGGGGTCATGACTAGAGACACGGGGTCGGGGAATGCGGGAGGGCTGATGATGCTGTTGCTGATGCCTCTGATGCACCTGCAGCCTGCCTTTCTCGATCTCAGCTGAGGTGGTCGCTCCTTCTTTCCTGCTTGCTTGCCTTTGATTCTTGAGATGGCAGTCGCGCCTCGAGTGCTCATTCCTCTCTTCCTGCTCTGATGTCCTTGAGATGAGTGCCTGCCTCGTGCCTCGTGCCTTGGTCTGGTTGTTCCTGCTTCCTGCCTGATTTGGAGGCGTTTTTGGTCTACCCCAAACCGCAGGCGCAGAGGACTCTACTCGACTGAACAGGGCAGGCGCGATTACACACCTCAGCGCACAGCGCACAGGCCCCAACTGATAAGCACCCGAAGCCTCCAACCCCAACTTCCAATCGTCTTTTGCTCGTGTCCATGTTTGGGTCATAGAGTTTGGGGTGACATGAGTTGAGTTGGGGGTCAAGACAGACAGCCAAGTCCCTTCACTTCCAACGTGACCTCGGCTCAGCTTCAACCTCAGCATCAGTGGGCCTTCTTCGAGTGGAGGGATAATACGAGACTCCAGCGTCCGGCTTCATCTCGTCCTGACGGCTGGACAGCGCCTCCAGTGTCACAATTACAGAGCTCAAATGACTGATCCGCGAGCACTGTGCACTAAAAACGGCCACACTGACGACATATTTCCGCACTTGATTGGCTCCAATGTTCCAGATCGCTCTTTGATAGTGGCAGAGCCGTCATAATAGTGGAATCTCCAAGACATTCGGGGCTCTCCAGCAGGGACGCTCAACAGGGACACACCGTGTGAGTGTCCGGCTGACCCGATCAGCTCTCCATGTCATCCCTCTGCCCTTTGCCCTTTGCCCTTCCATGACTTCTGGCCCTTGACTCAGAGATGGAAGCAAGCTGAGAACCAGGAGATCCACCGACGCCACCACCGGGGCCAATGACAGCTCCGATATCCGTGTTCACCGTGGACACCGTGGATAAATCAGGAATAAACCACCTTATGTAAGGCACACCTGAATATCTCCACTTATCCCCTCCTGCCATCACGGATAGCACAATTCGCATTGTGCACGTTCATGCGTCACTGCCCTCTGTGCTTTTATGCGTAATACAACGTCCATCTTGGCATTGGCATTGGCATTGGCATTGGCAACCTTCCATTTTCCATCTGGCATCGACTCGGATTGCTCGTGTGCCTCGTCCTTTCGTCCCTCGTTTCTTACCTTATCAGCTCCAACCAGGCACAACCACGACCATCCCTCCCATTTCGTCCCATCCTCTTCCACACTCTTCCCTCCGACGACGGAAACGCTCCCTGACCCGAACGCCTCCGTGACCTCCATCTGGACTGCCCAGACTCAGAGACAACCACCAGATCCGTCCGACCTTGTCAGTGTGACACTCCAGTCCTCTGTAGGCAGGCACGCACACTAACTGTCCCAAGGCACGAAGCGAAGCGAAACTTCTTCAGCGCTGCTCTGCTCTGGCTCTGACTCTCCTCCCAAAGGCCTGGACCTGACTCCGAGCCACGTTGACGATGAGATGGAGGCGAACGGCCGCAGAATCTCAGACATTTTCGATCCATCTTTGAATCTTCGCCCGCCCGTCGCCATGACTATCGCCGCCAATCTCTAATCTACCGCCGGGTCCATCACACCCCTAAACTCCTATGTCCATCGCCGGACGGCTATTCATCCTCCGGTACGGATACCTGTCCGGGACCTCGACCAAGTACCAACCTCCACCTCCATCGGCCTGCTCCGACCCCAGACACGTCCCTTCATCCTGAACGTCCACTTTGTCCACTTCGCCGGCCGTCTCGACTCTCGCTGAAATCCCCGACCTCAGAAGCTCCAGTTCTCCCATCCCGGTCGGCCTATGCCATGGCCTTTCGCCGACGAGAAAGGCAGGCAGAAGGAGAGCCGTCGGAGCATTCTCAATTTCGCCCACTGAGCTAGTTCTAGCGCCGCGCATCCCTCGCCTTCCGTTCCATCCGTTCTCTCGGCCACCACCCTCGACCTCGACCGTCCTAACCCCCATCCTCGCTTCCGTTCGTCTCCTCGAGCCCAACGAAACTGTGAACCGGGCCAAGGCCGCTCAAAGAAGTCTACGGGATCTCAGTAACTTACCATCCGCCCGCCCTGCGGGCCTCGTCGATCCCCTCAGCGCCCCTCCCGCTTTCAGCACCATCAGACGTGTCATCACCGCATTCACCCAGCCAACACAGCACTCGAATTCGGTGCAGAGTTGTCAACAGACGAACAGCCGATGCGGCTTGATTCGACCGTCATTTACTCGCAATGTGACATATTCAACAGTCCTTTTTCTCTTCACATGCGTCGAGCCTATCGTCCTTGCACACGAATTCACTACTCGGACACGGTTGGAAGTGTGCCAGCAATCTAAGACGGTGTGTCTGCCTGGCAAACGCATGCTGTTTGCCTTCCGTCCCTCCCGTTGGGTCGCGGATTTTGTCCACTGATTTTATCCAGCCGTCATGGCAAATGATATTCAGGGCTGTTCTCTTTGTGACTTGTCTCACTCACGCCCGCACTTCCCCCGCCATCTTGGCCTGAACATCACTTGCCAATCCCTACCCAACCCCAAGCTCGCCTCGTCAATCATGTTGCTTTCCCTCAGTCAGGTGCACCCGAATGCAACGCCATCGCCCAGTAAGGGGATCTCAGTTCAAGCTGGCTGGAGGAATAACCCGATTATCTCGTTCATCATTCGCTGCCCAGTCACTACAACTTGGTACACTTGCTTGCATCCTATAACTCTACCCTCAAACAGCGCGCGCATGTCGGCATCTCCCATTCAAACGCCGACCAAAACTTCATATTGTTTGCCCGGACATCAACGACTAACACAGAGGCCAGGCCTGGGCGAAGAGTCATCATGCACCACCCCGAATCCAGCTTGGCCATCCCACACCCTCACACAAGTCTCACAGTCGCCTTATCGCCGTGTTCTGATTCGTCGACTCCTACCCCAACTCTGCGTCATACAACACCGGCAACATCAACTGGCGCTGGTCTTAGTGTGGGTGGGAGCTAGGATGGTGGTGGTAAACCCATCCGCAGGTCAACCAGTCGTGAGTCGCAGCCACGCCAAAGCCAACCCTTCTACGATACGGTTTGCGGGGTAACCCATCGATGAACGATGGCCTGCATGCATGCAAGGGACTTACCGTTTACTTCCTGTTGCTGGGAGCAGCTGAGCGACAGCAGACTGAACCGGATGCCAATATCAGCTTTGGACCATTGATCAGAAGACGCACGAAGCAGATGCGCAAGAGAAAGCGCGGGCCGCAAAGCTTCGAGATGGCCGTTGCCCAAGATACTGCAGCATTGACGACGAGGACAACCTCCCCGCCGACGCCGCCAAGGCCCCAAGACACGGCTCCGGATTTCAACGGCGCCATCTAGCACGTCCCATTCCTGGCCCAAGCCCGACACCAAACCAAACCGAACCCGCCGTCAAGAGCGCTCGCTACACACACCACCCTTCTTCTTATCCAGAATCTCGACACCCGGCCTTTTTCGCGGTCTTCAATCCGTCCGTCCCGGTTTACCGCCCATACGGACGACCTGTGTCTCACGCGTAATCCCCCACCACCCTCACGTGCCCTGCTTGTCTGACCTATCCGTGACCACGGCCGACATTCCCATGTGGCCGGTCAGCACGAACCGAACATGGGGTTTGGAATGTTGACACAGTCAGGAGAGCGAGCCGTCAGGCTGATTGATTGCCCCGGGAGGGGGACAGGCATCAGACGCCCACAGGAGTGGGCTGAGAGTTACAGCCTCGAAGATCACCTGAATATCTCATTCACTTATTAACTTCAGCACATCAGATATGGCCAGGTCTAGATTCCCTTAGCGAGCTGAGGCCTCGAGGCTGCCTCGCGTTGACCTCACTCTGGTCCGCGAGCCCACGACGGGTTGGTGGCCGGGACGCATGGCACGCGCAAACTTCCCCTCAACTCTCCTCGTCCCGTACTCCCGAGTTGCATATGAAGTGCACGTTCTCTGAAGGGAAAGAAAGCCCTTACGCAGGTGGCACCGCGGTGAAGGGGGCGAAGGAGCAACACGACACCGCGGTGGCGTCCGTTGGCTGGTGCAGTTGCTTAGCGAATCCGCCCTCTGGAGCCGCAAGCCTCGTTCCTGGTGCGAGAATCCTCTAGCTAAAGCTGGCCGTTCCGCATCGTTTAGATGTCAGTGCGGGATGACTGACGTTCCCCGCGTCATCCTGGACCGACTGGACGGGTAGGCGATGGCTTTCTGGGCATTGTCGCTAAGACACGTGCTTATGGTTCAGAAGAGAACTCGTCTTTGGCTCATGAGAAGTTTAATCAACGGTGATGCAAAGTCGTTGGTGCTGGACCATGACTGGCCGGTAGCTGTGGTGGTTATCATGTTATCGGCAAGTATGATTCGCGGTAATTGCGAGGCAACCAGACTCTCTACTGCTCAAGGTCTAAGAACTTCACTTGAGTTCGGAGAAAGAAACAGTAACAGACTGGTCTTGACGTCTAATCTGGATACATTGACTTTGATTGTACAAGGGCTCTTCGTTACGTGATATGTTGATGGAAGCTTCCCAAGTCTTCATTCTGGATCTTGGAGCAGTCGTGTCTGCCTGAGCAGAAGGCCCGTCTTAGAAAGCCGAACGGCGAGGAGCTGAAAGATTGGAATGCTCCAGACACAGAACCCGCGCTTGTAGACCATTTACGCGGGGATGGTTTATTTGAGGTATCGTGTCTTTGGTGCTGAGTTTTTCTTCTTGCTCATGTGCTACGCTTCATTAACGTTGAACCATTCCGGGTTTCGATGGACGTATATCTGAGATATACGCGGGAGTTGACTGTGTATCCTATATATTGATGAACTCACGTAGCGCGAACATGAATGTGATATATGCGCAGAGCCGAGATGTTCCAGAGACAATTCCATTCTACCCCTGATACCGCTCGATATCCAAAAACGAAAATGATAAGCTTGCCACAAGACAACCAGTATCGAGACGAGGACAATGCCAGACCGCACTCTCTACCAGATCACATCACTACCTCGTGCTACGCTGTGTGAGTTAATTGTTGGATTCCTTAGGACTGCGGTGGTCACTTATCTCTCCCTCTCACGTGAGCGGAAGCGGTGGATCGGCCTGACGACGAAGCTCCGGGAATCCACTTACACCGGCATCACGATCGACACGCCGCATCTCCGGACCCGGCCCCACTGAGAGGAGATGGTATTGAGGTCGTGGGTAGGTGTTCATGATGTTGTGGTCTTTGTGTATATGTTATTAAGTGTAGGATATAATCGTTCATTTCAACCCGGCGTGTGCTGGCTGACCATCTATCCCCAAACTCCATCCCAATTCCATGAAAGAAACCCATTCATCAACAACTTCGAAACCCTCCCTCCTCCGTACCAAAAACAAATCCCCCAAAAATGGCAAACTTCGACTGGCACGCCGGCCGCTCCGACATCTCCACCCTCGCCCTCCTCGACCGCGCCCCGGAATCCGAAAACATCGACCTCCCCTCCGTCCGCCTCTACCGCCTCGCCCGCGTCCGCGCCCAGATGGCCCTCCGAAGCATCCACGCCCTCGTCCTCTCCGACCCCGTCAACATCCGCTACGCCACGGGCACCCGCAACATGCAGATCTTCAGCGCCCGCAACAGCCCCTCGCGCTACCTCCTCCTCACCGCGCACCGCTCCGTCCTGTTCGAGTTCACCGGCTGTCTGCACCTCGCGGACGGCTACGAGACCGTGGACGAGGTCCGCCCCGCGCTGACCGCGTCTTTCGTCGCGGCCGGGCCGGGGATCGAAGAGAGAGAAAAGAGGTGGGCAAGGGAGATGGGGGATCTGATCACGGAGCTCGTCGGGGCGGGGAGCACGGTGGGCCTGGAGCGTCTCAACGCCGGCGCGGCCATCGCGTTAAAAGAAGCCGGGTTTAAGATTGTGGACGCGCAGAGGCCCGTCGAGATGGCGCGGTGCATCAAGTCCCCCGAAGAGGTAAAATGCGTCGTGGCCTCGCTGCGCGCGACGGAGGTCGCGGTCGGCAAGCTGCGCGCCGCGATACGGCCCGGCCTCACGGAGACCGAGCTCTGGGGCGTGCTGCACAAATCCGTGATCGAGCAGAACGGGGACTACTGCGAGACGCGGCTCCTCAGCGCGGGGCCGCGGACGAACCCGTGGTTCCAGGAGACGGCGGGGTACGTCATCCGCGAGAACGAGCTCGTCGCGCTGGACACGGACGTGGTGGGTTGTCACGGGTACTATTCGGACTTTTCGCGGACGTTCCACGCCGGTCCGGGGGAGCCGTCGGCAGAACAAAAAGAGTTGTATAGAGTGGCGCACGAGCAGGTGATGCACAACGTGGGGATCCTCCGCGCGGGGATGACGTTCCGGGAGTACGCGGAGGCGGCGTGGGAGATACCGGAGAGGTACTACAAGAACCGGTACTACCTGTCGGCGCACGGGTGCGGGATGACGGGGGAGTACCCGTACCTGTACCACCGGGGGGATTTCCCGGAGGCCGGGTACGACGGGGTGGTGGAGGCGGGGATGGTGATCTGCGTGGAGAGCTATATCGGGGAGGAGGGCGGGAGGGAGGGGGTGAAGCTCGAGCAGCAGGTCTTGGTCACGGAGACGGGGGTGGAGGTGTTGAGCGAGTTCCCGTTTGAGGAGGCGCTTTTGAGGTGAGTGTGAGATGAGGGTTGTGAGATGAGGGTTGTGAGATGAGGGTTGTGAGGTGAGGGTTGTGAGATGAGGGTTGTGAGGATGGTGGCTTGCGGGATTGTGTTTGGCTGCCTATCTCGGTAGTCTTTCATGACATGTGAGGAGACAGGCATACGGACAGAAAGATACGATATATGAATAGACCATGAATTACAACTGATGCCCAGCTCTAATGGAGCTTTACGGCTGTTTACTAATTTGTGTTCTACGATTCTTTAACACAATACTAGCACTTTACCTCGTGCTATCTGTCAATGAAACGAATAGATTCAATAGGAGTTGAACTGGTATTGTCAAGCTCAACCTGGGCAAGGTCTTTGCACACGTATGAGCAGACAACATAGAAACATATCAGCTTTGAATAGGAGTGAGTGAGTTTGTTGGGCAGGGTCAACTAACAACCCTTGCGTCAAACGATCATTGCCAACAGCTTTACGGCCGATGCTGTCTCGAACATGTCAAGGTCTCGAGGAAGATGTGTATGTGGACTAGTGCTCTAAAGGAGCCTAGTTGTTTCATTCGATTCATTCTCACAATCCTTTTCACAATAGTTTTGAGGACCTCTTAGGAAAGATGTACTCGATGCTCTTCAAATTTGATTCAAACTACCTATCCGAAGGAGTTATCCACCATGAAGTGGCTGAGCAGGTCTTCCACGTAGACCTGCTCCAGATCGCCCGGGTCGATGAGGAACGAGTCCGCAAAGTTCGGGCTCGGCGCCGCGGACGGCTCATGCGGCTCCTCCGCCTGCGAACTCCCCAGCGGGTGGGTGAGGTGCGTGGTCACCGGTATCCTGGCCTGGGACGACGACGACGGCCTCACCGAGGTCGCCTGGTACACGTCCGGGTCCAGCAGCTCCCAGAACAGCCAGGGGGGAAAGGCGATGGCGCCGCCGTTCTCGGTGGACTCCTGGCGGCGGTGCTCGGCGACGAGTTGCAGGCTTTGCAGGATTTCTAGCTACAAGGAGAAAAAAGAACAACGGTCAGCCAGGTGAACTTGGCTGGTTAACGAGAGGCACGCGAAGCTCAAGTTCCACGAGTGAAGAGGACGTGACGGAGGGAAAACATGTTTTATTTGCCTTTTGCGACAGGTGAAGCCAAGCCTTGGACACTCTTGTCAGATACGTCTTGCACCAGTCGAGGTCCCGCGCGGCCTTGGTCGAGACCTTTTTATCCTGGACGAACTGCAGCAGCCAGGGTATCGTCGCGACCGCGGCGACGAGCTGGCCGAGGAAGGGGTTGTACACGTCGAGCCGGTGCTCCTCGCAGATGCCGAGCAGCCAGAACACCCAGCCGGAGTGGAACAGCGCGGCGTCGATGGTGCGCTGCAGGAACAGGCCGGACGTCTGGTAGCCGCCGCCGCCGCCGCCGCCTCCCCTCCGCGACGAGCAGCAGCTGCGCACGGCGACGAGGTGGATGAAGGGGTGGTTCAGCAGGGCGAGGTAGACGTGGCACAGGACCTGCATGAGGACCCAGGGGACCCAGTACTCGCGCCGCTCGAGGACCTCGGCGCGGGAGCGCTTGGTGAAGGCGACGTTCATCATGAGGTGCCGGGCGGGGAGCTGGGCGTCGCGGTCGTGGACCATGGCGACGAGGCGGGCGTAGCGCGAGTCCGGCGAGGAGGGGACCTCGTCGCGGCCGAGACGGACGTGGTGCAGCCAGGCCGCGACGTCCCCCCAGACGGAGACCATCTTGATGCTGTAGGCGACGATGCCGTGGTCGACGTCGGCGCTGTAGGGGTTGTAGAGGTCCGAGGGGTAGTCCTCCTTCCGGGTGGACGGGAGGACGGGGGGCACGGGGGCGCTCGTGGGGAAGGAGGAGGCGTGGAGGGGGAGGTCCTGTCCCGTGTGGGCGCAGAGGCTCGGGCTGAGGATCTTTTCGAGGATGTAGACGCTCCAGCGGCATCGGATGCTGAGGTCGGCGTCTGTGGAATCTGAGAGTGAGTCTTCTAGTGAGTTCCGGCACGCCTCAAGGCGGGAGGCCATGCCGACGGTCATCTGGGCCTGAGTCGGCTTGCATACTACATACGTGTAAGTGAACATCAGTCTTACTGCGTCTTCGATGAAAGTAGGGAGTTGATACTGACCAATCACGTCTCTTAGCGCGAGAAGACATAACGACTGCACGACGTCCAGCCGCGGGACGCCCTGGCAAGCGAGCTTCTTGACCGTGTCCTCGGCGGAGCGGACATAATGCTCAATGGCGTTGGACTGATTGGTCTCGCCGTCGACGTGGGCCTTGAAGGAGAGGGTGAGGGCCAAGAAGCTGTCGAGCAGATGGCGCGGGGAGGAGCCCAGGTAGTCGGACAGGTCTGCGGTCCTGAAGAGCGGCAGGGGCTGCTGGTGGATCATGCGATTGTAGAAGTCAAGGAGCTCGTCGAGGATGTTGGGCGGCAGTTCTGTTGTTGCGCGACTTCGGGTTGGTTTCTTAGTGACGATGACGACATTGCGCGGCGCGGCATTGGCATTGCTCTCAACAGACAGGACCCTGAACAGACTACCCCGGATGGGGACAAAGAAAAGAGAGGAGAAACTCTATGCCTCTCGACACACACCGAACTCACCTGGGGAAGGATGATGAATCGTTGGAGGGGCTGGGTAGTTGAGATCCACCGGCGCCGTTACGCAACGGATTCTGCCCCCTTCCTGAATTAGGATCAAGCGCAGTGGCCTGACTCGAGGATTGGGAGGATTCGATGCCATGGCTCGACGGGTGTCTTTCTTTCAAGTCAGCTCTGGGGGAATGTTCTTGGCCCACGTGGGTTTGTATATGAGGCAACACGTACTGTAACAAGCCGTAGATGTCTTTAACCTGCGACTCCAGATGCCGGAATCTATCTTTGAGAGATGTCGTTCCTGTGCTTCACGTGGTGTCATTAAAACAGGGAGTTCCAGCATTGAGAAAGCAGGTAGCATCACAAGAACAGCCTTACCTCTTCTTGGCAACTCCGGTGGGCCGGGGGACGCGATTTCGGTATTCGCAATCACGTCCGGCACGTCGACAACAAGAACAAACAGGCCTTTCGGCGGTACATTTCGTCTTCCTCTGTCTAAGGACGAGAGATATAAGAAAACGCCAAACGGTCAGCCACATGAAGATCCGGGGTAATGTACTAGTACCGTCTTCGCATGTAACTCCGTGAACTCACCGGCATGGCTCGCAGGCCTGTCGACTCCGAGGATCCCGCAGGTCCGGGCCGCCTCCTCTCGTCGTCATAATCGACCCGTGTGATTATCTTCCCCACGCTTGGCTCTCTATGGCGCGCGAGGGCGTCTAAAGATTATGCGTGAGACATAAACATGGGGGAGTTGGATAACCCTGGATCAGCAGCAGCGTAAACGCGGGATCACGGCGTCAAATACCGATGTGCGAAACTGCGAAACTCCGGGACGCGGAGTTTCGTGGCCCACGTGATCGGATCGGTGCTCCTACGCCGCCGATGTTGCTCTCTTGCTCTCGAAGAACGACCAACCAGACCCCTCTGCCGTGCCATGCATGCCAAGAGCCGCTTCTGCTGCCCTTAGCTGAACTTGAAGGGATTTCGCAGGGGTCCCCGGCTCCGACGGCTATGAGTGGACGGTTGGTAGAGTTGTGATGAAGGGCCGCTCTGGTGAGATGAGGATTATGGGCCGGAGTGAAGGGACAAACCATGTTGTTCTGGAGTTTGAGACGAATGGTTTGCGTGTGCACGATTCAGAGCTTATTTGCGACGATTGATCTTCTCCGCGCCCTGGAAGATCGAAATCAATCCAATTGAAGAATGCAGAATGTGAAATGTCTGTCCAATGGAGGGTGTCAACACACGGGAAGAGCTGAAGAAAAAAGTAAGGCTACTGTAGGTGTACATTCTGCGTAGCAAGGCGAACTTGGCTCAGCCTGGATAAGACGGCCACTTCCCGGGCCCCCAAGGAAGCCAATAAAGATATCGATTTCTTGGAGAAACCCGTATCGCCCAGGGCGGCATGCGCGTTATAGATAAGTTATCGAAGGTTGCGTATCATCGCAGAAATGGGTACGGATACAGTACACGCGTTAGGACCAGCCTATCTGCCATCCTATCATATCCTTACCACTTCACATAATAACCCCAGATTCAAACGCGTCCAAGCTGTCGCACTTTGATGGATTGGGAAGTAAACTGACAGGCACAACCCCGGCAACCCCGAAGAACGCCAACTCCAAGTCTCCAATTCTCCAGCTGCCTTGTCCTCTTCGGACAATAGTCAGAATTGTCAGAATTTACCAACAACTCTTGCCCCCAGCCGTGATGACGTAGTGGCATGGGGGGCCTCACAGGGTAAGACAACGACCCCGGGCGCGCAACAGGCTGCGCAAATCATGCCATCGTGTATCTAATCCTTCTGCGGTAATTAGGGCCGATGATAAGAGAGTCTCCTGTTTGGCCAGATATCGACCTTCGTACGCCGCAACGATTGGAGACTTGGGCGAAAAACCAAGGCACTTGTGATGCGGGCCCCCCCCTGGTTCAGCTTCCAGGTTCATGCCACTCACCGGTGGGTTACCCCGGATTGGCTATCAAACCATCCTTCAGAAGCAAAGGGAGAGAGAAGAAGAGGAGGGAGAGAGGCCATTCGATTGGTAGCCCGGGACAAGTCCGATTGTACACGGCGGAGGGCTCCCGCCTGGAGCCTTGGTTTTTCTGCTTGTTGGTGTCTCGGTCTGTTCATGTTCAGTTGTCTTGGCCCTCGTCTTTATTAGCAGCTCGTTTCCCCGTTTTTGTTCTAGTCGCAATTCCGTCTTTCCCTCTCTCCCTCGCCTCGCAATTGTCGCATCACGGTTCTGTGTGTGATGATCGTGTGACTGGTAGTTTCTGTGTCAGATTTCCCTTCCTTTCCCCCCATTCGCCTTCGATTTTGTCGTAACCACAAGTCAACCCTTTCCCCCCCGCACTGCCCTCTCGTGTGTTGGTCTTTCCCCGAACGCGGAATTCTCTCACGATGGCTTCAGACGCAGAGAAGCAGGTCAAGACCCGCGGGTCGACCGAGCTCGGCAGCCTCGACCACGTCGACTCGTCCAACTCCAACATCGGCCACCTCCACCGCCGCCTGAACAACAGGCAGATCCAGCTCGTCGCCGCCGGCGGCTCCATCGGCACCGCACTCTTCATCAGCATCGGAGGCGGCCTCGCCAAGGGCGGCCCCGGCAGCCTGGTCATCGCCTTCACCCTCTACACCATGATCCTCGCCCTCGTCAACAACTCCGTCGCCGAGATGAACACGTACATGCCCGTCGAGGGCGGCTTCGTCCGCCTCGCGGGCTACTGGGTCGACGACGCCCTCGGCTTCCTGGCCGGCTGGAACTTTTGTAATTCAATCGCTGTCCCTAATAATTTACTATCCGATTCTAATCTTTGTGCGCAAAAGTCATCTATGAAGCCATCCTGATCCCGTTCGAGATCACCGCGCTGAATATCGTGATATCCTTCTGGAGCGAGAACATAACGGACCCCGGCCCCACCGCCGGCATCTGCGCCGCCGTCATCATTCTCTACGGGTGAGAGAGCCTCCGCGCGACAACGCGGCGCAACAAGACGTCGCGTGTCCCATACATAATAGACAAGAGAGAAGCTAACACACCTCCCCGCAGACTGATCAACATCCTGGCCGTAAAAGGCTACGGCGAGGCCGAATTCTGGCTGTCCGGCGGGAAACTCATCCTCATCTTCATGCTCTTCGCCTTCACCTTCGTGACGATGGTCGGCGGCAACCCGAAGCACGACGCCTACGGCTTCCGCCACTTCCAGAACCCGGGCGCCTTCGCCACCTACCTCTCCACCGGCGACCTCGGCCGCTTCGAGGGCTTCCTCGCCGCCCTCTTCAACGCCGCCTTCACCGTCGTCGGCCCCGAGTACATCTCCATGGTCTCCGCCGAGGCCCAGCGGCCCAGCGTCTACATCAAGTCCGCCTTCATCACCGTCTACTACCGCTTCTGCATCTTTTTCGTGATCGGCGCCCTCGCCGTCGGCATCGTCGTCCCCTACAACCACCCGACCCTCGTCAACCTGTACTTCGGCGACGGCGGCGGCGGCACCGCGGGAGCCTCCCCCTACGTGATCGCCATGGAGAACCTCGGCATCGGCGGCCTCCCGCACCTCGTCAACGCCCTCATCCTCACCTCCATCTTCAGCGCCGGAAACACCTACACCTACTGCGCCACCCGCACCCTGCACTCCCTCGCCCTCGAGGGCCGCGCCCCGCGCGTCCTGCGCAAGGTCAACAAGCGCGGCATCCCCATCTACTGCTTCTGCGTCGTGATGATCTTCCCCTTCCTCTCCTTCCTGCAGGTCTCCTCCAGCTCCGCCGTCGTCATCACCTGGCTCGTCGCCATCATCACGGGAGGCGGCCTCATCTCCTTCTGCATCATGTCCCTCACCTTCATCAACTACTACAAGGCCTGCGTCGCGCAGGGCGTCGACCGCAAGACCCGCCCCTACTACGGCTACTTCCAGCCCTACGGCGCCTACATCGCCCTCACCTTCCAGACCGTCATCCTCATCGTCTACGGCTACGCCGCCTTTCGCCCGTGGAGCGTCGAGGCCTTCTTCCAGAGCTACAGCATGCAGATCCTGGGCATCTTCCTCTTCTTCGGGTGGAAGTTCTACAAGAAGACAAAGTACATCAAGCCCGCCGACGTCGACCTCGTCTGGGAGCGGCCCCTGATCGACGCGTATGAGGATTCGATAACGGAGCCGCCGGTGGGATTCTGGACGGAGATGGGCCAGTTGATTGGAATCCGGAGGAACAAAGTAAACAAGGTACGTCCCCTCTCACCACTGGAATGTGGATGCAAAAGCTAACACGATATCTAGTGATACCCCCCTTTTATGCTTTTTGCAAAAAAGCAACGCCGTTTCACCGGACTCTTTTTTTGCGATGGGTTGGTTTGGTTGCTTAACTCGACATAAACGGTAGTTTTAGAGAAAAGAACTCAGGCAGCCAAGCAATAAATGTGAAAAGACATGACGTGAAAATTTCACCTTCGGGGTCTATCCCAAGGACGCATAAGTCGGCCTTCACTCAAGACCAGCCGCCCTTAACCTTTAACGCCTGTTGCAGTATCTACCTCCCGTACTGCTGCGGAGGCGACCGTGATGCTTGCTGACCTCGAAAGGTCTCAGAATTGGAAGTCTCGATGACTTATTTTGACTCAACGGCATTCCCGGGGTTTTCCCTTCTTGCTACCGGTACTGAAACGGCGTCGACGCCGTGGCTGAACCGTCCCGAAAGCTTCGCGTCGAAGCTTTCGGCAGGACGGCATCCAACTCCGCTCTCTGATAAGAGCCGGGCTGAGAGCTAACCTGGCGGCATCTTGTCCGAGATAACTCCGCATAAGTTTACTCCAACGTCTCTTCGTCCACTGGCAAAAGGTAGTTAGCCAGTACTGAACAGATTCGCAAGGGCCCTGGGGTTTAATGAACCTGAGAATACTTGAATTTCGTCTACGCCACCAGCTCTTCTTGCTCAATTGCTCGCTTTCATCTAATCGAAATAAACCAAAACCATCCTCACCACCGCGAAACAGAGCATCGTAAACCTCGCCACCTAAGGAAGAGAATCTTTGCTCCATGCTTATATATACACACATTCCAATTCAAGAGACACGCTTGCTTACTTTCTTTCTTCCGCTTCCTGCTTCCTATCCTCGCCGAATGCCTCTGTCGTCGAAAAAGAAGTTACAGAATATGAATACGACAAAATCTCCATGTCGGTGTTGTGAATGTTATCTCATACCGCCAACGCCGGGTATAGCGAACGAATCTTGAAGCCTCCGTATCCCGTCCCTGGGGCCCGTTCTATTCGGCGCGTGTGTGCTTTTCCTTCTCCCGGTTCCATGCAATTATACCAAAAAATGCCCCGTCCTTTCTATCCCGTCTTGACTCGACTGCCCAGCCCTGCGAACCTCTTCTTCGAGTTCGGACTTTCCTGAGGCGGGGTCTCGGCATCCTCATCTCTCTCCGGCGTCTCTTCTCTCTGCAGGTGACTCGGCTCCTTTTGAGTCTGCTCCCGTTTGCGATGCGTGAACGCGTTGAGTTTGTCGCGAAGGAATCCACTACCAGCCGACTTACGACGGCCTTCCGGCTCCACGCCTGTCCCACCCGATCTCGAGAGCGATCTAATCGTCCCGCCGCCGGACTGGTCAAAGGGAGAGAGGCTACTCCTAGATGATGGCCGGAGGAGTTCTATGCCAACGCCTTGGGGGCTCCTACTGTCTTGCGGCGTCGGTGGCGTCATCATCAAGAAGCTCGGTACAGCAGGTTGGGGGTTGCTAGATCCGCCCGTTCGCTGTGAAGCGACGCTAGAGCTCCTACTCGTAGATCGCGGAATCGGAATGCTGCTGGCCGAGCTGCCGTGGACCGACCGTGGAGGCGAACGTGAATAGTCGACGGGCGAGTTGCCGTACAAGCTGGACGAGTCGTCGCTATTGTTGATGCTATCAGCGTCATGCTGGGAAGATGACGAGGGAGCGATGAGCGAGGAACCGCTGGCCAACTCTCGCAACTTGCTGGTCTGGGCGGTGCTGGGCCGGTGCTTGAACTTGTTGCCGATGATCGCACCCGTATGTGAGATGAGAGCTTTGATGACGGCCTTCTTCAGGGCAAGCGCAAGGTCCAAGTTCGACCATGTCTTGTTGCGCCACTCGACCGCAGGCATGCGGAAGACAAAGTCGTGGACGTCTTCGACATTGCGATTGTCTTTGCCCTTGTAGCTCAGACACAACACCACGGAGGGCATCTTGATATGCGCAAAAGTCATATAGTTGCTAGCTCGCGACATCATCTTAGTGAGGTCGTCAGATGGCTTCGTTTCCTCCGCTTTCGATTCCTTGCGCAGTCCGAAGCGGGACTTTTTGCTGTCACTCGCAACTGAGCCTTCTTTGGACGAGAAACCTGTCGAGGTCCGGCCGACACCAGGGCGAGGTACGTTGGCGGTTGACTTGAGGGACTCGTACGAGGGCTTCTTGGCAGCTGTCTTGCCTGTGCCTATCGACCGGAAGAGACGGAACGAGTGGCCTTCCCCGGTGTTGACTGTGAGACCCTTCTTAGGTGTGCTGCCAATCGACTTGGACGGGGAGTCCGAGTTTAGCGTCGGATGCAGGCGCAACTCGAGTGAGCCAGGCCTCGTGTTGAAACCATCCTTGTCGCTGACAGTGAGACGACCGGAGCCGGACATGGAGTCGTCATCTTCCTCATCTTCATCCGTGGGCGTGTGCTTTAACATGAAGGGTGAGTTGTTCTTGGCGTCGGTCTTTTCGCCGCCATCGATGCCAGGGAAGATGTACTCGAATATCCGCTTGCCCACTTCGCGCTCTAGCTGAACCTTCATCGGGAATAAATTGACTTCGAAATGATCCATGACGGGGATGCCGGCAATAGCTTCGAGCATGTACCAGTAGACCCGAATCATCTCCTGGTTGCCCAAGTCGGCCGCGCTCTTCTCACTATCAACATACGGCGCAATGATCTCGGGGTACATGGCGTCAGGCAGGAGGTTCAGGCCGAAGACCTTTCCGACCCTGATGAGGTTGATGTGCGACCCGTCAGCGTTGTCAGTTCGGTCGTACTCGACATCTTTGAGCTGTAATTCGACAAGGGGTTCCTTGTTGTCGCGGAGCATATGCCAAACCGTATCGCGCGCTGTGATGCTCCACCGCAGCAGAGCATTGCTCTCCGATGCCGTCTCGTATCTGCGTTGGGATGATGTGATAGCCTTCATCATAAAGAACAGTTCGTCCTCGCATGCCGCCAAGTCGCGCTCGAGTAGAAGTCGATCTTCCCAGCCTTTTTGATCCATGTACTTGGAGTAGATCTGGAAGTGCGACTTGATATCCTGCAAAGATCGAATGCGTTCTTGTAATTTCTCCACCATCTCAGGCGTGCCGCTGAGGTCACTGAAGTCTGAGGCCAGCATGATCTTCTCCAGACGCTCGGTCCGGGTCTTTTCGAGGGGTTCGTTGTACATCAGCAGGTCCAAGACGATGACGTACATGGCGTAGTAGTCTCCAGAGTTGCAAAGGGCTCTGGCTTGGGGGAATTCGACCCAGAGATTGTCCATCTTGCGCTCGGTGTTGGGCTGAGACGAATCGTTGGACCCTTCGGTGTTGACCTCGTCGTTGTACTTCAGACGCAGAGTATTGTACTTGTCGTATCGGAGCATCGCAGACGTCTTCTGAACAACGCGATTGAACCCAAACGGATCAGTCTCGAAATCGAACATGACCTCCATAGGAACCCACGGAGGCCACGACGACGTGGCCGGTGTACCGTAGCGACTTCCGGCGTAGGAAGTGACCATCTCGGAAAAGTAGGACTGGTGCGTGACAAAGAACTGGGTACTATCCATGTTCACGAGGAACCGGCGCTGCACCAGACCGCTGACGACGTCGGAAATTCTCATCTTGTCCATGACTTCGACGACCTTCAGTTCCATGCCCTTCGACGTGAGAATGACGACGTTCTTCTTGTTCTTGTCGCTCTGGAGCTGGATCTGGGGCGCAATTAGGCGAACATGGTAGCTGTTCTGCGGGGTAAATTCGTCCGAGATGCCGCTTGACAAGTCCTCAGTAGGCACATTGGGTATGCTGTCGCCGTCTTTACCACCATCTGCATCGACATATTTCTTGCCGTCTTGAAGAATTCTCTTGATGCGATCCTCAATATCGTGCTTGAACTCGCGCTCTGCCGCGTCGAGATCGGGAGAGGAGCCACTCGTCGCGCCGCCGGTGGGAGTCCTGTTCTTGCTGGTCGGCTTGGGGTTCTGCTTGGCCTTGTACTGCTCTTCCACAATGTCCAGAATGAACTTTACGGCAGGACGGGATAAGTAGTAGACGAAACCCCGGCGCTGACTGACTTGATGGATGTATCGGAGGACGATGTTGCGCAGCGTATTGTTCCACTTGAAGTGAAGGTTGTGAATGACGAAACGGTTGTTGAAGTCGCTCTCGAACTCGGCGCCCGATGGGATAGTCAAGGAGTCGTCCTGTTCGAGCTCGATCGATTCGTCTGAGTTATTGCTGTCGCCCTCACGCTTAAAGAATTGGTTGCCGTTCTTGGGTTTGTTCATTTGCTGGAGCATGTTCTGAAGATAGACCTTCTTCTTTTGCAAGATGGCGCCTTGTTGTTGCAAGCTCTCAAACGCGGCAATCAGTTTAGGATCCTTGCCGTCGTCACGCACAACTCTGAGCTCAGCTTCGCCCAAGTTCCGTCCGTAGTTCTCAATCTGGATCTCGAGTTGGGCCAGTCGTTCTTGAATAAGTTGCGTCTGCACTCTTCGTGGATCATCATCGTGGCTCATGATGCAGAAATGGGTCGGTTCGTCGCCAAATGGACTCTTGCGATCCGGGTCGCCGGACACCACGCCGCCAATATCGGTTTGTCTGAAATATGTCAGGCGCGGTGCATACGCCAAGGGTAAAATCTTCGTATCGGGATTCGGCTCCGTTGGCAAGATCCAGTCCAACTCGACGAAATCGTCCATGTCAATCCAACTCAGGTCGTTATCAGGAATGGTGAATCGCGACAGGTCAGCGCCGTCCTCGTGCTGGTTGGCGATCATGTTGGCAATAGAACCCTTCTTGATGGCTTCTGTCGTCGTGCCTCTAATGCTCGCCGAGACTGCCCGCACATCTGCCGCTGCCAAGTCAAGCTGGGCCGCGTGAATCTTAATGCCGCTGGTCTTCCCCTTAGTCTTGCGGCCGCGGTCCCGAGTATTGAACTCTTCACGGCGCTGATGGAGATCCAACATGAAGCTGTCGAAGCGGACTTTGAGGCCAGTCGCGGAAACGCCGCTGTCAGAAGCATCTTCAACGTCCTTATGTTTGTAGATGTGGCTGATGAACAAGGGCGCAAGCAGCAAGTTGTACTTGATTGTTGAAAGATGCTTGCCGAACTTCTTGCTGTTCCTCTCGCGACCGGGCCATAGGGATCCTTGGCGAATCGGCAAAGCCATAGCTCCACCAAACAGGGACCACCACGCGAAGAAGTGGGTGAAGAACCGAGGCGTGCAGTGGACGGTGTTGTAACTTCTTGACGGCTCGGGGTTGGAAGACATCCAGTCGCGATCAACAGGCGCTCTGACAGCAATTGACAGGTGAATGTGCTGACTTCGGAAACCACGGAAAGCATCGTATGGTTTGTCCTCGGGTTTGACGTGCTGAGGCGATCGGAGGACAATGTCGTAGTGAGGTCTGAAGTCGAAGCTTCGCTGTCCGTCCTGGATTGCTCGCTCAAAGACGAGGCCAGCCATCCATTGCACCTTGCCCGAAAGCTTCATGACCACCTTCTTAAAGGAAGCTCCTGACTTGTAACTGTCTTCGCTCATGAGACTGTCGTCTTCTCCAGTCCGTCTAGCAGCTTCGCGAACCTGATGACTGTAATCGGGAATAGCGAGTACGTATTCGCCAGCATCCACCGTCATGAAACGCTTGGGGTTATCGTCGGCGTTGATATTCCATTTGACGTCGTTGCGCCAGCACATGAGGAATCCTGCGCCGTTTCCAGTCACGCAGTAAGGGTCGCGAGTGCCCTTGAGCGCAAGATGCATGTCACCGTCACCTCTCCAGGCAACGTGTATCCTGGAGTGGAAATTCAACCGAATCTTATCCCAGAATCCGACTCTTTCGGACAGGTCGACTTGCGGTTTGGTGAAGGACTCGATGACCATCATCATATCCTGTATAGCTGGCTGGTACGCCGGTCCCCACGTAATTCTTGTCGGTAACGCTGTGTTGATATCGACTTTCATGTTCGAGTAAGATTTGACTGGTCCGATGGTACGACGAACGTCGATGGCGAATCCGCCCTCGCTGCCACCTGTACCGTGGTTTCGGGGAGGCACAATGTTGACCCTGATTCGGCGCGTCGACTCCATGCCTCGGAACTCCTCTGCAATGACAAAATTGGTCTTGAGAGACATTGCGGGTAACCTTGTCGATTGGCCGACCTTGAGGCTGGGAATGTGTATAAGAGGAAGAGGGTAGTCGCGCAGTGATATTCTTGCCTCGCCGAGGTCGATCGAAACATGCATTGGAACGAGCAGCCCGTATTTCATGTCTTTGGGCATGCCCTTTCCAACGGAGTGGATGAAGTCTGGCAATTCGCTCATGGCGAATGTAGGTTTATCGATGACAAATTGGAGATCCGTGATGAGGGCAGACATGAGTGCTGGCCTTTGCGGTACTTCAAGGATGTTTTCGGTGTCCTCCAAGTCGTCGGGAAGTTGATCTGGACCCCAGAAGAGACCACGGATTTCCTTCATGCCGTTCTTCGCCATTGAGTAGAAGCGATCGATCCGCTTTTTCCAACTCTGCGCATTATATGCGTCTAACCTCTCGCGTGCCTCTTGTTCAGCAACCTTTGAAGAGCCAGTCATGCCAAGTCCGCCAGCGTCAGGGTCGTATCGTGGCGCTCGGCCTCGAGAGCGGTCGTCGCTACCGCGTCTTCGGCCGTCGGCACTTTGGCTTCTGGCCCAGGAAGCGCCGTTTTGCTGACGTCCCCGGTGGAACAGAGAACGAGCCCGCAACTTACCGGACTCTTTTCTCGACTCTTCTTCGCGAACCTTCTTCCTCTTGACCTCAAATGCTTGCTCCCGAGCGAGGCGCTGCATCTGCTCAACTCTGCCGGCACGGTAAATCATGCCCAACTTCCATTCGAAAGCGCCATCTTCCAGCTCGAATAGTAGCGAGCGGGTGCGGACGGAGACCTTGGGTACGTTCTTGGGGCCACCTGGGGCTTTGTCAAGGATGTATTCGTTGGTGCCTGTTCGGAAGCGGTGATGAAGCTGCTGAATCGACTTGAGGGTGTTGTTGAAGTTGTCGGAAATCTTATTGACCTGAACCTCGTGCGGCACCGCAAATCTGATGGCATCGGAGTTGATGTCAATCATTTTGTCTTCTTGGAACTCCCCGTTAGGTAGCTTCCTCCTAGATTTTCTGTAGTCAACCCTTCCTCCCTTGATGCTGACCATTCTGGCCCATGTGGTTCGCATCCTGGGCGGCTGGACATAGACGCGAACGAGCTTTGAGACCAAGTACGGTGCTGACCACCTGTGGCGACCAGCTTCCACACCGTAGACTTGAAGCATGACCTGAGGGTCGTTCGGAAGTTCAGCCTTGACTTGGACAAGAGCTGCCTTGATGTCAATCGCCACGAGTTCGGGAGTCAGCGTGCTGAAGTCACTCATGTCCGGGAAAGGAGACTCCGGTGACATCGGAGGGGACAAGAAGTCGCTGTTGCCATCCTTGCGAGGTGTTGTTGGCGACAGAACCGGTGAGGTAACATCCTGCCCAGACCTCATGAAAGCCTTCTTAAGAATCATGATGGCAACGCCGACCGAATAATGCCTGAAGAGGGAATACTGTAAGAGAACTGTGCGCATTCCGGCGTGGATGTGGAAGACAGGTCCTTGTTGATCACTGAGAGCCTGGAAGGCGACCTCGAACCTGGGCATATTGACGAACGGCTCCAGCTCAACTCGATCTTCTGCCTCCACGATATAGGCTTCTAAGCCTCGCACGTGAATTGCAACTCTTCGTCCATCTCCCTGGTTTTGCTGCTTCTTCCTAGGAGCGGGTGACACTGGGTGCTTAAGGAGGTCCGAATCAGGGGCAACGGTGCGGCTATTAGCCCGCCTGCGTGATGGTCGCCGCTGTAGTCCGTCTAGTCGCTGTGCACGATACTCGGCAGTGAATTCGTCGAGCTGCAAGGATACTCCGCGAGTGTCGTCTGAGATATCCTCGTCAATGCCAGCAATTTCGACACTGAAATCAGATGCTTGGAGCTGGAATTGAAGCAGCCAAGAGGGCATTGCGCGCAGGAAGTTCTGCTGCTTGCTGGATGTTCTTGAAGAAAAGCGTTTCTCGGACTCCACGTTCATCCTCAGCTGTCGCACAATCTGCCTGAGACCATCGGTGATTTCGGGTCGCACCATCTTAATGGAAAAGGTTTGCAGGTTGCCCGATGCCACAACGTGTACATCCGGTGTTGCGCTCAGCTGTACCTTGAGCTCGAAGGACTCGGTCTGGATAAGGTCGAATCGGTTACTTGATGACGTTTGGTAGTACAACTCGTGGGACTGAATCCTCATTGTTGAGGCCAGCGAGTAGTGGAGGTCCTCGACGGTAGAATGGAATGATTCCATATCGAGTGAAATTGATGAAATAGAAGAAATAATTAGGTCAAAGTCGTCAGAAGCCGCATTTTGATCGACCGCCGGGAGTGCGACTCTAAGAACTGGCTCGTGCATCGTGAACTTGATGTTGGCTTTCGGCAATAATCGCGATATGAGTACATGCCGTGGTTGGCGATCTCCACGCCGCCGTTGCGGCTTTGGCTGGAGCATGGCGACGAGAAGCGGCAGATGACGAGGGTCGAGATCCACCGAAGGAGACGTCACCACAGAATTAGCGAACAGGATGTTTGCGTTTCTCTCCTCTGCGCCGACGTCCTGGGCCATCTCCACGGTCTTGGATGGCAAAGTCGTTTTGACCGTAGTTGTCGCCATAGGAACGTACAGCAGTCTCTCCGGCTTTCCGTCACCGTCGTCCAAGCCAATAGATATGGACAGCGCGGCAGCAAGGGCCTCGTGGGCAATGTCCTTGGAAGGAAAGTACATCCTGTGTGATGGAGACTTGGGATCTAGACGGTGCAAATCAATACCGACCTCCTTCATGGAGGCATTCAGCATGATGGGCTTGGCATGCGGCTTCACCGTATCCACCTTCTTGGTCAAGCCGACAAAGCTGACGGCAAACTGCACCTCCTTGACGCCTCTGAGGATCGAGCTGATGAACTCCTTGGAGTCGGACACGGTTTGGATCAGCTCCTGGTGGGTGCTACCCGGCTGGGCGACCTCGTGGATGACCTTCTCCATGAAAATGTCTGCCGGCTCTTCTAGCGGGGGCGACGGGGAAGCGGACTTGCACTCCTTGAAGCGGTCGGCGCATAGCCGCACATCATCGTAGGGTATATGGACACGGCCTAGTTTTAGTGCAATGGCGGCGTCTCGTAGTCCGTCCAATGCTTCGTACAAAAACCCATGAATGTTCAAAGTCGCATTATCGAGAACTTCGAGGGACTCCTTGCCCTCTGGTGTAAACAAAACGCTGCGTAGCGTCATTATCCATTCTGCCTGGCGCTGCTTGTTCTTGTTTTTATCGGTCCGAGACTGGAAAAAGAAACGGGCGCGGTCGACCATCTTGCGCCTTGTGTCGACGGCCACGGTGAGACTTCCAAACTGCACATCTCCCACATCGACGACCTTGATGGTGGAATTGGTAGCGACGACATCGACCATACGGAGCCAGTTAAGCTTGCGGTGCGCCCTCTTGATTCTGTCCTTGAGCTTCATGAGATGTTTCCAGGTCTCGCTCCGGGGTAGAGGTCCACCATTCCGCCGTATCAACGGCACCTTCTGCTGTTCCGCCGGCTGAGCATCGGTCTCCTCCTCGGCGTCGGTACTGTCGGAGTCGTCGGAACTATCGTCGATCTTCTTCCCATCGAGCTCGCGGATATCGACGGTGACGACGAGCTCGCTCACCACGACGCTCAGCCATGTCGGCTGGGCGAAGGTCGGACGGTGGACGTTAAGCCCGAGTCCGCGAATCTCAATCTTGAATCCATCTCTTGGCGTGTAAGCAAGGCGGCGGAGGGAGAAGTATCCTATTCTCTGGATCGATACGCCGGTGAGGATGCGGACGACGGCGAAGAGGATAAAGGAGGACAGGTAGAGGAGGACAATGACGCCGAAAATGAAGGTCGGGTTGAGCAGAGCCATAGTGAGCCCGCAGTCGACTGGCGCGATCGAAGACTCGGTTCAGTATCTGTACCACCCACGCCACGTTAGCCCAACAGCTCCCGGAACGGAGTGGATGTGGAGGGGAAGGAGGGACAAGACAGCGGGACGGAGAAAAAGGAGAGCACGACGTGCCTGGAGAGAGCCAGATGTCTATGGAATCCCGCACGTTTACATCCGCCTCCAACGATCCGAGCGCGCCATGTCGTGAGCCAGTCCTTGTGTGTGTGCGTATTCGGGTGCGTATCGCGGGAGGTTGATGATGTGAACTCTGCGGCGTTTGCAGGAGCAGAGTTCCGGCGCCCACGCGGTTGCAATGCTGAACAAAGGATGTTGTAGTAGCTAGTAGGCGTTCGTTCGGTCGGTCGGTCGCAAAGCTCGCAAAAACGGTCGTGGGAACGGATCGGCGGGGAGGAAAGAAGGCGATCGGATCCCTTGGGTGGTCTCGTCTCGGAAGGGAGGGCGGGATTGGTGATGTCCCCCCAAAATTGGCGGCGATGATGCGGTGCGGAGATTGCTTTGCGTTGGGGAAAAAGACGACGTATCCGTATTGTAATGTGTACGTGTGTTTGTGTGTGTGCGAGCAGTCGAAAAGCAGAGGGTTGGCTCAGAAGGCCGGCGGATCGGAGACGCAGCGCAGCTCCTGCAGTACGAGCGAGGGAGTGACGCAGCGCAGCCAGAAATTGTTGGACAGGCAAAATGCGAGCGAAGCCGTCTAAGCCCTTGTCCTTTCTTGGTAAACTCCTCGGCACGACACCGATGACAATCCCACAAACCAACGGCAAGCTCTCGTTCGTAGGTAGTAGTCAGCGCTGCAGTCTACCCTGGCAGGGCGCCGATCTATCCGTCTCGTCGGTGTCTCTGGTGATGATTAAGAAAAAAAAGATGAAGGATAACGGGCCAGCAAACAAGACGGCCTCTTTGGGGATCAATAGCAGCAATTAGTAGAGTCCAGATATTGATTGGTATTGGTAAGGTAAGACAATGCTGTCCAGGCTGAGCCAAGACGGGGCAAGGAAGGGACAGGAGAAGCGGCGTCCGGTCGTCGTCGCAGGGCTGGTTCGGTTGCGAAGGGGACGTGGACGTGGGCGTGGACGGCCGGAGCGGCGGAATCCAGGAACAGGGCACTTGGTAATTGACGGGTGGAAATGAACATCACCAAGTCCATAGAAAACAGCAGGGGGGAGTCGAGATACTTTGGAGATACGTGGCAGATGTATGATGTCAGGAGTAGCAGGTACAAGCCCCCAAAATGCATGGCATTCAACACATATCAATTAAATTCCACCCCCCCGGGAAATCCAATGCTTTCGCTTCACGGCTAGTTCCGGATAAAACAGCCTCCTATTGGGTGGCTGATGTTCCTGGCGGGACAATTGCCCCGAATCCACTACATTGCACCTCCTTCTTTCCGCGCGGATTCAACAGTCAATTGCTTGCATCAGAGGGCCGTGCTCCAGCTTTCGCTTCGCGTACTTGATACGATCCTGTCCTGTGTGCCTGTCCTGCATTGGACGGAATACTTGGGACGCTGTAGCGCCGAAGCTAGGGTTGATCTAATGCTTAGCACGTGTACGGAGGAGCGCTTCAAAAGTTATTGCCCGGATTGCCAAGACTTATGTACCGCAGTCACCCGGTCAACAGTATCAGTACCTAGGGTACAGGAACAGTCGGAATAACCTTAGTAACATACCACTATAGATCCCCTAAGACCCTTAGATATAAGTACCTCTCCCGATAAGAGGTACTCAGGTTATTCCGGGCCCACAGCTACTTTTGCCGGCGAGCAAGGACTTTTGAAGCGCTCCTCCGTAGTAAGCGCCTCCAATCTTCAGCTTTCCGACGTCCTCCCTGTCATCCCGGACGCGAATCGACAAACCCTCAGACGGGAGGCTCAGACCTCTCAGAACCAAGATGCCGTTTCTCTGGGCCAGATAAGCACCGCAAGGACATGGATGTGCAAGGGCCTGACAATGGTCAAGTCAAAGCCGTTGAAGAAACTTCAAATTCCAGCCTCTTCACGTTGACAAGGATCGACCTCACTGTCGTTCTCAAGCTTCCCAGAACCATGTTGTTGTTGATATCTGCTGCTAATCTATTGCCATCACCATCCATGTATCTACATCATACGCAAGCCGGAAGTCGTTCCATCCGCTCCTGGTCCACCAGCCCTTGAATCGGAGAAATACAGATCGGAAGGATCCAACTTACATACAGCCAACCACGTGGACCATGATGTCCAACGAGTCATGCCCGTTTATTCACCTGTCAACATCACCCGAGTCCTAGAACTTTCAACCCGCGTGAGAGAGTGCTTGGCTTCGAATCGTCCTGGGATGTGTCGTGACCCCAACAATCTACCGCCATGCCCTTATCGGAGCCAATAACAACGCTGCTAGAACATCTCATGGGGAATACCATGTCGCCGAACCCATTCAGCGTTCGACAGCTGAAATCGACTTCAACCCTCACCACTGCTTGCGAGGCTGATGTTGTCTTTGGAAGCAAGTATGTTTCCGTCAATACATGCTCCAGTACCCGATAGCTAATACTTTGGTCATCGTCACCTCGACGACAGAAGCTGCCGCAGGGAGTGAAACACACTTGAGTCCACTGGAAGTCCTGTGTCCAGAGTACGACGAGGGCCACTCTCGAGGTGACGTGTCTTGGGTAGACTCTGACACAAAAGCCGTTGTACTGGCTGGTGAGGTTACGAGGGAATGTGATGGAGCGAATCGTAGCCAGTGAGTGAAGTCTTTCCAAATCCAACCCGTGCATGTGTTGCACCTGGTCCCCTTGTTCTTTGCGGAATGTCTGCAATAACGCCCTCCTCTGAGAAGGAGTTGACTGCATAACAGGTTGCGAGACATCTCGCAACTCGGATAACCTTGGGACACGTATAGTGGTTGGTAGCATAGTCATGTATTCGGCAGGCAGCAACAGCTTCGCCAGGAAGTGCCGATCTTCTCTGGAGAAAACCTTCTCCGAGGCAGTGCGCGTAACATGCAACGGAATGCAAACTACATTTCGCAGCCCTCCGCGCGAGGCACTAGTGCATCCAAGAGCGGCGTAAACCAGACTGGGATTTTGCGTCTTCAACAAGAGGGGTGTGATGGTGAGTCCTCGATTCGTCAGCACGAACTCGTTGTCGCTCCGGGCCATCTGCCTTTCGATGTTGAAGCAGTTCCGAAAAGCCCGAGGATGAGGTGCCAGCATCGATACCCAGTGATCTCTACCGGAAGCTTTCATATCGTCAGACCAGTCCCAGGCAAATATGCTTTGGTCTGCGGAGACTTTCATGATCTCTTCCTGAAGTCGTCGGAAGGCATCAATGCCTTCGCCGTATAAAAGTGGCATATTGATGCCGAAAAGTCCCAACAGACAATAGGCAGTGTCTTCCACTCGAGTCGTCTGGCGTTCCGAAGCCCAAGACATCCTTTTCGCAATGCAGGCGGACGAGAACCCTTTTGTCTGGTTAAGCACAGCAGACTCAACACCTGTAGCGAACTCGAGCGGTACGATAAGTTCATCCTTACTGCCGATGCATTCCCAAGATCTGTTGTAGAAGCGCATTGCTGTAGGTGCGAGCAGTTCCTGCAGGGTCCATCCTCTCGTGAACCAGCGACATGTCCCGAAAGCGTCTTCCGGGACATTTTCCTTTGGCGCATCCAGGTAATCCTCCAAGAGAACGAAACACACAGCCGAGTCGCGGTACCATGCGAACATGGAGTTGATAGCCTCTGACAGTTCGGCACTGCTCCTCTTGTCGATGCAATTTGTGTCCACCCAGACGAAGTCGTATGATTCCCTCCGAGCAGTTCGACAGGTGTTCTGAATCTTTTGAAAGCCGCGCTTGAGCTCTATGCGAGCTCGTTGGCTTGCGCTGCCTTCCTGCCATTCCAGCCACTCTTGGAAGTTGACCTCATCGCTTCCCCACGTATGTGACAGGATGGCGTACGCAGGGCGGTTGGAATCGAAGAATTCCTCGAGCTGGAGGGTCGCCGTATTGATGAGCCGCATGGTAGCGGTGCGCGCATGAGGAAATAAAGATGAAGGTCGAGGGAAAAGCGTACGTGGTGTGTTCGTGGGAAGTCCTGAGATGGCAGCCTGTGGCTGAGCGGTGGGCCTTGCAACCAATCAAACGCGAGTTGATGGGGCCTGTAGACTTGTGTAAAGACGTGTCCGAGAATTCAGGCGAAATGCTAACAAGTTCGAATGAGTGCAGAAGCAATTTTTTGATCATCAATAATGTTGTACATTTATTGTTACAGGCTGTAGTATGCACATTAGGTATACAGGTAAATAGACCTTTTCCTCAGTTTCCAGGTTTTGATGCTGGTTCTTGGGGTGGAGGGGGTGCTGCCGCCTTCGCAGCCCGCAGCTCGGCGATTTTGTCGTCGATCAGTGCGATCTCGGCATCAATCTTTAACATCTTTTCGTCGAGCATGCCGCGATACTCGTCGTCTGAAAGCTTCTTCAGGGGGCTCCAACTTGACTCGAAGAAGCTCTTCTTCTCCTTCTTCGCATCCGCGGGTGTGCCTTGCGTGCTGTTGACGATGGCCTGCCCAACTCCGCCGACTAATGAGAAGACGATAACACCTGGAATGATGTTTTTGGGTCCGCCTGAATATGTCAGAATGCTTCCAGATAGATCAGGAGGACACTTACGGATGAGGCCGCCAACCATGCCTGCTGTTCCTCCTGCAATGGCACTTGCCTTTGTCTTTGATGAATCTGATACCTGAGCTTCGCCGCCCCAGGCGTTCAATACCACCGACCTCGAGACTGCGATCTCATTAGCAGTTGACCGTGAACCGCATGCTTGGACACTTACGCCAGTAACTTGATCCAAGGGCAAACCATTGGATGCCAGACGCGACTGCGAACAGGGCGGGCGTTGAGTCGCGAATGATGCCGGCAGCGATACCGCTGAACAAGCCGACGGTGCCTTCAATATCAAATCAGCAAATTGATCTCATGAGGAGCCATGACATGAGATATTCTTACCTGTCGCGGCTCCAACCTTCAAGGGCGGCCCCATCAGATCGACAAGCCCTGGCGGCAGCAGACCCCGGCGCTGCCGCCGCTTTTCTTTCGATTCTTCTCTCGCGTCATCTGCCATGTCGATTGTGGCGGCAGGTTGCAGGAAAACGGAGTCCGGCCAACAAGTGACAGCTCGGCTCGACCCAGGGGATAGACGGGTGAGAAGCGTTCTGGAAGCTTTCCCAAACGGCGATCCTCAATATGCATCAAAACGGGATGATGACAAAACAAGCGAAATGTTTCGGTGCGGCTCAAAACGTTGGTTAACCGTGCATTCCGTTTAGATGCAAAAAGTGCTGCTGTCATTCACTGCTGGTGGCAGCTGGCCCCTCCTAGGCCCCCAGGCCCCTCCCGTAGGAACCCGGACAGTGAACTGAAGGCCCCTCTCGCGAAACGGGATTGTTCAATCACGGGTTTTCCCAGTCCCTAATGGTCCGTGCTCCTTTGGCGGGGCGCTAGGTGAAAAGGCCGCGCTAAACCATGGCGGGGCTAGCGTCTCCCACCTCCTCGAGAAAATTGTCCAACCCTCACAAACTTTCGGCCACTCTTTCTGCGCGGGTAAAACCTCACCTCTGTCAAAGACTACCGCCCCAGCAAAACAAATATTGGCTGGGCCCAGCAAGTCTTTCGCGCATCTCCGACGCATCGCCAATCGACCCTTTAAACTCCGGCGCCCGAGATTCCTCTTCCAAGTGGCATCTCAGCCAAAAGAATATCCCTCGGATATCCAGCTTCCGCACCACCAAACCGCACCCCTTGCGAACAGCCGCCTTGTTCGGCTAACTACGACTCCCCGCCTCGCGCCTCGATCTGAATCGTTGCGCGAAGCCGCCTCAACACCGCAATCATGGGTTCGTCGCCCTTCCGTCTATATCATCATGGTGCCTGGGACGTGCAAGTCATGCTAACGTTCTCGTTGCAGCTCCCAAGAAGAAGGAACAGCAGAAGATGTCGCTTGGCGACTTCCTGCAGGACCAAAGTCAGTCGCAACCCCTCGAAAAAAAAATTCTGCCTAGTCTCCGAAAGCCGAACGATCCAACCTCACCGTCCAACCGCCGCTGCTTTGCGCAAATTCGAGAATAAAATACTGACGCATGTTAGACTACGGCGGATCGTGGGCAGATGAGGTCGAAGATACTTTCAGTGAGTTGTTTTCTTTCTCCCAAGTGGGCAACCACATGCTCCAGGCAAGCTTGCTAACCTTTACGCAGCCGGTATGCGACAACTCCCCGTCTCAGCCTCACACTCTAAGGGCTTTCGCCCACTAACACCATCCTAGGCACTCAGGCACTTCCCGCCCCCGAGCGTGCTGGCTACCGTCCCTCCGGAGGTGGTTGGGGTTCCAGCGGCGACCGCCCCGAGCGCAGTAAGTCCACCTTGCTGCATCTACGTCATCTCCACCACAACATGCTGATTATTCAACAGGAGACTACGGTGGTTACTCCTCCATTCGCGAGAACCTTCCCCAGCAGCTCCCCGACAAGCCTCCTTACACCGCTCACCTTGGCAACCTCTCTTACGATGCCACCGTCGACACCGTTACCGAGTTCTTCGAGGGATGCAACATCATCAACGTCCGCATCATCGAGGACCGCGAGCAGCAGCGCCCCAAGGGCTTTGCTTACGCTGAGTTCCAGGACCTTGAGGGTCTGAAGCAGGCTCTGACTTTGGACGGCCAGTCTTTCCAGGGTCGTGTTATCAGAATCAAGGTTGCCGATCCCCGTAAGCAGAGCCATATGACACCGACGATATATGAACAGTTGCTAACCTAGCTGCAGCTCGTGGCGGCGACCGAGGCGAATCTACCCGCGACTTTGGCGACTGGAGCCGCAAGGGCCCCCTTCCCGACCTTCCCGGACGTGGTGGAAACGACCGTCGTGGCTCCGAGTTCGGCGAGCGCCGTGCCCCGCGCGAGCCCCGTGAGGATGATGGCAAGGTTCGCGACTTCGGCAACTGGGAGCGTAGAGGCCCTCTTTCTCCCATCGCTCAGGAGGAGCGTCCCTCCCGCGATGGCAGCCGTCCCCGTACCAACGATGGACCCCGCGAGTTCCGCAACCGCCACCAGTCCCCCGCTGCCTGGGGTGAGGGTCAGCAACCCCGCCAGGACTCCCGTCCTCCCCGCCCCGAGCGCACCCCGACCGCTGCCGAGCAGGACAACCAGTGGAGATCCAAGATGCGCCCCGACGCAGCTGTCAAGTCTGGCAGCCAGTCCCGCGATGGCAGCGAGGCTCCCTCCTCTCCCGCCGCCGCTCCTGCTGCCCCTGTTGGCCGCCCCAGGCTGAACCTCGCCAAGCGTACCGTTTCCGAGGCTCCCGACGTTCTGTCGCCGTCCGGTACCGATTCCAAGGCCAGCCCCTTCGGTGCTGCCAGGCCCATCGACACTGCCGCCAAGGAGCGTGAGATCGAGGAGAAGAAGCAACAGGCCATCAAGGAGAAGCGCGAGTCCGAGGAGAAGGTCAAGGAGGAGCGCCGTCTGGCGAAGGAGGCTGCTGCCAAGGAGGCTGCCGAGAAGGCCGAAAAGGCCGAGGAGGAGGCCGCGAAGGCCAGCGCGGAGAAGGAGGCCGAGCCGCCCAAGGACGCCCCCGAAGCTGCCAAGGAGGGCGAGACCACCGAGGAGAACGGTGCTTCAGATGAGAAGAAGGTCCCCATCCGGTCAAAGGAGCCTCGCGAGGCCCCCAAGTCTCGTGCTACTGAGGCCTCCACCTGGAGATCGGCTTCCTCTGGAGGTCGTGGTGCTCCCTCTGGACCTCGCGGCGGTCGTGGTGGTGCTGGCGGTCCCCGTGGCGGTCGTTTCGAGGGTGGCCGCCCTCCTCGCTCCAACGGCGGTCCCGCGGCCCGGGAGCCCGCCGCCCCCGCTGCTGAGGGCGATGCCCCTGTTGAAGATGACGGCTGGACCACGGTTCCCAACAAGGGCCGTCGCAACGTTGGACCTCGCGGCACTGCCTAGAGGGCTACTGCGCCTCCTACCATCCTTCAGCGTCCAGTCGGACACGATGGGTTCAAGTCCGCACATGTCGCTGAGAAGATGCGCCCGGTTGTGTGCATACCGGGCCTAGACGAAATTTCTCGTCAAATATACCCAGATGACTCCTCCGCATACGATTCTGACGAACGAATTTACGCCATGAACCGCAGCATCGGAGCCTAACTGGGCACGAATCCTCCTATTCCCGATATTTCGCTTTCCTCCCCCACGCGAAGATCCTGGCTCACCCGGATTGCTGAAGGAGAAGAACACTTTCCTTACAATCAGCACCCTCGACGGTCCTTGCTCGGTTTTGCTCTGTCACGGGCACACGCCAAAAGAACGGTCTCCCCGACTCAACAACGACTGGAGAAGGCGCGCGCTCGCACGCATTCATCGGAGTTTTGCGAAGTGGTTACAAAAAATAAGGGCTCATGGATGTTGGAACGGAAGGGTGTCATGACCAAATGTTGTTTTTCTCTCTATTTTTCTCTCCTTTGTTGTCTCTCCCCTTTGCTGTCTGCTCAAAAGCTCGACCCAGGGTCTTCTCTCAACACGTCCAGCAAACACTCGATCCGCCAGGATTTTCTGCTCCCAGTGACATAAAAAAGGAGCATAGGGAATTCACTCAAATCACAAACACAAGTTCTACTACTCTCTCGGTTCCTCGAATCCTCGAATCCTCGAATCTCTCTCCTCGAACGCGACGCACCGTGCAACGATAGATCCCCTCTTCGCTTGATGATTCAGATCCCCACCTACTCAACCCTCTCCCTTCGTGGCTTACCCTGAAATCTTGAAATGACCCCTTCCCCTTTGTTTTTATGCCTCTCCTCTCCTCTTCTCGTCTCTTCCTCCTTCGATACCAAAAATTCATGAATTGCTTCACGCCCACGGGGTCTCTCTTTTCTCTCTTTTTCTGACACGAATGAAGAACGGGTGGAATTACGGAAGAAAGAAAAAATGGCCTGGCTGGCGCGGGCAATTGTGCGGATGACTGGATGTTTTGGACGAGGGGAAGGTGCTGGGTTGAAGGATTGGCTTGCTGTGTGATGCAAATAGACGATAGGCGATGGAATGAAATACGAATTGTGCAACTATGTGTGCGATGGACACTTGTGATGTGTCCATCTATATGCTGTGGTGGAAATCCCTTCGTTGTCGGTGTTTTGTCAAGTAATTGCGTCTTGTTTCATGGCCTGAGGGAGATGAAATCCGGACTGAAAGTAACGACATTCCCAAGGTCACCTTGTTACACAACATTGAAGATATCATAACTTTTAATTTTGATCGTTCTATTTCTATACCACCCCCATCTACCTCTTCAAAGTCTTCTGCTTCTCCGCATCCCTCGCCACGTTCCGGCCCTCGACCAACAACCCCTTCTTCCTCCTCACGCCGTCCATGTACCTCTTGGCCACGTTCTCCTTGTCCGCCAGCTCGCCCAGGTCCTCGAGGTCGTCCTCCGTGAAGGGCACCCAGAACGGGTCCTCGTCGAGCACCTCGTACCCGGCGAAGATGAGCTGCGGCTGCGCGGCGCCGCTCGTCCGCTTGCGCATCTCGTCCGCGAAGCCGAACGACTCGGCCACGGGGAGCACGGACTGGATCGTGAAGAAGGGGGTGCCCTCCTTCATGGCCTCGGCGAGCACACGGCCGCGGCGGCGGGTGAGCACGTCGTAGACGCGGCCCAGGACCTCGGTCGAGGCCTGGATCTCGACGCTGTACATGGCCAGCGCGAGGCGCGGGGACCAGTCGAGCATGCCGGAGCGCAGGGTCGCGGCGAAGGTCTTGATGACCTCGCCCGTGAGGCGGGGGAGGCGGTCGCGGGCCGTCGGGTTCGGGTCGTCGTCGGTGGAGTGGACGGAGACGTCCTCGAGGAAGACGGCGATGCCCTGGACGGGCTCGTGGCAGAGCGGGCCCTGAGCGGTGGCGAGCTGGAAGGCGTAGGGGATCTTGTCGGCGACGTGGGCGGGGCGGAGGAGTTCGTCGGCCTGCGGGGCCGTGGAGGCGTCGCGCTCCGGGGCCGGGGAGAAGATCTTCGTGAGGAGGCCGTCTTTGGTGGCGTCGATGAGGAGGTTGGGGCCGGTGCGGCGGGGGCCGAAGGCGGCGATGCGGTCGATTGTGGATTTGAAGGGTTCGCGGCCGCGGCCTTTTTCGAGCGCCGACTGGAGCTTTTGTTTGAAGTCGTCGAGGGACATGATTTTGCCGGCGCTGAGGTCGGTGTCGGCTTCGATCTTGACTTCGGCCTCGTCGTCGGCGGCGGCGGCCTTGCGGTCCGAGTACATGCGCTTGATGACGTCGCCGTTCTTGAGGAGGAAGTCGGTGACGTCGGCGGGGAGGGGGCGGACCTGGAGGCGGATGGAGACCTGCTTGGAGGAGGTGGTGCCGACGACGACGCCGCGGCCGAGGTCCTTGTTGGCCGGGGGCCGCATCTCGTCGGCCCTGACGATGGTCTCGCGGTAGGGGACGATGGGGGCGCCGGCCTGGATGTCGCAGCGGGCGAAGCGCTCCTTGAGGTCGGTGAGGCAGCGCTCGAGGTGCAGCTCGCCGGCGGTGAGGATGACGTGCTCGCCGCTGCTGAGCTGCTCGTACTCGGCGCAGGGGTCGGACTGGACGAGGAGCTGGAGGCCGTGGATCATCTTGTCGAGGTCAGCGGGGTTGACGGGCTCGAGGGCGACGCGGACGATGGGCTTGCCGAGGGTGGCGACGCCGGCGAGGTTGACGGCGCCGTCGAGCCTGCTGCAGAGGGTGCCGTTCTTGAGGAGGTGGCCCTCGAGACCGCCGATGCCGAAGACGACGCCTGCGGGGACGCTTTCGAGGGCTTCGAGGTTGCGGCCCATGAGCATGTAGAGGGCGGTGACGGTGATTTGCGTCGGTTGCGGGGAGGCGTTGGGGTTGGCTGGGGACCACTTGGGCGGGATGACCCAGAGGGAGTCGCCGACGGAGAGGGTGCCGGAGTACATGCGGGCGAAGCCGATGAGGTGTTCCGGGTCGATCTCCTTCTCCTCCTGCTCGGGGGTGTAATCATCCAAGTTGACCTCCTCCAGGGCTGTTGTCAGATCGTTGATGCTGTTAGAGCCGGGGGTGGCGGCGGCTTGGGCGCGGGCTGCTTCCGCACGCTTCTTACGCGCGAGCTCTTTGGCCTCGTCGGCGGTGAGTTGACCTCTGCGCTTGTTCTGCGGCAGTTCGCTCTCGGGAATGGAGACCATCTTGCTAACGTATGCCACGACGGGGTCTTCCGGTGACGTCTTGAAGGAAATCATGGCGTCCTTGATCTTCTCGTCGATGGCCTCCGCGCCAGGGACGTCTTCCAGCATCTCCGGGAGTCGCTCGGCCTGCGCAGATGGCGGCGAGGGCAGAGACTCAACGACGGAAACCAGAAGAGCCGTCGACAGCGGAAGCCAGGATGCAAAGACGGCGGTCAGAAGAAGCCTGGGGTCACGGGAGCGCATAATGTGCGGTGGAATGTTGAGCCCCAGTGACTTGGTGATCTTTTCCAACAGAACCGGGTCACCCTTTCCGAGGTCACCTCCAACGGTCGCCTGGTAGACGGTCCAGATGGGTTCCAATACCAACTGAACGAACATGGGCTTCAGATTTCTCCCCTTGAGATGCTTCTGGCCGAGGATCTTCTTGGTTTTGGGGTCGAGGTAGAAGCTGCCCCAGAGAACCTTCTCCATAACGTCCCTCTTGATGCCGAGTTTCTTCTGGTAAAGGCCGGCAAACTGTCGTACGGTAAATGCCCAGCCGTCGATGGCGCTGCTGAAGATGACGTTGTTCTTCTCTGGCGCGAAATAGAGGTCCTCGTCATCTCGTTCCTCGAACTGTAACTCACCCGACTCGGTCATCTGCTCGGCGCCAGCTTCCTTCGTCGCCGTGGCCCGGACACGCTCGTCCATCCGCTCTCTCCAGTTGAGGTCCTCCTCCATACGTTCACCCTGGAAGAAGCTGCCCAGAACTGCGTTGACCTGTTCGAGGATTTTGCTCAGATGGGTGTAAGCCTCGCCGGGCGACATCTTGAGCTCGGTCACCAGTCGGTCGATCTTGTTGATGACGAGGAGGGGCTTCAGCTTTTCGGTCCAGGTTTGCCTCAGGACCGTCACGGTCTGACTACACACGCCCTCGACGGCGTCAACCAGGACGACGGCGCCGTCGCACAGACGAGAGGCGGTGGACACCTCGCTGCTGAAGTCGATGTGGCCGGGCGAGTCGATCAGGTTGATGAGGTACTCCTTGGGTTCGGGCTCGGCGTCGGGGGCGGATCTCCTCAGCATGGAGAAGTAGAGGGAGATGGCGGAGGACTCCATGGTGATGCCTCGCAGCTGCTCGTCGGGCCGGGAGTCGAGATATCGGATCTTGCCGGCGAGCTTGGGTGAGATGATGCCGTTTGTCGCCAGGAGGGCGTCTGTGAGTGACGTCTTGCCATGGTCGACGTGAGCCAGAATGCAAATCTAGCGCGGTTTCAGTTATTTGCTCGGAATGAATGCCACGGGGGGGAAGACGTACATTACGGACATCGACCGCATGCCTTTGCAGGCTGGCCAGCTTTTCGGGTGTGACTACGGGCATGATGGGCGGAGTTTAGATGGGTGACGGGAGATGGTGTTGAGGTGGATGTAAAGAGAGGTGTAGAAAGGGGGTATCAAAAGATCTATAGACAGAATGCAATGCGAGGCGGTTGGAATAGTAAGGTAAGTGAGAAGAGCAGTCCGGTATGTATACACCTCTACAGACTGCTGTTCGGCTGGGACGTTAGCAAACCAGGGATGTCGTCCGGGATGGTGGTGAAAATGATGATTCGGCGACTAATCCGTCATAGCCTGTGACTAATAGACCGGCTCCGAGTGAACTTCAGATGAGGTCGAGGATTCTGAAAGAACGCCGTTTATTCGCCACGTTTTCTGCCGAGATTTCTTCTGCAGGGATACGATGACTGACTTCGCAGACGTTCGTGCTGTTGGCTGGAATGAGCCCGGGTGAGTGAAGACAGACAAGTCTTGAGATGAGTGATGTTGTATAGTCTATGTATCTATGCAACTATTTTTTCACGACGCACGTCTTGAGCAAGCGCAGTGAATGAGAATTGCAGGTTGCAATTACCTCAGCGCAGCCCCTCCCTCCAGTCCAGCACCGAACCCCGCAACGACCCCGCCAAAACACTTTGTAGCTGCATTAATCTCGATAAAAGAGCACAGAACAGCTAGCTGCAAATACCACTCTACCGAGGCCTGCGGAGGGCGCGCGTTAGGGTTCACAGCTCGCCAAATTTTCCGCCCAACACTGCTTTGAGGCTATCGCAAGCCCCCTCACCCGCCGTCCGCCCATCCAGAGTGCCTATCCGAGAGGAGAGAAACGCAAAAAATTTCCCACACCCCACACCCCTCCCATCCCTCCTTCAGCCGACGAAGAAGCGATCGCCCCGAAACGACCGCCCTGCCTGCCTACCTGTCCTCAACTCCCGATCTAGTTGACGAGACCTCCTTCCGGCATCCTTTTTTTCTTTCCTCTTCTTATATTTCCGTCCTGCTTGTTTTCTTCTCTGGTGGAACACACCCCCCGGATAAGAAAACTCCCCCACACACCACCGACGAAACATCATGAGCGGCTACCAGAACGGAGAGCGGCCCGTCCGCATGGACGACGACAGCGACGTCGAGGAGGAGGCCCTCGTCAACGACTACAAGGAGCAGGTCCAGTACCAGGACGGCATCGGCGAGGAGCTCGAGCAGGTCAGCCTCGCCCAGCAGACCGACGACATCCAGTCGCGCCTCGCCGCCGCCGCCCAGCCCCTCGACTTCTCCGCCCCCCTCGAGGTCAAGTTCCAGAGCTACGACCAGTACTGCAGCTTGTTCCACTTCATCCTCAACAGCGAGGGTCCCGTCGACCTCGAGCCCCCTTCTGTACGTTGTCGTCTTGTCTGTCGTCATGCTGGCCTCGCGTTCCCAAGAAAGCTAATTGTTCGTTGCGCAATTATATAGTACTACTGGGCCTGGGACGTCATCGATGAGTTCATCTACCAGTTCAACTCCTTCTCCTCCTACCGCATGCGCATCGCCCGCCAGGCCTCCAACGAGGAGGAGATGCAGGTCCTCAAGGAGAACCCCAACACCTGGGGCTGCTACTCGGTCCTCAACGTCCTCTACTCCCTCATCCAGCGCTCCCAGATCACCGAGCAGCTGGCCGCCATGCGCCGCAACGAGGACCCCATGGCCGTCGCCGGCGAGTACGGCACCAAGAACCTCTACCGCATGCTCGGCTACTTCTCCATCATCGGCCTGCTCCGCGTCCACTGCCTCCTCGGCGACTTCAGCCTCGCCCTCAAGACGCTCGACGACATCGAGCTCAACAAGAAGGCCATGTTCGCCCGCGTCATGGCCGCCCACTTCACCACCTACTACTACGTCGGCTTCTCCTACATGATGATGCACCGCTACGCCGACGCCATCCGCATGTTCAGCCACATCCTCGTCTACGTCAGCCGCACCAAGAACTTCCAGAAGAACGCCCAGTACGACTCCATCACAAAGAAGAACGACCAGATGTACGCCCTCATCGCCATCTGCGTCGCCTTCCACCCCACCCGCCTCGACGACACCATCCACTCCGCCCTCCGCGAGAAGTACGGCGACCAGCTCCTCAAGCTCCAGCGCGGCGGGCCCGAGTCCCTCCCCATCTTCGAGGAGCTCTTCCGCGCCGCCTGCCCCAAGTTCATCTCCCCCGTGCCCCCCGACTTCGAGAACCCCGAGTCCAACGTCGACCCCGTCGAGCACCACCTCGCCGTCTTCATGGACGAGGTCAAGACCAACATGTGGAGCCCCACCGTCAAGTCCTACCTCCGCCTCTACACCACCATGGACCTCAACAAGCTCGCCGGCTTCCTCGAGGTCAAGCCCGACGAGCTCCGCTCCTGGCTCCTCGTCAACAAGCAGCGCACCAAGCAGCTGCGCTACACCGAGGGAAGCCTCCTGGACGGTGACCTGGTCAACGTCAGCGACCTCGACTACGCCATGCAGGGTGTACGTTAAACCTCCCTTCTTTCCGCTGCTCAACAATTTCACGCGCACAGAATAAGCTAACACGCTCTCAGGACCTGATTCACATCTCGGAAGCAAAGGTCGGCCGCAAGCTGGTGGACTGGTACCTCCGCAACCTGTCTCGCACGTACGCCTGAGCGACGACCGGAGACCGAAAGCCCTATACAACCAGGTGGCAAGACGGAGATGCGGCGGCAGCCCCCAGATATCCAGGAAGGCGGGGGCGGGCCGCATGGTGAGAAGGGGGGAGGCGGGGATAGTCCTAGTTTTACGCAGTCGTGTTTGTATCTAACCAGATCTGCTGTTTGCGTTCGGGGTTCACAAAAATGACGAAATCTCCTCGTCACTGACGACACTTGTCGTCGAGGCAGACGGGACGAGAGAGATAGAGAGAGGCCGAGAAATAAGTTGCGGGCAAGAGAGAGAGAGAGAGTTCAAAAAAAGAACGAGGAAAGGCCCGGAGGACGGGGACTCCGGGATGCTCGGCATTGTTACGGCGTTCAGGCGTCTTTGCTTCCTGGAACCACTGGGAAACCTGGTTGGGCTGGGCGGGGATGAAAGTGAACTCACAAACACCACGAACGGGAAATAATTAGAATTGAAGAAAAAGTATCGACCACAGTGTCCTCATTTTCGAAGCGATTCATCTCCGGTGCTAAGTATTTGAAGGAACAACACACACGCCGTGTGGAAGCATGAAGTCAACGTGTACGGAGACGAATTTCTGAACAATGATGTCCCGTCAAACCCGTGCTCTGTCGCTCGCTGTACGCGGCTGTCACGGGAATCCCCTCACTCCCCGGTTCCGTAGTCTGTCAACTGTGATCAAAAGGTGCTGAGTGCCTCGCTCCATCACGTCGATGCTCAGGTCAGCCTGTTACCCAAACCACGCAACATGCCCCAGGACTATCGGGCGTAGTTCATACGCATTATGTCTGTAGCAAAGACATCGGAGGGGTATGTAGTTCTGTAGTAACGTGAGATCGCGATGGTTACGACTTGCCCTTTCACCCACCAGGATCCACGCATCACCACCAAAGCTCACGTGACGGCGTCTTCTACGTTTGGTTTTGAGAGCTCGTCTACTGTCTCTCAGTCTGGAAAGTTTGAGGTCAAGGTTATTCGTTCGCTGTTGTCGTAGTACATATATGGCATTGCTGCACTGCGGAATGCGGATTCCGCTTTTGCTGCCACAGCTGTTCAGTCTTTTCATGTCCGTATCGATTGACAGGCTCTAATTCACATTGAATTGAGCCCTCAGCTTCGCAATGAAGCGGGCTTATTATGGCTCTGTAGATAAGGATTACTCGGAAGGCCAGGCTCTTGCTTATAGAGTTCTGATCATGGACATGCCTTCTGTCATGAAGTGTGGCCGAGCTGGCGGAGGAGTCCGTGAAGGAAGAATACCCGGGATGAACAAGAAAAGAGGTGTCCGAGGCGGGGAGCATGACAGAGTGAGGGGCCATCCTTGTCTCACGAAGCGGGAGGTTGAGATCTGACCGTTCAAATTGATGAGATTGTCAGATCCCACAGACGACCAGCCCCTCGTCTCCGCGGTCTCCATGGACGATGGAACGCTTCCCGCAGGCCCGATGGCAGACGCGCAGTGAGGTTGGAGCGGAGCCCGCGGGGGGAGAAGCTTCCAATTCAGGAATTGCGCCCGACCTCTCGCCGCGTCGGCAGACCGGGGAAGTCGTCGGGACGGACGGGCTGGTCCGCAGAGGAAAAACTGGAGTGCTTTTCCCACAACAATCGTCCCTCAGCTCGTTCGAGGCGTGCGGTCGCTTGTGTTCGGCCAACGGTTTAATGCTGAGTAGTGTCTCACGTCGTGCTTCCTAGTTCCTCTAGGTTTCTGCACCTATGTCTTGGCCACGTTGTCGCGAGTCAGATTGAGAGCGTGTGCCTGTCTCGCTTGCTTTGTTAGAGTTGCCAAGAACATGCTTAGGTACTGTAAGAAGTCGAGCAAATAATGCAGATCACGAAGGTGCTTGATGTCGTTTTGCTGGATCAACCTGCAGCCCTCCGCACCACCGACTGGGATGTTGGCCGAGAGGTATGATGGCAGATGCACGGGTTGTCGCTCGGCTATTGTAGGCGCATCGGAGCGCACAGGATTACGTTCTAACTTACGCAAGCGATCGCAGAATCCAGAGATGATGGTGCAGATTTGCACAATTCGTGGACTTGGCCAGCAGCAGGCGCTGACTGTGGGTGGTTGTCGGCTGTAAGTGAGATAGGAAAGCTGCACGACTAACGAATGTGAGAGGCCGAGCCGGATAAGATGGCTTACTGTGTGCCGCACAACAACGTTAAAGATGCATTGGGGCCACTTTGATAGACCTTACACCGCATCCAAGACCATCGCAACTGCCATCCGAAGATGCGACGACGTGGACCACAGCTGGCCCTCCTCGGCTCACAATCGATCTGAGTTGATGTCGAAAATTAGCCGGCTACAAACCGAACCATTATCGCTAGAGACTTGTCGATCGGCGATAACGACAAGCATGGGCGGCTCCCTCGAGTCTGAAGCTTGACCTGAACTAACCAGGTGCAAACTCCCATACCAACGTCGGAATGGATGACATTTGACGGATGACGAGCGAAGACGGGTCCCGGCGCCCCTCGTGGTTCGGACAAGAGATCTGGATGGTCAGTCGATTGGATCCCGATAGGGGACCTTGTTCCGTTTGTTTCGGTGAGACTGCACGGCGCGCGGCACAGGTTGTCTTGACGCGCATTGTCGGTGAAAGGTGGTACAGCAAGGGTGAGGCGTTATCGACGACGATGAACAGAGGGCCGGAACGTCGGGACGGACTTCTGGGCGAAACGGCGGGATGCGAATGGCATCATCATGCCAGAGCTGGTCGTCAAATGGTACGGAATAGCAGAATGAGCGCCGTCATTGTCTCCGTCTTGGCATGGGCTGCCTCTTCGCGCCGCTTGTGTTTGCCGGCTTGGTATCTTGGAAAAAAATGTCCCCTTTGGCTATGAGGGTTTCCCTTCTCGGATCTGTATCGTTGTCTCGTCTGCAGAGCACAGGTGAGCTCTAGCCACCCCCTCCACAAGACCCCAGCACCCAAGACGGCTTCTTGCGACGTTGATGGATGCCGGCCAAGAGATTTGCGCGCCGAACAAGAGGGTAAGGGAGCGAGCCGCCGCGCACCTGGTTCCATCAAGCCCTGCGTGGACTCGGGTCACAGAAGTAAAAAGAAACACGGCGCAGGCCTAGGGAGGCCTTGGCGTTGGGCACGAAGTGTGGATTGGATGGGCCGGCTGGCGAGGTTGGCTAACGGGGCTCATCCAGAGGCATGCCGGCTCATTATCGAGAAAGAAATGAGTAGCAAGGTGCTGGCTCAATTCAGAAGAAGCGGTTTTAGTCGGGGTGCGGACGAGGGCACTACCGTCTACGGATACACCGACACGAGCTTGCGTCGAGATGCAAAGTGGGTTGAAAGTTCCCTCCATCCTGGATCATGGATGCTGGGAGGGATTGGTCGACATGGCCGAGCAGTTTGCCAAGACCTTTAAGGAGGTTGACGAGTGGCCGAGAGGGCGAGAAGAAGAGGTGACTTGTGGTGACTCGTGGTGAGTGTCAAGCAAAGGTTGCAAGAGGGCATCTTGGCTCTCGGAGGGCCGTCTGGGCAGACGTGGGAGTGCGTCGGTCCAATGCCATGTAGAATGTGCTGGTGCAGTGCACATCAGCGACGGTGTTTGGTGTTTGGAGCAAACGGGTGCTGATGTCGATGGTCGATACCCTCAGGGACCCCTGGAAGGAAAAGGCCAAGGGGATCCGCTGGCGGCGATAATCAGCTTGGCGCACCATGCTGCCGCGTGCCGCCGCCCACGTTGGTGGGATTTCTGGGTTTCGGAGGCTTGTGAGACGGGAAATCTGGGAATGTGGTATGATGGTGAGGAGGTTTGGCGTAGATGATGAGCGACAGAGGTGAAGCGTATCGCAGAGGACGACTGACAGCTCAGGTACTTCAGTACCTCGGCGGAGTAAGAGTTGTAAGGTAGGATTCGCCGAAGTGTCTGGTCGAGGTGCAGGCCGGAGCCCTAACGACGTCCGATCGGTATGGTTCACACGTCAGGACATGCGGTAGGTCCTTGACGGAGGAATACTTTGGTGGTGTATCTCATCTCACACCACGCGCGTGCCATGGTGTCATGTCATGTCATTACAGGACATGACAGGGCCGTGACAGCAAAGAGCGGTAGCTCAATACGAACCCAAGGCAACCGGCGGCGGCGTTGGTCGTCCGTCGTTGAGTCGAGTCAGCTTGGGTTCATATCCGTAGAATTGGATTTTTGACTTTGGCGAGAACGAGTAGACAGACGGCAGGCCGTGATCCAGAGGACAGGGATGAGAGAAGGGCGGGTGCTTGGGAACGGGTCCCGAGAAGCTTGAAAAAGAGGCAGATGTGTAATTAGGGCCGTTGGAGGCATCAGAGGCGATGGAGACGACGGGCATGATTGGGCTCGGTACTTGGGGCGGTCTTGGCGAGTTTTGGGTGGTGTTCTCAGGTTATTTTGGGTCGTTGGAGTTGCCTTGGTCTGGTGGGAGCTGCGTCTTAGATGGTGGAGGGATGAGATTTGAGGTTTCTCCGATCGTTGTTTCGTAGAAATGCTGATCTCAAGGAAGAAGAAAAAGAAAAAATCTCTGACTGATGCAATTCACAAAGGCAGTCGCAAAGCAGTTGGTTGTCGTCGGTGTTCCTTCCAGATAGAAGCTGCAACTGGAGAAGATGACACTGGCACTGAGGTGGTGGGCAGCTGGCAGCACCAATACACGTCAGGTGCAGCTGGCGCAGCTGGCGCCCTCGAGTGGTCCTAGCTTCATCCAGCTGCAACTTAATTATCTGCCTTCAGGCTTCAGCTGCCAAACGAAGGTACTTGCTGCTACACCTGTCTTCCACCCAAGAAGAGGTATTCTCATTTCCTCTCTGTCAGGTCTGCTCCTTTCTTCAAATGCGTATCATGTTATTTGAAGAAAGTGCGATTAGCTCCTTGGCAACTTCCTTCACTGCCACGTATTTTATATCTTTTCAACAGGGCCAAAAGTCAAACTCTCACCTCGATTTCGGGCTCTCAGCTCTCATTATTTCTCGTCAGGACTCTCAAGTCGTCCCCCCTGCCTTTCTGCCAGGTTGTACCTCCGTAGTCCGTAGACACCCAGTGCCTGCTTCCCGGGCCCCTCCCCTCCACCTCCTTCCGCCCTCACAGCTCCATCCCTCTCATCAGTCTCGCCCCTTCCCCTTTCAGCACCCTCCACTGTTTGCCTGTGCTGCATGCCGCTTTTCTTCTCTCTGCCCCTCTCCAGCATCCCTCCACCACGCAAACCACCGCAGTACTCTCTCTCTGTATTCGTAGCAATAAACCGAAAAGTGAACGAATACATCTGGGTCGGGGTCTGGGTCTGGCCAGGGCATCTCACCCATAAACCCTTGCGTTGCTGCACCGCTCGCTGCTGGTTGCATTCCGTGCGTCACATTCGAGATGTGCAGTGTGCACCCTTAACTTATTCTTATTCCAAGTCTACAAATGAATACCCTTACCAAGGTTCCCAGCTTCACACATGAAGGCCCCTGTGCTGTGATAGGTAGGGTACTTAGAGGAGAGAACTCCTCCTCCTCCCTTGCATCTTGCTCCTGCTCTTGCTTCCCGTCGCCTTATGCTTTTCTTTTTTCTTCTTAATCATACCCGACGCATGCCCAGACTTTTCCAGCACCGTTCTTGAGCTTCTTCTCTTCTTGATTGTCTTATCCTCTCCCCATTCCGACTCCAAGTACACAAGTATCCCGCGCCAGTCAGTCCTCTCCGCAGCCAAGACCCTGGACTCTGTCTCCGGCGCATTTACATCACGAATTCGTACTCGAACACAAGGTACCCTTCGCAGCATTCCTCCGCCAGCGGTACCTCGATCCATCAACCCCGGCTCACCTCAGCTCTGTCCGGCGCAACATCGCAGCAGCTCCCATCCCAGTCGGCGACCGTCCAGAGTCCAGAGACGTCACCTGCTCACCGACCCGGCCTGCCGCCAGAAACTCAGAACTGCCTCTCCTCTGGTACCTCGACCAGAGCAGTCTCCAGACAGGACCCTACCTCTGAGGTCTCTGAGGTCGCGCTACCACGCCACACCCCGTCTGTTTAGACCGTACCGTCGTCGCCAATATCGACTACAACACCATATTCGGAGCTTTCTGTGCCTTGTGAGGCCCCGCCAGCCTTGGCATAACCGCCTCCCAGTCTCAGACACCCTGAACCGCTTCCATACAAGAAGCAGGCCCTCCTCGACACGGACCATCCCACGATCCCACGCGCTCACGATCCTCAACACCGTCGCCTTTGCTGAATCATCGTCACCGAGTGTCGTTCTCGAAATAACCTTCTTCGACCAGCCTTACTACCCATAAGGTTTCCAGCACGCGTCTAGGAAGCAGCCGACAAAGTTTACCTGAATCAGCATCATCCGTGCCGCCAACCAGCAGCAACCACAACTACCGCCTCAACCCATACCGTCGTACGAAGCACCCGGCCTGGCTACGTCTATCGGCACCTTACCAGGCCACCCAACGAGAGGACGCTTTGACCGTTGCCATACGATTTCACAAGCTTCAGGCTTCCGTCGACAGACGCCTCTTCAGCTTTAGACCGTGTTGTCAGTTCACCATCAACCACCTGCGCAGCCAAAATACCATTGGAGCGTGGTGTTTTCTCTTGAGCCCCAACAACACACCTCGTCTTGCGACGCTAGCCTTCGTTTGTGAGGAAAGCAGCAAACCTGCAGACCCGCAACTTTGCGCCGACGAGGCTGGCCGCAACTTGCTTCGCCCAGTACCCATGCTGACCTGGTTTTTACAGCTGTTGTGAAGCCTTCCGATGAGGCCTTCAGAAAACTGGCGCAGTGTGTTTCTGCTTCCACAAAGCACCAAAAAGAAGAACAAGAAGAGCACCAAAGACAGCCCATCGCCGCCGCCGCTGCCGCAGAAGGCGTCCGTAACAAAACCTCCGCGTACACAGCAACAACAGACTCAGATTCCTCGACGGCACACAATGCCGGAGCCTAGCCCTCACATCACGCTCCCCGTCCAGAGCCCCGACTCCGACGTCTCGCCCAAGACAGCACTGCAGCCCAAAGACAAGGGGAAATCGGATTACTTCTCCATCGAATCGCAAAAGAAAGAGGAGGAAAAGAAGGGCGCAGATGCGGGACAGTTGAGTCGCGCCACGACGCTTTCGAGTCTCGCGAGTCCGTCGCTCGATAGTACGAAAGAGAATTCCTCCGCCGACTCGTCTCGGACGGAATCGTTTGCAGCACGGCATAGAGGGTCGTCGATATCGTCGTTGACGTTCGCACCGGTTCGGAATCCGTCGTTGCCGCAGGGAAACCAGAAGCAGACCGGCAAGGAGCGCATCAGGGCGTCATCACCACCACCGGAAAGGTAAGCGCATTACTCTCCTTCATTGTCAGTCTATCGACTCTTTCCCGGTACATGATTATTCCGGACGTCAATTCGAGAGGCCCAAAGTTGGGGCACCCGAATGGATTTATACCCTACCGCACGAGATTTTCCGGCAAACTCGGATGCACCAGCTGCAGTGTGGCTCGGGAAGGGGTCTAGCTCGCGTGCTTATGTGCTTCACCTGCCTTGTCTGTTCACATACACCTCACCCCGTCTCGCGGTTTCCAGTCGTTTGAAAACGTGGAGGGAGCCCCCAATGATATGCGACTTTTCAGCGACTACCTCTGCAGTGCGATTCGCCCAGGGCCTCCCAAACGAAAAACGATGAATGAGGATGAGACGGGAGGGGAGCTAGCAACCTGAGCCGGATGCCGCCGATTACCCGTATCCACTTGACGATCTCCCACAGCAGACGGAGCTGCTGCCGGGTTGCGCCTGATGCGGGGAGACTGCCACAACCACTGCGTCGCCGCTTGATTGCTCCAGGTCCTGCGCAACACGCGGGATGCGAGCAACCTGGAAGTCCCTGATTCTGCGACTCAGAGGGTGGGTGGGCTGTCAACCTTGGTAATGGCGGCGTCATTCGATACCTAGCGACATACCCTTTTCTTCAGCGAACAAGCATCAACCGAGTTGCGTTTGTCGTTGCCAGGCACAAGTCAACAACAAGTCGCCATTGTATCGGACGACAAACAAAACAACTCCGGACGAGGGCATTATTTACCCAAACACCAACCACGCATTCGAATTCTCCTTCGAACGCATCAGCTTCCAGCACGTTGCATGCTTCCATCATCATCACACGACACAGCGCAACCCGGTCAGACACAGAATCCGCTATAATTCGCCAGGGGCGTCAATTGTCTACCCCACTGGACCACCCCGCTGCATGCACCTGTGCTGTGCCTGTGCCTCTTCGTTTACCGTTCCAAGCCCAACCTGGAAAACCACATAGGATCCAACAAGATGGCACCCGTAGCGTTCGCCCACAGCCACCCTTAGCCTGAAGACTGGACCTGGACCGCACCTTGAGGCCTGGAGAAGCGGGGGTTTCCTGCCGCTGATGAAAGAAAGACGCTCTGCTGGCCGCTGCCCGCTGTCGCAATTCCACCCCACCAACCTTCCGTTTTCCTGTCTTTGGGCTGCCTCATGCGCCATCTTACCAAACCCATCTACCTCACTTCCTTTTGACCACCCCTGGCCAGTTGCCTCGTCTATCTGCACTCTCCTCAACTCTTTTGCTTCTTCCACACGTATTCCTGTGTTTTGACCCATCTGTTTACGGGCTCTGGCTTTGAAGCAGACATCATTACTTAATGGCAACGCTAACTGAACCCCCCGCGGCCGACAGGTTCCAGACACATGTGGCCTTCGACAACCTACCGATTGGCGAGGCGACTAAGAACAACACGCCTTCGCTGACGTTGAACGTCAAGCATAAGGGCTACCAGGCACAGAGGAGATCGCGCACATTTATGGTCGGCGTCGACGAGCACGCCTATTCCGATTATGCGTTGCAATGGCTGCTCGACGAGCTTGTCGATGATGGCGACGAGATAGTGTGCGTGCGCGTCATCGAAAAGGAAGTGCGCACCAACGATAAGGCGGCGGTTAAGGCATATCGAGATGAAGCCGAGAGTGTCATGAACTCCATTCTCAAGCGCAATGGCGCCAACCGCGCCATCAGCGTTGTGCTGGAGTACGCCAGCGGCAAGCTGCACTCGACCTTTCAAAAACTGGTAAGTGACCTGGGCGCTTTTCGGATACCGAGTAGCAGCGGAGAACTGACGCCTGTCGCAACGCAGATCCAAATGTACCAACCCGCCATGCTCATCGTGGGCACCCGCGGCCGATCACTCGGCGGCCTGCAAGGCCTCGTCAACACCCGCAACTCGTTCTCCAAATACTGTTTGCAGTACTCGCCGGTCCCGGTGGTCGTCGTGCGCCCTACCGAGAAGCGAGAGAAGAAGAAGAATAAGAGAAAGAACGACTCTGAACGGCAGACATACGTCAGGATGCTGTCCGCAACTGGGGGCAAACACGAGGCCGACAGCGAGCGCAGCAGTATGTACGAGGTGGAAGTCAGAAACACCGCGGATGAGGAGGCGCATCAAGTGGCCAAGGCGCTGGGACTGCCGGCTGCCTTCGACCCCACGATCAAGCCTGTGGATCTGAACTCGTTCTTGCAGCCGAGAGGCTACAGCTTGTCTCAGACCACATCTGTGGCGTCTGGCAAGGCGCCTCCCAGTACGGCCGGCGATAGCGACGATGATGACGACGATGACGAGGACGAATTTGAGGTCATCCCTGGAGATCAGCTCATCAACACAAACCAGAAGGAGAAGCTCCATAAGATGGAGGTGGGCGAGGCTGCCGCCCTGTTGCAGCAGAACCGAAAGGACAGTCTGGATTCCTCCGGCAATGTGGATGATGAGGAAGATGACGAGTCGAAAGAGTCACGAACCAGCAGCGCGAGCTGAAGTTTCGTGGGGTAAACATGAAAGGCAGACTTAGGCACTTTGGAGCTGAAGAGGCCCAAAAGCCGGAGTAATACATCATACTTGGGACGGCGTTTTGGTTGCCATCGTGGGCAAGAAGATATCATTGCTAGGAGGATGTTTGTAGGGCCACGGGCATGCACCCGAGTTGACCCAGTTTCCCAGCATCAGGTAGTTGTACTCTCAGCCATGAGGCCCACGGGTTGATACCCAATAAAAGACGGAAATGCATTACGGATCTTAGTCTCATGATGTTCTAATGCGTGTGACATTGAAGTCATATTCACAAATACGCGAGATACAGTTTTCCTCTAAGTGAGTGAGTCTTTCCGAACAGACCATTGGCCCCTCGTCACTGCGTAAGAGTTCAATCTTCCAGCGAAAGTCAAATGGAATCATGTGAAACAGTGACATCCAGCGGGGCAGAGATGTGGCTCGATTCAGACTTGCACCCGCATGTGGCTGAAGCTCCAACTGAGGCCAGGTCAGCAGTGGCTGGAGCGCACTCCGACACGGCGTGACGAGTCCCTCCCATCCCCGTCCCGTCTGCGCATCAGCTCCCGTCGCAGCTGCTGCGTTTGTCCGAACAGATCGACCACGTAAGGTACCAAAACGATGTCGATCCCAGCCTTGCGAATCCCGCGTTGACGCTCCCTACAACACAAACAAAGAAGTCCTTTCTCTACGCGGCGCGAGACCTAGGATGCGGCCATCGTCAATCGATTGTCTTGCTCAAAACCACATGCGAACCACCGCCGCCAAAAGACACCTGACCCCTGCGAATCGAACGAAAGACGACCACAGACGTCGCCCCGCCTGCCCCAGATGCCCTGGTTCAAGGGCTCCTCTTGCGACGAAGACGCCTGCGCAGCCGTCGACCCCAACGCGCCCTCCACGCTCGGCCTCCTGCTCGCCCTCTCGCCCTTCATCATCACCTTCGCCGTCGCCGCCGCCGTCGCGGACCGGAACATCTTCCCCAAGCTCGCCCGGGTCCACGATGCGCACGACGGCGAGGAGCACTACCTGCCGTCGCACGCCCCGCCGAGCCTGAGGCAGGCGCACGCCGAGCACGGCCAGAAGAGCCCGCGGCGGAGGGTCGCGGCCGCCGTCTTCTGCGTCACGGTCGCGCTGGCGACGGTCCTGGGGGAGCTGATACTCTGCGAGGTCTCGGACGTCGTGGGCGCCAGGGCGAGGGAGGCCGCGCTGCGGTTCACCGTCCCGACGCTGCTCGTGCTGCTCGTCGGCGTCATCCCGTTCCTGGAGATACAGAGCGTCGTCTCGGGCACGTTCGGCTGGAGGTTCCAGCGCAACAGCAAGGGCAGGATACCGCGGTTCGCGTGGGGCGTGCAGATGTGCGCCTTCGCCGGGTGGCTGTTTGCGTTTTGGAGCCTGGGGGGCATGGTCGGGCTCGACAAGACGAAGACCGCCGGCGGAGGCGTGCTGAGGGCCTGTCTGGAGCGGATCGGCGTCATTGGGATATCGCTGATGGCCATGCTGAGCGGTTTCGCCGCCGTCTCGACCCCGTGGCACACCCTCGGCGCCGTCTCTGAGAGGAGGAAACGCCCCGTCACGGAGACGGACATCGCGAGGAAGCAGGCCGGCTTGGACGCCACGAACGAGATGCTGCTCACCAAGAGGCACCGTCTGCAGGCGCTGGAGAGGAAGGCGAGCGAGGCGCAGGCCGCGGCGTCGTCGAGCTCGGGGGGCTTCATGGGCAAGATGCTCGGTGCGGTCAGGGGCATGGGAGGCGACGAGGCGGAGATGAAGGCCCTGAGGCTGGAGATCGCGGGGCTGGAGACGATGGAGGCCAACCTCGAGGCGAGCGTGGGCATGATGAGGAACCGGCGCGACGCCGACGCCAGGGCCGCCACGACGCTGGGCAAGGTCCTCGCCGTGCCGCACTACGTCTTCAGCCTGTACTGCCTCTACCGCATCCTGGCCACCACCCTCGCGACGCTCAGGAGGGCGTACTACCCCGCGGCCAGCTTCAGCTCCTCGGACCCGATCAACAGGTTCCTGGGCCTCCTGGCGCGGCACTGGGACCCGAAGCTCGACCAGATCGCCTGGGCGCGCCAGATCAGCTTCCTGCTGTCGGGCGTCATCCTCGCCGCCAGCGCCAACAGCGTCCTGCAGACCTTCCACCTCTTCTCCAAGTGGATGCCGGGCCTGCTGTACCAGGCGCAGGCGAACCTCGCGCTGGTGATCGGGCAGGTCGCCGCCGTCTACGTCATCAGCGCCGCGCTGCTGCTGCGGAGCAACCTGCCGAGGGAGATGGGCAGCGCGGTGGGCGACGCGCTCGAGGGCGCGCTGGAGCCGCGGTTCGTGGACTGGTGGTTCGAGGGGTGGTTCCTGGGCAGCTGCGCCGTCACGGGCGTCGGCGTGTGGATCTCGAGGAAGATCGGGAGGGACGAGTGGGACGATTTCGGGGCCGAGGAGATGGGGCCGAAGAGGATGTAGAACACATGGTGCATTTGCTGAGAGCCGGTAGACACGTTTCTGATACGGACGCATTTGCGAATAATGGGAGTTGGGCGTGTATTATTAGCGACTAGGGATATCACGGGACCTTGTAAAGTATCGATGAAGATTACTACGATTCTATTTCTCACACAATATTCACACACACACACTCACACCGTCACAAACAGACATCACATCCACCAACTCAACAACCCCATCCCTCTCCCTCTCCCTGTCCCCTCCTCCTCCTCCTTCCCCATATCCCTCCTCCAAGCCCTCTTCACCTCCTCCAACATGCCCTCCCTCGTAAACACATCCACCGCCACCCCGGCCAGCGCCGTGCCCACCTTGAGCGCGATCTCATACGCCTCCCTCGTCCCCGCCGCCTCCGCGAACTCGGGGTTATGCGGCCCCTGCCCGCCCTTCCCCGCCGGGATCGCGAACCCGGAACTCAGGCTCGGCATCGCGTAGCTGATGTCCCCCTGGTCCGTGCTCGCCATCGTCCGGCCCCGGATCTCGTCCACGTCCTCGTCGACGGGGATCTTTCCACCACCGTCCCGGCCCGAGAGGACGTTCCAGTACGAGGTATAGCTCCGTCCCAGGACGCGGTTGGGGACGTGATTCTTATACGCCCCCGTCTGCGTGATTTCGAGCTCCGCACCAGTCGCCTCCGCCCCCGCGCGGAAACACGCCTCGACTTTCTTCCTCAGCTCGGCCAGCCTCGGCTGCGTCTCCGACCTGATCACGAAATCCCCCGCCGCGTACGCGTGGATGATATTCGGCCTGGCCCCGCCGTGCGTGATATTCCCCTGAATCACGTCCCCCGGCATGGTCTGCTGCCGCAGCACGGCGAGCGCGTTGTACGCCACCACAAGCGCGTCGAGGGCGTTGATGCCCAGCCACGGGTTCGCGGCGGCGTGGGCCTCGCGGCCGCGGTAGGCGGCGGTGAAGGAGGCGTAGGCGGAGGTGCGCATGAGGGAGGTGTCGGCGACGATGCCCGGGTGGGAGATGAGGTTGAGGTCGACGGCGTGGTCGGCGTAGGCGCCGGCCTCGAGGAGGCGGATCTTGCCGCCGCCGCCTTCTTCGGCGGGGGTGCCGTAGAGGACGAGTTTGCCGCCCGGGAGGGAGGGGTGGGCGGAGAGGTGGAGGGATGTGGCGAGGGCGGCGGCGACGGAGGCGGTTGCGATTAGGTTGTGGCCGCATGCGTGGCCTATTCCGGGGAGGCAGTCTGGGAGGGTGTTAGTTTTTGAAGTATTGGAAGGATTGGCTTTGTGAGAGGGAAAGTGAAGATTTACTCACCCATCTCGGCGTTAAACGACACGACGGGCCCCTTGCGCCCCGTGTCGTAGACGGCGACCCAGGCCGTCTCCATGCCGTAGGCGGAGGGCGTGACGGACCAGCCGGGGCGGGAGCGCATGAAGGAGGTGAGGGCGTCGTGGGCGATGTGTTCGTGGTAGCCGAGTTCCGGGTTGTCGTGGATCTTCTTGTTGACGGGCCAGAGGTCCTCTGCGAAGGAGGAGACTAGGCGGGAGATTTCGTCGATGGTGGTTGATGATGATGGTGGTGAGTTGTTGGGGGATTGTGTTTGGATTTGGGATGGGGTGGTGTTGGCGCAGTCTGTGTGGGAGATGAGGACGAAGTCATCGTCCTCGTCGTCGGAGAAGGAAGGGTGGTTCATTTTGAGATGGGCGCGGTTTCGATGGGAGTCTGAGGGGGCCATGGTTGGGTTGATGCGTATGATGTGAAATGCAGATGAAGTTGTGAGTGAATGAGTGAGTGAGTGCGTGAATGAGGTTGTGTCGCGACGTGGATGAGAAGGTTGGTGGGACTCGCGATACGGGTTGCCGAGCGGAGGGGCTCCGACGCCGGCCGTTATCTGCCCGGGGTGCCGGGGTTGCGGCTTGCGATTCCAGTTGCCTTTTCGGGTTAGCCTCCTCGCTGTTTTTGAAAGTGATGAATCGGACCATTTGGCGTTCGATTGTTGTGCATCTGTCCTCGTATGAGATAATTCGCGAAGTAGTTTACAAGTTTTGGCACCGACAGGATTGATGTCTCTCACTGAAGATGACAATAAGCAACCTTCTTATCTCGTATGACAAGATCGATGTGTGGTGAACGCTCATCAAGCCACTCAGCTCCGGCAACCCGGCTCGGTTCCTTCTTTAGTCGCATTCGGGAATAGGGTGTAAATTTCTCATCAAGTAACAAAATGCACCGAGGCCATGACATGAGCCGCGTCTGCCGATTTTGTTCTACGGATTTGCTACCTTACTCTGGGTACGTCTGCCGTCTTGGAAATCCTCGTGTCCCGGCAATGTCATGCGGCTGAGGGAGTTTGGATCCGCTTCTAATGCGCTTCTCTCCCAATGATTGGGAGACAATGTATGTCCCAATGAGGAAAGTATAGGTACCCGCGTAGATTTTGAAAAAGAACCAACCGAGACATCGCGGGGGACCGGTGCTTGGCGGGCTTTTTTGTTATTAAAATGACGACGAGGAGTCGTTATTTCGGGAGTTTTGTTGAAGAAAGTCTACAGATCTGGACTTGTACAGCTTTTTGGTTGTTCTTTTCTCCTTTAATTTTCTTAACAAAAAACACGAAATTACACTTGTCAGTAGTCCCCAAGTGTCTCCCGTTCTACTACCAGGAAGGATGCAGATCTTGGGGACGGTACTGCGGAACCTGGCGCGGATGGAGACGAAGCCGTATCCTCTGGACCTCGTACAAGGCCTCGATAAGTAAGTTCGCCTTCTTTCGAGTTGTCTGGCTTACCACTGCTTTCTTAACTCCGCATCATCGCTTCTCACGAGTCACCACAAGTCATAGTCATGTGAAGAAAAGGGCAATCCGTCGACAACCTACCTGATGCTGCCAAGACCTTGACCTGCGTTTACGAAAGAGCCGCAACATCCCCCACTGACAACAGCCCAGGTACTTCGACAGCCCGGAATACTCCGACGTCACGATCCGGTGCCGCGCGCGCGACTTCTACGCCCACCGCGTCGTCCTCGCCAGCCAGTCCGCCTACTTCGCCGACGCCTTCCCGGACGACGACGGCGACGTCGACCCGGCCGCCCTGCTGCTCTCCGACTCCAGCACGGTCCTGGGCAACGCGGGCGCCGCCTCCGTCGTCGCCGCGCAGCAGCAGCGGCGGCAGGTCCTGGACCTGCACGACGAGGACCCGCGCGTCGTGGAGGGCGTGCTGTGTTTCATGTACCACGCCGACTACCGGGACTCGTCGTCGTCGTCACCGGAGGACGCCGCCGTCGTCTTCAACCTCCGCATGTGCGCCGCGGCGGACCGGTTCGCGGTGTCGTGTCTGAAGAGGTGTGCGGTGGAGAAGCTGCGGGCCGCGGCCGAGCGGTTCTGGGACGCGGAGGGGTTCGTGAGGGGGCTGGAGGAGGCGTATGAGGTGGGTTCCGGGGTTGATGGCGAGACGAGAGGGGTTCTGGTTGCTGTTGCGGCGGCGCATGCTGGTGAGCTTGTTGGCGTGAGAGGGGTTCGGGAGTTGTTGGATCGCAGTGTGTTGTTTAGCGCCGAGTTTGCGGAGGCTTCTGTGAAGAGGGAGGGGAGGGATAGTGTCGAGACGGGGTGTTTGGGTTGTGGGATGGCCGGGGATCGGTGTAGATGTGCGAGTCTTTGGACGAGCTAGTGAAGTTCTGTTCATCTCAAATGAATCACCATTCAAAAGTAGTGATGAATCGGGCGTGTAGCAGGTCTTGCCCCCTCCGACCTTGAGAGTGAGGCCATTCAAGCAAGCACGCCACCACGCACGCCATGAAGCTTATCAGGACAGAGTTTTATTCTTTCAGAATATTGAATGTTAAATGTGTACTCGTTGGGTATGGCGAGATATCTATGACTAGATTATAAGGGTGGCTGCATTGTATTGCGCGGCGTATTGCATTTGTTCATTTGTCGGGCGTGTAGCGATGCAGTCTGGAAACCGTGTCAAGGATGCTTCTTAGGGCATCTTGTCGGAAATCGCGCCATACCTAGCCACATTCATTATTTAAATATCTCGAAATGTTCCCTTAACTTCCAGGTTTTCAGTAAACGACGATATTTTGAACGAGGTAAGAAATGAAAGCGGAGCACCGGATTGCGCAGCGGCGTTTTGCGCGGCGGCGTAAAACTACCCATGTGAAATATTGGGTCCATGATGGCTGGACCTATCACAAACTTCACAAACGATTGAAGAATGTTAGGCTTCAAAACCTCACTCTAACTTACTCATGTTCCATGTGCTACTCATAATGGTTGGAGAGGGGCACATCGCCAGATTGCTTTTTGCTGTTGAAAATATGTATCGTTCGCGCGTGGAAACACGTACTTGTAAGTGGATTTGCGAATCGCAGCATTCCACCTGGAGTGAGGGGTGGCTCCGAGTAAATGCTTTGGATCACCCTCCCCGCTTCCATTGCGACGATGTTTCCTCCGATATCGTGTATATATATAATGCCCTCTCATCCGTGATGCGATATTTCTTCCCCTACCCGGCCAATATCCTTGATTTTGAATCGACCGCACTCCCACTTAGATGGTCTTTGCGTCAAGGGCGCCATCATGGCCAGTATCAGAAAACGGCCTGAACCTCCCGTTCTGAGTCGAGATGGTTTCCAGATCATCGGCGACACGATTACAGTGCAAGGCGATGAACGAATGTCGTGCTTGAAACTGAAGAAGGTACTAAGAGTGCCCAGATGATAGTTCAACACAACGAGACAAGGAGGCATATCTCTGACGCCAAATTCGTAGGCTCTCACCCACGACCAAACGAAAGGCTTCTACGTCGCTCAGCTCCGGCATTACGGCATAAGCTTTCCGCCATCCGCCAGCAAGGCCCGCGTCAAGAACACCTTGATAGAAGCGGTGCGCGAAGGAAAGGTGAGCCTCCGTTATCTGGCAACCGCTCGTGCGCTCACTCACCTCGTACCATCAAGTGCGACAAGGTTCCAGACGCCGTCCTTCGGGTGCAAGATGTCCTGCGCCGCGAGTACGAGGCCTTGAGCAAGCAATGGAAGATCGATTGCAAGGCATGGGAGAAGGCCCGGGACAAAACGAAACGAGAAGACGAAGCGTTCCTCAACTGCAAGACGCCCGGAGAGAAGGCGAATTACGACCTCGGGAGATTCATGGAGCTCTACTTCCTCACCAACGGCAAGCCCGACGAGGAAAAGACGCCTGGCCCCATAGCGCTCTACGACTTGAAGGACGCCAAGAAGGTCGAAGGCCTGGCTAAGCGCGTCCCGGGCCTGCAGACTGTGACGTGCCCCGGGCGCGACGAGAAACGGGTGACGTGCATCGGGTGGGACAAGTTTCTGCTGTCGAATCTCAACTACGACATTGTCAAGGACGCCTACGAGCACGAGAAGCAAAAGATTGACGATCCCTGCGGAGCGGCCATGCGGGAGCACAGAGAGTACGTCGCGGAGAAACGGGAACACGAGTCGTTGACGGACCAAAAGAAGCCTGGGACCTCTTTTGACGTCGAGAGATGCAAAGGATCTTACTTCGTTCAGTGCAAGGCGGTGATGAACGGCTATGACGTTTCACCGAAACACGTCCTGACGATGGATGTCAAGATCGGCAAGGACGGTTTGCTGCTGGCCGCCTACGATTTCGGCATGATCGAAGGAACCATGCTTCTGAGCGCATCCGAGGAGAAGCTGGACTCTTTGGTACAGATGGATTGCGACGAAGACTCAGAGCGGCGCAACGATGATGAGGAAGACGACTATGGCGCGGACGATCCGGGGGACGACGGGTGGAAACCGGGCCAGAAGACCCTGAAGAACACGGCAGCCTCACGGAAGCGACCGGCAAGCGCTTCTTCAGGCAAGGGAGTGACAAAGAAAAAGAAACGAATGCTGCCGTCGCTCTCTCGCCGAGTGTATTTCCGACTCCGGGGTCGGGAAACTGGGGAGGGTGACATCCATGATACGCCGGAGCCAGGGCACCTAGACTTTCTGGACAGCGATTGCTCACAGTTCATGGGACTGGCGTATGAGTTTCCCTACATTGGAAAGAATGTCGAGTTCAAGGGTTATAAAGTGTCGGATTCGCCGCGCAAGAAGCATGAACCGTGGAGCAACTTTTCGTCTCAGGCATGGGGGTATGCAAAAGCTGCCAGATGGTGATGGACTGAGTGGCTGGATTTTCCATGCAATTTGCTTCAGTGCTGAAATGTAGTTTCTTTACCCTGAATGGCCCCCTTGGCTCAGGCAAGAGAAGACGAATGAAGTAGAAAGTTGAAATGCGTCCTGAAAGCTGAGTTCGTGTGCCCGAGGGAGACCTTGCATTATTTCATACTCAAACGGGATAGCCTAACGGTCGCAAGACAGCATAGATCTCTTCCACTGTCGCCGGAGAAGTCTTAGGCTCCTCTGAACCACCAGCAGCCGGATCTCCATCACGGGACTCCTCCGGAGGCATCTGCCAATATTGCAACCTATCGTCTTCTCCATCATCTACTGCGAAGACATCCCCGCCGAGCCGTCTCGCGAAGCGGTTGATGCCATTGATCGACGGAATCGGTATCGGAGACGACAACACCCGCTCCCCAGACTTGTCCCACCAAAGAGGCACGCATTCTTTCCGCACGGGAACATGGACCGTCCCACCCCTGCGCCTTTCGTATCCGACTGCTCGGGGCAAAGAGTCGCCGACGAACATCTCCTCCAGGAGCTGCCAGATCCGACGGCGATTGTGCAACCCGGCGGGAACGTTAGCGAGATCCGTATGGTAACCGGTGCAGACCGTGTTGTACGTCCTCTTCTCGCTGAGAACACGTGAGGGTACGATAGGACGCGTGCCCCCGGGGAACTCTGGCCGGACTCCGTAGTCGACTCCGCGGGTGAGCTGGCGGACCAGTAGCTCCCAGTCCCACTCGAACCCGGCGCCGCCGGGGCACAGCTCGGCGTCCTTGGCGTCGATCGCGTCGACGTCGATGTCCCATAGCCAGGGCAGAAATCCGCGAGAGCCTGCCTTGAGCTGGTCTTTCCATATGCTCTGAGAAGCCAGGTGCGTTGAGGCGCGTGGGAGTTCTTTGCATCCCATCTCGTAGAAAATGGCGTTCACGATCTCTCTCGGTAGCTTGTCGATGTTTGCGGCTATCTTCCTAGACTCGCCCGTGAGAGCTGTGCGTTGTCGACAGGGTTGGAGGTTTTTGAGGAGACACGTCGTCAGGTCGTCAATTTCCAGAGGATTTTGTGCAAGCGCCTGTGGCTCATGAGTCCTAAGTCCTGAGGGGATATTACGAAGTCGGGACTTACATGGAACAGGTTTTCTCTCGCGGTTGGATGAGGACCGGACCAGTCCATGCCGTGATACTTCTCGGTATTCCACCGCCGATGTGGCAGGTAGAATCCGTGGCTCACGAGCATGTAGTTCACTTCCGGATACCCATTACCCCACAACAAGTTGCACTTGGCCGAGATCCCATCCCTCCAGCGAAGGGCCAGGAAGAGTCCCCGCATGCTCTTGATGTGTGCGATCCGAGAGGACGCGGCCACCCTTCTGGCCATCTCCAGGCATGCCGCGTGGACGGGGATGTAAACCCGCTCGTCATCGGTTTCGCGCTCTCTGTAGTTCAAGTTGACACTAAAGCCTTCAGGCGTCACCCGCTCCAAGGAACCGTCGATGTAGTAGTTGGCCTCGTGCACCTCGATGTCGGAGGCTTGGCATCTGGGTCGAATAGTGTCCGGGATCTGTCGATGGTCCGGTGGCGTGATGAGTTGTGGCATGTTTTGGTACGTGAAATCGGGAAGAAGCTGGCCGAATTCGTCGTCTGGGTCGCAAAGCAGGAGGACGTTACTACACCACTCTATTTCCACGTTGACCTCGTCCCCTATGTCGCCAGGAAGCGAAAAATACCAATGCTCGCTGTGCTGGCATTTCAAACCGCAGATTTGGCAGGGGTAATTTGTGTCATCTTCCTCTCGAGGCGGTCTGCGCATGGTTACGGTTATCAGGTAACGATTTCGACGCAACTAGGTTCATGAAGTAGGGCAGTAGGAAAGAGCCTTCAAAGAAAGACAAGGGGAAATTCAAACGGCTAGCGCTTTACCACTCCTGAGTCTGTCACGTGTGTATAGTGGAAGCAAGGAACACGGAAACATGAGAAGTAAAGGAGAACGACCGCGAGAATTGGAGGCAACAGTACCACACCTAAATAACATTCCATTTGAAGTAGTATGAGTCATAGAATAGCAAGACAGGCTTGGTTAAGTGATCTGCAGTTGGTGCCTAAAGTGAACGAGAGGCACAGCTGGATAAATTGCGCAGTCCAGTGCTTGGGGAGAATGAGGGGTTATTCGTAACTGAGATATACGTATCATCAGGGTGAAACTAATCAACCTGTGGTATCAGGCAAGGTGAAAAAGAATAATGCACTCCTACACTAGAACTAATATATTCCATGTCGTAAATTCGTTGCCATTCCTTATTCTTTATTCTTTTCAAACCCGGAGAAAGAGGTAAAAATGATCCCAGCTTGGGTCTGGGGCTTCGACAACATTTCATTGTAAGCCTTCGACTGTCTTTATCATCTATTGACCCAAGTCGAACATTTAGGCCCACCAAATCCTCTTCCACGACCTAGGGAAGTAGTAAGTTGACTGTCTGATGAATCCACGCAATCTCAGATGAGTCTTCGAATCATATCACAACCGTCCAACCGAGAACTTCGTTCTCTCGCAATATGTTGTTATGCTGGGTCCTTGGGCTCCAATGTTTGGTCCGTTTGTGTTGAAGTTGCTGCAACGTAGAAGTCGAGGATAAATGCATCGAGTATGGCTATATCCTCCAATGAGCGAACAGGTATGGGTTGCAACACACATGAAGTTATTGTAGCATGCACTCTCGCTAAGCGAGTCAGAGCTGACTTTCCATAGACGCGATCATCGACATGTGACATGTACAATGAACCAGACCAGCTACTAGTTGCTGCTTGGCGATGACATGCGATTGGCTCGTTAAGCCAGATGCCGATGCTGCAAGATAGAATGACTGCGGACAGTCAGATATTTCCTTGTCACCATGCGCGACAATCAAGCGACACCCCATTATCGCTTATCTGGACACATTGATTTTAAAAGCCAGGTTATGCTCTTCCAACATGCAGTCCTCATCTCTTTGTAAATTGTGCTCTTCAGATTCTTCCACTTCTATCAGAACTTCATCCATCTCATTTCATCGAGATCCAATACTTGCGCCATGTCCTTTCTCTTCGTGGGAGAGAAAACTCCCATGATCAACTCATATGGCTACAAATTCCGTCAAACGCCGCTCCATATGTCACCGGAGCAGCTCGATCCGTTGAAGCACAAATTCGACGAAGTCGGTTCTGAAGCGCTTGCGGCCTTGGATGCCAAGTTTCCTCCTCCACCACCCCGTGCCGGGTGGTATGCCAAAGGGAAGCAAGAAGACCCCCAGCCCGATCGAGATACTTACGCTTTGCTTCGCGACAACAACGACAAGGACACGAGAATGCAGGATCTGTGGAATGAGATCAACACCGTTCCCGAATGGGTTGATTGGGATCAGATCCGACGCGGTCAAGACGTCTTCTACCGCTATGCACCCGCTGCTGTTGCTGGTTTCGCTTTCCAGGGTCTGCTTGCAACCACTGTGAGTATTCTCTCTTACTGTAACCGTGTAGATGGTATATGACCCATTTCTGACCAACCTGTAATTCTGTACAGGGAGCATCGTATCGGCCGGCTGAGACTTTGGTTCGCACGGGAGGGCATTCCGCCAAAGTTGCAAAGAACCGCCTCTTCGAGACCTTCCAGCTCATTCTCCAGGTTACTAAATCCCTCGATGACATAAAACCTGGAGGTGAGGGCTTCGCATCGGCTGTGCGAGTGCGGCTTTTACACGCCTCCGTCCGCAACCGCATTCTCAAGCTGAACGCTCAGCGACCGGGATATTTCGACGTCGCCAAGTACGGCGTCCCCATCAACGAGCTTGACTCAATGCAGTCCGTCTCCGCCTTCTCAACGAACCTCGTCTGGCTCGCCCTGCCTCGTCAAGGCATTTATGTCCGGCACCAGGAGGCTCTTGACTACCTCGCGCTGTGGCGATGGGTTGGGTACGTTCTCGGAACACCGCATTGGGTTCTGGAGACACCCGAGAAAGCTCTCGCGTCCATGGAGTCGCTTTTGAAGGAGTGCCTTGCTCCCAGTAAGAACTCGAGAGTCTTGGCTCACAACTTGGTCGTGGCACTCGACGGCGTTGCTCCTATCCACGAGCCGAAGGAGTTCTTTGAGGCCGGAACCCGTTACATCAACGGTGATCAGATGTGCGACGATATAGGACTCGGCAAGCCGGGACTGTACTGGGATGCAGTTGTCAGAGGCCAGTGTTGGGCTCTCATGGTAATTACGTATCTGTCAAGATCCATACCCGCTTGGGACAGATGGCAAATCAAGGTAAGCTGTACTCTTGAATACAGGGCCACTATCATCACCAAGACTTGACATTGACTCACGGTTTTGCAGACATTTCGCAACCTCTTTTGGGAGTACATTGTCGAAAACAAGGACAGTCTGAACGGCAGTTACAAGTACGAGTTCAAATATGTACCACACCACGGTGCCCAGACAGGGACCGAAACTCGGGACAGCCCAAAGCCCAAGATGGGTATTGCGCCATTGGAAATCTTCGGACTTGTGGGATTCTCTGCAGCCATGGTGGTATCTACCGTTGTTTTAACTTTCATGGCGAAATTGGTCGTCTCTTACTTACCCAGCAGCACGGTTATGGCTCAAGTTGTCACGACTGGGAACTTCTCTGTATGAAATATTTCAAGTTCAACGCAATCGGACAACCACAGTTTTGGGAGCATGAGTGGAGAGCTTTGCGTTGTTTCCTTCATGATTTTCAATGTATTTTATTCAGTATAATGGAGTCGAGCGCCAAAACTAAGTTGCTAGGAGGTAGAGTCATCAACGGCTCAGTGTGAAAGGGACCTATCGGCGTCCGTGTTGTGGGCAAGTTACATCGAACAGTCCCCTCGTCCGCATAATGAGGATTGCTGAAAGACGTATGCGTCAGACACTTCATCTCAGCTATACCTTTCGAACTAGCATAGACAGTTTATGAAATGTCCTTCCCGGTGAAGGGAGACCAGTCATACCCCTGTCCGCTCGGTGAAGGCTGCGGTGACACCGGCGGTGAATGATGCAACCCCCGCGTGATGTCTCGGCACGCACGCTTGGCGCCTCCCTGCATCGACTCACCTTCTCTCCGATAATCAAGCTTGCTTCAGACTCAAAGGCTCAGCTAGCTGCCCATACACTGCCCATACAACGAATCTCTAATGACAGGACGCGGCAGCGTGAGTTAAAGACTGAGGAGCCATGGACACCGATTCCACGGGAGGCCAAGACGAACCCCGCTCGCGGAAGCGAGCAGCTGCCTCTCAAGGCAAGTCGGGACTGGCTGCAGAGAAGAAGCGGTCTCAGAACCGGATCTCTCAGCAATGCGCGCGAGAGAGGCAGTCTGCATACATTCGGCAGATGGAGTCCCTGGTGGCAGACCTGAAGACGCCTGATGAGGGTACCACAGAACAGTCGAAATATGACGAACTAGCCAATGCTCATATGAAGCTTGCGGAGGAGAAGAAAGAAGTGGAGGACGCGCTATTTCGCCTCCGACAAAAGCTCCTGAGTGTGGGAAACCTTGCGACTTCAGCAGCCGGTGAGTCCTCCTTTGATGCCTCATCCACGTCGCCTGAGAGATCACCTATCGCTGATGTCATAACGATTGATGGGAAGACGACCCAATATTTGAAAGGCTTAGCAACCCTATTTCTCTACACCAGACTACGTCGCCAAAACGGGACGGGAAAGTGCCTCTGCAGTCGAAGCACGGAAATAGCGTAAGCGGGCCGAGCCGCAATCCCGGGGCTCCGGACGACAGATCCGCAGAGTTCCGTATGACTTCACTGCCAGCTCAAGATCATCTAAGCTCCAGTAGCATGACACAGCCGCCGGGAGACATCTGTAGCATCTTACCGTCTCCATCCGCCTTTTTACCAACAGATTTGGAAATCTCGACTGACCCCATGGGCCCCGCGTCATATTGGGTCTCTCCTTGGACTTCGCCAAACCTACGATTTCCCTTTGGGCTTTTTGATGCCAATGCCGCGCCGTCTTCAGTGCCATTTCCTTTTGATATGGCCTACCTGTCCCATCCACAACCGCCAGACACCGAGTCTATGACGGTGATCACGAACTCGAGCTTATTCGCCGACCAAGTGAAGCTCGCGGCAAGTCACGTTTTATATCGGCTTACCAGCGCATCGAATTCGTCATATCAGGGGGCTGGGTCACAGTTTACTCAAGACGGTGTTGCTGCAAAGCTCGCCTCGGTCGCTGTCGAGGTCATAGGAGCTTTAGCTGGCCTTGGGCCGTACATCTACGGCACCGTATGTTTATGGTTCTCTCTTATCCGTCTTCTGCGCCATATTACACGTCTGCTCACTTTCGCACTTTAGAACTTCTCAGACTATATGGAATCTGTTCTGCGCTGGCGGCTTTCGAACTCCGTAGAAGACCGGCTCCGAATTCCCATCCCGTTCCGACCAACTCCGTTACAAGCAGCAACGCCTCACCACCCCGTTGTGATTGACTTCATCAACTGGCCATCGATACGCGATCAAATGATTCTGTATTCCTCGAAGCTCGATCTAGACGCCATGAGCAGGGACATAGTCCTAAACACCGTCGTAGAGTTACCTCGGAAACGAGTCTCCGTTAACATACACGACCTGTTCTTCAACTACATTCTCCCTCACAAGGGCAGTACAAGGAACGACAGCACTAACTCTATGTTGCATAACCGTGAGTGGGTGTACCTGAAAGTTCCAGCAACTAGCGGTCATGAAGTCCCATTGTCCACCTTCTCACTTACGCAAGAAGCTTTGGCATCTGAGATGAGCCATAGAATGAGGTTGGATGACCCAAACGAGTCGCCACTGCTGAACTCCTCGAACAATGAAGTTGTATCTGGTGCCTTCACCACATCAAATAGAGAAGCTCGTTATCAACCCGAAACGGTCGTGTCGAACGCATTAGCCGCCTTTGGGATTGACGAGCCATGTAACTGGAGACTCAGCAAAGACTTCGCTAGGAAATACCCTCATATCGACTGCTCGCTGGGTTTGTCAAACGTTTACGATTCCATTTGCTCATGGTCAAAACTTGCTAACTATGAGTAGATGTTTCTCGATACGACATGGTTCCATCCTCATCACTGTCCCTGGAGGATGTTATGGGAGAATAATTACTCTAGTATCGTGCGCCATGGTGTACTTCAAAACCTAGTAGCAGCAGTATCCAGATAGTTTAGGTCAGAAGCCGTTACATTCAGGGATTTGAAAATGATAAACAAGTTCCTTCCATGCATCATGAGGGTGAAATCACAAGACGTACTGCAACTTTTCAGAACACCAGCAAACAAGCACGTAGTCTACACGGCGTTAAAAGTCGAAGTCACTTAAAGCAGCCACGGTTCATGCATGGATGGCGATTCCCCGCTCGAGATATCTACCCGACATGTGGATCCATTAGCTTCTTTTGACTCGATCCCCGGGCCCAGCCACCCAGCTCTCCGGTTACGCTGACAGTCATCCTCAGTTTTCCGAGGGCACATAGAGACGAACTGTTGTGTTTCTCGACCTGAATTACTCCTGTAGGCATTGGTGGGGGCTTTCATTCCCAACCATTGGACCTGTTGGTCTCATGCCATCATTCGTGTTGCAGTATCACGGAGCTCGCTTGGAGCACGCATATCACCCAGCATTGTCTCTGGTTTGACAGTTCCGAAGGGACTGACAAACGCGAATTGTTTATCCAATCCCAGGTGCTGGATCTGCCGCCGGCATAGGTTTGGTGGGGGGACAGAGACAGAGAAATGACCTGAGATAAGACCATCGAAAAAAGCCAATTGCCGATAGTCGGATACCCCCCGACATCCGTTCTCCACTACCCTTGCACTTAGCAACTGTCGCAGTTGATAAAGGCTCAAAATTTGCCAAAATCTGTCGCCAATTCTCACGTTTCTTCGTTTGTCTTGCTACAATCGATCAGCAGAAGCTCGAAACTGTTGACACAGCCATACAGTTGGACATGGCGGCTACTGAAGCGCAGACCTCCGATCCGGAGAAGCGGGTCAGCCCCGACATCAACCCCGCCACCGGCCCCTCCCCCGGAGACGATGATCCGATCTCTAAGCACCACATCACCGATGAGACTGGCGACCTCGCCGCTTCGGCCCTCAACTCCGCTCCGCTTTCAGAAGCTGAGTCCAGAGCGGTTCTTCGGAAGATAGACTACAGGTGACGAAACCATCCAAAATCACTGCATAGACAACCAAATACTCAAGCTGCACCAGAATCCTTCCGTTCTTATGCATTACTTACGCCCTGCAATTCATCGACAAGACTTCGCTAGGGTACAGCTCTGTCTGGGGCATCATTCCGGACAACAAGCTCGTGGGGCAGCAGTACAGTTGGGCGAGCAGCATCTTCTACTTTGGTTACCTCGCCGCAGAATACCCCGGTCTCGCCGTCTTGCAACGCTTTCCCGTCGCCAAGTTTCTGGGCGTGAACATCATCTTCTGGGGAATGATTCTCATGACCACGGCAGCTTGCAGCTCCTTCGCTGGCCTGGCGAGTGTCCGTTTCCTGTTGGGTGCGACGGAAGCGACCATCAGCCCGGGATTCGTTGCCGTTACGGGCATGTGGTGGTCCCGTCAGGAACAAGCCGGCCGTTCGGCGCTCTGGGTCTCATTCCTAGGCGTCGGAAGCTTCATTGGCACGCTACTCGCATTTGGTATCGGACATATCACCGGGTCGTTGTCACCATGGAAGTACATCTTCCTCATCCTTGGTGCGATGACGGTGGTCTGGGGAATCATCTTCACGATCTTTGTGCCCGATGGACCCGCCAAGGTCAAATGGCTGACAGAGAAGGAGAAGGTCATTGCTGTACAGCGTGTTGCGGAGAACAAGACGGGTACTGGCCGAAGCCGGACTTTCGTCAAGGCCCAGGTTATCGAGGCCGCCAAGGACCCGGCAGTCATTCTGCTTGGTTTGATCTCATTTGTTAATGCCATTGCCTCTGGTGGTCTGGCGTTCGGTTCATTGATCATCCAAGGTTTCGGATTCAATGCCTTGCAGACTACACTCATGAACCTCCCACTTTCCACTGTTCAAGTTGTTGCTCAGCTTGGGGCTGGCTTCTTGACCAGCAAGATCTCGAACTCGAGGCTGCACATCGGCACAATAGCTATGATTCCTCCGGTATGTTCAATAAAAAGTAAAGTGAAAAGATGACTGACAAGTTCCCAAACAGATCGTAGGCACATGCCTGATCAACCAACTAGAGCTGGATAACAAATGGGGTCGGTTGGTCGGTGTCTGGCTGCTGGGTGCCTACCCCGTCGGCTTCATGGTCATTTTGGGTCTCCTGTCGACCAACATCGCCGGTAGCACCAAGCGATCTGTCGCCTCGGGCTGGGTGTTTGTCTGCTACTGCATCGGCCAGATTGCCGGCCCCCAATTCTTCAAGAGCACCGAGGCGCCCGCCTACCACAACGGCATCGTAGCTATGCTGTGCGGATTCATCCTGAACCTCGTCATGAATCAGGTGCTTAGGTTTATCTACGTCCGCGAGAATAAGAAGCGGGATCAGTTGCTTGAAGGCAAGTCTGAGGAAGAGATTGCTGAGATGCAGCGTGAAGGAGAGGTTCTTGGATTCGAAGACGTGACGGACAAGGAAAATGTGAGTATCCGGCCAACAACCTTGGAAACCACAGTGAATACTAACGCATGTTTAACAGCTAATGTTCAGATACGTCCTTTGATGCTTCAGTGCATTCGTCATAGCACAGTTCCTATGTGGATTCGACTCATCAAACTCAAATGCATAGGTCTACAAGTGCTCTTGAAGTTGAGAACAATGTATAATTCAGCTTAATTGATAATGTCTGCTGGCTAGCAAGACGAATTTGTACATGAAGTTTACCGAGTTTACCGTTTAGAAGTACCGAGAGAACTGTCTGGCATGCCTCTTCTTGCCGAAGGTGGTGTCCTCAGTGGTCCCATTGAGACCTGCCGCCAGTGCAGCATCAAGCTCCGTGACGACGCCGCTGTCAACAGGCTTGCCCAAGTTGTTCGACATGGGTCTCACAACGTCGCATCTCAGAGCCTGAGCAGAGCTCATCTTCTCCATCCGAGTGTTGTTCGTCTGCACAAACAGCCTCTCGCGGCCCTCAGGGCCAGTGAAGGCCCTCCATTCCGCGGCACCCTTCTCGCGATCAGTGTTGGGGTCCAGGTTTCGGATGAAAGAGACCCAGTACTTCCTGAATTGCGAGACGACAGGGGCATTGGTGTTGAAGTACGACGAGGGAGCGGAGCCGTCAGTGCGGTTGGGTCCCCAGAACGCGTACGTGTTGACCGTGTGGTACGCGCCGAAGCCGTCGGCCTCGTCCTTGGGGTCGAGCACACCGTATCTGTAGTTGTAGGTGGTCACCTCGTCGCGGGCGAGGTAGTTCTGGATGTTGCGGACGATGCAATGCGTGCCGATATCCGCAATGGCGTTGGCGGCTTGGCGCCACTTGATTCCGGACTCGGGGAAGACGGGTTGGGGGACGTCGATGTAGAGGTCATCCAGAACCGCGAGAGAACTGTTGGAGAGGGACGGGTCCTGACCGAGAAGCCATGTGTTTGCCTCCTCTGTGGAGTTGGTGGACTGCGGCGCGGAGTACTTGGTTCCCTCGTTGGCACAAGAGCCCCAGATGGTTGGGACTTTAGTGTAGTTTCCGGCCTCGAAGAGATTGACCATGCTGTCGGTGAAGAGCTCGCCGTCGATACCAGGGTTGAACCAGCAGCTGGAAGAACGAACTTCAGACTCGTTCAGAGCACGTAGGCAAGCCAGAGAGTCGGCAGAGCCTGTGCAGTTCTTCTCCTTGACGAGGCAGTCGAACTGACCTTGACCCTGCTCCATGGTTCTCATAGTAACCCAGCCACCAGACTCAGCAATGCCTCCGGCGAAAAGTTTCTTGCCGCCAGTATTGGCAGCCATCAGCAGACCGACAGCAGAGCCACCGGCGCTGACACCATCGAGAACAACCTGCTCCGGGTTTCCACCGAACTTCGCGATGTTGGTCTGGACCCATTCGAGAGCCTTGATCATGTCCTTGATACCAGCGTTGAGGCTACCGCCAGCGCGGACCTCCTCGCTCTGCAAGAAGCCATACATACCAACACGGTAGTTGGTCTGCACGACAATGACGCCCTCGGATGCTATCTCGCTGGCATCCCAGTTGGCGTTCGAGTTGGAGCCGAAACCTCCACCCTGGATGAAGAAGACGACAGGAAGTTTCGAGTCAACGCTTGCGTCGGAAGGAGCTGTCACAGCCAAGTAAAGACAGTCCTCGGCGACGGTGAAGCGCTCATAGGTGCCGGTGACGGTCCAGTCGGTGGGTTGCTGCGGAGGGCAGATGGGGCCGTGGGCGGTAGCGTTGACGGTACCGGTCTGGACCGGGTCGGCGGGGGCAGCAAAACGCAAGTCTCCGACGGGCGGTGCGCCGAATTGGATGCCCTTCCAGGTCGTTACGCCCAGGTCTGCATTGGTCACGGCGCCCTGGAATTTGGCGTACCCGACATCCACGAGTGTGTCGACGGCCTGGACGCTAGGGACGATGATGGTCGCGGCGGTGAACAAAGCCGCTAGGTTGGATCCTTGCCACATATTGAATGCTGCTGGCAACGAACTGAATGAAAGAATGAAGGTCGAGAAAAGCTCGAAGAAAGAGTGAAACGGTCTGCGATGAGACCTGAAGAAAAGAACGTAAGCAGTGCAAGCACTATGTGACCAGAATGTAAGATTTGCTACGGACAAGGGAGGTCATCATGCCGACCGAGAGCTTCTTTGCTCTGATTATATGCAAAAGAAACTTGAGGCTCATCGATTCCATCTCGGGAGTTGTCATTTGTTAGAGTTCCGTGTATTCTGCTTTCAACCCCTGTCCGAGTCATTGTTTCCCCTTATTTGAAACATGGGTACTGAACAGAGTCGGCTGCGTCGCCCCATTTGGTAAACAAAATGTCGGGGTAACGCTCCGAAATTCGCTGAACGAGACTCCGCTACCGCGGATCGGTCGCTCAGTAGATGAGACGAACGCCGGGTCGCTCCGGATCTGCAATTTGGAACGTTCCTACGGTACAATGGTTTATATTCAGGAGTCAGAGACCGGAAACCCGCGGCTATGTTCCCTGTGGTGAAGCAGAAGCGGGCGCGCCGCGTAGTACGCCTTACGTTCTGGACAGGGAAGACCCCATGATCACGTTGCCAAGAAGCTTCATGTTGAACAAGTTCTGTTCGTTCAGTGAGTCGTTATTTACTACCGCATTCCCCTCAAAGGGTATCTATTTCCTGGCTCCATTCGAACTCCGCCCGCCCGTGCCATACTTTCTTGGTTTTTTGGCGCAGCTCGGCGGTTGTGAGATGCACAACACTTTCCGGTGGTTCCGCCATGCTCCATGTTATCATCAACACCTGAAGCTTTAGCCCCTAATTATCCAAAACTCTATTCTCCCCTTCTCCCATGCATCTCAGCACCTCCCTTTGGTCACAATTAGCCATTATACTCCAGTTGCAGGTAATACTGAGCGTCACTTACAAGAGCTGATCTGGTCGTCGTAGTCTCCAGAGTAATCATCGGTAGCCTCACCCAGGTTGTAGTTGTAAGAGAGAGTCACCCCGCGATCGTCTCCCTTGTTGTTGCAATCGGCAAACCTATGGTCACGTCTGAGCATACCATTATGACACCAAGACAGCGTTCTCCCTCTCAACTTACTTGTAGAACTGGCACAGGCCACCGGTGTTTGTGCTCAGCGAGCTGGTTTGATTGTCGTACTGGTTCAGGAACTCCTGAGTCTTGTTGAAGCTAGAATAGTTCACTGGTTTCGTCCAACCATCAATAAGTTTGTTGTCACTTCACGGAGCATTCCGAAATAAGCCCAGAGAAGAGTTCTTACCACACCTGCCAGGAGGCGCCCCCCAGGAAAGACAGTCTCCACGGAAACCAGCGTCGGAGCATTGCAGAACAAAGATGTTCTTGGGCGTGACAATAGGGCGCGTAGAGTTGGGCTGTCCATCTACGGGAACTTCCTGGCGCTTCTCGTTGGTCGAATCGAGGTTAATGAAGGGCGCCGACATGAACGCGGCGTAAGCTTCAGGATGGCTCGTCTTGAGTGTGTCGGATAGAGGGATCAGACTGTTCTCCTGCACGGTGGGAAGTGCAGCGGCCTGTGAGATGGCCGCAGAGGCGACGACGAGGGATGTGAGAGTTGAGAACTGCATGGTGAAAAGATGAGACTGTAACAGATAATCTCATGCGAATGGCCAATGTACAAGTGACAGTGACTTGTCCGTACTTAAGTTGGGAACAGATGCACACATGAGAGGAACCACCGGCCGGCCTATTATACTCGTCCGGAGGTTTTTCAAAACGTGTGGCAGTCCTCGAACAAGAAAGTCTGCCCGGATATCCCAGTTTGGAAACAGGCCAAGGTGAATTAGGCTTTCGACTTATCGAGAAAGTTTCCTAATGACTCCGTTGGCGTCTTCGCCGCAATCACCGCCTCAATGCTGGATGAACATCGATGATCTTGAGTTGGCCGTCGGCTGTGTTCAACCTTCAGAGGTCGCATGAGGGATCGGAAGTTTCCAACTCCCCGGGCCCTGGAAGAGTAGATGAAAAGTATGGAGAATAGGCACTCTGTGTTACACCCGGTTCATCCGAATTACTTCGCTGCGCAGTTGCTTAAACTCTATTTTGTTCCAATCTAGATAATGATGTTACCCCCTGAATCGTAATTGCCTGTGCATCGTTGACCCATTGAGAGAAAATAATATCCAAATGGAGAATACCAAGACATGTGATCATCGCTTCTATAACGTGCGAAATGAGTTATATGAAAGAAATGCTACCGGGTGACATTGCTTTTCTTTCAACTATTCGGAAATCCTCAATTAGTTCATGTTGTAACTATAGATTCAATTTCACTTGGAAATGTCCTTGCGAGTCGGACGTCCAAGCTGCCTTGTCAGCTACTCGGAAGAACACTTCTTATCAGCAGAAATGAGGACATCGCGAGCTACAAAAAAAAAAAAAAAACTTGTATCAAGCCACACAATAGAATAACTTTCCAGCTATGGGAAACTTTTGTAATGGAACTGGTTGTTACGACCATGCTACCAAAAGCTCATAAGACATCCTCATTGGCATCTGCCATCTCAAGCTGAGATTACCGCACGACGAGATGATCCACTGCTAAGACCCTATACCCCAGAAACTTTTTCCAATACCGAATCGAAGCTTTTGGCCTAACGCTAAGCGCATAGCTACATACATGCAAAATCCATCTGTCCTTGTATGAGGCCAGGCGTATCCAACACAAGCTCTAATACTCTGCGCGTGTCAAACCCTCTGTGAATATTGAATGATACAACTTTCTTTTCGGCATTGTCGTTTGGCCGAGACTCTCAACTTGAAAGTCTCAAGAGCGTGTTTGGCATGTGGTTTCACAGTTATTTGATGCTCGATATGGCGGCTTTATTCCCATCCAGTTCGTCGGCATCCAGTTGTTGGATTCAAGTCGAACTTCGTGTATGTAGTCCATCAAGTTGGTTTTCTCAGGTTGAGAAATCAGGAGTGACCATAACCCAGTCCTTGGTTTACCGATGTTTGTGTAGTAACAAGCCGGGGATATCAGGGACTTTCACTCAGGGACATATAAAAACCCCAGAGCCGAAAGAGGAAATGTTGTGATTTGGTGTATCGAAGTCTGAGAGTAAAAGCTCAACAGCGTGCATCGGGCATTGCAATGTCATATGACTCTTTGCCGGTAGTCCCCTCTGGACCAAGATCGGTTTTCTGTTCATGGCCTCCTTGATGCCTTCTCATGATGCCGCCAAAAACTCGATGGGAGCGACGGTGATGTGGTGAGCATTGGTAGACGACGGTATGGGTTGACTGGTGTCTATCGAGGACTTCTAGCCGCCCAAAAGACTTGCCGCACAAGTCGCATGGGTAAAGTCGCAGTTCGGCGTGTGATTGAAGGTGTAGAACGAAAAAGTCATGTCGATGGTAGCGTTGGTGACATTGTGAGCACTGGTAGATGCCGATTCCGCTTGTACGTTGACAAGATGGCTGACGCAGTGACCGGACATTCTTGGCAGAGGAAAGTTGATTTGCCGGGGGTTCAAAACCAAAGAATACATTAAATTTTTTTCAAAAGAACGACCTGCGTAATGTCGATGGTAGGCCTGGTTGGCTGCCTTAAGTAGGCAAATTTGGCATCGACCTGTCTTCTCAAGGTCACCGTTTCGTCGTCCACAACGTTCCTCGCCCTCGCCTTGAGAAGTCAAACTTTTGCTGCGCATTCATGCACCTACAAACTTATCTCTAAGCCATTTAGAGTGGAACTTGTGGATTCTGTCTTCTTTCAGTAAAGAAAAAGATAAGAGTTATATGTTATTGGGGCGCATGAGAGACGCAAAGAACTTGGGCACGTGGGCTGGCTGTATTCAAGCATTTTCTGCATTTATCGCTTGCATCTACTGCACAGTGAGCAGCACGTTTGATTAATAGGACGCCACCGGAAAAATCCCGTTGTGGACGACTTTACTCTCATATGTGATGCTGCCCGGACCTGTCACCTGTGCAATGCAGGCTTTCGTATTTGACCAAGGTAGTCGAACCTATCGGTTAGGGCTCATGGTGTGTAACACCTAAAACTCGGAATGTGATCCTACATAACCTGCTCAGCAAGATAGATGCATCATTAACATTAGAAGGGTCGCTGGACTATACTGCATGGTGAATTCCTATGGGTAGACATCAATGATGGCCAAGTCAATATCCATGCATGTCAGTCGTGGGCCATATGAGGTGCGGGCGCTGTGGACAAATGATTGACATCACTGGCTTAGCTTCGTATGGTTTCGGGAGCTCATTGATGCTTTGATAGCAATTCCGTTTACAACGTTGATCAATCGGTCGTTGCTAGGCACAGGACGGTTCAACGTGGCTGCAATTAATGACCTGCTTTTGGCGCAGGTGGTTCCACGGTGTATGTAAGTGCCAATTGCATTGAAAAACTAAGACTGCGACAAAACCCTGCTTTCTGGGGTAACATGCGCCGTTCTCTAGCTATCTATCTTAGTCTATGTCTTTCAACATCGTAGAGGAAATGCTACAGCTTTGGTCAAGCCATCTCCTTAGTGTTTGAGACATGTAATTCTAGTTCCCGCCAGGTATGGCCAGTGAGTAAATGCCTTCACAGACTAGAGGACAAGGCCACGACTTGAGATCGCGTAGTTGTTGAGAAAGACGGGCGGTAGGTAGGGCGGTGCACTCAACGCCCGTGTCTTGGACGCCAAAGAAATCCATAGCCTCCTTCTTCAGTCTGAAACAAGCAAGCTTGAGCCTAATCACTGAAGAAAATGGATGGCAGGTGGTCTCGCCAGATACTCGGAATGTCCGCTAGAGTAGTATGGCCGCATGCGTCTAGACTACTACGACTCCGGCGACATGGAACATCATCCATTCTTTCTTCGTGTAGACAACCCTCGTGGGAAAGAGACCAAGGCTTGCATTCTTTAGTTTAGCAGTTTCGTTTGATTGCCTTTTGTTAACCGCCACCTACGATAGAGATCAGTGGTTGTGCCTAAAGTAGGGCATTCTCGCATGCAAATTCGTCGATCAGATTTTCTCAAATTCCAGTTGATCGTCTTGCAACCACATCCATTTGCCACGAAGGTGATTGAAACAGGAATCAGAGGTCATTACGACATACGTCAAACCAGCAACGATGAGGCTTCCACCCCTCAATGTCACCTCAGCATGGCCACAACCGAATTACACGAATCCCGAGCACCGAGGCCCCGGACTACTCATTGTGGAGTTGTTAACTTTGAGCATCGCTCTGACGTGTCTTGGGTTGCGTATGTACGTCAGACTGGTCAAAATACGATTAACTTGGTGGGATGACTGGATGATGGTGGGGGCCGCAGTAAGTTGTCACTCGTGCTAGAGAAGTAGCAGGGAAGTTTGCTAATACGATGATCTCAGGTGTTCTGCATAGGAGTAACCATGTGCGTTATACTCGGTACGGAACCCCCTCAATCAAATTATAGCATACAGTGTCTAATGCGGTTATTCAGCAACGGAACTATATGGCTGGAGCATTCACATTTGGGATGTACCATCGAGGAAGATAACCCAGAGTCGCCAGGTAAGCGAGGCCCATGGAGGCTCAGAAGGTTTCGCCCGTGAACAACACTCTGACAAGATTCATCAGGTCTCAATAGCAGCGCAGACCCTGTTTCTCTTCGCCTCTGGTCTATCGAAGCTATCGATATTGGCGAGCTACCTCCGAATAGCCGTCCCCGGTACTTGGTTCTCTCGCCTCACCTGGGTCACTGGAGTTATCGTCTTCATCCTGATGTGGACTTTCTTGGCTATTTTGTGGACTCAATGCGGGTGAGTTCCCCCAACGATTCAAAATTCCTTTCTCAAATGGTTGATGAAGGTTTCAACAGACCAATCTGGCATTACTGGACTCTTTTTGCCAACTGGGAGGGCAACTGCATACAAGAATGGCCACCTCTCGCCGGCCATGGGATCACAACCGTGATGACCGATATCGCCGTCTACCTTTTGCCGATTCCCACCCTGTTCAAGCTGCAGATGCCCCTGATGCAACGGATCAGCTTGGTGGTACTTGTCGGTATCGGCTTGCTGGTGGTAGCTGCGGGGATCTTACGCACTTACTGGGTGTTGTACGTCGAGATCAACATCGTGAAGGACCCTACCTATGACTTGACATGGGACTCCTACAATATCTGGATCTGGACGGCCCTAGAGGTCAACCTCGCCATCATTTGCGGTTGCGCTCCCGCAATACGACGCTTCTTTACCAAAACCGGAAACCAGACTCCGTTCAAAGTCAGCAATTCGGTGCACACGATAGGCTCTTCGGGTATCAAGAGATGGAGTCGTACGAAAAGGCCTATGCGACGTGAGAATGTGGAAGATCACGGACTGGGTTCTTTCGAGTCTTTGGAATCGAATGACACGTCTGAGATAGAGCTTGTGCAGTCGCAAGAAGAGGCCGAGAAATCATAATTCAGAACTCCGGTCGATGTTCCAGGAAACCCACTCTTAGAATTATTTATCAAGGCCCCGGAGTTTCGTGTTGCACGAATGCATTATTAGTCTTTTTGGCATCATTTCCATAGACGTCTTAGATACCCGAACAGAGTTGTTCATCATTTTCCAGAAAGGTTCCTAAAATTTGTGCTGAGAGCTTCCAGAAAGACGAGGGCTTCATGAGAATTTCAGATGATAATAGCCGGATTAGAGCATATGACCTGCTGCATACATCCTCATGAGACGTTCAAGGGCTGCGCCCTAGCTCGGCGCACTTGCTGTTGATGGACTGGTACACGGGTGATGTGTTGAGATCTGTCCTGCTCCTTCTGCATCGGTCAAACAAATGTTGATGAATCTCCAATTTTACCCCAGATAAATAGTCGATGAAACCGGTTCTGTTGATGTCTAGAAAGATTTCAAAGCAGCTCCGAGGCGTAAAGATCGATTTCAAACATTTGAGTCTAAGCCTTGACCGTGATCTATTTCATGACCTTTGGAATGTTGTTATAACAGACACCAAGCAAAAGCTACACATGCTATTTTCTAATACATATGAAATGTTCTGAAAATAAATAGCATACGCCATGCGTATAATTCGGAGAGGGTCAAGGCACGCTTGTAATTGAAACTATATAAAAATATATCACCGAGAAGTTGTTTTTGTCTCAACACTCGGATAAGAAAATATTACATTACGAAATAGAGACGTTAGAGCTTGGATGATCAAACCTAGGAACGGAGTTTAAAAGCCAGGTCAATAATCGCCGTCGGACTGATAAGGCTAGAAACCATTTTCCTCAATGAAGGTGGGGTGTCTTTCAGCGGAGTTCATGCTGACAACGCCGTCATAGAACATGCAGCCATTACAGCAACTGTGGTGGTACGGACATCTAGGTAGCCTGCGACAGCAATGCAAGCCGCAACCGCAACTCGATATGCGGCGAACTCACCTGGTTTCCTTATATAATACCTACTCTCTAAACAGAGGTGAATTGAGCCACTTAGACTTATGGAAATATTGATAAGGACGCGATGCAGTTAAACCTGAAATCACATCGCAGCTCAGTTGGAATGAGACTGTTTCCTGGGTTTTGATGGTAACAGACGAATACTGCCTTCTTGCATGCGCCACCGTCCATGGAACCGGTCTGTAATCAAATACATCCTCATCACTGCGTTTTGTTGTCGACAGATATGTATCCGTCAGCTTCTATCAAACAACCTCCCAATTGACTGTTTGATTTTGCTGCCCCTTCTCCGGATTTTCAGACCGCGGCTTTTCTTCCGAACCCTCATTTGACTGCCTGGGCAGACTAAACAAATCAGGGGTAATTCCACGGCTTCGCTTCAATGCTACACTAGGAATGGGTTATTACGTGGTCCGATTCCTCGCAATGTTTGGGCAACTCGTTATCATTTCGTTACGCTATGGTTCGGACTTTGATGGAGTCAGTTCGCATTCAATGAGTCGTTTAGAGTTCGGAAACACTTCGCGTTCTCGGTCGTGACGAACACCAATCGCTATCGAAAAGAACTCGGACTGTCCCTCGGTATCCCTGTCTGGTGTAAGCCTTACGTTGCAAGCGAGGATCATAGGATCGCCGTCAAGCCAATCATACCCTCAAGTTGGTTATTGTCAGCGGCATTTGATCCACTTGCTGATTCCTTCATCTGCTGAAGCTCAACGCTCCGACGCTCGAGAACAATTCCTGAACGCGCTTGTCTACTTGGAGGAATCGCGCTGACACGTGCCAGTGCCCTTCTTTTGACAAGCCGAATTCCACGGCAGTGGGACGGACATTCAGAAGGCGAGCCTTGTCCGCATTCATGTCCTCTGAAGGTCTCACTCTGGATGGTTCCATTGGTTCGTTGTCTTCGAGCTGAGCTGACATGACAGGGCCTAGAATCCTGACGCTAGTTCCTCTTGTCAATATCCGAGCCCTAACAATTAGGCTCTTTGACGATTCAATGATCTGATTTGACGCGCGCTGGCCGCTGGTGGACGAGGTATTTTACCCATGCTGATTTCGAAGCGCAACAGAGACACCACAAACGGCTCTCTGCAGCTTTCTCCCCCTTGCACTGCCCATTCGAATCAAGGGTCGTCAATCGTTCTCCAGCTCTGCCGCTCTCAGTAACAACCCCGGCACCATTGCCAAGTCCAGTCAACCACAATCCGAGCCACGTTGGATCGACCAGAGATCCAAGGCTCTCAGGCGACATGACAGGCCCAGGGGAGAACAATCATTTCGTCGTCCGTCAGGAGCGGTTTGGTGCGGTTGGCCCCCAAATTAAGAACCAGAGTTGCGCCGCAGGGAAGCAGAAAGTGACACCACGCCAACAGTCCGGCGAAAAACTATTGAGGCACCAATTCCCACAGCCTCGGTCGCTGGCTGATGTGTCTTTCGGCTGGCTGTGCTTACCTGCCCCTCCAAAATTTGAAACACACCTTTTCAAGATCATCAGAGCCTCTCCATAGGCCACCTCGGACTTTTTTTTCGCATAACCACGCGTGTAACGTCTTGGGTTCTTCCAACTGCTTGTTTACTTCGTTCAACGGTCGGTATACGTGGCCTTGGAATTGCAAGTAAAAGGTACCTAAAGGTCATGTGCGGCTGACGGCGGCCTGTTTCGTACCTCCTTTTCGCCTTTGTGTGCGTACCGACCAGCAATGACTAGAAAGGGGCAGCCGAAGGTTCGAACCGGCTGTTTGACCTGCAAGTAAGTGCCTATCGTTTCTTTGGAGTCACCAACGCGCATTTGCTTTCTTTTCTCGATCTTGCCACTCTACGCTATTCGCGCAACTCAACGGTCGGGGACGGCTCCGCGCTGTATCGGCGGGCCCCCGAGACGAGATCGGCCAGACCGGAGGGCCTTCGGTCTTGATGTCCGGCCGGCTGGTCAAATGACTCCGTACAGCCCGCGTATTCGGCTTCGGAGCCGACGCCTCTACAGAACTTCATGTTGACTCAGCACCTCCCATCACAGATCACGCAAAGTAAAATGTGATGAGGCAAAGCCAGCATGCGTGCGATGCACCAGCACCGGCCGCAAATGCGACGGCTACGCTGTCGTCGTTCCCAGCAACCGGGCGCTTGCCCGAGCTCGATCACGAACGATGAAGTTGAACGCCGCGCTTGCACAGGCTTCCGCCGCATGGGACGGCGACATGGACGAGGACAAAGTCATGGAACACTTTCGTCGCAAGGTTGCGCCCATGATGCCAGGCCATTTGGAAGGAGATTTTTGGACCGACATTTTGCCCCGTATGAGCAGGACCGAACCCGCCTTCCGTCAGGCAATGGCCGCCATCGCGACGCTCATGCCTGGTATGGCAGAAAACACCACTGAGGACGGTAACGCTCAAGAAGTTGACCCATATACGAGAGTTTTGAGTGTTCTCGGAGCCACCCGGAAGCAGAAGACTGGCGTGGATCACCAAACTCCGGCCAGTCATAAGAGTGCAAGCATTAGCACCCATCCTTTCAACGTACTCCCAGCCATCGCCGACTCGCCCGCAAGCTCATCCTCCGCAAGTCTTCCCTCAACCAGCCGATCGTCGACGACTCCAACTCCGTTCATCTCACCTCGACCTGCCGAAGATGAAAGCGACTCGGATGCGAGGGTAAACAGCGAGGTGAACGTAACTCTCTCCGGATGTTTGTTGTTCGTCACGGTTGAGTTCTTGCAAGAAGGCTTGGGTGCAGCGATGGAGCAGCTTGCATTCGGCATCGACGTCCTCAACAACGTGGAGCACAATGATCTGGCCGAGACAACAATTGTCGACGTCATTCCGAAGTTTGAGCGATTAAGCATCATTCAGATGTGCTTCTACGACAGGCCTTGCTATCCTTCCCTCGACCTGAGCCGAGGCAACGCACCCAAGCATTATCTTGGGCCTTTCGACAAGAACTCTAGCATATACAGACCACAGTGCGCCATGGACTCCATCATCCTAGACGCCATGAAATTCATGCGCGCGTCAGGTCCTGACTCGAGGACGGACTCACGGCTGAGAGGACCGCAGTTGACGGAGGAACAGACTGCTATCTGCAGCGCTTTCGACAAATGGCACTCCGCTTTCATGGCCTTTATTCGACAGCCACGTAGTAGTACGGACAATCCTCTGCCCCCCCATACGGACATCATCTGCCTAGAGACAGAGATGAAGTACTGGGCGGCCAAAATATGCGTCAGCGTTTGTCAATCTCATGATGAGTCCGTCTATGACTCATATAAGAATGAGTTTAGGCGCATGGTGGCCATCGCGCAAGAAATTGCAAGCCGATGCCCGATTCTACCACCGGAATCACCGCTTTACAGATTCAACTATGAGATGAGCTACTTGGCCTTAATGGAGTTTGTCATCACCAAATGCCGATGGCTTGAGCTGCGGTATCACGCCTGGTTGATCGTCTGGGAGCTTGCTGCCGCACAACAGCCCGTGACACTTGGGGACTTGCACCTGGTGGGAAGACGAATGATAGAGATCGAGCACAACGCCAACATTGAGGAAGTGAGTCGGGAAAACGCGTCGTGGTTCTCTCTTCCGGCGGAAGAAATGCGCGTGAGGGATTACACCACCGATCATCGTTTTGCAGATCTGAGAGCGGCTGGCGAGGTTGATGAGGCGAAGGCGCCTGGTACTTATACCCAACGACTGCTCCTCCGATGCGGCAGTTATGAACTAGACGAGCTGGCAAGATGGGTTGCCAGGGATATCTCTTCGAAGTAGCGGTCTTAACGAAGAAACGACATGTACGAATAAGATATTCTTCATACACCATGCGGATATAAGATTTGAGATGTTCTGGATTCTCACTGATGCCACGATAGCCGGGGAACATTTAGATGAGGTACTCCAACGTTTCTTGGCTAACATAAGTAAATGGTTCACTAAGATATCTAGGAGCAGTGAGATAATCCGGCTGCCAAGTAAGGACTGTGAACCACAAGTGACAAATCCCTTCTCAATTTGGCAAATTTCGTTCCCCAAAAAGACGGCCCATACATACAGAAGTGCAGCAAAATGGTACCTTATGTCAAGCAAAATATCCTTCATCTCAAATCTACCGGCGAGATCAACCAAAATCATGAGAACACGCTTCTTCAAATCAAATGACTACACGCATTGAACCCGATACGAGCAGAGTCAAAATGACTGCGAACATGATCTTCGAGATGGAAGACTGATTGGTCGAAGTGCCGTTGATCATCCCTACATCCATGTCGTCAGGCAACTTCATGACAATGGCATTGATATGTCCGCCCTGGGCAGCCACGCAGTTGCTGATGTTAGACAGGACGACGAGCCCGTCCACGGTGCCGGCAATCATGGAATCGGGTATCTTGCACCACTGTCCAAGCTGGTCGTAAATGTGGACGTGGCTGGGGCGGCAGCAGTTGACCATCCACTGGTCCGTAGCGTTGGCCATTGAAATCGGCGTGGATATGAAAGGAGCGTTCATGGCGACGTCTTCTGCGAACTTTTCGGATCTAAAGACATCGAAAAAGGTCTGGTTTCTGACGTTTCCCATGCCACCAATAATGTAAGCCATGGCTGTCGGTGTGCTTTTGGTATGAAAGTATGCTTGTGTGATTATATAGTTGTGGAAATGGGAGAAAATTGAGTGAAGTCTGAGGCAGTGTTGGTGTTGGATGTAGCTAGAGGGTAGTTGTAAACCGCGGTCTGGATAAGCAAGGTGTTGAATGTCGGAATCATAGTTGAAGTCAAATCAGAACTTATATAATGACTAGAGCTCTTAGAATAAACAACGAGACAACACGTCGCTGGCGGAAGAATTTTCCGTATCTTTCTAGAACTGCAGTGAAGTCAAAGCAGCATCAATCTGTGTGTTTTGTATCCGGAATCGCCTTGAAACGCCGAGGTTGGATTGATGAAGCGATATTGCACATTCACTTCTTTACTTCCTTGAATGTCACTCTGGGTTTGAGAAGATATTTGATGGAAACAGCAGCGGCGTTTGGGCTTTTAAGTTGTCTCGTACTTGTTTGGGAGACTGCAGTTGGCATGACACCCTGAAAGACATATGAATCACCAATGAGAAACATAAAAAGGTAAATCTGGATTAATGACGCGATCACTTCAGAGCTTTCGTTCTCACACAATGTTTCCCCAGGTTTCTTATTTCAAAGAGTCCAAACCCAACCCGCCGTGGGTCTGACTCAGTTTAGGCCTGGCACAACACCACCAGCCCTAAGCAAGTCAAAAGTACTCTTAGAACCTACAAGAAGTCCGTCTTGTTTCACGTTTTCCTTTAAGCTGAATATGAGAGACTTTTGAGTCTATACTAGACCTCTCTTGCGCACACTTTGTTGGTCCTCAACTCACACAGGTTCGATCAATTACTGATCCACCAAATATGAGTCCTCTGAGAGCACTCCAGCATCAGCCAATGGCAGCGCATCAGCCGCCCGGCTAGCTCAATCGGTAGAGCGTGAGACTCTTAATCTCAAGGTTGTGGGTTCGACCCCCACGTCGGGCTCAATTCCCGTCAGCGGTTGACATGCGTATTCTTTTTTTCATGATTTATTTTTGTTCGAGTGTAGGTAGCTTTTTGTCAATTGACGACAAGTTGAGTGTCTGTTTAGACACAGCTTAGCTATCCCCCTTGTTCAACTCGATGTTTTCCATCTAAGTATAAGAGAGTGAATAAAAGTTTACTACTTGGGTGTGCGTGTATGTATGTTTTGCTAACTTTTGACATTTCTATGACAACCGTGCCGGCAATGAATTTCGAGCTGGTTTAGCCATTCACATTGCAGTATCGCAGCGATTTTTCCTCTGTCAAGATTCCCATCCAAAACTGTCAGTAGAGGTGAAAGACCTACCACCTGTCCCCTGTTGTTGAGACCGACGTTGCTTTGAGTTTGGCCTCAACCTGTCTTGGGATGATGCCGCCCACAAAGTTCGGGCTTCTTCGGGCAACGCCGATGGCAGTGACTCCTAGCCCCGACACGCGTGGGCGGTCCAAACCTTCTAGAAACCGGGCAATATTCGAGACCTTGAGGCATCCATTCCTTCAGATGCCTGTAAAGTTCGCATGGGGAGACCTGGCAAATCCGACAGACACTGGTTTTGGACGTTGGAGGTGTTTTCTTCGAGCCTGGTCTGGATTAGAATCGTATTTGGGAACATTCCTGAGTCCTGCAGCCTTCAAGAAGTTCGACCATACCGGAGCGGTAAGATGGCCTCGTCTCGGAGAAAGCGCGAACGGGCCGCGACGGACTTTGCAAAGTTCGTAGAGCCGACGGCACGTCAAACCCAAGCAGGCGACTTCGACGTCTTTGACCAAGTCGATGATACAAAGGACTATCTCTGGCGGAAGCTTGGCGATCCTCGGAGGCGGCTTTGAATTGCCAATTCGTCTTGTGTTGGCGACGTTGTGTGAAGTTTGCGGGCTCGCCGTCGGGGATGGGATCGAAGGGTTGTCTAGCAATTGTCGAGAGCTCGTGACGGACATCCTCTTAGTGTTGTCGACAGTGGACTTCTTTCGTGTGAGGAAAGCCTTGGGTGCAAGAAGGGAGCCAGAGCCTTCTGTTGCAATGGCCCCCATTTCAGGGTCGCCCATTTCAGAGGGTCTTTCGCCTTCTCGCCGTTTATTCATCTCAAAGATTAGAAAAGAACGAGAAAACAAAGTTTGTTCAATTGATTCTTACGTGCCTTATCTTGAGGCGAAAATGACATGACTGAAAATGCGTTGAAGTTGATCGGAACGGTGTCTGTTAACGAGAAACTCTCAATATTGAATGGTTTCAACTGTTCCCTTAGTTATATAGGTAAGAACAGCATACCAAGGGGCGCATCAAGGTTGCAGGCACCAATTACTTATCAAGGTCTTACGACATCATACCCATGGTTCCATATTTGTCGAGGTAAGACCATCGTCCTATCAAGTTCATGGCGCAAAATGAAAGTAGTTTGAGCCATCAAGAAAATTGGCCTAGATAACCTTGAAGATTACCGTATCAAACATCACTTCTGTCACCTTTGTGGGCCTACACGAGCTTGTGGTGACACCCGTCTGGCTATCTACCAGATCAGCCATCTATGAGTGGCTATGTACGGTCTCATTCTCAATGCTGATAAGATCAAGTTGACACTAAGAGAGTTTAAAACATATCAGCCATAAGATACGGCCCCTGAAAATTTGAAAAAGTATCGGATGCATTTTCGGAACGGACTTCAAAGTGCTATAATTTCCAGTACCAGCCATCTTCACATCAACCCCACCATGTCCGTGGTATTTCGTACCTAACTAACCGTCTGGTTCCTCTCCGTGCTACATTATGGTGTAACGTCAATCAAACTGACGAAGCAGATGATGTGGCTTAGAGCCCACCTGACTCCCTTCGCATACAGCCTCGTACCACGTCTTGAAGCCTCGCCTCAATTCATTTTCCTTCTCTCCGGTCACCGAAATGTAAGACTTTAGAAAACACGACACGCCAGCTGACCAACGCCTGATTTTGTGAAAGGAGATCCTAGTAGTACGAGGAAAATCGCGGGCGTCGGTACGTGTAGTGATGTCCACAACACGAAGGCTTCTCATACTCCGCCAGGTAATGTGAAGGTGAAGACGTCGACACGAGCTTGTATCCAGCCCTGGAGATCTCCCTCAGGGATTCCTCGGGACTGTAGACGTAGACCGTGTGGCCGGCGAACCCGACGACGTTGGGATTGTACGAGTACGACCTCGAGTATCGACGAGCCGACGGAAAAGACATGGACCTCCAGCTCCTGTCCTCAGCAGCGACACGTCTCTCGTACTCGTAGACCTGCGATGCGCGCTGGTCTTGGAGATAGGCCGTGCGAGACACACCTCTTCCTGCTGCTTCGGAATCGACGTCTAGAGAAGGAGTCAGCACCAGCGATCAAGGATATGTGAGGACAAGGGAATATTGACGCACAGTAGCGGCCTCCAGCCTCGCTGCCCCAGAACTTCCGTCCAGCGGAAGATCCGCTCTTGAGACACGAGCGACGTGGCGGGCACGGCACCGGCGCGTCGCGGTAGGCGATTCTCGTGTGCATGCTGAAAAGCGTTGTGGCGGGACGCAAGATCAAATGACGAAAATGAGGGGGTTGACGCCCCCTTTTCAGTAATGCGGCGATTGACCAAGAGCTGAACAGTCCGCTTTCATGCAAGGGAGTGCAGTAACGAAGAACAAACTCGGCAAGTTGTTTTTGGGGGCGATCGACGAGTCACAAAGAGAGGTTGTCTGTGTGGTGGTTGACAAAGCGTTTGTTTTGAGGACAACAAAAAGCGAACAAGAAACGGGAGTCAGCCGTGTTCAAGTAGGAGCCCCCAAATGAGATTTTGTAAGTTGCCTATCTGAGGCTCTTGGTGAATAGGGATTGAGGCGGCTCAGTTCAGATGAAGTGCTTCGGTATCTCAAGTCAGGCCGCAAGGCAGCGTTGGCGGAGAAGGAAAGATCAAGTGTAAAATCGTCACGCGCGGCCAAAATGCAAAGCCTTCAATTTGGGAGACGATCTAGTGAATTCAACGTGGATTATTCGTCTCATCCCGCCCAACTTTGGCATTGAATTGCTTTTTGCTTATATTTCTGCTCCGTCCTCCTTGACTAGTGCGGAAGATGTACTTGCTCTGGCCTCTCGTGGAGGACGCGAAAATGAAATTTCATCCGGAGAAGTTATTGATGAGAAGCCTTCATGCCATCAAGAAATCCGCCAAAGTGAATTTCCGAGCACTGCCCTTCATCCACATTGCACAGTGTCTGAAGATAATCTTCCTCAGCTTCTATGGATGTCACAATCTTGGAAAACTCGATGGCCGACTGTGTCGTGATCGGCGGGAGTACATCGACGTCAGCTACGAGTCTAGCATTGGCATCTTCGACGGCGCAACGTTTGTTGTATTCTATGATTTGTTGTTGTCTTCTGGAACGCAGGAAGAACCGCCTTCCCAAGCCCTGCTGTTGCTCCGGAGAGCCTATGTCTGTATGATTGTCAGTAACTTCCGGATAAATTGAAATTTACGAGATCTTGCTTACAGTAACAGCCCCAGGGGGTTTTGTAATCCACGAAAGCCTTGAATCTGTCGACGTTCATTCTGCAATTTCTGCGCTGAAGATGTTTTGCAAGATCTATGAAGAGGACAATACACCAAAGCAGAAATACGTCTAAAATACTGAATAGAGCCATATTGGTAGATCGTGGTTATCTGTTGGTTTGAAGTGGTTCGCCTACTCTGCTGTTGAAGTTGGCTGAGACGGCGGGCTGGTAATGTAGTTTGTTGTGTGCGAGTTTGATGGGGGCAAACTTGACAGAATTTACGGCTGATGAAATGATGGCAGTATTTAAGATGGATGATGAAGTTTATGAAGCACAGGTGGTTGGCGAAGGTTCAGCGTGTTATCACCACAAGGGTCGGAGCACGTTCGCGGAATGTCGAGAAAAGATTCAATAACAGCCTGTGCTAGGTAATGATACCAAGTGCCATCATCCAACCAAACGAGCTGATTGCGGGAGAGTCCGGTAGACTTTTCACCCAGGTCATCATGGTTCACAACCCTATCCTCCCTCTTTGGCCGTAGCCACGGTTGCGTGGCGCCTTGCACAGTCCCAGAATATAGTGAAAGCTTCGAGCACCTTTTGCTACTTCCAAGGATCGTTCATGTTTACTTTATTCGTTAAGTGGTATCATCATTTACATGCCGGAGTAGGCGTTGAGCGCCAACTGGCCGCCCAAGTGAGCGTACAAAACATTGCTTCCCGCAGGGATCTCGCCGTTCTTAATCAAAGCCATCATACCAGCAAGACTCTTGCCCTCGTAGACGGGGTCAGTGATGAAGCCCTCGGTACTCGCGCCAAACTTAATGGCGTCAATGGTGGTCTGGTCGGGAACACCGTAGATGCCGCCGTGGAAGCGGTCATCCAGAATAATGTCCTCCTTAGTAATGTCACCCTCCTCAAGACCGATCTTGACACCGGTGTTCTTGGCAATGCGCAGCACCTGGTCGAAAGTCTGCTCCACTGTCGCGGAGGCGTCGATGCCGATAACCTTGCGCTTGGGCGAGCCCTTCTTTTGCGCAAGCTTGAAACCAGCGACCATGCCGGCCATCGTGGATCCAGTAACAGCGCAGACGATAATAGTATCAAAGAAGACACCGAGTTCCTTCTCCTGAGCCTCAACCTCGAAAGCCCAGCGGGCGAAGCCGAGACCGCCGAGGGGGTGGTCAGAAGCACCGGCCGGGATGTAGTATGGCTTGCGGCCAGCGGCCAGGATCTCCTCCTTGAGAGAAGCGAGGGTGTTCTTGTGCTCGATGCCGAACTTGGAGGGGTCAAGACGGACGTCGGCGCCCATCAGGCGGGACAGTTGGATGTTGCCGACCTTGTCGTAGACGACGTCCTCCCAGTCAACCCACTTCTCCTGGACCAGGGCGGCCTTGAGGCCGAGCTTGGCGGCAACGGCGGTCACCTGGCGGGTGTGGTTGGACTGGACACCACCGATACTGACGAGAGTATCGCAACCCTGAGCGAGAGCATCGGAAGCAAGGTATCTGAGGGGTGTTAGTTGATGACTTGGAGAGAGAGGAAGCGGGACCTCTTACTCAAGCTTACGGGTCTTGTTACCACCGTAGGCGAGGCCGGAGTTGCAGTCCTCACGCTTAGCGTAGACGTTGACCTTTCCACCCAGAGCAGCAGAAATGCGGGGGAGGGGCTCGATGGGAGAGGGGCCGAAGAGGAAGGATTCCCTCGGGATGCTGGCGAAAGGCTCAGGGAGGAGAGACATCGTGAAGAAGTGTTATGATTCAAAAGGGGTATCAAATGAAGAAAGGAAGAGGACTGAATAAAGATTGGAAAGAGAACCAGGACATCTCCGTAGATGAAGAAAAGACGTGTTTTAATAAGACATTGACGATACTTGAAGTAGAGCGACGTCGGATGTTTGAAGCCAAGATGCAGGAGCGTGACTCGAGGGGCAAACGCGGACAGGTGGATAACAACGGTCCACCGTTATCTGCAACGGGAAGAGGCGGGAGATCGTGGTTGTTGCTATCAATAGACAGAACACTGGCAAAAGCTGTTGTAAGACCGTGGGATTGTCTCGTGGCCCATGAACATGAATATCTTTTCTAAAATAAGACTCATAAACTCTCAGATTTGCAGATAAAATCGTTTTGAAATGAGTCTAAAAACTGCAGGATCAGAGGAATAACGAAGACATCACTGACGAAGATCACTATCATCGTTGTCTCTGCCCCTCCATCAGTGAGTTTTAGGGGACCAATTCCCCTCTATTCAGTGACACAAGTGCCCCGCAGATCAAATCTCCGGCGGGGTTTTCACTGTTCCGGACCAGCAATGACCCCGCGTTGACGCGACCGGCTGACATCGCGATCTCGGGCAACTCAGCGGGAAACTCGGGAAACTTGGTTTTCCCCGGAAAACTTCGCCAAACTTCGCCGAAGTGCCAGAATCGGAGTGGTTTCCCGGTGGACAGAATGTGAGAAATGAGCCCTTTCCGCCAGAGGATGTCACGTCACGGATTTGCGTGGTTCCCGATGCTGTTCTCCGCCTTCACACACTTGAGCTTCAAGATCAGTCCCATCTCTCATCTCATATGACAACACCATTGAACATTCATTTCATTCGCCTAGAGTGTTTCATCATCTATTTTCATTTTACTTCATTGTTCATTTGAGATTCGTAAGTCTACGAAGCGTCTCTATGACTATTGTTCATGTTGATCATAATGAACTGTTTTCTTCCTCATTCTTCCCCCGCCAGCGACCCATCTCATCAATTCTTGATGAAATGTGCGGCGCCTGTAAATTTTTTCATCCATAGCAATCGCTGAAGGCAAACACATCAAACTAACGTCATCCAAGCACATCGCACCAACGGTCCGGCTCACTCCGCGTCAAGCGGCGCGGTAGGAGGCTGGTTGTTCACCTGGATACCACCACGCTTCTTCTCCTTGCTGTCGGGGAACGGCAGGGCCCATCCGCCCTCAATCTCCGGCGTCGACAGCCACAGACGGAGCAAGTGACGTCTGGGCGCCGGGGGAGGGTAGTCCTTGTATGCCGTCCTAGCATGCAGCAAGTGCGCGTTGCTCAGGAACTGAATGTCGCCAACCTCCAAGATCATGTGAAGCGCGAGCTTCTGGCAAGTGTCCTCGAGAGTCTTGAGAGCATGCTGCTGCTCTTCGCTCAGGGGAGGGATGATGCCCTTGTCCGAGAATCTTGTAAGAGAACGGACGTAGTAGGGGTCCCACTTGCAGTACACGCGCTTCTGGCCGCCGTTCTCGATGTAGAACACCGGTTGGCGAGTCCACTCCTCCTGACCTTCGGAGATCTCTCCCTTGCGGTCGAAGTACCAGATGGGCTTGGTCAACAGCTCGGCGACCTCAGGATGCGAGCGCTGCAGCTCGTTCCAGACGGCGTGGATGCTGACGAGGTCGCTCTCGCCGCCCTCTGCGGCGCGGTGGACGCAGAGGAGACCGACGAGATCACCGTCGTCGGCGTGGAAGAATTGGCGGGCCGTAGTACGGTAGATGCGGACCTTGTCAATCTGGGTCGGGTCGTCGCCGACATCCTTGACGTGGCCCAGGACGTGACCGCGACCGTTCTGAGAAACGAAGTAGCCCAGGTATGTGCCGAGACCCATGTAGCCAACGGCGGTCTTGTGAGGACCCCATTCTTGGGCCGGGAAGCCCTTGAAGAGGATAAAACCCTTGCCGTTGATGAGGTCTTCACGGAGTTCGAGCAGGGCTTTGCTTAGTGTGGGGAGAGGGAAGTTGCTCTGCAGGATAAAGGGTCAGCATTCGAACTGGAAATTGGGGTGCAATCGACATGGCCGAGTGGCACGTTGAATTCTGTTTCGACATACCTTGGAAATGCCGGTAAGGGGAGTGCCGCTGGCAATGAAAGCATCGGCTGTGCGGCCAAGTTCTTCGACCTCTTCAGGAGTGAAGCGGTGCGTCCATTTCTCGGGGCTGTTCTCGAACTCCTCCTTGTGCCAGACGGTACGACCGGTGATCTCCTTGGGAAACTCCTCATACGGACGCAGAACGTCGTATAGAGGGTTGTGCTGGCCCGAGGTCCGGATACCGTCAGGGAAGATGTCGCGAGGAGCGTCATCGTTCTTGCCCTTCCACGGTCCTGCGGAAGGGGCTTGGGCGGGCTCGTCGATGAGAATACCAGGCGCCATGACTGAGACAAGTATTCTAGGGTATCAAAAAAAGGATGAAGATTACAATGAGGGGAAAAGTAAGACGGTGCGAGCTTGAAGAACTTGGAGAATGAGACCGAGAAGAAATATGAGCAATGATATCTACCCCTCACTCGGCAAAACTCTCTGACGTCGCACCGAGGGGGCCTGCGCCCTTTATCACCGGCAACCAGTTCATCGGGTTGGAGGGCTTCGAGGGGGCTCGAGGGGGCATTGTCGAGCTCGAGGCAACAGATGGCGTGCTCAGGGACCCATATCGCGAGCGCTCGTCCGATGACGCGAGACAGTATGGATGTGGGGTTCGCCGATCGGGATGCCCCGCTCCGCCGATGTCGTGCTCCGTGTACACGGCAGACGGAGCCGGGGGTTTGTTTTAGACTTTTTTTTCTTCCGCTTTTGTTGTGTTCAGATCGTTCCATTTGTTTCCCATCTTCGCTTCCAACTTCCCATGCGCGAGAAAGCTCCGATTGCGCCCGGTGATATGGGTCAATGGAAACTTCAGATCGCGCGGCATGGAAGCACCGGCTACCCCAACGTCTCCTCACCACACCATCTCGCTGAACTAGCATGCTTGCGTTATCGCATCCTGGTACCTTTTACTGCCAATTGACGTTGAAAACCCCTGTCGATGCTTCAACGGCGTGAAAACCTGCGCTCCCATTGTGGAAAGCAACACGTGTGAAGGGCACACGTGACACACCTCATCTGCCGAAGGAACACCCCGCGGTATTGGACCAAGTCCAACGCATTTACATAATAACGTCTCTTGGTATTTCATGCTCCACAGGTGGTAGTGGTGCGCTTCTGATGATTCTTTTCACCCAGGTCTATGACGTTCTCATACGTTCGGTACGCCTGCCTACCCTCATCAAATGTTCAACTCTTACGAGCTGCCACCGTACTCCTCGATCACGCTTCTTGGCTTCCTGAATTTTCCAAGTGGAACGTACTCCAAATCATCCATGCCGAATCCTTTAGGTCCGCCGATTTCGATACCTCTTTCCGTAGAGGTCCACTTCTCGGAAGCAGTGATGCCGAGGACGACAACAAGAAGACCGTAGCGATACTCTTGAGTGCCAAGGGCCTCGCCATTCTGAGCGTCGATAACACAGACAAGATCAGGTACAATAGTGAGAATCTTGTCGAGAAGTTGTCAGTCAGCAACCTGGACTCATGTTGGATCCAAACCATCGGGGACTTACCTCTTCCTTCCCCTCAGCATCAATCTTCTTGGCGAGAATGTTCTCATTCTTGAACGGAATCTTCAGCTTCTCCGCTCCCTTTTCACTAGTGGACGCGCCTTCAATGATGACCTCGCCATACGCGTGTCCCATTCTCGTCACCCTCTCGACGCCCACGATCTTACCCCTGAAAAGCACTCTCGCAGATTCCTCACCTCCCACTTCATCCACGATAGCCTCGGCAACCTTGTCGACTGTGTTGCTACAGCGCGACAACGCGACAACGCGACCGATACGCCAAGAGAGCGAGACGGTATTCTCGACGACCCAGGACTTGGTGTCGCGGCCGCTCACGGGTCCTTTGGCGCAGCCGACGTGCGATCCCATTTGCGACAGCGCTGCACGGAAAGCGCGCTCCGCGTCGAGTTCGGTGCGAGCTTTTGTCATGAGCTAGAAAGTATTAACTGTCAGTAACTGGAAGTCTGCACGGGATTGGCGAGTGACATACCATAATCCTGCCGTTGCCATCCGAGATGCATGATGGAATCATCGTCGCCTTCTTTTCAAATACTACCGGCGTCGTCTGATGCGAAATGGGGTATGCGCGGCCCATCCAATCGCCATCGATGGCCGGAATATCCAGATTCGTGCTCGCGCCGAGAATTAGACCCTGTAGACCATTGCCGCCACCGATTTCGAGAGAAATGACGGCTGTTGGCTTAGTCTTGAGGTATTCGTAGAGTTCTCTCTGTGACTCCATGATTCTTGATAAGCGAATTAGTAAATATCACATATTCAGAAGAAACAATGTGCTAACTCATCACCGTATGGCTTCTCAATCGAAACTTGAGGAGATCCCTTCCCACCGCCGCAAGCCACGATATCGTCATCCTTGAGATCCCACGGAGATATAATACGGACAGTCGCTCCATCGCGCATCATCTCGCGTAGTCGGAGCATGTGCTGATACGGCGATCCGCCGCCGCCAGTGCCCAGGATGTAGCAGCCTATCGTGATCCAATCAAGGTCGGTTTCGGAGAGAAGCCATTCCCTATTCACGATACGCGGCTTGTAAGAGTTGATGTAATCCTTGGTGTAGACGAGGGACTGAGAGGATGGTTTTGTGTCGTGGCCGTCGGTAATGGCCTTCTTCTCGAGAGGGGCGGTAGGCTCGTCCAGATAGTCATCCGGAATGGTAGCAGACTCATCGAAATTTGTTCTCGAGAAGTCGAAGTCTCCCACTGCCTTGATGATGATCCGCGACTTGTTCGCAATGTACTAGATTGGACTATCAGTGGCTGGAATCATCCGTCGACGTCGTTCGAACACAAGACTTACTTGAAGTGGGAAGCTCTCAATTTCCGCGATTGTGACGGTGTCTCTCACAGCCCCGCTCTCGACAGCTCTGTCGATAGCTCTTTGCGACAACTCCTCGATCACCCGAGCAGAGCTCTTCGTCTCGGTACTCTCGATAGAATCCACCACTCCGCTGACTCTAGCTGTGGCCGCACCAATGGCATTTGCGACCCCAGACCATTCTGGCTTGATGACTTTGCTGGCACCGGCAAGAGTATCCGGCGCAATCACTGCACCTCCACCCACGAGAACGACCGGGATATCATCTGGTGATGTCTTCATGGTGTCCACGATACGCTCCAACATCTGTTTGACCTTGGCCTTGAACTCAGGGAGGTCATCTTGAAGGCTTGAGTTCTTGACCAGCGAACTGTCTCCGATCTGGACCGCAGAGTCTGCGAGAACGGTGTAGTCAGTGGTAGTCGGAACATCTCCACCAAACACCAGTGCCTTTTGCTGAATCTGGTAGCCGACGCTCTGAGGGCCGATGGTCAAGTCCCCTTGTTCATCTCGCTGAACGATGGACCCGCCGCCGAGACCGATGCTCTTGACATCGGGGTACGAGAAGTTGGTTCTCACGCCGGAGATCTCGCTATACGCCGCGGCTTGCCTAGGAAAGCCGTTCTCTAACAGCAGTCCCACGTCAGTCGTCGTTCCGCCGATATCGACAACCATCATGGCTTCCTTCTCGAGGTTCTGTGTCAAGAAAGCAGCGCCGCGCATGCTGTTCGTGGGGCCGCTGGAGAAAGTCCTGATAGGTAGATGTGCTGCAGCACTGGCAGGGAGGATTGTACCATCGTTCTGTGTAACAAAAACAGGGCATTTGAGACCCAACCTTGCAATAGCATCTTGGAAGGAGTGAATCGTCCGTCGAGCGAAAGGCAGAATGGAAGCATTGAGGATAGCCGCGTTCTCTCTTTCGAGAAAGCCAATGTTCGCGACATCTTTCGACAGCACGACGTCAGCTTCGGGGTATGCTTCCCGAATGATCTCTGCCGCCCTCTCTTCCTGCTTGTATACGATGTCGATGGGACTAAAGATACCCACGACAACGACACTCCGGATTCCCTTTGCTCTGATGGCTTCGCACTCTTTCCGTACGGCATTTTCGTCCAACTCAGCAATGAGACTACCATCGATCTCCAGACCACCGTCTACGAGACTGCGATGAGCGCAGATGATGTCGCGCAACCGCGGCGGCCAGTCAACACCAACTGGAATGCTCGACGAGAACGGCCCACAGAGACGGAGGACTGCGACGCGCGCGAGACGGGAGGCGTCCATCTCTACAACGGCGTTGATGAAGTGTGTTGTGCCGATTGTCACGCTTGCGACGCTCGACGAGTCAACAGATGACTGTTGAAACATCTGCGTAATGACGCTGTTGATGCCATCGCTTGGGTTGGCTGTTGTACTGGTCTTTTGAGAAGCGATGATTCCGCGGTCTGGGGCTGAAGATTTGGTGGGGTCGAGAATGACGCCGTCCGTGTTGGTACTGTCGAATATTCAGTATGGCACTTTTTTTGTTCTTAGTGTGGTTGGAACTTTACCCGCCGACGTCGACTCCTATTCTTAGAGTTGGGGGTGACATATTTATGATCTTGGGAGTGTTTTGGTGGCAGACCATTCAACGAAAATGGCGATCAAGAGAGGTGAGCCCGATTTCGAGATACCGGGTGACGAGATTCGAACAATGGTACAGCCTCAGTTGGATGGGAGAACTGGGTGTCAATAAAGTTGGCGAATGAGGTCGAGCTTGGATGAGATATCGGGCGCTTTCCGACGCGGTTCCGGCATCGGGCAGCGGCCGACTACTGACCCCATATCCCCGGAGATACTCCCCCTGCCATCTCGACCTTGTTTCTATTGCTTGAATGGTCAGAATGAAACCAAATGTCAGCGACATGAATCATATTCTTTCTCTCATTCGCCCCCAAAGACCCTTGCGCCATACCATGCTTAACTTGATGTGATCCTTCGGCGTGTTTATCACCGGCATGTTGCCGGCGGGGGTCATTCCCCCACACGTTCTTATCTTCGGCGCATGGGAGCCGGGGTTCTCAATGTTGGCCGGTCCAATCGTTCGTTACTTTTCTCGCCCTCGGAGGCAAACCCGTGGAGCGACAACCGGCATTCGGAACTATGATTGGGTTGTTGTTATGTTCTGATGGATTCGTTGTCCCTGGAACCGTTTTAGGGATAAGGGACACTTACCCGGGAAACCGTTACCGAACATCGCTCTGATATGCACGATAGATAACAGAACATGCGCTGCTTTTTGCATGGAGCCGACGCCAAGATTTTTGCAAGAGCCGAAGGAATCATGAGATCTACAGGGAGCCTGAATCGGTTGACAAGATAAGATGTTGCAGTATATCAGCTTCTGGCTCCCGCCAGTTTGGTTCCTCCCCAGGTGTGGGCGACCAAGTTTCAGCATCAGCAGACATGGCGAACAAGACCTTGAAAAGGGTGAAAGAGGCTGTGGTTCTCAAGTCCGATGAGTCGCGACATGAAGAGGTCAGCGCCTGGTCCAATCGAGACCTGATTCCGTTGCCGCCTTCTCGCCGCACCTGGGGTTGGTTTAACTTCTTCGGTTCCTGGTCTTTGTAGGTTTCCCAACTCATAAGACAACACGAACGCTTGCCAAGTCCCAGATGCTGACCTCGAGTCCGCAGGTCGTCGCTCAACGTCGCAACATGGCAGACGCCGAACACGTTTCTCACGCAAGGAATGTCGGTGGGCCAAGCGATGGGTGTCATCGTCGTCTCTCGAGCGCTGTGCTGCTTGTTTGCGGTTCTCGTTGCATGGTGTGGCTTGACATGGCACATTGGCTTCACCGTACAGAACCGTTTCACCTGGGGATTTCGAGCGAGTTATATCCCTCTGCTTCAGCGCATTCTACTTAACTTCATCTGGAATGCCCTTCAGTGTAGGTTGCCTAAGCCAGCAAGCAAGAGGTGTTCAAACTAACGTACTAAATAGGTTGGAATGGTGGTAAACTGGTTACGTGAGTCGCATTCTTCTAATTGATAGCTCAGTTCATCGTCGCTGACAACTTTCTAGCGTTTGTATCACCGCCATCTGGCCCTCATTCGCGAAGATTCCCAACACTCTCAGCGCCAGCACCCCGACGACGACATACGAACTCATCGGATTCATCGTCTTCTGGGTAGTCTCTATCCCGTTCCTCTTCATTCGACCGGAGCGATTCAAGAAACCCTTCTTTGTCTCGTCCGTCGCTTGTGGTGTTGGCATGGTCGCCTTGCTTATCTGGTCTTTGGTCGTCGCCAAGGGTGTCGGTCCCATCTTTTACCAAGGCGAGAAGGTATCGTCGGGCTCACGATGGAGCATCTCATGGCTGATGATGGCGGGTATCAACCAAGCCATCGGCCAGAAAGCAGCGGGCATGACGAACAGCAGCGACTTTTCTCGCTATGCGAAGAACAAGAAGGACTACATCATTGGTACTGTCTCTGTCTACTGGATCACCGGCGTGTTCGTCTGTCTTGGTGGATTAGTTACGACTGCCGCATGCCAGAAGATCTATGGAAGCATCTACTGGAACCCCCCTGACCTTTTGATGGTCATGATGGACCGTAAGTCCCGACGTGCATTGTCAGTTACAAGGTGACGCTAACCGAACTTGAAATAGATGGCGAAGGTTCATCGGCCTCTCGCGCAGCCGTCTTCTTCCTCGCTCTCGCATTTGCATTCACCTCCATGTTCGAAAACGTCTGCTCCAACGCCGTCGCCGGAGGAATCGACCTCGCTGGCCTCTTCCCCCGCTACATCGACATCCGTCGCGGCGCCCTCATCACCTTCTTCGCCGCGTGGATCATCCAGCCCTGGCAGCTGATCAACCAGGCCGCCACGTTCGTCGCGGTGCTCAACTCATTCGCCGTGTTTCTCGCCCCGATCATGGGCGTCATGGTCTGCGATTACTTCTTCCTGCGCCACCAGAAGGTCAAGCTGTCGCACCTGTTCCACCCCGAAGGCTCGGACTACTGGTTCTGGCACGGCATCAACTGGCGCGTGATCCCGTGCTGGATCGCGGGATGGGCACCCACGATTGGCGGCCTGATTGTTAGCGCGAGGAAGGACGAGAATGCCCCCGACGCCATATACGAGTTGTATTACATTGCGTTTTTCGTCGGCTTTTTCATCTCTTTTGTGCTGTTCTATCTGGCCAATCTCGTGTTCCCGTTACAGCATCTTGGCGAAATCGACGACGAGGACAAGTACGGTACTTTTACCGCCAGCGAGGCAGCCAAGCTTGGTGTTATACCAACGGACTCCGCAGCTACTTCTGGTTTCACTAAGGTGGAGGGTATTGAGCCTCAAGTCAATGAGGTCTCAGACGGCGGTTCAGCTAGGGAGAAATAGTGGTGGGACTTCAGACGTCGATAAACAGCCATGTCGAAGCAGAAGGAATACCATTCACTGAATTTGGACAGCCACCATTTAATCTATATACCACCTTATTCCAATACTCGCACCACTGAATGCTAGTTCTGAGACATTCTGATTTGAATATGCCATGCTCAAGCCGGTAGCTTGAAGCCTGTCTTCCGCAGCTTCTGGAATACACCATCGGGATCAACCCTTGACGCCACTGACTTGATAAACGCCACGTTCTTCTCACCATAGGTCGCAATCGGGTTCTGATCACCCCAAGCGTAGTTGAGATACTTCAAGTCCTTGTACACACCCCGCCTCTTGGACTCGGCATTGATATCGTCCCGTAACTGCAGTGCGAGCGGGAGCAACTTATCCTGGTTGGCAGGTGTGTCAACGGTCAGGACAATCAACCAATTGGTCGTGGGTCCGTCAGCCACAACATCTTCGAGGCCGAGTACGTTGCCGCCGTTCTTGAGGCCCTTATCGACTATGGACTGAGTAAACGGCTGGAATTGCACGAGGACGTCATAGTCCGTGCCGTCGGGCACCGCTGCGTCCATCTTCTTGCCGTACTCTTCAAGTTTGTTGTTGACGAACTTCATCATGTCAAAGCTGTTTTTGAACTGACCAACCAACCAATTGGCACTAGTACGCAACGTGTTAGTGTCCGATGAAGATGGAGCTTCCAGAGAAGTGGAAAGAACGTAACGTACTAGAGACCGAGCGGCGTAGGACCCGTGAATTCCGGAACCATTTCGGCTACAGCCGCAACGCGGGAAGTACTCGAGATGTTCCGAATCGTCATGTACTCATTAAACGCCGGAGCATCCTGGACGGCGGCGCTGTTCGTCAGGATGGATCGCAGAGCATAACCCCTTCGTGGTCCCCAAGACATCCCAACGATGTTCTGACTTGCAGGATCCGCATGCATGTTCTCGGAGAAGTTGATGAAGGCTTCGAACAGCTGCTCTTTCACGCTGGGGTCGTACTGCGTGAGCCCTCCCCACATGTCTGTCGACTCGACAACATCTAGCAACGCTGTCAGTAGTTGCCAAGCAAAGAACGGCCCGCCTACTCACATTCATCGATCCGAGTTACGAACCCGAGGTTTCCGGAGCTACCCTTCTGAGCCTTCCACAGTTCAGGATTCTCCCGAGAATTGGCATTGACCACCGTGCCGTTGCCCAGAACAATCTCAAAGTTGGCCACCATGTCGCAGGCAAAACCATAGGCATTGGTGTGGAAAGAGTACTAAATGTACGCAGGTCAGCAATGAGGCGCGTGGTGGATGGTTTTCGAAGCCGATCAAGGGTATACTTACACCGCCGCCAGTGACAAAGCCACCGACGCCGACGACTGATGCCCGGCCACCCACGGTGGTTACGCCATGGGGTCGAAGCTTGTTGAAGACCCTTTCCCAATCGGAACCGGGTTGAATAGAGGCGATGCCCTTCTCTTTGTCATATGTGGTAGCATTCATGTGACCTGCGAATAGTGTCAGTGACTGCCCTTGACATACCATAAGATAATTGCTGATGCTCACCGAAGTCAATAGTGATGCCATTCTCAGCTGCGTTGGAACCCTTCCAGGCTGAGTGAGCACCACTGCGCATGCCAAAAGGGCATTGATGCTTCGAAATGATCTTCGCAATGTTCGACACATCAGACGTGGATGTAGGCAACACCATACACCAGCTCGCCTGCGCCGAGTTGGAGGAGTAGTACGACTCCAAACGAGAGCTGTACGCCGTGGTATTGGGGGCCAACACCTTTCCTTGGAGGAGGGGGTCTTTCGCCAGCGCGGAGCACTACCTCAAACATCAGTACTCATCCTTGAAGTCTCCAATTGTCCCGACATTCCGCGCGAGAGACAGGAAGGGAGGGGAGGCGAAACAGACGCAAACACATTTGGGGCTGCGGCCGCTCTGGGCGTAGATGCCCAGTGCCGTTGGCAGTATTAGGGCCAGGATGGCTTGACTGAGGGAGAACTTCATGATGGAGAACCGAACCGAACCGAACTCTAATTGACTCTCTCTATCACGTGGATGGGGATCCAGTGGAGTGGACTTCAAGAAGGTTTGGATGTAGTGGATGTCGAGTATGAGGTTGGGGAAGACCGAGAAGATCAGACAAGACTTGTGATGTTCCAGAAGGCTTCTGGGTTGGGACAGCGAACGAAGACCAGATGATGAATATCTGCTTTTGCGGGAGATGAGAATCGAGGCGGATGCTCTTATAGCCATGTATTTCTTATCTATTTTCGAGGACGGTGGCTGATCATGGCTTCACAAGAGAGCTGAGTCCCAAATGGCCCCGATGTGCCCCAAGAAGACCCCAAGTGGTATGAACATAGCCGCTTCCCCCAAAGGACCCCATAGCCAAGTATGCAGGCCCCAAGTTTTCAATACGACCTTGGGATACATCCAAAAGATTGAGAATATGAGCATGGGGAAGCTGATGAGTCCAGTTTCAGACAATCCTTGATAGTCTCTGCCGTCGGTAAGGCACGCGTCCGGGTAGCCATCTAAAGTTCACACCCCAATGAAGGGATGGCCCGCGCCAAGTGAAGATCCACAACGTCTGAGAACCCGTCTCTCATGTTGTGTTCAGTATTGTGTATGGGGAGGAGATCAAATTCCGAGAGGGGTCTTGGTAGTCGCCCTCGGGTTGTTGCAGATGACAGAGCTAGCATGCACGTGGTACGGGGTAGCTCGGGTGAGGGAATATGATAGAAACAACTGCATTGCGCACAGAGAGGTCTTTTCATCCCAATGCAAATTGTTTGAGCTTTTTCGCGATCATTGAGCAGAATATTATTCAGAGTCGCAACGGAATTGCATCCGCATGATTCAATACAGACTACCTCTTACTACCAAAAGCCGTTAGCCTGACTATCGCCGATCGATCAACATCTTGCCAAGACCCAAGGAAGATCTGCACCTGCGCAGCTTTCATGTCTCTAATCGTCAGCTCCAACTTGGTTCGATCTTGTCTTGTACCTTTTTTCTCTTAAGTGCCGAGCCGATAGTCGATTTTATTTGGCTTGAATGTCTACCATCAGCCCAGTCTGCTTCCTTATGACGGCTCTAGCGCTTACATTGTATTGTTTCACGGCAATCAGCAGCTCCATTAAACAACTGGCACTGGATTGGACGACAAATACTAGGTTGCATAGGAGATATTGAGTACATACAGACAGATACGTCGCGTCGCATTGTCACACGTCGATACCCGAAGGACTTCAAGTCACACCGCTCAACATGGAGTCTGCAGCAATATGCAAAAAGCCGTGGCCCGGTGATCCGCGATCACGATATCCAACGAACACGGTGTTTGCGCAGGCAAAGCCGTGTAGTCTACATTGACGAGGTCGCATGTCTGGCTCCAGCCCAGTCGCCATGAATCATAACCCTAGGACGGGGATCTAGAATTGTTCCTCCACACGGAATTCATTGCACTGTGACGGGCCGGCACTATTGCTGCAGCTCGGCTCAAAGCATCCCTCGTCTCAACGTGAATGACAGGTGTGGACTCTGCATCTGTGCGGAGGCAAGTCCTGCCAATACTCGTGGCAAGCGGAGCCTAAGCTCGACCTCCCGCGTTTGTATGTCGTTCGGCTAGGTAAAAATGAGATGTCAGGAAATATTTGCCCATGCTAATACTCAATCGCTACTGGAGTGCAGCGGCGGCTCTGTGCCGCCGGCTGGACACAGGATGAGTGAGTTCTTTCTCGTATCCAACAGCCCATCGCTGGAAACCTCGCGTTCGGATTGCGCTAGCTATCCCTTTTTGGTTTCGAGGGTTTCCGTCCTCAAACCATCCCATCGAATATCATCCCGGCTGGAAATATGTGCCGATGAACAGGCAAACCTAGAGCACCGAATCGTAGTAGAAACCCGAGGAAGCTTAGAACGAGTCCGGACTGAGTGCTCAGAGCCAATCATCCAACGCTGTACATCCAATGATTCGAACAACAGAGTTTACGTTGGGATCTTTACGAATTGCAGGAGGGAGCCATCAAACCCAATGCGCAGTCTCTACGATGGTCTCGTACCGCCTTCAAGAGCTTCTACCGCTTGCGAGCAGGGAACATCCAGATAGACCGGCGCCCGCTAGACATATCGACACGTGCGCCAAGACAAGGAATCTGAGTACGTGATAAACCCAAATTGAAGCTTTGACAGGTCGAGGTCACCATGATTCATGCCGTTTGATTCTCACAAGGAACGTTGATTCGAGGATCGTTGCGGGAGACAGTGTCAGCTCACACGTGGGCCATTAACATGGGGTAATTGACTTGATCGAGGAGCTCAGCGCGAACCATACCCTTTTGCCACACGTTCCGGAAGGCTTCTCCGACGGCATGGAGATAAGGTTGAGGGCGGAAGCTCACTGTGGGAGGGATTGGGCTCACGGTGTCAATTAAGACTCCGACTTGCTGGTCGCTCACAGAGTAGACGCGGAGTATGGTGCCGACCCCAGAAAGTTTCACATGAGTGGTGTATGGCTGTCGGCACTGGAGGACGACTCCGCGTGGCAGCAATATAGAGTGTGTACTCTCCGCATTTTTTTCTACCTTCTTCAGCTCTGCGGAGATGAACAAGCTGTTTTCCGGCCTCATGCAGCAACGATGCCCGAATTCCCGGTCACGAATGGCACCGTGACCTTCTCGAAGCCGCCAGACGGCTATGTGGTCGACTTCGATCATCCGCAGCGACATCTCGTGCTGGAGCATTACCTGGTGTTTGGAATCGGGGCGCCCATCGCGTTTTTGTGCCTGCTTCAGAGGTTCTACACCAAAGTTTGGCTGTCAAATGGGTTTCAGATCGATGATGGTGAGTGCGTGCGGAACGATACAAGACATCGAAGAGCTCCATTCGCGATTAGGGGCCACGGAATGTTGAGGCAGAATCAATCAGTCTTCAAGGAGTAGTTGCTAACGGAGTCGCAGCTCTCATGTGTATTGCCTGGGTGAGTGAGACGACCGTTGCTATGCCGTATTCATCTCGACAATGGTCGACGCAAAATTGGACATTGGACTTGGCTAAGACCATCGACTTCAGATCGCATCTGTCACTATACAGGCCACCATTCTGGGTAAGATATGAAATTATACCTGAGAGAGCTGGTAATGATGAAACGTGCTAACCCTGGATTTCAGAATCTATTACAGAGCAAGGCATGTGCTCCCACTCTTGGGAGATACCACTCACACGATTCGAGTCGTACTCTGCTGTGAGAAACATTAAAATCCTATGGTAATACAGGTGTAGAGCAATGTGACTAACGATATCAGATAACATTCGTTGCGGGTCCGTTGTTCGTGCTATGCAACGGTTTCAGCAAGCTGTCGCTACTCTCACTCTACCTCCAACTCTCACCGCAGAAGAAATACCGTGCCGCTGTCTGGTTGGCCATTCTATTCGTATCCGTCACCACGGGCGGCGTCGCCTTCGTCATGATAATCCGCTGTACCCCTATACGAAAGGGGTTCGATGTGAGGATAGACGGAGGATCCTGTATCGATGCGGACACTCTCTACATGACCAACTCCGTCGCAAACATTATCACAGACGTTATGCTGTTCGTCTTGCCGATGCCCATGATCTGCAGCCTTCGGATGGGGATGGGTCAGAAAGTAGGAGCGATGGCCATGTTTGCAGTGGGGTCGATGTAGGCATTTCGTGGCAACTCTCGATGAACTTGCGACGGGCTGACCTGACATACTCTTAGGACAATAATGACATCCGTCATCAAACTCGTGCTTCTCCCGCAGCTACTACGAAGCACTGATCCTTCATGGGATAGCGCTCCCGCTAACGTGTGGAGGCACGTAGCCCCTCCTATCCAGAATCAACGTATGGACACGCTCTGACTAGCAGGCAGCTTCGTGGAGACGAACCTTTTCATCATATGCGGTTCCATGCCGACGCTAAGAAAGTTCTTTCAGCATTTCACGCCTAGAATACTGCTCCGGAGCGACTCCTCTTCGATCGCGAGCCGGAAACCCTACCTAATACACGCGTCCGATCCCAGCCAGCCGCAGTCGGGTTGTCGGACCGGAAACTTCACCGGGATGAGCCCGCAGCAGATGTATCACGAAGAGCTGTTCAGCGGATATCAGGGGCACCAGAGTTTGCTGGAATACACCGGCGTGGTTATGATACCAGAATCACCTCCGGCGTCGAGACAGGGGCCGGTAATATCCAAGGCTTTGCTCTGAAAGCTTGGGGACGGGGTCCGGAGGTTGAGCGACTTGACTTATTAGAGCGAAGATTATGATACCCCTTTCATTTTCATTGAAATCAGATTTATACAAAAGTTGATGGGCGACGTGCTGTCCACCTGTAAGAAAGACAGCTTCAGACACCACAAATCCTGGACTATGCGGGGTGGGATGAGTGGGGGAGAAGAGGGGGACAATTATGGGGATTGGACGTTGAAACATGGAACAAACATGGCATGAGGTTTATCTCCCGAGTTGCAATCCGAACGAGACGAAACCGGCTCTCTTTGAAGGTCATTCGAGAAAATAGGAAGAAATCTGAAGATGGGGCATGTTTGTTTGCATGAGAGATGTATGTTGTGTGAACATCACATGCACCTACTTGCTTCTCAGGAGCGTAGCGGAACACCTGAAGCTACTATCGCCGCACTACTCATGAACAGGCTGACACCATCGGCGACAAGTTCACCCTCGAACACGTTATTGAAGATTTAATTGAAAGATTTCACTTCTAAACCTGTCTAGTTACTCAATAAACGTAAGCTGTTCTCATTTCATGATCCAGCGACAAGCCGGACTCGGCACATGGCAGTGACGCAAGGTCTTGTGAGGGGCAGCGTCGTGTTAAGCTCCACCGAAAGGGGTAATCTGAAGCGCTCGCTTTCGTCAATGGGGTTACGGTGAGAACCGCTCATATTTGAATCCAACTTCAGTCATGAGATTCAGACACTGACTTTCCAGAAACAACACATACCATTTTCATATTCAGTGGTCAAAATGGTTAGGCTACAGGCTTTGGCGAAAGCCGCCGTTCTCCTGTCTTCAGTCAGCTCAACCCTGGCCGCTGCACAATGCACCCCCGCAACACCAGACAAGCCCCGCGTCTTCCTCCTCAGCGACATCGCCAACGAGCCCGACGACGCCCAGTCGCTCGTGAGGCTTCTCGTATACTCCAATGAGCTCCGCGTCGAAGGCCTCGTCGCCACGACGAGCATCTGGCTCAACGACACCACACGCCCGGACCAGATGCACGACATCGTCGACGCCTACGAGGAGGTGCGGCCCAACTTGCTGAAGCATGCGACCGGGTACCCCGAGGCGGGCTATCTGAGGGATCTCATCACGTCAGGTCTTCCCGTCTATGGTATGTACGGCGTTGGAGAGGGCAAGGACAGCGAGGGCTCGAAGAGACTGGTGAAAGCCGTCGACGCCTCGGACGAGCCCTTGTGGGTTCCGGTATGGGGTGGTGCTTCGGTCCTTGCACAGGCGCTGTGGCACGTCAACGCGACGAGGTCGCCGGCGGAGATTGAGAAGTTCGTCTCCAAGCTGCGCGCCTACAGCATTTCGGACCAGGACAACACCGGATCTTGGATCCGTCGCAACTTCCCCCAGCTCTTCTTCATCGCCAGCATCCACCACTTCAACCGCTATGCCCTGGCCGCCTGGGGAGGGATCTCGGGCGACCAGTACTACAACTTCCCGAGCCTCGCCAGCAGAGACGTCGTGTCTGCGGACTGGATCAAGGAGAACATCCAGCGCGTCAGCCCCCTCGGCGCGAAGTATCCCGACACCGACTTCATCGTCGAGGGAGACACGCCGTCTCTGCTATACCTCATCCCGAACGGACTCTCGGACCCGGAGCACCCGGAGTGGGGCTCCTGGGGAGGCCGGTACGGCCCCGTCACATACGGCGAGGGCCATTTCGCCGATAGCGTGGACGTCATCAAGGATTCCGGGAAGACCATCATGAGCTCTCAGGCCACCGTGTGGAGGTGGAGGGAGGCGTTCCAGAATGACTTTGCCGCCCGTATGAAGTGGACCGGCAGCTCCGGGTTCGACGGGGCGCCGCATGCCCCGGTCGTGGTCTTGAACGGGGACAAGTCTCGCAAGGTTGTCAAGATGGTGGTTAAGGAGGACCAGGAGATCGGGCTCGACGCCAGGGAGTCGTGCGATCCCGACGGAGGAGACCTTACGTACAAATGGTGGCAGTACCTGGAGCCGTCCTCGAACAATAACAGCCCCGGGCGGGACGTCGGCAAGCTCGAGCTGAGCGACACGAACTCGGCCATCATCACCGTTACCATGCCCTCGAAGGAGGTACTCCGGGCCGAGGGACGCAACCGCCACCCGGAGGAAGACAAGCATTTGCATCTCATTCTCGAGGTCTCGGACGGAACGCTGGTGTCGTACCGCAGGGTTATCTTCACCATCCCAGCACCCAAAGCTGGCGAGGCGACGTCGTCAGGCGAGAAGGCGGCGGAGAAGGCTGGTGCTCATGATGAATTGTGAAAGGATATCTTGCCACACAACCATACCGGAAACCGCTCTATACCCCTAGGTTAAAATACATGCTATGCTAGAGCCGAAAAGAAAAGTCTATTTCTTGATGCAAATAATGACCCGGCGCTTCCGATTTTTTCATGACAGGAAGAAAGTGAGAAACATGTTCCACGCGAACCCGACCGTCATTCCAACGAGTGCCCTGTATCCGACAGGCACGAATGCAAAGTTGAAAAAGGCCACCAGCGGCCACAGCTTCCACGCCGCCTTGATGAGGTCGAAGATCCTCTCACTCCAGATCTGGTACGTGATGGTGGCGCTCCCTGTCCTCAGGGCGGAGGTGATGATGAGAAACGCCGAGTTCATGATGAACAGGCCGATGGTCTGGTCGACCAGGATCTTGCGGGCGACATTGAAGTAGTTCTTCCCCGCGGGCGGCGCCTGGGCGGCGACGGGCTTCTCCGGCTTGGACTCTCCCTTCTCGACCGTGGACGACGACTTCTTATGCGACTTGGCCGCGGCCTTGCTGGCGGAGTTGGGGAACTGGTCCTCGAGGAAGTGCTGCCACCAGTAGTTGATGTGACCTTGAATGAAGCCGAACGTCGCAAACTCGGCCACGCGCCGGAAGTCGAACGGGACCGCGCCTCCCTGTCTGTGCTGGTTGACGAACTGGGCCGTGAAGTTGGCCGACGCTTTCAGGGTTGCCGATTGTAGCGCCGTGGCGAGGAGTCCGGGCATAATGACGGGCGCGGCGATGAGGTGAGCGAGGGTGCTTGCTGACTCTCTCGGTGAATGTTGGGGGCGGCGTCGCACTGATGAGTCGTCGTCGTCGGTGATCGAAGATGCGGTGTGTTTTATTGGGACCACGTTGTATCAAAGCTTCGGCCGAGCACAGAGCATCGTGTCAGCGGCGGCCGATATCGTACTAATTTCCGGCACCTCGGCAAGCCCTGCCAATCCCCATATTAAAGAGGAAAGAATAACCACCCTTGTCTTACAGGATTCCAAGCGAGAGCCGCTAACAGAGCCGAGCTTTGGGGGCGTTTGGAGGCCTGAATGCTTGTGAGTGAGTTGGTTTCCAGGCACTTCATTGAGTGAGAACTCATAAGATACGATGAAAGGCTCAGTATGAGTGAAGATCTCATAAATATTCTGTGATGGGCATATGATATGGTTTTACAATAGACTATTTCAAAACGGAACATTTTATGACCTGAATACATAGTAAAGCTCAATTGCATAGTCCATGTTTCCTAGGAAAATAGTAAGTTAGGTCGCTGATTGAGTAACGATGGTGATGAGCTCCTGCGATGAAGTCTCGGGCGGCCTTCGGTCCGACACTGATAATAGACATTGGATTTTTTTGTCTGCCCAGTCCCAGATGGGCATTTTTACTCGCATGCAACCTTTGAAGTAGGGGGAATCAGTCTGGCAGTTCATCTTTCGAGAAGTAATACATCTTCGACGCTGCGTAATTGAATCACTGCGACCAAACACGTTGTATCGCAGGTTTGGGCTCCGGCCTCACGCCATCTTAGTTGATCTATTTCTGTAGTTTCTTACGTCAATATTAACCTTAAGTTTATGTTTATCCATGACTGTCTTCTTTTGGAAAATGCAAGCGCCTTGCACACCGTTTGGCAGTACGTTGGTGAGCGCTTAGCACCCCGGCTTGTGTCGACTGCAACACCTCGCATGAGATAAGCCAGGGTGAGGTCTTAACCGAACCCCCCCTAAGCGTCTTCGTCCTGCTCGATCTCCATCTTCTTCGCGCCCTTATCCTCTACCATCGTAATCTGCGCACCCAGACCCGTCGAGACGTACTTCTTGAACTCCCGGGTCTTGACGTTGGCCTGGAACATTTCGTCGAGCTCTTCAAGGGAGCGATTCTTGGTCTCGGGAACCATGAAGAACACCCAGACAGCGGCAACAACCGAGAAGGCGCCGTAGATGAAAGTGACGCCGCCGCCGAGTTTGGCCTGCACGTACGGGTTCACGAAGTTGATCGGCACGGAGGTGAGGAAGCTGCCCATCGAAGCCAGGAACAGGGTCTTCTCTCGGAGCTGGCCCGTTCCAATCTCGCCGGCGACAATCCAGCACCCAGGTCCCCAGGTGATGCCGTAAATGGAGTACCTACACGCACGTTTGGTTAGCCTTACACACTCAACGTAAGTGTCGGGGTTTCATACCAGAGAATGAGAAGCGCAGCAGCAGCATTGGCAACTTCCGAAGAGTAGTTACCAGCAGAACCAGTCGCCGTCGCAGCGCCGGTGCCAAGCATCATCCCAGCCAGCAGCACAGCACCGAGCGACAGAGACCTGCGACGACCGAGCTTGTCAAACGTCAGGAAAGTGATGAAATGCACCGCGAAGCCGCAGCCGGTAACCATGACGTTGGTACGCAGCGAGTCCGGGAACCCGAGCTGCTGCATGAACGTGACGATGAAGTTCTGGATGAAGGAGACGCCCTGGGCCTGCTGCAGGATCTGCACGCTCATGGCGATGATGGTGCGGCGGAAGTTGACGCCCTTGAAGCAGTCCATGAGGGACGTGGCCTTGTGCAGCTCGCGCTGCTCCTCGACCTGGATCTTGAGGAGCTGGACTTCCTGCGCGATCGTCTCGGGGTGGTTCGAGAGCTTCTTGAGGACCTCTTCCGCTTCGGAGTACTTGCCGCGGTAGATGAGATAGCGGGGAGATTCTGGCATCAGCGGGTACATGACGACGTATCCGATCGGGACGAAGAGCTGGCAAAGAATGACGATCCTAGAAAATTAGCTTGAAGGATCAGACTTTTGATCGTGATAACTCACAAATACTGCCATTTATCATTCCTTGTCCGGGATAGATACACGGCGATAGCTGCCATGAAGACGCCGAAGGAAAGAAAGAAGCTGTAAAGGGCGAGGAAGGCACCTATACAGTCAGTACCAGAGGACAACTTAGTTCTCGTTGCGACTAGGAATACCTCGAATTCTCGGAGGAGAGCACTCGGACAGGTACATGGGTGTCAAGTTCGACGCCAAACCCATGCCCGCATAGACCAAGATTCTTCCGACCACCAGCTGCCAGAAGGATGTGATCGCGGTCGATTCGAGAATGACACCGGAGCCCATCAAGGCCGAGATGACCAGGAAGGACTTCTTGCGACCGAGCCGCGATGTCACAAACGGCGCCAGGATACAACCGATGATGATACCCGCCGACCCGGTGCCCGTTCCGACGGAGGTCTTCGTAGCTGGAATCGCGTATCGGCCGAGCGCGTCGTCGTAGGATCCGTACTTTCGCTGGAACTGTGAGAGACCGAGTGCGCCTCCCCACCAGCCTGTGTACTCATGTCAGTCGTTTTCGGTACGAGTGTTGAGTTGTAGGTATTCGGACGTACCGTTGTCGAAGCCGAAGCCCATCGCGCCTAGGTTGGCGACGCAACCGATGAGGACCAGGCGCCAATTGAGGTCCTGGTAAAGAGGATCATTCTTGATTCGGGCGAACATCTTGCTGGCGAGACGTAAGGCTACCACGGCGAAGAATCGTGCGTATCATTCTAGAATTGTAGACGAGCTTCACGTCGTCAAGTTATATGTCGGCCGGAATCTAGTATCCGTGGACGGAATAACACGGATTGACCCAGTTACCCCAGCATTCTGCTTGCGGGGCCCCGAACGGTGCGATTTAGCGCTTTCTGGGGTTTATCAGTTGGGATCTGGCGAGGTTGATGATCCAAGTGCTCAATGAGGCAACTTTTAACACTCGAGCGGTCGCGGAGGCTGGTAAAGCCAGGGGTCTGTTGGCTGACATGATGCGACGTGAAGACCATCGGCTAGTTGTGGCCAGGCGGAGTTGGCGCGGAGTTGTTACGCAGATGAACTGGCTGAAAATGTTTTAATAAATCATGAAAACATTTCAGTGGTTAATATTGCCTTGTTCGGAACCGATCTGCATAGCTTGCTGTGAGAACTGAGGGGGACATGCGACAATGGCGCCAGGATTGGCCGGCGAGAGGTGAGTGAGCTCGGCCAGCTTCTGCGGTCTTAGATGCGACTCTGCGATTATTGCAAATCGAGAAACGATTCAAGATCCCGTCAAAACGGGAGATTTAGGCATCGGCCCGAGATGACCGACAGACATCCACCGTCATGTCATGAACGAGGATGATTGGTGTGTCGAGGCAACTTGAAGGACTGGAAGCACGGGAACCCCCACATCGGAGCAACAGACGAGATGGAAGCGAAGCATGCCTATTTATTGATAGGGGCCTAATTTTCTGACCAGCAATCCCGTCCGCCCGGGGAAGTCTTGCTCCATCGCTTTCGTTACACCCAAAGAGAGTCGCTCAGTGTTTTTGTTGCCGACGCTTGGTGCACTAGAGCACCACCAAGAGCCAAAAGGAAATATGGACAGCGGCCTACGAGGCCAATAAGAAATAATGTACTGGTGAAAGAAAAACACGCGCCCCGAGACGATCCGAACAGCGTCGAAAGCCCGCTTAGCAGACGTTCCTGGCACCGTTGCCGGTGAGGGTCCAGTTGACGTTGTCACCGCAGGGGGACTCGCGGACGGTGGTGCCGTCGACCTTGAGGGTGATCCAGATGTCGCGGTTGTTGGGGAACTCGGAGCGGGCGGCGACGCGGACCTCGCCGCCGCCGTTGACGGTGCCGCCGCGGATGGAGAGGTTGTAGCAGTTCTCGATGAGGATGGCGTTGTTGCCGTTGCTGGCGAGGTCGACGCTGGTGATGACGGCGGCGCCGGACTGCGAGACGCAGAAGATGCCGCGGCCGCCGCCGCGCGAGACGACCTTGTCGACGTAGACGTTGGTGTTGTAGTTGCCGTTGGGGTTCTGGCCGTTGTTGTTGGCGAAGCGGAGGGTGCCGTAGCCGGTGCCGGCGCCGACGTTGTTGCCGTCGACGAGGCCGACGCGCGCGTTGGTCGTCTTCTGGAGCAGCAGTCCCGACTCGCCGACGTTGCGGGCGATGACCTGGTCGATGGTCAGGCCGTCGATGTTCCAGGTCTCGACGGCGTGGGAGCCGGCGCCGGTGACGCGGATGACGCCCATCTTGACGTTGGAGTTGGCGGCGAGGTCGCGGTCGAAGCGGATGCCGAGGCCGCCGCTGAGGTTCATGGTGATGGCGCCGAGGGTGAGGTCGCGGGTGCCGGAGAAGCGCAGGCCGAAGTACGGGTTACCCGTCATCGTGAGGTAGGGGATCTGGACGCCCTGGGTGTTGGTCGATTCGATGGCGCCGCGGCCGGAGCGGTTGCCCACGTTGATGGTACCGCAGCCCTCGAAGATCTTGCCGCTCGCGATGGTGATGGTGTTGGCGCCGATGGAGCCCGAGGCGATGACGGAGACGCGCTGGCCGGAGGAGATGGAGTCGAGGGCGGCCTGAATGGCGGCGCGGTAGTCGGAGCCGGTGTAGACGTTGGCAGAGCCCCTGGTCGCCGTGAAGGAGCTGCCGGAGCCGGTGACACGGGCGTCAGGAGTACCGGAGCCACACTGGGCGGCAACGGAGGAGGCGAGCGCCAGGGCCGCCGTGAGAATGGAGAACTTGGCCATCGTATTAGTGGTTCCCTTGAATGTTCCTGACGGGGGAAGGGGGCTTCGAGGTTGGAAAGAGCGTGGGTGAAGATCTTCGGGGCTCCTCCTCTCGGGGAAAACAGCAGGGCAACATGTTTATATCCATCCGGACGTCGGTGGAGATGGCGATGTGCCCAGATGTCTCCCTCAGATGCGCACCAGTCTCGTAGACGCGCCCACAACAAGCACGTTCGTTGGAGGACGAAATTGGGCCGGCCCCTTGGACCGGGAAAGGATCCTCCGCATTCATTTACCACGAGCTTGGGCACGGCTCGGCGGTGCTCACGACATGCTCCGGACCGCCCGGGATGCCTAGCTGGTCGCGAGCTGGACACCTGTATTGGGCTGCCCAGGTCGGTTGAATGGTACACGAATGGAACCTCGACGGGGGCAAATGGAGAGAAGAACTGTTAGCTGCTATTTGGTGGCTTGCTTACTGTTTATTCTCGACCTTCCCGATTCATGCCTTTGAAACTTCCGTGCCTTGGCTCACATGTTGACTCTTGGCAACGAAGCCAGGTCTGGCTTGGCAGCGGTCATCGGGCGTTCATCAGCGCTTCTTTCGACGTATGGTGGTCGGCTTTTGGCGGCTTTTCATGCGAATGAGACCTCAATCCTCCAGCTCAATAGTAAGCTTGTTTTATTTCTTATTTCTGATTCTCCGATTCGTGCCTTTAAATCACGGTTATGTCTTGGCTCCCGATTGTATCAAAAGAGGATGAGATGTGCAGCACTTTATCCCACGAAATGTCAACCCTTGGCAGTACAGCGACATGCCTTGATCCAGGGGAAACGTCTCAAATTGACAATATCTTTTACTTCAGGCCCAAGCCACATTCAGGTGCGAGCTTGTCTGTCTCACGAACTCACCGTCCCACTCATAGTTCCACCTGAGGAAAACGCCATCTGAATTTGATCATACAGCTCAGGGTTCTGCTCTCCGGGGTGTTGAGTCTGGAATTGCCGGCTATTAGAGCTTCGGCTGTTAATATGACAATCATGGGGGGCAACAATTAAACGTGCCGTATGATGGACTCTATTTAGTGGGTTCCTGCACGATCCTTCGTTCCCCGCGTTTGACTCGTTATTCTGGAATCTGGGTGATTGCCGCCGAAAACAGTCTCTTTTTATCCTCATGACCTGCAGAGACCGCACAAACGATTAGTGCCATCACACAATGAGTACCGACAGGTCCGGCGTTTAACTCAAATTTTCCCAGGGAGAGCAAAATGTGGGGAGCAGTCCTGACAAGAAAGTGTTGAATTAGTCCGCCTTGGCATCCCAAACCCCCTCATTCGGCAGATACGAACTACATCCCGCCGCCAGTGTAACCTAATCGCCAGAAACCGCCTTAGGCTGTGTGTTGTCGAAGGTGCCAAGGGAAGATGTGATTGAAATTGGGGGCCAAGGACCGAATGGGAAACGGCTGTGTTTGTTTTCGGGGCGGGATGCATTGCCAGCAGCTGATCAGCCCCTATTCTGTTCTGAAGAATAAGCAAATGAACACGATCGTTCGGCGATCGGCAGAAACAAAGCCGAACCGTTCAAATATCTAGGCCTTTTGTCCTACCTCAATGCGCCATACTCTGCCTCAGTAGTATGAGGGCAATAGTGTGAAGGCAAAGTCCGCGCTGAAGAGAGACTTCTTGGTAATGAGAACGATCAATTCATATTCCCCGATTTCCATGAGAATTGGGGCCTTCCTACTCTGTGTTCGGCCTGCCTCTCATTCAGTGAAAACTAGAATGATGTTGTCACGGTCACTGACCAGATGTCACGCACTCTCATCGAAGGTTTACGTGTAAACATGACTGGGCTTAATGTAAAGCCATAACGCAAGGTACAATTTCTGACTTGATCCCTTTCGAACCCCCAACCATTACCCCCAACCACGTCTTCATCGACGGCTCACATAGCCGGCGGAGAGCTAATTGTCTCGACGCACGATTTGCAATTCAACTTGACACGCTCAAGACCGAAACTGCGAAGTGCATTCCATAGCATCCGGTCCAACTTCATCTCATCACGATCAGCATCATCATCGTTGACAGCCGCCAATTCCTCGTATTGCTTGTCGATGAATTCTGGAAGCGGCAAAGCATGGCCAGTGAGAGCCATTTGCTGCGCCCAGTAGAGCATGCCAATGAAGTGAAGCTTGGCAGCCTCAACACGCAACAACCCATTTTGTGAGCCGGAAGAAAGGCGCAAGTAGTGCCTGCTTTGTTTGTCGACGCAATGGCCGAGTCCTTCTGAAGGGAACCTGATCTTCGCAGTCCCGTATCCCATGTGACTTGGGTCTTCGAGGATGAATTCGTATCTTGAATCAGCTGATGCTGGCATACTAACGAGGTGTCCATTTGGCCAGCGCTGACATGGGCATGGCGGATGAGGAAGGTACCAGAACTCGCTTGACCTACTTCGCATAGACAAAATCCTACCCTCGCACTTGTCGATTGAAGCTGCTCGGTCCCAGCCAACTGCTAACAGACAACTTATGTGTACTGGGATTGGCACACCCCACTCAGGACTTGCATGAGAATCGCTGAAATCCTTCAGTAGCATGTTGCCGGCCCATGCCTTTACGAAGTCCACGTCCTCGTCTGGGTCATGTTGCTGTCGGTAAACCACCGTGGTCAAATGCTCGATGATTGCTAAGACATGTGACGTGGCGTCACGTCGGGCTTCCATAGAGACATGGGGTTCCAACCAGAACCAGTCAACGTACGGTGGCGACTGGTTGGTGCTGGGGTCGTATTGTTCAAGCCAGCGATAATGAGATTTTACCCCAGGACAAATGTTGGATCCTGTTTTTCATTAGCCTCTTTGAAGTTGTTTTCATGTTCTAGATGATACCCTCACCAAGTCGACACCTAATTATTCTCATCAGGCGGTAAAGTGCAGCATCCCACGAATAGGGGTCGCCATTAGACCCAGCCGCTGGCTCTTCTTCATAGAAGAAGTCCAGAATCAGCTTGTCTATCTTCGGTGCGGACTCGGGACGGTAGCGCTGAATATCCCAGTAGAAGAAAAGAAAGGTCTCTTTCCAATTGAACTGCTCCAACCCATCATCCATTTTTGCAGGTGACAACACAAGAATCAACTGAAACGCAGTGGCGAAATCCAATATACTATCACCCAGGTATTGTGTAACACAATAAATACTGTCAGCACCTCTTCAAACCTACACGTAAGCGGAGTCACAATCCATGCGAAGCGCGAGTTTACTTTTGCTTCCAATGAGCTTAGATATCTTGAAGGTTTCGATGGCTAAAGCATGATCAGTCTTGTTCAATGCTTCTTGACATGAGATCATACTTTGGACTCACATGAAAAGGAGAACTGACGGCAAGAATAAAAACAGGATAGTCTGAAACAGTGGCTCCAAGGCATATAGATTTTCATCATATGCCTTTCGACATCACAGTATTACGATAATTGTAAACATTTGAGATGAGTGATAAGCTCTATGCTATCAAGATTGAAGGTAACTGTAAACAACCCCCTAAACCAGAAATAGTGCCGAAGTAAAGTGGAATTGCAAGAATCGAGTCTTGTCTTATCCCGGATGACTTTTCAATATCAACTACACTTGTCCGAGATATGCAGCTGTTGACACGTCCCTCTCCCCTATTCCTCTACTCTTGCCGCTTAGCCTCAACCTCAAGTCCAATAAACATCTCAGGGAAAACCAAGTGCGGCACCGAAACTGCCGTCCGCACGGGACGATGTCTCGGGATACGCTTCTTCAGAGCTTTTTCAGTGAGCTCCCACAACATCACGATGTCGCAGTGGTACGATCGCGGCAAGGAGACATCCTCCCATCCGCGAAGGCTAGCGTTTTTGAGAACATATCATCTTGTATCCAAGGTACAATTAAATGAGAAGTGGCGACGCCGGCTGGTGCTGTAAGAATAAGACGTTGCTTGCGTCTATCTCGCACGCGTGGAAACGGTCCAGATTCTCAGCCGTTTAAATACTTGTCCATCCCATGTCCGTCGGAACAAGAGCGCCGTTGATGGTGTTCATCCCATCAGAACAGAGAACCAACACTGTCTTGGCAACCTGATCCAATGGTGACCATCCGAAATTCCAACTCTTCTGGTTCGGATCTCCATTCACCGTATTGAAGGTTGAGACAGCTAATACTCGTCAGTTCTGGGTTTTCTCATGAGGAAAAACAATACTCACTCAGTGCGAGACCTTCCTTATGGAAATCAGCAATGTGGTCTTTGTCCCTGGCCATGCCAGTCACCATGGGTCCTGGCATGATGGCTAGGCAACGGATGCCCTTGGGTCCGTAGAATGCTGCTGTGCTTCTGGTGAGGCCAACAGTGCCGTGTTTCGATGCTGTGTATGCCACGCCTGTCATATCACAGTTAGGTTCATGTTTCTCGATAGGTTCTTGAAACAATCGTATCAGGACTTACCGGCTCTGGCCCCGTGAGTTCCCGCCGCACTGATGACATTCAGAATGACGCCTCTCTGCCCGCCTACAATATCTTGCTTCAAGAATTGCCTGATAGCCTGCTGTGATGTGATGAACGGTCCCGTCATATTTACCAAAATGTTCTTCTCCCACATCGCCATGTCGCAGTCTGCTGTTGGATGCATCTTGTCCGAGAGACCTGCATTGTTAACCAGTACATCCAGACGGCGACCTTCTCCTCCAGAGAGATACGATGAAAACGCAGCTTCGACTGAGTCGGGAGACGTGACGTCGCATTTAACGGGGTGAACGCGAGATCGGTCGGCTTCCGGGACCTCGGACGGGAGGTTGTCTAGGGCTGTTTGAGAAATGTCAAGAGCGAGGACTGTCGCGTTGGCTGCGAGGAAGAATTTGGTGATTGCTAAACCGAGACCTGCTGCCCCGCCTGTGATGGCGACTGTCTTTGAGGTGTAATCTACAGACATGGTGGGTGGCTAATGATGGTGTAGATGTCCGTCGTGATATGGCGGCTGTTGGTCGACGTTTGGTGATGATGAAGAAAGGCAAAGCTGGATTTGATAACTCGATTGTTAAGTTGTAGGAGAGCCAGATTTTATAATAACGCAAACCTGTTTGCAGAAGAAAGTGTTTGAAGAGCTCCTGTTGTGAGGTTGAGCAGCTTGATACAGGGAACGAAGCCGAAAACGAAACCGAGACCGACATTGCTGCAGTACTGAGGTGCATTGCGGGGAGTTGCAGTTCCCCGGATTTTGTGTGCATGAGCGTCGATGATAGCGGTCACTAGCTTGTAAATAGATACATGTATTCATTGGCTTTGAAGTCACTTGGCAACATCAAAGAGAATATTTCATGAAGGAATTGCAGAGTGTGTGGTCTGACAAGCGAGAACGGAACCGAAATCTGAAAATTGCCGAAAGTTGTCTTCTCAATTCAGACGAACATGCTACTTGATGGTCCTTGGCATCCTTCATCCCCAGATCTCATCTTTTGCCTGATGCAGTATCCGTCGCATCACTCTTCAACCAGCTAATCCGGTAGTCCGGTTCGGATCACGACCGGTGGTTGCCTCAAGGTTCTTCTCGGCCCCCTCTTTACCACTGAGCGGCCCGGAGATCAAGGGCGCGCCGGAGCGGGAAGCTTGGTCCGCGACGCCTGCCGCCCGATCGGGGGAGCCCGTCAGGAAGGCGAAGAAAGCCCCGACAGTGAGAGCTACGCCACCGATCGCGTAGACAGATCCACTGGAGATTGTCAACAGATATTCAACGAATGACCTTGTATGTGCGACCAGTGGGAGTGGACGGCGAGGGGTAACAGGGGTTTCGGGCTACAGCGGGTGTATCCGGATAAGCAGGGGACAGGCAACAAGGGGAATCTCACCGATTTTTCACCTCGCTCGGTCTCGTGGGGACTTCCTTCTCGACCGATCCGGCCGGGGGTGGTTGATCGCCGCCGTGGTATGTGCGGGTATCCCGCTGCGGCTCATGGACGGCGTAGGTTCGCCGGGATGAGTGTTGGATGGAGCGGACGGGTGATGTCCGGAAGGTTGACAGAAGTCTCGATGATCTGAATGCTGACATGTTTTGAGGTCTTATTGCGAACGGGCTCACTCTATTGGTGAATGCGAGTTTAAAATCAATTATGATGAGGTTGCTTCCTCGAACACTTTGAAGTAATGTTGATAGGTCAAAAGGCAATGGGTGTGACACTGACTTAGGTTTCGATTTACTTTGAAGTCTGCTTCTCTTCACTAATTTATACTCAATAAAAACTCCAGTTAATTTGTCTGGGAAATCATTGCTATTGTCGCTTGCGTGATGTAGGACTGATGAGTTGCTCAGAATGACCGAAAGATGATGTCGTCGAATGGTATGTTCTGGGGCCATTACGGTGGGGAAGCCGAGCGTATCCGGCCGCCCTCGGGAAACTGGAGTACTTGTGAAAGATCTCTCGATATTCTTCTTTTGGTATATGAGTAATTAAGGTGTTTTTAATTGGTGATTCACTACTTCTCCAGACCCTCCAGGGGCTTCATGTTGCTGGTTCTGATTATGGGACCCCGCGCCTTCGTGTCCGGAATCCAACCATGTCTCTCGCCCCGTGATTCAGACTTCCACAGACTTGCTGGATCTCAAACAAGTACATTGTTCCAGGCTCTTCTATCACCGATTTCTCAGAGCTGCGTGAATCCCGTTGTACGTCCAGTTAAGTCTCATCCTGTCCAGCTGACCCTGCGCAGAGATGTCCGTCGCATACCGCGAGTTCTGTTGAACCTGCGATGCCCGCGGCCTCCTCACGGAATCCCAAGTTTGCAACACTCCGAAAACGTTGCTTGCGTTGACGTTATCGTGGAGAAGAAGACGAAGACCTTCGGCGTCCTCGATTGCCTGGGTTGCCCCTTGTCCCTGGAACGGCGTCATCGGATGGGCTGCGTCCCCAAGAATGACGGCGCGGCCTCCGACGTAGTGAGTCAACGGATCCGCGTCTTTGACTTTGTACAACCTCACATCTTCGACGTTTCTTTTGCCTCATGTTAGCCCCAGATACCAACTCCATGCAGAGAAACGCTAGCCACTGACCTCATGATTTCCAGCATCCAGGGAGCGAAATCCTTCAAGTTTTCGAGCATTTCCGCCTTGTTACCTTCAGCACTCCACGATGCTTCACTCTCTTGTGACAGCATGGTGTCGGGTACTCGAGCAACAACGTTGAGAGCGGTGTTATTACGGCACGGGTAAAAGATTATGTTGCGTCTCAAGTCGTCGTCGGCTGTCATCATATTGAGAAACCCGCCCGCGTCGGGATCAATCGCGGCTGGTAGGCCTCCAAGTACCTCCTTTGCCTTGTCCAGGGAGTAGACGAAGCGGTAGAGCGAAACACCGGATGACACCATGTTCGGCTCTCCGCCGAGGATAGCTTCCCGCACAACGGAATGAATCCCATCAGCACCTGCGACGTTGTTAACATCTCAGCAGCGTTCTCATACGAACTTGTCTCACCAACGATAACGTCTGCTTCAACCACCTCCCCATTACTCAGGACAACCTTCCCTAACTCAACATCTACCTCTTTCACCTCCACACCATGCACAATCTTAGCCTGAGGCCCAGAGATACCCAGCTTCGCAGCATCTCCCGTCGCCAGTCTGGTCAACTCCTCCTTCAGATCCTGTCGATGCATCAACAGCCACTCGCTCCCGAACGGTTCCGTCACGCCGGTGATCTCTCGCAACAAGTTCCCCTCCTTGTCGTATGTCCTCGTACCAGAACACACCGTCGCCTTTACATTCTCCGGGCTAAACTGGAACGCGCTCTTAAGCATCTTGCTCCCGTTGGGCCCGAGTCCGATGCCGGCGCCTCGCTCGGGCGCGTCTTCCGGGTCGCGATCGTAGACCACGACGTCATGTTTCTGTCGAAGAATGGCGGCGGCGGCCAGCCCAGCTATCCCGCCGCCCACGACCACGATCCGAAGCTTGGTGCCGTTGGCGTTCATTTTGCTGCGGTTGAGGCGGAAGACGGTCGCGAGATGACACTACAGCCGGTGTAGCAGTTATTCGTAGCCTCGTTCGGCACCTGATGTCCAGCGGGCAAGAGGAAGGCAGGATTGTGAGAAGTCCCCCGCATGACCGTGGTATTTTGGTGCGACATCAAATGAAATTCTATTGATAGCGCCCGTGATTTTAAGCTGATGTGACGAAAGCTTAAGTGAGGGTTTCAACTCAAATCGTCCAGGCTTGCCGGGACGGCAGCGAATGAGGGAGCTAGGCACTATCGGGATGTTCATGCGTGATTTCTGGGATGGGGTGGTTGGATTTAATCAAACATTTGGTGATGTCAACGAGTCTGAGCTCGACCGGATCGAAAGAGACATGATTTCCGGGGCCGGGGTTTGCCTACCAGAACAACGCAGGCCTCCGAGCGTCGGGTCCGGGCCCGCTCCGGACCCACTCCGGACCTAGCCTCTACCAACCTGAAGTCATTGTGGAAGGCTCAGTAGGCGCAAATGCCATGAGTAGTGCAAATTCTCAGCTTACTAATGTTTTTGGAAAAAAATATGTGGAAGCTGACGGAACGCCTGTTGATGTACACAATGATACGGATAGGCCTTCGGGGAAGCCGCGCGGCTCGGCCCTTGTCGGAGGCCGGGTTGTGGGGCTGTTTAGTCAGAAGTGCCGGGTTGACGGCGCTTCTAGTTAGGTAGGCTGCGGTATGCTGCGTAACGTTCGGCACGAATTTGGGCCGCTGGAAACGCCGCCGTTCGAAGGATCTTACCAAAGCGCTACTCCATCTCGAATTCTCGCGGATAGCATGCACCCTGCGCAGGTGATCAACATCACGATCTTATCGAGGGCTATTCGTTGATTACCAAGACGCTGCCGGGCTTAAAAAGTACTATAAAGCTCGATTGAAATTTCAATAAGTGCGATATTTATTTCCTTGCATCTTACTTTGATCTATAACAAGCAATCGCAACTCTGAGCGAAGAAATCGAAACAGTCTTCAAGATGTCTCGCGCTGTGTTAATCTGCGGCGCAACTGGGAAGCAAGGCGGTGCTGTGATCGACCAACTCATCCAGCAACAAGCCGACTTCGAGATCCTCGCGGTTACCCGGGACCCCATCTCCGCGTCCGCACAGCGACTGTTGCAGAAGTCCAAGAACATCAAGCTCGTACAGGGAAACATGTCGGAGGCCTCGGCGCTTCTGAAGGCCGCGAAAGAGGTCGCCGGAAAGCCCGTCTGGGGAGTCTTTAGCGTCCAGGTAAGTATTCTCTCTTATTACTGATATCTTCCTAGCGAATATTGACTCAGCTCAGGCTGTTATGGGAACCAACCAAGGTGGTCTTGATGAGGCAGGCCAGGGGAAAGCTCTAGTCGACGCAGCGCTCGAAGCCGGGGTTGAGTTCTTCGTCTACTCGTCTGTCGACCGTCACGGAGATTCTTCACTCGACAACCCCACGGATGTGCCTCACTTCATTTCCAAGCACCAGATCGAACAGCGTCTAATTGCGAAGTCCAAGGGATCCAACATGAAATGGTCGATTCTTCGGCCCGTGGCGTTCATGGACAACTTCACGGATGACTTCATGGGTCGAGTGTTCGTCACAGCGTGGAAGATGGCTGTGAAGGAGAAGCCATTGCAGTTGATCGCGACGAGAGACATCGGTTTCTTTGGCGCCCAAGCCTTCATGAAGCCGGAAGAGTATCGGGGGAAGGGCCTCTCGTTGGCTGGCGATGAGGTCACCTTTGACGAAATGAGTCGAGTGTTCAAGAAGGTTACTGGAGCGCCACCGGCTGGGACGTGGAGGTTCTTTCCTTGGCTCTTTATGGCCTTGATGAAGGACTTTGGAAGAATGTTTAGATGGTTCTATGATGTTGGTTACGCAGCGGATGTTCCGACTCTGAAGAAGGAATACCCGGCGATGAAGGATCTGGAGACTTGGCTGAAAACCGAAAGCGACTTCAGGAAGCGGGCTAACTAATGGGGACGTTGAGGACAGTGCTCAATCACCATCGATAACGTTTGTAAAGGCTGGAGTTTCTGAATTTTCATGTCCGTTAAATAATGTACTAGTAATAATCCATCTGTATTTCATCTCATGCCTATCGCTGCATATCGACCTTCTAGCCGTTGTGACCACGCCGATACTTCATGTCAATACGAAACTTTGCGATGCAACCATTCACCGAGATTCAAAAGAAAGTCGTGGCATCAAAGACATGACTCTTGCAATCGTTCGACCAATTTCAAAGAAATTGACCTGAAAGATTTGACTGCGGCCGTGCCTGTGAAACGGCACCTACCCCGTTCGCGATTCGTCATCCGGTCTCCGACGAAGGCCGATCTCCACCCGCCGGGGCGTCCGAGCGGGACCGGCACCGATTCATCGACTCGGATCCCCTTTATTTGCACCGCAACACCAGTAATCAGTCTTTCTGACCAAGAATCCCGCCCGTTCTCGTCCCATTGATTCATAAGCTCTGGTCGATAAACGCTTCGCATCTGCCCCGTTCACATCAACTGACTCGTCTCAACTGCTCGTGACGTTCAACATCGTTGCCTGCAGCAGACTGACGGAGAACCCAGGATGAGCATAACGTGATGGTTGTGGCTATAAAAGCAACTTCTGCTCATGTCTAGCAACTATCGAACCACTGCAACTTACGCATTTGAGCTTCCAACGTCAAGTCAACATCAATATTTCCGCCTCTTCTTTGCACTCATTCGTTCCAAAATGTCGAAGCTTTTGACCGTTTTTGGTGCCACCGGCAATCAGGGTGGCTCTGTTGTAAGGACTGTTCTAGCCGACGCTATTCTCTCGAAACAGTTCAAGATCAGGGGCATCAGCCGCGATGCTTCCAAACCCGCAGCTCAGGCTTTGATTGCCAAGGGCGTTGAGGTTGTTGCAGTATGTACTTTGTCCTCCAATGACTGGTGAGCGCTAGACTGACATTTACGAGGCCGACATGACGTCCAAGTCCTCCTTGGCTGAAGCCATCAAGGGATCCGACACCGTCTTTCTCGTCACGACCCCCGACTTTATGGCAGGCGGAGGCACCCAGGAGCAGCTCCACGGCAAAAACGTCGCCGATGTTGCCGCTGAGGCTGGGGTCAACCACCTCATCTACTCCTCCCTTCTTCACGTCACAAACACCACCAATGGTCGTCTCAAGCACGTCGTGCACTTCGACGACAAGGCCGAAGTCGAGCAGTACATCCGCTCGAAGGGTATCCCGTCCACCTTCGTCCTGCCCGGATACTTCATGAGCAACTTCACGGCCCTGCAAATGATCCGCAAGGGTGATGATGGAGTCTACACCCTGTCGTACCCCGTTAGCGACCAGGCCAGGTTCCCTCTGATTGACACTGAATCCGACGTCGGTAAGTCGTTCTTGTGATTCGCTCGCGGAGGCGGCATGCTGATCAGTGCATGCAGGCAAATTTGTTGTTGCGGCCATTCGTAACAAGTCCACGGTGATTGGAAAGCAGGTTTTGGCGGCCGCGGAGTACTACACCCCGACGCGAATTGTTTCCGGGTTTCAGGAGGTGACTGGCAAGGCCGCTCGCTTCGTGCCCATCGATGCGGAGACGTACAAGAGTTTCCTGCCTGGACCCCTTGCTGATGAGATGTTGGAGAACCATCTCTTCATTGAGGAGCCTGGATACTACGCTGGGAAGGATCTGAAGGAGAGTCTGGACCTTCTTGCAGGAGTTGGACTCAAGGCCACGTCTTGGAAGGAATTCTTGGAGGCGAACAAGTCGGCTTTCCAGTGAGAGACACACCTAATTCCGGCCGATGACTTCCCGTTGAAAAGCAGAGCTGTCGATCAGAGGGCTCCAAGATTGAATCAAACAAAACTTTGGGCCGTTGAGGTGAGGCTGGGTCACCCTTGACCAATATTCCACGACGCGGAGTAGGTAGAAAGGTGTAGATCTTCACGCGGTCATCATTGAAATGAAACTTTTGTAACATTAAACCATTCAGGGAAGGATAACGCGTTGAACTCGTTCCAAGGGTGGCTGCTAAGTGACAAAGTGTCGCCCCCTTACAACTCAGGCCCAGTCCCTGCCACCAGCTTCCGCAGAAACTTCCCATGCTCCAATACACATTGCCACACTAGCAAAATGTGTCTCTTCTTGACTACTGACCATAGGTTGGCATGTACGCCAAGAGTGGCTTCAACGGCGGCCATGAAAACTCGCTTCCAAGTCACATCGCCGGCGTCATTGCGCATCGGAACGCCGCGGAACACGGTCCCACTACACCAGAATCAACGGTGTTTTGAAAGCAGCTAAGCCCTACAAGGTTTTACGAGGCGAAAAGCGAGACGTTGAGTCAACTCAAAGGTTAAAATGTGCTGTCCCAGCTGCGTGGGACCTTGCCCTGCAGCTCAACTCTTGATAGCTCGAATAGATCAGCCCTATAGCCAAGATAGCGTCCCATCACTTACGTGGCTTTAGGCAGAGACATAACATCGGGCAAGGATTTCATCATGAGATATCACTTGCAGCTGGAGGCAAAAGTCCGGCCCAAATTTCGCCGTGGCCAAGACACGTTCGTATGCATGGAGCGTATAGCTTGTGCGTATACACACATGGAGGATTGCACCATCAACTTAATGGAAGCGGGTCTCATTGGCATGGCCAATTCCAAGGCGCGTTCTCCCTGTCACAGGTAAAGGCATTTCGGTCTCTGCCTATAGCGACATGGAGGGGTACCGGAGATGAACACTGCTTGCGTCATCACTCTCCCACAAGAGAACATGACGAGCCGCTTATGCTGCTTGTATAGCCAGTGTGTATTTGTAATAATCAAAGAAATTTGATGACCTCTTCCTTGCCGGTGTCAATCATTCAGCGTTGTTATCGTCAGTTCTATGAGTGGCTGCCGAGCGCTGTCTCCTGGGTACCACTATCTCGGACTAACATAACACCAAAGATGTTTCCTCAAGGCCGTCAGAACTAGATAGAGGTGATGAAGGTAGAGTAGAAACGAGGAAATCAAAAATCACTTTCGAAGACCCGCACCACTAGATTCAAAGCCAGAGGCAAGGCTTTTCCCGGACGCTAGTGGGATCCAGCTTGATGGGTGGCTCATAACTCCAACGTCGTCCTGATGAGGTAGGGCTGACTCCAGCGAGGCAATTGACTTGTTAGAGGCCCAGTTTTTGAAGATCCCCTAACCAAATCTAGCCGTCATATCAACCCGTACTTGCAGTACTGAAATGGATTGTTTCCTATTTCAACTTTTCATGCGCAATAAATATAGGAAAGAAAGTGGTCGAGGGTTTTTTTCAACATAAATAGTGCTGATTCCTCCATTGTGCTCAGCTTCGGATACTAGTGTCCTTCATCCGAGGTGTCTACTAGTGCGAGACCTCGCAAAAGGCTCGGATCTGCAAATTACCCGAGGTTCCCACTTTATTAAGGTCGATTTCTCTACTTCTCTCGTTCATTGTCCGAGACAACTACGCCAACACTCCCTCTTCGTCATTTGCTCGCCATTTCTTCGCCATTTCCTCGCATTTTGCTCGCTGTTGGTAACACCAGATGCCCATGTCGTCAGAACATCCTCCTCGACGTGCGCACGCCAAGTCTCGAAACGGCTGCTCGAACTGCAAAAGACGGAAGGTCAAGGTATGCGAGTTGAGCTCTCAGATCAGACTGCTTAGACGGAAAACCCGGCCAAACTAACGTGATTTTCTAGTGCGGCGAGGAGCACCCGTCCTGCCGAAATTGCACAAGACGTCAAGAGGAGTGTAGTTATCCGGACGATCCAGTTGGCGTCTCGATTCAGGCTGCGAATGGCCCTACAACTTCAACAAGTCATTCTCCGACACGTTGTTCAAGTTGTGATCAGACGATAACTACCCTCCCGTTGTTAAGAGCGCTACCCTCGGATGATATCGGTGCTGGCGTTGCTGGCATAACAAACCTCACAGTCCTGGACCTCGAGCTTCTTCACCACTACACCGTATCGACCGCTCCCACGTTATCCGGCGACCCAGTTACACGTAACTACTTTCTTGTGGGCGTCCCGCAGCTGGGCTTCTCACATCCTTATGTGCTCTATTCTGTGCTAGCACTGGCGGCGTCGCACCTGGCACATTTTCGGCCAGAGTCGCGTCAGTACTATTACGCCCACTCGAAAGCTCGTCACAATATGGCCACTTCCATGGCCGCACCTCTCTTATCCAACATCTCAATAACCAACTTAATACCCATGCATTCCTTCAGCATCATGACCCTGTTCATTGCCTTCGCCAACCTGCGAGATGAGGAGGATGACTCCAACGAGTTTTTGCCCAGCTGGCTCCCTCTCTTCCGCGGCGTACGCACCGTACTGCAGTCAAATAACGGAGCCATATACACCTCGCCCATCTCGTACCTCTTCTACTCTGTCAAAGTCAACGAGATCTGGCAGACCAAGATTTCAGACGTTGAAGCCCTGGTTGACTTCCAGGGTTACATTGAAGAAAGCACCCCGGAAGACGACCCGACAAGAGAGCTCTTGCTCAATGCTTTCCAAGATCTCAGGCGAGCCCTTGTTGTGTACTATGGCGAGGACCTTGGCAACGAGGCCAAAGTCAAAGCGTTTTTCACCTGGTTGTACAAAATACCAGACGAATTCCTCGCTCTGCTAAGGAATAAAAACAACAAGGCACTCTGTATTTTGGCTTTCGTATGTGTGCCTCTTCATCGACTGGAGTTCCATTGGTGGTTTCAGGGCTGGGGGGTACACTTGATTGACCGCATTTACACAATTCTGGACGAGGTCCATCGTTTTTGGATAAGGTGGCCGATCCAGCAGATTGGATGGGTACCCAGACGCGAAGCGAGCCAAAGCCTGTATCATAGCACACCAGGAAGTACATGAGTTTTCATAACGAAATAAAGAACAAAATGACGATCAAAGCCCCTAAGAATGCTCTGAAAATACGTGTAATTGATCAGTATTTAGGAAGTGAACTCTCTATAAATACGTGTAAATAAGAAGAGGAAATACGTGTAATTGAAAAGCATTGATAAATGAAATCTCTATAAATACGTGTAAATGGGAAAAGCAAAATACGCGTAATTTTCAATGACAAGTAAGATCAGAATCCACGGATACATCCACGTCGCATTTTTAGTGAATTGAGTTTCTCAACTCCGTCATTATTTCCGCACGGGTGGCTTAAACATGCTTAAACAGGGAAGCTAAAGGATTCTGAAAGGGCTGAAATGCAGTGAGATGATGATTGAATCCTTCCGCAGTTAATGAAAGAACTATCATCGGACGCTTGACTGAAGTTGGAACTTATTGGCGGTGCTTGGAACGAAAGAGTTGACCAGTCGGCGTGCTTTGCGAGGTTATGCGGGATTATCCACATTATCGTCAGCTTGGCAAGAGAATTGAACCAATCAGCATGGCTTGCGAGGTAGCACGACGCAACACCAAAATGCTTTCCGAAGCCCACGAACACACCAGCCCCGTTCACTTTACCAAAGCTTCCCGAAGCACGAATCCAGCCGTTGTTCAATTTGCTGAACATGATGATAATACGGGGCTTCAACAGCTCAACGATTAGGTTGTTAAGTCGTTGCCTAACGATGGCAGTGCGCGCAAGCCTCGTGAGAATCCTCATGGCGATCCTCACTTGAAGCGATTTAGGGACGTAAGGAATGAGAATACTGGCTTGGACTACTGAACGCCAGGTAGATTCAAATAGAGACGGTTTGCCGTGAGACTGTGAACAGAAGATTCATACAAGCCCCACAACAACAGATTTCCATCTTGATCAACTCTCACCCTTATCAACCCTTCTGCAAATCAGCAACTTTCGTATTCTTTGTGCGATGCTTGTTCCTCAACTTCGGAACTCAGCCGGTACGGCTGCCATGCTACTCTCGATGCTACTGGCAGATGGTGTGCAAGGACAACCACTCAACAACACCCAAGGTGTCACACTCACCGGCTTCCCACCAGTATGCAGCCAATACCTTACCGATCACCCTTGCATTATTTCTAACACCCACTCCAGTGTGACGCTCTGATAACTGCCAACCTATCCCACGCCGTATACCTCCCTGCTTCCCCCCGCTACAACGAGTTGGTTGAGACCTACTGGTCTCTCAACTCCCGCAGACGTCCTTGGTGCTTCGTTCTCCCGGGCAACACCGACGAAGTCTCTCAAACCATCAACGCCCTCCGTGATGCTGGCGATGGCGCAGGAGACTGGCATATCGCCATCCGAAGCGGTGCTCACTCGACCGATAACTCGAACAACATCGTCGAGGGTATCACCATCGACTTGTCCCAACTGAACGCCACGGTCTACAACGAGAAGACCACACATGCGAGCGTTGGTACCGGAGCAAGATGGTTGAGTGTCTTTTCCGAACTTGAAACTCACGGGCGATTTGCGACGGGCGGAAGAGAAGGCGCCGTCGGCGTCGGCGGTTTCCTCCTCGGCGGCGGTGTTTCGTGGTACTCGCAGCGGACCGGCTTCGGCTGTGACAGCGTCGTCAACTACGAGGTTGTGTTGGCCAGCGGCGACGTCATCAACGCGAACGCGACTGTTAACTCGGACTTATACCGTGCTCTGAAGGGAGGTGGCAATAACTTTGGAGTCGTGACGAGGTTCGACATCGAGACGTTCCCCTTCACGAACGTGACCCTCGAAACCAGATCCATCAGCGGAGAGTACGCAAACGAGGTAGCTGACGCGATTGCCGACTTCCCGAATCATGACCAGTCCCTGGCCGATAATGCGTTCATTGGCATGCTCTCTTACAGCCCGAAGAGCGAGGTTAAGGGCATCAACTTCCAGGTCACCAACATCAACACGCTGGGCCGCTCCAACACCACAGCCTACGACGCCATCAACCGCATCCCGACCTTGGCACCAAGCACAAAGGCCACGATTTCACCTATTGTCGCTGCCAACTCTTCCTCGGTGGCTGCAGCTACGAGGTAAGTCTCGTCAACAATGCCTTCCAACCATACAAGAACTCAAGATGACTGATCATTTCTGCCTTTAGGAACGTTGGAGCAGGCTCGATGATGATCGCCACCGACGCGCGAGTTGTGCGCTACGCCATCGAACAGCACGCCGCCCTCGTTGAATCCCTTAACGCCACCCTCGGAGCACAAAACTTCTCGACGCTGATGGATTTCCAGCCCCATCCCGCCTACATCGCCGAGATCGGCGCGCAAAAGGGAGGCAACGTGCTTGGTCTCGATCAATCCCCCAAGAACAGGCTCATGATGGTCTCAGCCATTACTTTGTACAGCGATAAGACCGAGGAGGACTACCCGGCGGCGTTCCAACTGTTGGCTGCTATGAAGGAGAGGATCCTGGCATTCTCGAGATCGGTCGGAAAGGGCGAGGAGTTCAAGTACATGAACTACGGCGACGCGATCCAGGATGTGCTCGGCAGCTACGGCCCGGAGAATGTCGACCGCATCAGGTGCGCGGCGAAGAAGTACGACCCCGAGGGCTTCTTCCAACACAGGGTCCCGGGTGGCTTCAAGATTGACAGAGTTGCTTGAAGTCGGCGTATCCATCAATCGTCTCGATCGTGCAGACAGCTCTAGATCTCTCGGAAAGATCTTATGCTAAAATATCTTTCACTTGCATACTTACCGCACTTCACACTTCACTTTTATTTCCACTCCACTTACCTACACTGTTTGATCGGTAATTTACCGGTGGCCGTCAATTGCCTTGGACCCGGATGAACTGGCGTTGAACAGCGACAGAAACAACATTCATAGACTCATAGCTTCCATTCTGCAATCTTCATGTTCTCATTCCAATAGACTTTTGATTTTTTTTTTCACTTTAGAAATAGTTCCAATCATCACATATCAGTAGCCTCCAAACATGACGTCTGATGCACGATCAATCATGACGCCACTCAACGTCCGAACTCCTTTTGATATACCACCTGCATCGTGATACGACCACATACAACCTTTCCACGAGTGGCTTGGGACGTCAAGCAGCCTCCCGAAGCCAGTCTTCTCTTCCATCTCGGGCCCTTAATCAACAATTTCCGAAAAGCTGCTAATTTTACGCGCGAAGCAAGAATCTCAGACGTGGCGGATTGGAAAAAGCAAGCCTCGCGAAGCACGCTATCCCGGCTTTAGCGCTCAACACGACCGTTGCCTACACGGAGAGACGCGAGCCATCTCCAATTCGGTCTAGCAACCCGTTCAGCTAAGAATCCTTGGCGTCCACAGATGCGAGTTTGCGGACTGTTATCCCAATCGTGAAACGCCATCGCTCATCCCGGCGTGTCTTGACCTACATTCTACCCCTGCCCGCAGGGCTGTGAGATGAACCATCGAGCCCGCCACCCGAGATCCTGAGTGACACTTATACCCAGCCCATGCACCCCATGTCTCTTTGGGACCGGTTTCGGTCTTCTCCCTCTTCTTCAACGGCAGTATTGTTATTTGTATCTCGATAAGCAGGCTTTTGTGTCTGTCTTCTAAACACCCTTCCAGAGCACGAAGTCCAACTACCCGAGTAAACGATCCGGGACGAATTAGACACCGACATGGTTACCCTCAGGCGGCTCGGAGTCGCCTGCTTCGCAGGCATCGTCGCGGCACAATGCTACATGCCAAACGGCACCGACCGGCAAAGCGTATCCGACATTGGCAAGAACACCTACAAGCCTTGCGAGAGCAGCACGAACGGGCACAGCATGTGCTGCAACACATTCACGGGCGACACGTGCCGAGACGGGCTCTGCTGGAATCAGGGCGCGAGAGTACTTTGGCGGGAAAGCTGCACCGATCCGACGTGGCAATCGCCAAAATGCCTCAAGTTGTGTATTGACAGCAAGCTGAGTAAGTGGCACTCTCTCATTCTTGATCTACAGACTCGTCGAGTGAGCTCGAGCTGACCACGACGTCTATGTAGAGGTATCTCCCAATACGACACAGGCGCAGACCGATATGCCGGTAACCCAATGCTCTGACGGTTCGTATTGTTGCGGGAACACGGATCCTGCCCGGAAATGCTGCGAGTCTGGTCAAGGTGTAAAAATCGTCAACGGCCAAGTTGTCGCGCCGTCGTCGTCCACATCTACATCGTCCACAAGCACAGCTAGCACAACGAGCTCAACGGATACCTCAACGAGCGCCGGCTCAACAGAATCCACACCCAACACGAATGGCAATCGATCTGCAGTAATAGGCGGTGCGGTCGGCGGAACACTGGGCGCTTTGGCGCTGATAGGGGGCGTACTAGGGTTTTGGATGTTTAGAAGAAGGCAGAGGGGGAGATTCTCGCCGGTCCAGGCTATGGCAGGAAATACGGCGCGGCGAGATACTCTCAGTGGCGGTGGAGAAGGGACTTATTTCAAAGAACTGTCTGCGGATCAGCAACGCTTCGAGTTGTACGGGGGAACACCACCAATAACGCCATCTCGATAGGTTACAAACATGACAACACACGTTGAAGAGGGGATCTTACAGACGCGAGGCTTCATGTGACCGACTGTGACCGTGTTTAACGTTAATATTTCCCGGAAACGCAAGTCCTCGTCATTTCGAGGCATATTATCAATTGAACACAAAGTCGAACTGTTTGCGATTGAGCCGGCGACTCGCACCTCGGCAAATCGTGCTGGCAAACCCGAAGACGCGGGAAAGCCTGTCACGGCGAGCGCCAATTCCAGACACATCTGTCTCGTAGCATTGAATGTCGTTGACATAAAACACCACGTCATATGCACGCTTCAATCAATGTCTTGCAGGCTTAGTCATCTGGGCTGGATGAAAGTACACGGTTCTTCTTTGCTGGAAGAGGGGGAGATCTGATGGCGTACGAACCCCGCGCGAGCCGACGTGAGCCAAGTGGATCTCCTCATCTTCATTACACCTGACCAGGACCCGTCATCATCAAACTTCATTCACTGTGCGATAGCGCGATGTCTTCAAAGCAATCTAGACGCCATATGGAGGCGGCCCTCGCCATCCCTGAGCTCCTCGAGTCCATCCTGATCCACCTTGACATGACCACCCTTCTTGTCTCTGCACAGCGCGTGAGTAAAGCCTGGAAAGCACTCATAGACGCTTCCCCGGCTGTCCAACAAGCCCTATTCTTCAAACCGGTGGCTGCTGAATCGTCGCAAGACTCGAGCGGCGATGTCGAAAAGGCCTCCGCGACTGGGCAGCAAGATGACAAGGAGGCCAAAACCAATATCAAAAGCTCTCGTCCTGTGATCAACCCACTCCTAGCCAAAAAGTTCAACAAGTGCTTCTTCGATCGCGGGCAGACCTATTCCCTCCATCGCCGGGCCAACTCGTTCTATGAGCTTCCCTGGTCGCGTCGACCCGTCCAGACGACTCAAGAAATCTGGGGAGGATGGAGCCAGGTCAGACCGGCTGAGCTCAGCGCCGAGGAGAAGCTCGAAGAAGGACAGCTTCGACGACGGTTTACTCGTCGTGGGGCTAGCTGGCGAAGAATGCTAGTCTCGCAACCTCCGCCGCCGTCCTTGGGATACATGAAGTTCGACATATCAGACCTCCCACCCGAGGGTCAGAAAGTGGCGAGCGCGTCTCTGAAGCCCGGGTCGGACTCGCCTTTTGTTGAGTTGCGTATGGGAGATCTGTATGACATTGTGCAACACAACGCCGGCCACCACGGGCGCCATACCCTCTGGTTCCGGGTTCTTTGGGGGAAGCCCACAAGCCCGTTTGCCATCACCCGCGTGAAGGAGACGTTCGAGAAGCTGATGGAAGAGACGCACGTCGTGGTGGAGTTTATGCATGCCGACGACAACTCGCTCCCGAACCACCCCAAAGACCCGGTTTCCGAGAGCGCTTTCGATGCCGCGTTCAAATGCGACGAGCACCGCAATCTGGAGTTCGAGCCCAAAGAAGTGTTGGCTTATCCATCAGAGTTTCCCAACTTCGACGGACGGTTTGTCGTCTGGCATTGGCGCTTGCTTGATCATGAGAGAGTGCCTCGACAGTAGACTGTAGGCAAGAGACTTTCGGAAGCGTACTTTTGCAGATTTACGGTGTCTTAAGTACGACATGTTTATTTTTATTTGACTTAGGTCGCATGAGCGCAATGTTCAGTTGGACTGAAGAAGCTACTATGTGTAGGGATATTGGCATGGTATACGTGACAGCATATACGGTGGCGTTTGGACGAAGCATTCATTTGATCTTGGAGCAACATGTATTAAGGCTGTGAAATATCATCCTACTATTCTCAGGGCTGTTCAGTTTCAATAAATTACAAGCATTCCTTCCAACTCTTGCCAGGTAGATGCAACTTTCATTGCGAAGTCTAAGTAATGTAAGTAGTCAGTCTTTTATATCGAGCCTCAACTTACGGCAGCTTTGCAATAAGTAGGGTGTTTCAGGGATGGGTAGAGATGCATGTATTTGTTTGGATGTCAGAATGGGGCATGCGTGGTTCACCTTGCGCATTCCACTGCAGAATTCTAGGTCGTTAGAAGAATGTGATGGCAGGATCGAAGCAGGATTTCCTGTCGTCTTGATAGTAAATCGGGTACCTCCAAAGAATAACATCGTGGCAATTTTGAAGGACATATAAGCCGTCAACTATGTGTGACACCTCTGACTTTAAAAACCTCCAAGTCGAGCCCTCATCCGAACACAGAGCTTGCACGCCGGATGCCGTCTTTACCTATGTGTAATCACCCCCAGATCTCGTTTTGCCAGGCAGGCCACGCAGGAGCAGGGCTTGCATCTCCCGAACAGTTCGAGTACAACACAGGATTATCGACAACAACGCCCTCTGGCAGGTCGATGATGAGAACATAATCGGGATAGAGGCCGACACTGAAACTCCCGGGGCCCTTGCCGTTGGCCCAGAAGATGCGGAAGGGGATGTACTCCTCGACCGTCTCAAAGTAGATAAAAGTGCTGTATGGAAACGTATTACGACCCTCTTGCGCCCTGATGTCGGCGTTTCCGGCGTTGAACCCGGACTTGGCCTTGTCGCCGACCCACACAAACATGACATCCTCGGGTTCGTTGATGTAGAGCTCGTAGGAGCCAGGGTAGGAGGCTTTGATGTAGCCGCGGTGAACAACGATGTTGCATCTGAAGTTCGAGCCCGCAGGACCTTTGACTCCGTTGTAGTTGATGGGCTGGGTGTCGTCTTGTTGAGAGTATCTGGGGGACTGAGCGAGGCCGGTTCCGACCGGGACGCGGCCTTGTACGAACTTTTTGAGGTTGTATTCTTCTGCTTCAACATATGGATACTCCTTTTGCAGCACGTTCCGGCACAAGCTTGACTTTTCGTCGAGGACGTGGAGGGCGAACTCCGCTCCGGCTATGCAGGAGGCTGAAGCGGAAGCGGTGGCGGAGGTGAGGCTGGTGGGAGTAACACTCGTAGGTGCCGTGACCGTGATGGTTGTAGCCTTGATGCCGTCGAAACACTGGCAAGCTGACCAATAGGCGGTCACATCGGGACAGGCGCTGGCGTAGGCAGGCTTGATGCCGGTTATGGTTGGCACCGCGGATTCTTGACGTGGGGCGTGGACGTTTCTTCCCTTGACAGTGGGCGGAAGTGAAGGTGTAGCAATAGGTCTGGAAATAATGTTAGCTTTTATATCGTTCGCACGATACTAGTTGGATCTCGCCTTACCCAGCCGCCACTGTGACATAGGTAGTCACGAAGGCTCCGCATTGCGACGACCTGAAAGCGATCGAGGGTTCCTTTTTGGCTGTGCCTGCAACTTGACGGCCGCAGTTGTTGTTACAGACTGCCGCGGAGGCCACCCCGGAAAGGGACCAGATTAGGTTGAAGACCGAGAGCCTCTTCATAGCTGAAAGATGAATGGGATGTGCTTATTAGATGACTGTTGTGTGAGTTGATGGTCGAACGCATGGGGAGAGATATCCCGGGCAGTCTTTCCCTCTTAAATAGTTTGAGTTCTGTTGAAGTCAGAATCAGCTTTTGAGTCCACGATGAATCAACTGAAGCTGGCTGGTGTCCCAGACAGACTGATCGTTAGATCTCAGGGCGCTGTCTTAGCAGCAATTTCCACATAGGTGGCCATAGAATCTCTGGCATGCAGAGGGACGTCCCCGCAACGTGGACAAGATCTTCAGCTTCGCTAAAGTAAGGGAGGCTCCGAACCCCGTGCAAGACATTGATCTGGATTTATTTCTCACCCGTTTATCCCTGCGCAAGCCACATCGACCAAAGCATGGAGAAGCTTACCCCATAAGACCATCGCAAGACAGCACGTCCACGATCTTAATATTGATTGTGGCTGGAGGCTGGCGTAGCTAGGGACTCTCAAGCATTCACTTGAATGAGCTTTATCAACTTTTCTCATCGTGTCATGATGAGTGTTAGTGAGACAGATTCACTCCATGATTTATGCCCCAAGTCTCAAATCGGAGTGCCCGACCCGGTCAGCTACTTGGCTCTAAGCCCTGTACTTGCCGTGAATCCAACAGCTGGAGGCCAAGCCTTCTGGAATTGTAGCAACTCGGCAATGATTGCCGGTCACGAACCAGCTTTTAACTGCGCCCATGATCGCAACTCAAGAGTCAAGGCATACCTTGCAAGATGAAGGGGTGTTTCAAGTCTGTAAACTCACCAAAGTACCTTATTTTCATCACGTTACGCGTGAATAGTCGGAAATACAGCTACACCAGCCGCGATGTTGATTCTCACGTAGAGTCTATTCGTCAGGACTGAAACAACTTCTCAAAGCAGCGCCTCATAACTCAAGTCGCCGATACTCTCCATCGCGGATTCATCTCCACAAGAGGCCCTCCATAGAAGCTGCGCCAGTCGACAAGACCGAAAATGCTCCAAGAAGTCATCTCGCGTATATATTTCGTCCTTGGGTATCCTCGAATGCTTATCTCTCATTTGTTGGTACCTGAGTACCCATATTGAAGTCGGCGGCGTGTTGAGCTGACAACCAGCACATGACATCCCGTTCTCGACTTTGCCGGTTGTCTTATCGTAAGAAGGAAGCGCGCATGATGCTGCAAAGTTCAAAGTTTCGTTGAGACATAAGTTAATCGGGTGTGGCTGAGTTGTTGCGACCAGCTCGGCGTGATGAAGAGAGACGATCCGAGCCCGCGACCTGTGAGCAGAGCTCTCCATTGTATATGTTCCAGGCAGGATCTTGAACGACCTCAGGTGTGTGATCCCGGTCTTATTCAAGCAAAAGTGCTTCCTAGCAAATGCGAGAGTTTGTACTTGGGCTTCAGGTGCCTCCCGTAGGCAGTGAAAACAGCACCGCTGCCATGTCAGAAGGGATATCACCCCGCCGAATACACCGCAAAAGGCGCAGGCCTTTGTGCAAAGTGCGTCGTAGAATTCAAGAAGAGAGGTGTCCATAGCGAGTCTCGTTCGTAACAAGGCGCAGAAGAGGTTTAGCCCGTGCAACAACATGAGTGAATATTGCTTGAGACTGTCCACCATCTGTCTTGACGTGGTGTTTGCTTGTCGAAATTTAAATAAAGAGTGTATGTCCAGATGTAACAGCAAGTCCTGCAGAATCTCGAGAGGTAGCCGATCGAGCGAGCCGAGTCCCGTATTCGACATCCGTGGAAAGGGCGTCGCTATCGACTCGCGAATTGATAGGTGCTCGCGTGGCGAGAACCATATCACGGAGCGATCGTGGTCTTTGCGATGATGGGCGGTGGCTCGAACAATCGCGTCAGTGTCCCCAGGGCGGAACCGGTATTTGGGGAAGGAAGGAATTCTCCATCTCCAACGCATACCTTCAGCCATCGTCGCTGCTTGCGTTCCGCTCTGAGTGAATGCTTCAGGTCTTAGCGGGTGATGGATAACCACACAGGAGCGGGATTATGGCTTGACTTCCGGCGGTGTAGGTGCAGTCGTACGAGGTTTCGAATAAGTTTTGGCCCAGATCCGTAATTTGATGAGCAGCCTTATCCAGGCGTTGCCAGGCTTCGTTTGCTTTTGGATGCATCGCTTGGATTTCAAAAGAGAAGTCATTGGAAGAGGGAGTTCGGAAACTGCTGACTACGTAGGTACACTCGAGCGGTTCTACCGGTTGTTACCGCCTGTAATTTCCGTAGCTGTTAGGTAATGTTGGTGCGTCTCGATTGAGCTCACCGAACCCGCTTTCACGGTGAACAACTTCTCGAGTGTGGTGATGATCTTGTTGGCTCAGGTAAGACGCTTTTTACGACGAATTCTGCCATAGTCGTTTATAGGTGGCCGTTGCCTGCCGGTAAGAGGCAGAAGATCGTCACCTGAAGTCCCGGTATGGTAGGTGACGCATCGAGATGCATGCCAAGTTCGTAAGGTGTGTCGCAGTGCCAGCTTACTGCAGGAAATATTGCCTTCGTCGTGGGAAACACAAGGCTGCGTGAGAAGGCAGTTTCTCGGACTAAAACGCCGTTAGTTCTTCTGCAATTTCAAAATCCGTTGGGCCAGGTCATGCTTGTCTCTGGTACGGCTTGCTCATCGATCTCATGTTCGCCCACACGTCACAGTCTCTACCACCAGACAGACCCATTGCAATATAGAAGATCATCGAGAAGACAACGAAGATCTACGACGCAACTGCTTAAAAGAAGACGAATTATCCAAGGTCAGCAGTCTTCACTCTTCATCAAAGCGTACGTCTGTAGAATACGTCTAGCAAGAGCTGATGCACTAACCCTAGAATGAAGCCCGTTGGTGAAATGGCTGCTGAAAGCACGTCGCTTGGCATATGACTTGTCAGCGGAAACGTTTTCCAGGCTTCAAGTTGTCCATCTGCGCAAATGTCAGCCTGATCACACATAAAGCAGGCTCTGATTAACGTTACCGCACAGAATGATTACATGTAGAATAGTGTACTGCAGCCAAGCCTGCAAGACGAGACGCGGCGAGCAGCCATAAGCTCGCCTGACCTCGTAGAGGCGACGAGGCAAAGGCGGGGTCATGCCGACGAGTACGCATGCCTGGATCGTCTCGCACATAAAGGGCGGTCTTTTCTTTTCACCTAGGCTTCTGGTTCTATTGTATCGGAAAGCTCGAGATGGCCGCACACAGAAGTCCTTCTGCCATCAATGGCGACGGGTCATCTTCTACAACCCCTGGTTTTCCGTGCCTATCTGCCACATCTTTTCACCACGACGCGGTAACTCTCGATGACACGAGCGCGTCAAGTCGGAAACACCGCGATGCTCCGGGAACAAGCCCTGCAGTCGAATATTCAGCCGTTCCCAACGACGAAAAGCTCTCAGGGGAAATTCGTAGTCCCTTTTCAACCAAATTCAGAGACAGCACTGAGGTGAATGTCAACGAGACCGAGAACAACAGCCTGTTGTACCAGCCACTCAATAGACTCGCGACCTTGAAGCAGTGGGCATTTGAGTTGGTGACGCTTTTCATCTCTGTAGCTGCCTTCGTCTTCATGGTCATTCTCATGATGGCCGTTAATGAGAAGCCGCAACCAGCTTGGGCGTATGTTGTCAACATCAATACACTCGTTGCGATCTTCACCACACTCCTGAGAGCCGCAGTAGTACTGATAACAGCAGAAGGTACGTGTTTTTTCTTCTCCAATAAGAGAGCATGCAAGATACTGATGAAATTAGTCATGGGACAAGCCAAATGGTCGTGGATGGCGTCGCCGCGGCCGCTGCGTCATGTCAAGCGATTTGACGATGCCAGCAAAGGTGCTTGGGGGTCACTGAAATTCTTGCTGCACACTTGGAAGTCGTACGTCGTTTTTGAACTCATGAACAGAAGGGATTACTGAAAAATGCGACAGACCACCAACAGTACTGGGCGCGCTGATTGTCATTGCCTCCTATGCCATCGGACCCTTTTCCCAGCAAGCTGTCAAGACATATCCATGCCCGATTCAAGCCGAAGGCGTCGCTCGCATCTCAATTGCCGAACGAGTTGCAGGACTGGATTCCACCAGGGATCCCGGTTTTCTCAGTGGGGAGATGAGCTCCGTTGTCATCAACGGTTTGCTTTCTATGCTTCCCGACAGTTCTCAGCTTTTCGATTGCGATTCTGGCAACTGTACATTTGGGAGTATTTCAGGAGTCACACACTCGTCTGCGGGCGTTTGCAGCAAGTGCACCGACGTGAGGTCTGGATTGCTCGAATTCGACGACCGCGGCCCTACAGTGAACGGTAGATATCAGCCTGAATACCGCTTCCACAACAACTCCGATTTCGGTATCAACACCGCTGTTGAACCAATTTTATTCAACATGACAACGTCAACAACATATGCAACACCTTTTATGACGTCTTTCCTGACCCTCACAGCGGCAGGGTGCGTCGCCAAGGTCAACGAAAAAGGTCAGGCAAACCGATATTGCCAACATAAGTACGAAAACATGCCAAAACTCAGTTCTGACCTTGATATTGCGGCTGCGAACTGCACCTTCTATCCTTGTGTTCGCCATTATGAAGGAGCTATCACGAACGGAACTCTTCGCGAGCGTTTGATTTCAGATGAGCCAATGGCTTTTCGTGACAATTTACCGATTGAGGAGTTTTACGGGGAGTATGTCTCAATGATTCGACCTTGTATTCTCAACGGCGAGAGTTACGACCTTTCCAATATCACCAGCGTCTCTCGAGACGGCCTAAACTGGACCTCTTGGAGTTCAGGCGGAGTCTCCTACGAGGCTCCGCATCAATGCCTGAGAGTTTTGCCGGAGTTGGAATATGTTGGCATCACCAATTTCCTCGCGGATAATCTGAAAGGGTCTTGTCGACTCTTCGATTCATCCGAGCTCTGGTATTCACCCGATTCATTCGAAAAGAATTACACATCGATCAATACCATCGGAGGCATCAACAGCAAGGTCAAGTGCGAGACAGGCTGGTGGCTTAAAGCCCTCCATATGAGAGGAAACGCCACGTTTGAGGCCTTGGCAGCGGCGCATAACAATATGTCGATGGCCATTACCAACCGCATGCGTGCTAACGGACTGACTTTGTCAACGACAGAGACATCGCGCAGTTACAAGGAGGGAACTGTTAATCAAATGTCGATCTGCGTACGCCTGGATGGGTTGTGGCTGCTTTACCCTGGAGTCTTACTGGTACTGACTTCAGCCCTGCTCGTGACCGCATACATTCAAAGTTGCCAAGACAGGGAAAGACAGCCCGTGTGGAAGTCAGCGATCCTTCCTCTGCTGTTTTACAACATATCAAATGAACAGGATTCGGACGAAAGAAACAATAGCCCAGGCGCCAGCTCGTCGGTGCCTCTTTTGCAACTCACTGAACTCGAGTCACTCGCCGATAAAACAGTGGTTAGTTTCCGCAGTGGCGATGAAGGCGCAAGATTCGTTGTCGAGGAATAGTTTGTTGTAGTCTAGCGAGTTCCGCGAATCTAGGGTATGGGCATGGAGTGGGGTAGGTCGAACCACGTTGCGCACGGCGAACTTGGAGTCTGAAGATTCATCACGTAGCCGCGGACGCAGCCACATGACAACAGGTGGGCGGACTTGCTTCGGCTTCCGCGGCGGCGATGTGGCTAAACATTTCAAAAGAGCAAATTTCGAACAAGCACAGAATAGATTATCCATATCGCCCGTATGATGTAGCTTCTGCTTCTTTTTTCGTTGTCGTCCGATATTCCTCCAGTGTCTAAATATCTCGGTAGCCCGCGCCATCCGGAGTGTTGCCACAATGAGATTTAAACGAGTGTATGGTCACGAGGTATGATAAAAGGATAATGTCCTTCAAATAGCCATATGTTTTTCAAGTTTACCCAGCCTACAACCAAGCGTAAAGCAACAAAACACCCACCATACAATACTTTTCTTCATCAAAGCCAAATTCAACATCAACATCTATTATGTGTTCTCAAACCAAAGAAGGATACTCTTGGGATTTCCAGGCCAACGTCGTGAACACCGGCCTCCCCACTGCAGCCGTCAAGTCCGACAGCAACGATGTCCACCAATCCCATGACGTCATCGTCATCGGTGCCGGCTTCGCAGGCTTAACAGCCGCCCGAGACTTGAGCGTCCGAGGCCTGAGCGTGCTCCTTCTCGAAGCTCGGGATCGCATTGGCGGCCGTACATGGACGGCAAAAGGGCAGAACGACGATTACGAAATGGGCGGCGGCTGGGTCCACCAGTTACAACCTCACATATGGAGTGAGGTGAGCCGTTACGGCCTCACGGAGACCAAGGAAAGCTTTGGCAACAGTCCTGACAGCCTGTGCAATATCGATGGCAACGTACAAAGCATGCAAGATGCGGCGGCATCGGTGTTTCCTCTCGCAGAGGCTTTTTTCAATGTCGATGGCGACGGTGGTCGGATTGTCATGCCCCAGCCGACTCGTCCCCTGTACAATCGAGAAGCCATCGTCAAGTGGGATATTAGTGTCGAAGAGCGCCTGGGCCAGATGGATATCACGGAACACGACAAGGAGCTACTCAGAATGTGGATGGCGACCGCAGGCCTGACTGACGTATCCAGAATTGGTTTCCTGAGTCTTCTGCGGCTTTATGCTCTCTCGGGGTATGACTTCCAGCGATACCTCGAAGCCAACGGAACTTTCAAGATTCCCGGGGGAACCACGGCTCTCGCCGACATGATGTTCGCAGAGTTCAAGGGTGCGTCTTTGTTCAACCGCCATGTCACTTCTATCGCGTCCGAGTCGACCAGGGCAACAGTGAAGACCAAGGCTGGCGAGGAGTTCTCCGCGAGCCACGTTATCTGCACCGTACCAGTACATTGTCTTGCCGATATCGAATTCCTACCCCCGTTGCCTCCCTCGTTTACGTCGACCGTACATTACAATCTTGGCGGAAAGCTTCACATACACTCGCCAAACAGTGCTGCTAAGTTCTTTGGCGTCACTACTCCCTCCAAAACCGCCTGCTTTGGCTTTACGGAATCTGCTTCCAAAACCGGGGGCGTCAACATAGTTGCCTTCCAGAGCAGCCGTCTCGAAGCAGCCGACCGACCACCATTGACAATCCTCAGCGAGGCACTCGACAACTTGAAGCCCGGTTCGGTTGAACTAGGCAACATCAACGAGTATCTCTGGCACGACTGGCGCAGCGACCAATTCTCCAAAGGGGCCTGGCCTGTTTACCCGGCCAAGGCACTTTCAGGAACACTTGGTCACCTTATGGAGAACAGAATGGTGTCTGATACACTTACACTTGCTGGATCGGACTATGCGGACGGCTGGGTGGGTTACATGGACGGAGCCATTGAGCAGGGGCGTTGCGCTGCGCTGGCTATTGCGAACAAATTGTGCAAAAGTTCCAGTTAGGTGTGACGCGCGAAGAGACCTTAGAAGTGGGAGACTGAATATGAATATGTCATGGCGTGTTCCCGAGGTGTGACCTGGTACGGACAGGTAGTTGACTCCAGGAGCTCTGGAAAACACTGTCTCTTCCTGTCCATGATGCACTGAGGTCGTAGTTTTGAAGGGGGGCCAATGGAATTACAAGAGAAAGCAGGCGAGCTAGCTGAACTAGGTGTAGTTAAAAGTTAAACGAAGGACGATCAAGAGAATGCGATATCAGTTTCGGCGTAAAACTTGCAACTCAACAGCAGTAGACGGCCAAATTATTAAATTACCTCAGATCTTCGGTGAGCTGCAGTACATATCGCCCCATTCATACCCACTATTTCTCCAACTCACCTCCCCCGAATCATTCTCTATTGGCTAGAAAAAGCCGAGAATTTACCTGATTGGCTAGAGCTCCGCATCAGAAGTACTGATGAGACACATTGATTCGCGCGAGGAGTCATTAAAGAGAATAGTTACAATAAGACGCAGTCGAAATTTATCAGTGAGCCTTCAGACGGACAATAGGAACGTTTCTTTGAGCACAGAATATAGACTTACTCCTTTTTAAGTTGCTTACGCCGAAGCTTAGCGAAAGAGTTGCATTAAACCCACGACCTCTCTCGCATACCCACGGCGGGAATGATATGCTTCGGGTTGCGGGTGCAATTGCTTGCTGCAGCAGTAGCTGCTGCAATGCAACTTCCAGGTTTAGCCTTCAAGGCTGCATGGGGCGAGTCCAGCAAGAAAAGAAAGGGGCGGGACGGCCACTTCTGGCTGTTCTTGGTGTCTTAATAATCCAACTTCCAGGTTCTGGGTGGCCCTCCTCTCCTCCAGGTCTCCCGTTCCTGCCACCTTCCGCCGGGGAATTTCCGCGACTTTCGGGGTCCTGGGTCAGGAAGGCCCCAGATGCCATCTCCACTTTTTGAGCAGTCACGTCCCGGGCGCAGGTCCACGCCTCGCCTTTCTCCCGAAAAATCGCCTCGTGTCCCCCGTCTCGTCTCACTCAACTTCAACCTCTCCCTCCGTCCCGAATCCTCCACCGACCGACCCTGTCATGCCCTGAGGCTCATGACACCCGAACATAACCAGCCCTCCTAACGCCTTCACTCGTTACTTTGGCAATATTCCGGCACATCCCACTATCGCATTCATTTCTTCCCCCGCACCCGCGTAGCAGGCGGCGTCTGCGTCCTGAAGAGAGTCACGCGCCCAGCGCCTCTGTTACCTCCCGTACAGCTCCCACACCGACGACCGAGCACGAACAGCAAAAAGCCGAAAGTCACTATGCCGATCCTCGGCGGCAAGAAGTTTGCCCCCAAGTCGGTGATCCGCGTCGAGTCGCGTCCTAAGCTGATGGCGACCTCCGCGAAGGCCTCCCCGCGCGCCTCACCGAAACCGAGCGGGAGCAAGTCCCTCCTCTCCCGCACCAAGAGCGCTTCGCCCTACCCCTCCTCGTCGGACGAGAAGCGGACCAACGACCGCAAGCGCAAGGCCGGCAGTGCGGGGCCGGGGCCTTCCCAGCCCAAGTTCGATGACGACTCCGATGGCGACGAAGACGAGGATTTCCTCAAGGGCCTCGAGGCGCCTAAGCGCCTGCGTCTCGCTTCATGCGAATTTTCCGACGAAAATCGCACTCTTACCCGCCAAAGCGCCTTCAAGGAGGGGCTCAAACCATTGAGCAGGCTGATTCATGCCGCCCATATCACGAACGAAAAGTCTTGTCCCAAGGCTAAGCGTGTGCTCAAGGCAACTGAGAAGGATGATATCAGAGTCAAGCTGCAGTACCCTAGTATGTACGGCGCAGAGTCGTAAGTTGCGGGCGTTGCGTTAGTTTGTTACTGGATTTTACTAACGGGACTATCAGGTACGAGCTATTGTACGAAGATGGCAAAATCGATGCAGTTAAGGACATTCGGCAAGTGGTCGAGTGGGTTGCCAATGTGTACCTTACTGGGGAGCAGGCGCAGGAGTTTACCGACCCAGACACTGGCATTATCCGGCGGTTGAAAAAGGCGATAGGCAGGGACGACTTTGCAGGCTTCACAACAGCTCTGAAAGATGGAAACGAGCGGATCCGTGCATTGTCCGCCAACGGGACGATAAGAAAGAACTTGGATAAGATGCATGGACTGCCTAACGAACTAGCCAAGTTCATACTCGCCCAAGTCTACGACCGCACCGTTTCGCCAAACGTCGAAAAGCTGAAGCAGTACAAGAACGGCACGGATAACGTGTACGGCGAGCTACTGTTCCCATTCATTTCCGAGATTTTTGCAAAGACACGCTTAACTTCAGACCAAGTCTTCATTGACCTTGGCTCCGGGGTTGGTAACGTCGTGTTCCAAGCCGCGTTGCAAATCGGTTGCGAGAGCTGGGGTTGCGAGATGATGGACAACCCGTGCGACTTTGCTGAGGCTCAAGAGAAGGAGTTCGGCGCCCGTTGCAAGATGTGGGGCCTCCTCCCTGGCAGAGTCAACCTCGAGAGAGGCGACTTTACTAAGAATTCAAGGATACACGAGGTCCTTAAGCGCGCCGATGTCATCCTCGTCAACAACCAAGCCTTCACGCCCGAGCTCAACAGCAAGCTTGTCGACAAGTTTCTCGACCTGAAGAAGGGTTGCAAAGTCGTATCGCTCAAGTCGTTCGTCAACGACCAGGGCTCGCGAAACATGAACGACGTCGCCAACAACATCCTTGATGTGGAGCGTCATACATATTCCGAAGGAGGTTACGTCAGCTGGACGGATTCCGGTGGCTCCTATTGCATCTCTACAAAGAAGAATCAGTAAACACCGAGCATTGTATGATGTCCCACGGGGCTTGACTAGAAGGGGTTGGCATTTGCTGCGTGCATCAATGCATCTGTACATTCTTGGTGGGAAAAGCACAAATAACACTGGCCTAGGGTGGGGAAATAGCGTTGGGTTTGTTACCTGTAGATTCTTCTTTTTTTTGATACTCCCATAGAGCGAGAGCAGAGGCGCGTAGAAGGAGCATCGTGAAGGGCGTGAGAGCATGTGGTTTCCTTGGGTATAAACACAAAATAGTCGCATCATCAGCGCTCGTTTGCAAGGTTCATGGCGTCGGCTTCCTGGGCCATCCTCTTCATCCACCGATCGACGAGCTCCTTGTTCTCTGCCTTGACCTTGTCCCTCTCCTTTTCGGCCATGGCCACTTGGAGGTTCAACGTGATCATCTCGTCTTGGACGTTCTGTACCAAGTCAGCCACTGCTATGCGTCGTTGCGGCGAGTGACGCCGTGTATTACCTCGACCAGCTTCCTCTTCTCGCGCAGCTCGTGCTCGCGATCCTTCAATTTTGTCGCCAGGGCCGTCTTCTCGGCCGTCAGGTTCCTCACCTGCCGCGCATCGTCCTTGTTCTTCTTGCGCAGCACCTGCACCTCCTCCTCGGCCTTCTTCGCCCGGTCTTGCAGCGTCCCGTTCGACCGCAGCGCCTCGGCCAGGTTGAGCTGCAGCTGGTTCACGCTCGGGTCGGTGCTGATCGTGTCGATCGGCGCTGCTTTCTCGTTTGTCGTCCTCGTCTTCGCGTCGGCGGGCGCGATCTTGGATTTCAGGAGCTCCTTTTCGGCTTCGAGGGCGGCGACGCGGTCGGATAGTTGGGAACCTGGAGGGGTTGGAGGAGATGGTTAGATGCGACGTCTGTTGGGAGAAAAGGGAGGACGCAAGGGGTAGAAAGGGCGCCTACAGAGCTGAACGATCTCGAGGTTGACGGGGTTATTCCTCTCCTGCTCCCGGATGGAGGCTAGGTATTCCGAGCGCCAGTCGGGCATGTTGGTATTGGCGACGTTGAAGAATTCTGGGGGGAAGGGGAGGGGAGGGATGATATCGTCGTCGGGCGCATTTACTACGGTTGCAAACGGAGGCCACCCCTTTTTCCGGCACGATGGACAAACTAACAGGAGGAATTTTTCTTTTCTTTTTCTTTTTCGGCTTGGGAAAGAAAAAAAGCGGCTAAAACCTCTGGTCAAACGGCTGGGCGACGGACGGTCTGGTGCATGAGCTCTGCTTGCATTCCAACACGGCCAGACCAGTGTTCCCAGAGCGGCCTGAACTTGGGGGCAAGCAATGCGACAACCCGCCTGCTGATCTGAAGGGACGCGGGGCTCTGTCTTATCGATGTGAGCCCGTGGTTTGGTGAGTGGATTGCAATGACGCAGTTTGGCTTCGGATCCGGAGATTAGCCGCAGGTCCCCGGTGTTCAAACTGAGGCTCAGTTCGTGGCGCAAGCTCTGGGGTCCAGGTGCGTCCCGTCTCTGAGCTTTGGGCAACGACCTTAAGCTCCGGGGAGCTCTCATCAACGACACGTCCCATCTCATCACACACAAATCTCACCAACGCAACGAAATATTCAAAAACATCTCACCATCCCGCGGAGAGGACTGTTCCAACAGACACACAAAGCAGAAATTTCGGGCGCGGGAATCGGGTTCGAGGATGACATGATGGAGGTCTCCCACCCCTCAGCCGGATGGGACAACGTCGGCGACAAGTGGTACCGCAAAATCCAGCTCTACACCGAGGTCTTCGACCAGGACCTCGACCTCGACAACCACATCGTCGCCGGCGCACCCTACGCAGGCGCCCTCGCCCTCCTCAGGGACGACACCAAGATCCAGGCCTACCGCGCCAACAAAACCTCCACCGCGAAACCGGGCATCGACGTCTACTCCTACGCCGGCAAGCTCCTCCGCCACATCCCCTGGGACGCCAACGCCCCCGGCTCGGGCTCGGGCTCGGGCTCCGGCGGTCCCGCCGCCGCCGTCAAGGGCCTCGGCTGGGCCTGCGTCGCCGGCGGCGAGGAGCGCCTCCTCGTCGTCACGGCGGACGGCACCGTGAGGGTGTACGACCTGCAGGGCGAGTTCACGCAGTTCTCGCTCGGCCACGGCGCCGAGGAGCTCGGCGTCGTCGGGTGCCGGTTCTACGAGAACGGCATGGTCGCCCTCCTGGGGGGCAACAGCGCGTCGCTGGTGAGCGTGACGAGCTACGCGGAGCCCAGGCCGCGGCTCCTCGCCCGCCCGCCCGACGGCCTCGGCGAGATCCACAGCTGGGCCGTCGTCTCCCCGGACCACACGCTCTCGCGCTCCGTCGAGGTGCTGCTGAGCATCGGGGAGTCGGTGTACGTGGTCGACGCGGCTGAGTGCGAGGACCGGTTTTTAGATATTGGGCCGTTCAGCCACATCAGCGTGTCGCCCGACGGGAGGCTCGTTGCGCTGTATACCAAGACGGGCAAGGCGCACGTGATATCGAGCGATTTCCAGGAGCGGCTCATCGAGCACGACTCCGAGTCCAAGATCCCGCCGAAGTATGTGGAGTGGTGCGGCTCCGATGCGTTGATTGCGTGGGAGGACGAGGTGCACGTCATCGGTCCGGATAATGCGTCTGCGGAGTTCTTCTACGATGGGCGGGTGCATGTAATTTCAGGTAAAACTCGTCATGTTCGTTCTGGGTGCGAAGGGTCTTTCTAACAAACATGCAGAACACGACGGCGCGAGGCTCATCACAAACGACGTCTGCGACTTCCTCGAGCGCGTCCCCAGCGCGACCGAAGAAGTCTTCGGCACACGCGCCGAATCCTCGCCCGCCTCCATCCTCCTCGACGCCGTCGGCCAGCTGGAGCTGCAGTCCCCCAAAGCGGACGACTACATCCAGCTCATCCGCGCCAACCTCACCGAGGCCGTCGACACGTGCGTCAACGCCGCGGGCCGCGAGTACAGCGTGCACTGGCAGAAGCAGCTCCTCAAGGCCGCCTCGTTCGGCAAGTCCGTGCTGGACATCTACAACAGCGACGACTTCGTCGACATGTGCGAGATCCTCCGCGTCCTCAACGCAGCCCGCTTCTTCGAGGTCGGCCTCCCCCTCTCCTACGAACAGTACCAGCGCCTCACCCCCGAGGGCCTCATCAAGCGCCTCATCAACCGCCACGAGTACCTCCTCGCCCTCAAGATCGCGGGCTACCTGCGCCTCCCCACGGACCGCATCTACGTCCACTGGGCCTCCGCCAAGGTCCGCTCCGGCACCGAGGACGACGACACCATCTGCCGCCTCATCGTCGAGCGCCTCTCCGGCAAGCCGGGCATCTCCTTCGAGGAGATCGCCCGCGCCGCCTACGACGAGGGCCGCTCGCGCCTCGCCACCGAACTGCTCAACCACGAGCCCCGCGGCGGGCGCCAGGTGCCGCTGCTCCTCAGCATGGAGGAGGACGAGCTCGCGCTCGACAAGGCCATCGAGAGCGGCGACACGGACCTGATGTACAACGTCCTCCTCCAGCTCAAGAAGAAGCTCCCGCTGGCCGCCTTCTTCCGGGTCATCAACGCCAGGCCGACCGCCACAGCGCTCGTCGAGGCCTCGGCCGCGCGCGAGGGCGACAACGCCCTCCTCAAGGACCTGTACTACCAGGACGACCGGCGCGTCGACGGCGCGAGCGTCTTCCTCCGCGAGAGCCTCCGGCAGCCGGACGCGCGCACGGCGTCCGACAAGCTCGCGCTCGCGGCCAAGCTGCTCTCCGACTCGCGCGAGGCCTCGTTCGAGGTGCACGCGCTCAAGGAGGCGCAGACGCTGCTCCGGATGCAGGAGGCCTTCGACCGCGACCTGACGGACACCTTCACGGGCCTGAGCGTCAACGAGACCATGTTCAAGCTGATCCGGCTGGGCTATCACAAGCGGGCGAAGAACATCCAGAGCGAGTTCAAGGTGCCGGAGAAGGTTGCTTGGTGGATCAGGTCAGTTTTTCTACCCCTTGCCCCGTTATGTTTTGTGTGATAAGGTGCCAGGTTTGCTAACTTTCTGATTTTTGTTTCTGGTGGAACAGGTTACGGGCGTTAGTTGCGAAACGCGATTGGGCCGAGATTGAAGAGCTCGCTAAGACGAGGAGGAGTCCCATCGGATGGGAAGTGAGTTGACCCCCGGCCCCCATCATGTCACACGATATTACCTGAAGCAGCTGTACTGACGATAAATCACCAGCCGTTCTACAACCTCACGCTACAAGCGGGCAACCCGCGTCTGGCCGCGGTCTTCGTGCCAAAGTGCACGAATCTGGAGCCCGGCACGAGCATCACCATGTACGAGAAGTGCGGGATGCGGGTCAAGGCGGCGGAGGAGGCGGTCAAGCTCCGAGACGGCGAGGCGTGGACGAGGCTGCTGGAGGCGGCGGGGCGGAACACGACGGAGGGGCGAGAGATTGAGAAGCTCGGGGCGAACATCTTCAGGAGGTAAAGCGCGAGAACTTGCGAACGGGGAGGTTTGGGGTAAAGTTGAAGGTTGGGTGTCGAACGAGATCGGATGAAGCAGCAGGCGTTGAACCTTTTTTCCACTTTTGCTACAACAGACATAGGACGGCCGGAGGTGAACGCCGGTAGAATCACGGTGGTAATCTCGATATACATACGTAATCCGACTGATCGAAATAACGTGGTGAATGCTTTGTTCGTAATTCCTAAGGGGGCGTTGCATTGAGGCTGTAGGGGATGATCCGGGGTAAGCTGGGAATCTGAGGGGACGACCGGGGTCAACCGTGGACTGACTACGTTGCGTCCGACGTGGTGGTTCCCGTCAAAGTTTCTTCTGAGGTTATGCTAGAACACTCGGAGGGGATGCCAAGGACTCGCGATGGCGTCAAAAAGATTATGCTCTCCTGTCCAATTGCAACTTCGTGACGATTTGCGGCTGCATTACCGCTTGCGGCCCTTCTCATGGGAGCTCTGATACAAGCAAGCCGTCTCGAATCGTCATTGGATCACGAATGTAGAGGTGAGGGTCGCGTGAGTGGCACACGTGCGCAGACCCAAGACATGCGCCCCCAAGATCGGGCTCGTGAGTTAGCGTGGTGGATCGTTTGAAGGCTGGCATTCTTCGACGCGGCAGGTATGCAAACGCCCCAGGTAAAGCACGTCGAAGACGTAGATCTCTTATTTGGCACGTTTGGCGCGCAGGATATCAGGCCACTTGGGAAGAACAGATGCATCCTCTGACGGGAGGCATTGAAGACAGTCCTGGGGATGACCCAGGGCGGGACTGACGGGACGTCATGAATCACGTAGCTTTCTGGGGAGGGCCCCTGAGGGAGTGGACGGTCCGGTCTTCGTGGGAAGCTGCATTGGCGCTGAACATGTTTGCTCGGGAGTGCGAAAGCATGAAACCAAATCGGTCGACGCAAGTTCGTCCTTTTTCGCAGATACAGTTTTTTCTGATGCTTGCGGCCGATGTAAGTAGAAGAAGGTTCGGGTCCTGCGACGCTCTAAGAGGCCGTGGAGAGGATAAGAACGCCGCCTTTCCAACTTTGGCCCGCGAGGCATGACGGCCGGCCGCGGACTGATGGGCCCGCGTGGTCGAGTCTTCCGGATGCGAAAACCCACCTGTCCGCGTGCCGGTAGAGAGATGCTTGGCGAAAGGTAGACAGAGCTCTCCCAACTCAAACCAAGGCACTGGAACGATGGCAGATCTGAATCTGAGTCTCTGGGCAGTGAGATGCGTTGGGTTAGGAAAGATTAGACGAAGGCGAAGAGACCGAGAGGACAGCTCCGGAGCATTCCCCACAAAGGGGAAAGTGTGGGACGCGGACGGACGTGTAGGGTCTATCGCGGGCTCGGTGCCGGAGAAGAATCGGAGGGTGCATGAAAGATATGTTGTTGAAGGGTCTTGGCAATGTGGTTGGTCGTGGCGAGAAGCTGTACCGGTAGTGGCGAGGCAGGACGAGGCGGGAAGCGAAGATTAGAAGATTGGAAGTCGGGACTGCCGGGTCAGTCGGGTTCGGATCCGCGTTTCCGATGAGCTCCACGCTTTCTAGATTTTTTCTTTACTGTGGCTCTGTTTTGCCAAGGCGGGCTTGGTATGTCAATGTTGACTGTTGAGACTCTGAGAGGCAAGGCGGAACGGACGCGTTCCAGAGTTTGCTGTTCTTTTGACTCTGTACGAAGCCGCGCGGTGGGAAGCCGGAGGGGAGGATGCCTCGGAAGGGCGGCGGACGGGCCGGACGAGTCATGGCGGAGGAGAAAAAAGTCGTGGGCGACAGATGTTTGCTATCGGGTGCATGATCGGATCGGAAGTCTGCTCCAATAATGCAGGGTTGCGTTGTAGTTGAGATGAAGAAATAAATGGTTGGAATGAGGCGAAAAGAACGCAGTGGTAATAATTGCGGAAGCCTTTATGACGCCTGTCGAGTGTTGATTCTGGCCATTTGCTGTAGTTCCAGTGTTGGTCGCGGCGAGGAGACGGGTGTGGTGGGGTAGAGCCTGGATGACGATTCGAGAACTCCGACTGATGGTGCCTACAACTCTTCAAGTCGGGTTGTCATTTTGGCGAGCGCGGCGTGGTCAATGGTGCAGGCAAATCGTACACGGCAGAGCCCCGCCGGAGGTCACTACATGCCCTGGCCCACGGACATGCAGGTGCAGATCCGGCAGCCGCAGTGGTTGGCTGCATGTCAAATGGCTCCCGTCCGTGACGGCGGTGGAGAGAAGTGGGCAACGGAGGTCCCGTCCACAGAGCAGAGTTTGAATTGGCGCCAGTGGTGACGGGAGAGTGTCGAGGGTGAGCTGATGATGGATGATTGATGACTTCGTTGACGATAGATAGTGGAGATGGATGGAGATGGCAGCGGGAGAGCCGGAAATAACGGTGCAGTGCTGATGACACTGGCTGGAGTGGGCTGAGATGAGTTGAGCCCTTTTTTCGCCCCTCTGCCGATTTCTGCATCTGACGACGGGAGATCTAAAACAAGGCAGAACGTTGCACGATGGGGGACGGAGGTCGTGCGGCATCGAGGTTGATATCAAGAGACATCTTCGGAGTCGGCCGCCTTCCACTGTGGTGAGTGATGGCATCGCGAGATTGTGGGATTACATTCGAAAAGGGAAAGAAACAATCAAGTTCAGTACCGTAATTGCTTCAGTTCATGTAAGTCATCACTCAGAATGCAGGTGCTCGGCCGGTCCTTCCCGCAAGCCATCGTGCCTTCCGCAGCATTTTCGGGTCAATTAAGGTACTCTTGACTCGGAAGGAAGGCGTGCACAGGTATTTCAGGTTCAATTCATACATATTACTCTCGGGCAGGCAAGTGCAACGGGGTAAACCACAAACTGCAGCTGCTACGGATGGATGTTTCTCGTTGAGCGTCGCAGCTGCTCATATTGCTCTGTGCTTTCCGCCAAATCGCAATCGACGGGAGTATGAGGAAGGAGGAACCTTAAGATGCCTCAGCCCCACTGCCAAATCCGAGGAGCTTTTTCGAGGTGGAAGGTGTGATGTTGCAGGTTGCTCGGTCCTGCCTCGCCCTATCTGAGATCTTTCCGTGATCCCTCACCGATGCGCCGGTGTAGCTCCGATGTCAGCTCGGAGCTTTCTGCTTTCTGCTTTCTGCGTTTCGAGAAAAGATGTGCCTCAGTCCTCAGTCCCCAGTCCTCAGGATTACCTTGGACACCTTATTTCCTGCTCCGTCAGGCTGCTAGGTCCCCCCGGTTGCGGCCGTTTTCCTCCGTCGAATCTACAGTCGAGAGCCTTCCTTTCTTTTCTCCCAGCCTCCCGGAGCTGATTGAGATTGATACTGAGACTGAGACTGAGACTTTTGATGCATATGACCCGCGTTTTCGTGTTCTGACCTAAAAAGGTACCTGCCATACCAATAGAAGCTGCTCATACTGCTCCCGTTGCTTATTCTGTCATTCTGCACACTTTGATGGCAGCGGCGCATTTTATGATGCACAGCACGAACGCGCACATGTCGATACGTACAGAGCACACTTATCTCGATCGGTAAATGTCACGGCTGCCATTTGCACTGACGCCGCACCGTCCTTACCGTCGGTTCCAGGGTCTTCTCGCCAGGGCATTCGTCAGTGATCGTCAAGAGCAAGAGACAAGAGGGTCACCAAGGTCATCAAGAAACATCATCGTCGTCGTCGGTCACGGCATCAACACAGCTAAATCTACCCACCTCTACCTCTACATCTACCGTAATGCAAGCCACCACCACCAGCTGCCGCAACCCTCCATCCACGCCGCCGTCAGCATCCAATCCCATCGTCACCGCAACCTTACCCCCTTGTCGACGAAATCCAATTCACCTTAGCCCGACCAACCTCTCTTTACCGGGCTAGCCCAAGGCAAAAAAAAAAAAAAACCCCTCCCAAGCTGCTCCAAGGGTGGCCTTCCTGTGTCCAGGGTGCTCGACTTCCCTGCAGCAGCATATCCATACCCGGCTCGACCCCTACTGAAAGTCCTTGTTGTGTGTGTCTCTTGCTTGCCTCGACGTCGTCATTATCTCCATAAACGCCCCCCTCCTCTCAGTGTAGCAAGCAAAAGAGTGGCACGCGCGCCAAAGGAAACCTGACCGACTGGGCTGGACCCCGACCTGGGCGCTCTCGTGTTCACCATTTTTGGCGACGGGTCTGCTCTCGTCGACGCCCGGGACCCTTGCAGTTCAGGTTCGGGTTGCTTCATCGACGACATCAATAAACAACTGGGTGTTTGATCTTGAACAGCAACCACGACTGCAGCAATTCCGCATCTGCGGCATCAACTTCGGTCTTGTTCTCTCCCTCCTTGCCCTGCCAAGTACAGCAAACAATCCACACAATTGCATCCCTCCAGCTTGCCCTGAAGGTGGGCAGCCAAAGGTACTTTTACGCAGGCAGTCCTTGTTCCAACCTCTCGCCCACGGCTCCTGCAAGCCCCAGTGCCCAGTCCGTCCTGCTGTCCGGGCCCTTCCCTACTGCACTTGACCAAACCGGGACTGACACTGACGACGGCGACGATACCTTGGGTAGATACTGCGTGCTGAGGAAGACCGCGCAAAAAAAAGGACAGACGCCCGTTCTTCTTGGCCTCCCACCGAAATACTGGCTCCTTCCCCAATCCAGCCGGTTTTCAGCTCCAGCTCCAGCTCAAGCTTCAGCAGCTTTACCATTGCTCTTTCTCGCCTTTTTCTCGCCTCCGGAGTCGACTCTGGAGTTGAATCTGCACCATCGGCACCACCACCGCAAATACAAGCAAGCACCAGTCACATCCATCCAGAACAAGTGTGGCGGCGATCCGGACTAAAAAGAAGAGAGAGAGAAAAACCAGTCTTTCTAATCCCGGCAGCCAACCGCCTTCCATAGGCTCTTGGTCCATATTATTATCCCGTCCGTCAACCACCAAGGCTCCCCCAAGTCTCTCGGACCTCCCTCCCTCTCATCTCTCGACGATTTCTCCTTCGTCCCTTCGTCCAACCTCCCGTCTCGCCCTCGGCCGTGTACCCTACGCCAGACCAGTCCGCTTGCGAAAATAAGGTGCCTACCTTGCTTCTGGGGACAATCCGCGACATTCCAGAGTCAGCCACCACTGTCTGGTCTTCCAGGTTCTTCGCCCACTCCCTCAGCTCACAGTTGCTGTCGCTGCCGCTGCCGCTGTCACTGTCACTGCCTACCTTACCTACGGCTACGAATACCTCTCTGTTCCCCCCCTTTCGTCACACCCGCCGTCGCCCTTGGTCTTATTTCTTTTTTTGATACCCCTACTCTCCCAAAAAGTCTCTCTCTCTCTCTCGACCTTGCCCCGAATTACGAATACCCGTTCCGCAAGGCAAGACCCTCCCCCAAGGGCCAAACAGACACACGGCAATCCAACCAACCAGTCCCAGAATCGCAATCTCGAAGAAGGTGGTCATTCTCGGTCCGCCTGCCAGTCCAGTGGTTCCAGCCAGCTAGTTTGCTAGTCAGCCGCCCAAGCACGGAACTCACGAGTCGAATCGGCACCATTGCGACACTATCCAGCTGGTCTGCTTACCTGCCATTTCAGACCTGCTGCCGCTACCGATTACTGTTATTACTCCTTCGAAAAAGGACCAGCACCAACAGCACCAAGACAGCCCGCCCACTTCCTCACCCCTCGAGGCGCAAATGTTTACACAACCAGTCTCATCGCCACCAACCGTGGGCCCCGTGCCGACGTCTGTCACTAATCCCGCCTCGCCCTCGACGCGCTCTAGTCGCCTACGAGGCCTGAGTTATCTCCGCAATTACACCCAAAATCACCTGCTCTCCAGGGAGCACAGCAGTCAGGGTTCCGGTTCTCCAACCTCGAATTCTCACGCCCATGCCCACGCCCACTCATCGCTCTCACACTCACACTTTCACCATAATACCACAAACACCACTCACAACTCTCATCACAACTCTCAGACCCAAACTCAAACTCAAACCCAAACCCAGAACCCACGAAGCGGTACTGCGGCTCGTCCGACCCCAGCTCTGCAACGTTCTCTGAGCTACTCGCCCACGACGACCCCTCGTCGTGCCGACACCGACACCGACACCACCCTGAACCCGCTTTCTCTCGTCGCTTCGCTGCAACATCCCACAACGTCGGCATCCTCTGCGAACAGAGCCTCCACCACCCCTTCCTCACCCGCCATCGAGCGTCCTCCCGTGGATGCGCTGCCGTCTATTTTGGACGACGTCGTCGCCAGCAGCAACAGCAGTCAATCGGCACACTTGCTTGGGCACCCATCGCAGCCTCGCCTCGACACCGGAACCGAGACCATGACGAGAGCACGCGCCTCTACGACGGGCGATGTCGTCCCGACCGCTTCCTCCCCCGTCCCCGACAATTTGCCCTCGATCCGCTTCTCCGCCTACTACGACCCCCGCGCGACGCGCCCGAGCCTGACGTTCCCTCCCGTCTCGAGAACTCTGCCCAGCGGCAGCGAGGTCATCCGCGTCGGCCGCTATTCCGAGCGTGACAACCAGCCCAACGTGCCCAACAACACCCCGTCGGCTGCTCCCGTGGGCTTCAAGAGCAAGGTAGTCAGTCGTCGACACTGCGAGTTCTGGTACGACGACGGGAAATGGTTCATCAAGGATGTCAAAAGTTCTTCGGGCACTTTCCTCAACCACATCCGCCTCAGCCCGCCAGGCACTGAATCCAAGCCCTTCCCAGTAAATGACGGTGATATCGTGCAACTGGGTATCGATTTCAAGGGCGGCGAGGAGATGATATTCAGATGTGTCAAGATGCGGTTGGAACTCAACCGAGGATGGCAAAACAAGCTCAACACCTTCAAGTACGTACAAACATCCTGTGTTTGACTTCAACCACTGATCAAAATCTAGCATGGCGACGCACAAGCGCCTCCGTAACATGGTTGCCGCAAACTCTGCGAACTCTTCTTCGACGCAAGACTGCTCCATTTGTCTCAACTCAATTGCGGTATGTAGCCGCTGTGCATGCATTGCGTCCCCACTTCGCGTACCAGCATTGAGGCTAACGATCTCACAGCCATGCCAGTGCCTGTTCGTGGCGCCGTGCTCGCATACCTGGCACTTTAAGTGCATTCGCTCCCTCCTGAATTCTCCACAGTACCCCATTTTTGTCTGTCCAAACTGCCGCATGGCGGCTGACCTCGAGGCGGACATCGAGGACCCCACGGAAGACTGGGAACAAATGGACGACGATGAAGAGGCGGAGGAGAAGCAGGAGACGAAGGACAAGGCCGTGGTCGCCAGCGAGCCCTTGCCTGCGCCGGTTCCGGCACCCGCAGAGAGCTCGAGGCCCCAGCTGCCGGAGATTGGCACGGAGCCTGACGCCATGGATTTCACCGTAGCTCTGGATAGGGCGCGAACTATGGTGATGCCCCCGCCGCCGGAAACAGTCGCTCCCAACAGCACTACCGAACCCGTCCCGATTCCTGCCGTCGGGGCGGCGCAAGCGGCTGTTCTGCGCAGTGGGCGTGACACCAGGACGCCCTCTCCCATCGGTAATCACCTGACCAACGGCACCGAAGGCCCCATCACCCCGCGTAACGATGCCGGCCCATGGGTATTCGATGGAAGTGCTGGCCGTCGCGCTGCCGAAGCTGCCAACGGCATGAGAAGCCTCGACGAGGCTACGGAAATGGATGTCGACCGGTAGAGCCGGCCAAGCCGGCCAGAGCCTATCGATGTTCTCGGGACTGAAGGAGGTCGCAAGCGGAGATCAAGTTTGATATCAACGGATGCTGAATCGACTTTGCCTATGGAGTCTAGCAAGAGAGTCTGCATGAGCGCTGGGTAGGATGGTGTCAGGCGTTAAGATGCATTGTGGGGCGCACGCTGCTTACCACATTTACACGGAGCAATGTTATTCATGATTACTGGGTTGAGAACGTGGACGGCAGGCGGCCAAGCATTGTTGATTCAGCTGCAACACGAGCTTCACGTATCGAGCATATGCAGTATGGGTTATAAGTTACAGCATCAGGTTAATACAGCGCGGCTAAGTCACGGATTATGTCTTGCTACGTCAAAGAATAATTCTGTGATCCTTCGTAGACGGTACGCTTCCTTGACTCTCGAACGGGATGATTAAGCCACGAAAAAATGAGTGTTTCTCGCGTGCCCACGCAAACGACTGTTTTTGATACTCCACATCGACTTCTAGTCACCTGCTCAGTCGAACCTCATCAGCTGGAGAAGGGTCCGGATGACGTCTTCCTGCCGAATGCATCGCCTCGTCTCTGATTGGCCCACACGGTAGCCCAGACCCCGATACGTCCGAACGCGATAAGCGATAAGGAACGACAAGAATTCCATTGGCAGCAGTCAGTCGACTGCCGTCCGGCAGCGAACTTTTCCTGAGCCTCGCCATCGTGCACACCCTCCACCACCACCACTACCGAGGATCCATCTCAACCACAACACCCCTGGTTGGATCCCATACACATCCAAATACCACAATGCTTCGAACATTAGCGACGCGCCTCCCCCGGCGCGCCGCCTCGACGACGACCGCCGCCGCTCCCTCCCGACTCTCGACCGCATTCCGCAGCCGCCCCTCCACCACACAATCCCGCCGCGCGCTCGCGACAATCATCGACCCCATCCCCAAGGAACCGACAGACCTCGACGCCATCACAACCCTCCCCAACGGCCTGCGCGTCGCCTCCGAAGCCCTCCCCGGCTCCTTCTCCGGCGTCGGCGTCTACGTCGACGCCGGCTCCCGCTACGAGGATGCCGGCCTCCGCGGTGTTAGTCACATCATGGACCGCCTCGCCTTCAAGTCCACAAGCAAGCGCTCCGCAGACGACATGATCGAGCAGGTCGAGGCCCTCGGCGGGAACATCCAGTGCGCGAGCTCCCGCGAGAGCATGATGTACCAAGCCGCCACCTTCAACGGCGCCGTGCCCACCACCATCGGCCTCCTCGCCGAGACGATCCGCGACCCCAAGTTGACCGAGGACGAGGTCGCCGAGCAGCTGCTCACCGCGGAGTACGAGATCAAGGAGATCTGGAGCAAGCCGGAGCTCATCCTCCCCGAGCTCGTGCACACCGCCGCCTTCAAGGACAACACCCTCGGCAACCCCCTCCTGTGCCCCGAGGACAGGCTGCGCAGCATCTCGAGGGACACCATCCTGCGGTACCGCGACCTATTCTACCGCCCCGAGCGCATCGTCGTCGCCTTCGCGGGCGTGGAACACAAGGAGGCCGTGCAGCTGGCGACGCAATACTTTGGCGACATGAAGGCCTCAGAACCCGCCGCCGCCGCGATCTCGAGGACCGGTTCCGAGACGGACCTCTCCTCCCAGTCCTCAGAATCCGAAGCCTCTTCGACGACATCCTCAACATCCTCCTCCCCCGTCCAACAACCCTCTAAGCTCCTCTCCAAAGTACCCTTCTTCAAGAACCTCTCCACCTCGGCGCCCACCAACGCCGCCGTCCAGAACAACACCACCCCGCTCACATACGACATCAACTCCCCCGCCCACTACACCGGCGGCTTCCTCTCCCTGCCCCCGCAGCCCCCCTCCAACAACCCCAACATGCCGACCTTCACCCACATCCACCTCGCCTTCGAGGGCCTCCCCATCTCCTCCTCCGACATCTACGCCCTCGCCACCCTCCAGACCCTCCTCGGCGGCGGCGGCTCCTTCTCCGCCGGCGGGCCCGGCAAGGGCATGTACTCCCGCCTCTACACCAACGTCCTCAACCAGCACGGCTGGGTCGAGTCCTGCGTCGCCTTCAACCACTCCTACACCGACTCGGGCCTCTTCGGCATCTCCGCCTCCTGCGTCCCCGGCCGCACCGCCTCCATGCTCGACGTCATGTGCCGCGAGCTCCGCGCCCTCACCCTCGACACGGGCTTCTCCGCCCTGAAGGCCGGCGAGGTCGACCGCGCCAAGAACCAGCTCCGCTCCTCCCTCCTCATGAACCTCGAGTCCCGCATGGTCGAGCTCGAGGACCTCGGCCGCCAGGTCCAGGTCCACGGCCGCAAGATCCCCGTCACAGACATGTGCCGCGCCATCGAGGACCTCACCGTCCGCGACCTCCGCCGCGTCGCGCGCCTCGTCGTCGGCGGCATGGTCGACAACGGCGGCGGCGGCAGCGGCGCGCCCACCGTCGTCCTCCAGGAGGCCCAGGCGCATGGCGTCAGCACGCACTCGCTCACGTGGGACAAGATCCAGAATACCATCTACGAGTGGCAGCTCGGGAAGAGGTGAAGAAGCAAAGGGGGGAAACGAAATTAAATGTTAGAAAAGCGAATGTGTGGGTTAGAGCAGCTAGAGAGAAACTAGATGTTTATGGGGCGGGCGGGCGGGCGTATAGAGAGAGAGAGAGAGAGAGAGAATGGCGGATGGCCCAATTGTATCATATCATATCATGTCATTGAAACGACCCCTTCGACATATAAAAACACACAAAAACCCCCAGTGTAAAAGTAATGGCCGGCAAAACCTGTTTTATGAGGCAAAGAGATGAAGAGGAGAGAAAACCCAGTTAGTCTTGTAACCGGTTGAGGGAAAAGGCCATAAGGGGGTGGTAGAAATATCCAATGAGAGAAAATTCACATCTTCAAATTCGTCAAGACCAGATGAGAACGAATGTTCGCCGTCTCGTAGCATTCACACGTCCGATTTGGACTAAAGCCAGGAACTTCATATGATCGAATCAAAACAGAAAAAAAGTCTTGGTATATTGAATGTACGTCTCGTCTCGTCTCGGCTTCGTCTGGTAGAGGGTGCGCGAACACCAATGCGTCATAATAGCCTGCCCCCATGTATAGAGAGAATTCTAGATAATTTGCCCTTTGTCCGCCCAGCCCCCAGAAAACAAATTCATCAGTTAAACGCCATCCGGTCCCGTCTCATCCCCATGAATCCCGAATACAATTTAAGGAAAAAGTGTTCAGCGTGAAGACAAAAGAGAAGGCATGAATAAAAGTTAAAGGGAGAAGGAGAACCGCGGCAGGATATCTATCGTCTATGTCCTGCGCGTGTTTTACAGTGACGGTAGATTCCCCCGGACGAGGGATGTTCAGAGCTTTGAGCGGATGGCCTCGAGGCGGTACTTGACGTCCTTGAGGGCCTTGGTGACGGGCTTCCAGTCGTCGAACTGGCGTAGGAGTTCCTCGGTCTCGGCGGAGAGCTCCGTGCGGACGAAGTCCTCCTCGAGGAGGCCGCGCATGATCCAGGGGAGGTGGTAGGGGTTCGGGCTGGCGAGGGAAGAGCCAGCGTCGCGGCGGTGGGAGACGGTGGCGGGGACGTTGGGCCTGACGTCCGCGGTCTCGAGGGCGTGGGTGAGGGCGAGGTCGTAGACCTGGTCGTCGTAGTAGAGGCGGGAGTGGCCCTCGCCCGAGTAAAGGCTTCCGGCGAGGGGGGTGGAGAGCTCGCGGACGAGGCCGTGGTCGGAGACGCCCAGGTTGCGGAGCTTGAGGGCGAAGCCTACCAGGTGGGCGATGCTGTGATGTGTGTTAGAGAGGAGGACGGAGCAGAACGGGGTGGTGGTGTGCTTACAAATCCGGGGCGTGAATGCGGCCGTCGATGAAGACGGCGCGGTAGATGTAGGGGTGAGAGGCGGGGGAGTAGATTGCGGATTCCATTGGGACAAGCTGGTCGTCGATGCTGCCAATGTAGGTGATTCTGACTCCGTACTTGAGAACGTCCTTGAGTGCGTTCTCGTATCTCTTGGAGACTTCACTGTCCGGGTTGGAGAATTCCCAGAGTTCATTCGCGGAACCCATGAGAATCCCCATGCTAGACTTGTAGTCTGGGAATGGGCCCAGCGAGACTCCGGCTTGAGAGATGTTAGCGAAGTCATATACGAGGGTATCCTAGACTTACCCATGGCGCAGACGCCAATCTTCGCATTGGTGATAATGCCCAGGTCGATGAGCTTCGCCAGAAGCATCACGCCGACAGGCACGCCCTGTGAGTGGCATGCCAGTATGATCAGATCTGCGTTGCGGATCTGCTCGATCCAGTTAAGAAGGAGCTTCCATAGGTTGTCCACCCTGTCCGCGATCTTGCCCTCCCCCTCTAAAGCGATTTTCTCGATTTCACAGTCTGAACAGCCGTGGGCGTCTGCCCAACGACCAATGGCTTCGGCGCATAGGCTTGCAAACCGAAGTGAAGTTCCCGTCGGCTGTCCCACCATGGGTCGAAGGTAACTTGCCGGGAATAAACCGTGGACTCCAATGGCGAGCGCTTTCTTGATCCTCGGCGTTTCTTTTACTCTATAAACGTGGTTCGCCGAAGGTTGTTGATTTCTCAGAAGGAGTGAGGTGAGTTGTTTGATGATGGATGGGTTGTCTTTCATGCGATATGTACTTGCGAATGATGGGAGGAGCAGGTTTGGTGGCGATGATTTTGAAGGCGTCTCTTGTGCCGTGCTCTTTGGCGTTCCTGGCTTCAAAGGCGGTTCCTTTGGCGTCTGTTCCGTGATCGAGGCTCTCGAGGATGCCACTGACTCGGGACGTGTAGGCGTTTCTGGCCTCGACTGGATGTCGATCTCCATCGACTGAGGGCGCACTCTCTTAGTTCTCCTCCCGAACGTCGGCGGCGCAGATGCAATTCCCGACTTGGTGGTCTTTGCAGGTTTCACATCTTTTGCTGACTTGGCATCCTTGCCATCTTTGCCATCCTTTACATCGACATCTCGCTGAGCTTGGTCCACGCTTGTCCTCTCCGGATGGGCCTCTGAACCTTGTCCCATCACCGCAAGCTCTCCCGATTCTGATTGAGAGTTTGCATTCTCATTCTTTGCTCCATCGGTGTTCGAGCGCGTATCTCTAGACCAGAATGCCCAGGTTGATCCGGCGGTCGGTGGTTTCTGTGTATCCTGCTTGGGAGCATCTGGTTTTGGTGGCGGAGCGTCCTCCATCACAACGTCTTCTGGTTCCTTTGTGGGTGGCTCTGCGGTGGTGAGTTCTGGGGGTTTTGTATCATCAGTCGCCGCTGGCGCCTCTGGTACAGGAGTGTTGGAATACCAAAACCCAAACCACGATGTCGCCGGTGCCGGTGAAGTCACTGCGGGTTGTTCTGGGACCTCGGAGGCTGGTGGTTCGGTGGGGTCCGGCTCCTGAACTTCGGGTTCCTTCGGGGGTTCTTCCTCTTTAGGTGGCTCCTCGACTGGTGCTGTCACCTGTATTTCTGTCGCTGGCGCGCGTCCCAGCCAGCCAAACCAGCTCGATGCTGTTACGGGTCGCTGCTGATCGTTTTCCGCCTCTGCAGGCTTTGTTGTATCACTGTCGGCCGTCTTCGCTGGCTGCTCCTCATCCAGCTTGCTCGCTTCCGCAATCTCAACCTGCGCTTTCGCCGTATCGCTGTCTGTTTTGCTTGTTGTTGCCTCTTCCTCTGTCGCAGCACTTTCTGGAATCTGGGGTAATGACGCCGACGAGTCAGCCGGCCCCTCGAAACTCGCCGTGTCGATGCTCTTTTTCGTATCGAATCGTCGAAAGTCGGGAGTGCTCGATGGTTTGAGAGTGCCTCCGAATATGGTTTCACGTGCAAGCTGCGTCGACGCGGCCGATTTGCGTGGCCAGGAGCCGTACCAACTCCTAGATTTGCGGACCTGCAACATGTTGTTTAGACCACTGTGCCTGCGCATGTCACAAACCAGCGAGTGCTCGAATACCTGTTTCTGCGGTTGCGGAGGATTCAGTGTGGTGTTCTTGGTTTCGCTGCCGCTCCTGTCCCTCATCAGAGGCATCTCTCGCGCCGGACGGTGGGCGGGTTCTGAGACGGCCGTGACCTGTGACGTAGCCGATGTTGCTGTCGCAGGGGCGATTGCCGCCGGTGGACTGGATGAACTTGGCTGAGATGGATTCGTTCTCTGGCGCTTTCGAGGAGACATGGCAAGGGGGGAGGGCAGCTTAGTCGTGGAATAAAGTCGGGGCAGTAGAGACGAAGTCAATCTGCCGCATGTTCGTTTTAAGGATTCGTCATTAGAGGTTGGCGGAAAGGACAAGATTCATTAGCAGCCTCTGTTATGTTGTTGGGGGGTGCTGACCTGAAGAGGTCCCGGCAGGTAGGTAGGTTGCCTGGAGAGGTGGCGTGCACTGCGTCTGGCTAGGATCCCAGTGCATGCGCTACCTTGCTGGCGGAGGGCGCGAAGCCAACCCCTCCAAATGACTCTGGAACTTGCGCACGCCTGCCCGTACGGTCCTCTGATTAGATAAGGCCGACGCTCTAGTGGAATGGAATGAGCCGAGGCGTGCCGCAATACCTAAGGTATGATGGTGGCGGCTCTGATGCTCCACGGCTTGCAGAGGTATCCACCAGATAAGGCCGATTAGACATGTCTTATCGTTATCGGTTATCGCCCTGCATCCCGCCCGAAAATTCGAAAAAATTGAGTGGAGCAATCGCAAAGAAGGTCCCTGGACGCTGCTTTTTTTTTCTTGTCCAGTCTCTCCAAAACATCGAGTCCAGAACTGTTGCAAGCAATTGCACCTGGGTTGGGCGCAACATTCGACATGAGCTCACTCAAACGAAAGGATGCCCCCGGGGGTACTCCTCCATCCAAGTCCGCCAAGTCCAACAAGGCCTCGCGGCCCTCGAAGCGCGACACTCCCACCAAGGACCGCAAGGAGAAGAAGTCGGAGGAAGACGCACCCGCACCCAGGGCCCCGACGGTCTCCCGACTTCTCAAGGATGAAGAGCCTCTGTTTCCTCGTGGCGGCGGCAGCGTCCTGACGCCTCTCGAGCAAAAGCAAATCACAATGGAGGCCAAGGCAGATGCTGCCAAAGAACAGGCCGAGTTCGATGTCAACGAAAAGAGCAAGGCGAAGAAGGAGAAGAGGCGCAAGGCGAAAGAGACTAAGGATACAACAAAACCTACCCGTGACGAGGACGCTGTCAAGATCGAGGGTTTGAACTTCAAGGTAAGGGAATAGAAATCGCGTGCTGGGAGACTCTACTGACGGAACAAGCGACTGGTCAAAGGCTCCTTGGTTCTGGGTCAGATCAGCCACATCGACCCCGTTCAACTCACAGTCGCGCTGCCGAACAACCTGACGGGACACGTCTCGATTGCCTCGATATCCGATACCATCAACTCGAAATTGGAGGGCGCCATGGAAACCTCCGACAACGAGAGCGAGGACGAAGACGAGGAGGACGACGTCGACCTGAAATCCATGTTCAAGGTCGGTCAGTACGTCCGCGCATACGTTCTTTCGACATCCGACGATGCGGCTGTCGGCAAGGCCAAGCGACGCATCGAGCTTTCTTTGAGACCGGTGGACACCAACACTGGTGTTTCAAGCGACGATGTCGTGGCGAACATCACCCTCATGGCGTCTATCTCCAGTGTGCAGGACCACGGTTACGAGATGGATCTGGGCATCAAGGGAGATCTGAAGGGTTTCCTTTCCAAGAAGGAGGTCGCACCTGATATGGACGAGGCTAGTCTCAGACCCGGCGCCGTCTGCCTTTGCGTGGTCAAGAGCGTCACCGGTATCGTCGTCCAGCTTTCGACCGACCCTCAGAAGCTTAGCAACACCTCCAACGTTGCCTCGAATGCGCCGACAATCAACTCTTTCCAGCCTGGATCCCTTGCCGATGTCCTTCTTACCGAAGTCACCAAGAGAGGCCTCCAGGGCAAGCTCCTCGGCCACCTGCCGGTAACTGCCGATCTGATTCACTCTGGCGTCGGCCCCGACGGAGTCGACCTCGACGCCAAGTACAAGGTTGGTGCCCGCATCAAGGCACGCATTATCTGCAACTTCCCAGCTGCGAGGGAACCCAAGCTGGGTATCTCACTGCTGCCGCACGTCATCAAGTTGGAGTCGAAGGCATCAGGCAAGGGCAGCAGAGCCAAGGCGCCCCTCGATGCTCTTCCTATTGCTTCATTCGTCGAGACATGCACCGTTCGCCAGGTGGAGCCAGAGATTGGTCTCTACGTCGATACCGGCGTTGCCAACGTCTCCGGCTTCGTTCACATCTCTCGCGTCAAGGATGGCAAGGTGGATGCTCTGTACGAGTCCAGTGGACCCTTCAAGGTCGGCACAACCCACCGTGGCAGAGTCGTTGGTTACAGCCCCTTGGACGGCATGTTCCTTCTGTCGTTCGAGAAGTCCGTCCTGGATCAGGCCTTCATCCGTCTCGAGGATGTCCCTATCGGCGAGGTTGTCTCTGGAAAGATTGACAAGATGATCGTCGGCGGAAACGGAGTCAGCGGCTTGATTGTTAAGCTGGCGGAAAACATCACTGGATTCGTCCATGAATCGCATTTGGCTGATGTCAAACTTCAACACCCCGAGAAGAAGTTTAGGGAGGGAATGACAGTCAAGGCACGTGTCCTCTCCGTAAGATTGCGAAAGCACCAGCTTCGCCTTACGTTGAAGAAGACTCTTGTCAACTCGGATTCGGCCATCATCAAGAACTACGAGGATGTCGAGGTTGGCATGCAAACTCCCGGTACGATTACGTCCGTCAGTGATGACGGTGCTCGCCTCGAGTTCTTCGGCGATGTCAGAGGTTTCCTCCCTCTCTCGCAGATGAGCGAGGCCTACATCAAGGACCCCAAGGAGCACTTCCGTACCGGCCAGGTTGTCAGTGTTCACGTCTTGAGTGTGGTGCCCGAGGACCGCAAACTGGTGGTTTCCTGCAAGGACCCCTCCGCTTTCGGTCTTGATAAACAAGAGGCCCTGAAGTCGCTGAAGGTCGGCGACCTCGTCTCTGCCAAGGTTTCTCAGAAGACCGAGGATGAGGTCTTCGTGGACCTGGAAGAGAGCGGCCTCAAGGCCATTCTCCGTGTGGGACACCTCAGCGACAAGTCTGCGAGCAAGACGCAGGCTGCTCTGAAGCGCATTCACGTTGGCCAGACCTTGACGGATCTCATGGTTCTCGACAAGAACGAGCGCCGCCGTGCCGTTATCCTGACTCAAAAGCCTAGCTTCATCGAGGCAAGCAAGAATGGAAAGCTCTTGTCCAACGCTGATGATGTTACTATTGGCGCTGTCGTCCCGGCCTATGTGAGGGAAATCGGCCCTCATGCCGTCTACGTTCAATTCGGCGGTAACCTCACCGCCATTCTGCCCAAACCGAAGCTCGCCAAGGATGTCCAGGAGAAGGAGGCTTTTGGAATGCGCAAGCACCAGTCCATCGAGGTCAAGATCGTTTCCTCCAAGCCCGAACAAAATCGCATCATCGTTGCACCTGCATCTGCCGGGGAGCCCGAGAAGGCCCCGGCTGCTGCTGCCCTGAACTCGATCGATGAGAAGATTCGCGACGTGAACGATGTCGAATTGGGAACTATCATGAACGCCAAGGTGACCTCTGTGAAGGCTACTCAGCTGAACGTCAAGGTTGCCGACAACATTCAAGGACGTATCGATGTTTCACAATTTTTCGACAGCTTCGAAGACATCACCGACCGAAAGACGCCTTTGAAGAAGGTCCGAAACGATGAAATCATCCGTGTTCGTGCCATCGGCATTCACGACTCCAAGAACTACCGCTTCCTCCCTTTCTCGCATCGCTCAACACACTCCCTTATCGAACTTACCGCCAAGAAGAGTGACCTCGAGGCTGACGAGGTTGAGCTTCTCTCATACGAGAAGGTCAAGGTTGGCGCCTCATACCCGGCCTTCGTCAACAACCACGGCAAGAACTGTCTGTGGGTTAACCTGTCCCCTACCGTCCGTGGAAGAATTGGCATTATGGAGGTTTCCGACGACTTGTCTCACGCCGGCAACCTTGAGAAGTACTTCCCTATCGGATCAGCCCTCAAGGTCCGTGTTTTGTCTGTAGATGCTGAGAAGGGCCACCTGGATTTGTCCTCTCGTTCGACCACGGCTGTCAGCGAAGTCACTTGGGACTCTCTCAAGAAGAACACGGTCCTTCCCGGAAGAGTCACCAAGGTCAACGACCGCCAGCTGATGGTCAAGCTCAGCGATACCGTTTCCGGCCCCGTTCACCTGGTCGATCTGTGCGATGACTACGAGGAGGCAAACACGCTCAAGCTCAACAAGGGCGCCATCATCAGAGTCGCCGTTGTTGAGGTTGACAAGAGCAACAAGAGACTCAGATTGTCTACCCGTCCTTCCCGTATCCTCAGCTCGACTTCACCCGTTGCCGACCGCGAGATCACCTCTGCACACCAGCTGTCCTCTGGTGATATTGTTCGGGGTTTCGTCAAGAATGTCGCCGACAAGGGCGTTTTCGTCCAGCTCGGAGGCAACGTTTCCGCCCTGGTGAAGATTGCCAACCTGTCAGACCGTTACATCAAGGACTGGAGGGGAAGCTTCCAGATTGACCAACTTGTCAAGGGTCGTGTGATCAACGTTGACGCTGCCGCTAACCAGGTTGAGCTGAATCTCAAGGCTTCCGTCGTCGAAAACGACTACACTCCTCCCATCTCATGGAAGGACGTGAAGGAGGGTCAGATTGTGACCGGCAAGGTTCGCAAGGTTGAGGAGTTTGGCGCTTTCATTGTGGTGGACAACTCAACCAACGTCAGTGGACTGTGCCATCGCAGTGAGATGGCTGAGAAGCCTGTTGAGGATGCCCGCAAGCTTTACAACGAGGGTGATGTCGTCAAGGCCAAGGTTATCGCCATCGACGACGAGAAGAGACGCATTACCTTCAGCTTGAAGCCCAGCCACTTCGATGAGGACAGTGATATGGACGACGTTGATGGAGGTGCCGAACTCGACAGCGACGATGACTCGGATGTGGAGATGGGTGATGGCGTCCAATTCACCATCAGCGGAACGGACAACGTGGACGACTCCGACGACGACGAGGAAGAGGAGGAGTCAGATGCCGAAGACAGCGACGTGGAGATGGAGGAGACGTCCGCGAAGAAGAAGGGATTGAGCGCCGGCAAGTACGACTGGACAGGCGATGCGTTCGACGAGTCAGACAACGAGTCAGGCAAAGCAAAGAAGTCAAGCACCGCCGACAAGAAGGAGAAGAAGAAGGGCGAGATCCAGGTGGATCGTACCGCGGATCTTGACGCCCACGGGCCCCAAACCGCGACCGATTACGAGCGTCTCCTCTTGGGTCAGCCCGACTCGTCTCAGCTCTGGATCGAGTACATGGCTTTGCAGATGAAGGTTAGCGAGCTGTCCAAGGCTCGTGAGATCGCCGAGCGCGCCATCAAGACCATCAACATCCGCGAGCAGGAGGAGAAGCTGAACGTCTGGATTGCCTACCTCAACTTGGAAGTTGCCTACGGCACAAAGGCTTCCACGGAAGAGGTCTTCAAGCGCGCCTGCCTGTACAACGATGAGAAGGAAGTCCACGAGCGTCTGGCCAGTATCTACATCCAGTCCGGCAAGCTCAAGGTAAGATCTTCTCGCCACGATGACGGAAACCTCACTAACGAATTCGTGCAGCAAGCGGATGATGTCTTCCAGTCCCTCGTCAACAAGTTCAAGTCCAAGTCGCCCGACGTCTGGGTCAACTACGCACACTTCCTCCACGTGACGATGAACGAGCCCGACAGGGCGCGCGCTCTCCTTCCCCGCGCGACACAGGCCCTCGACCAGAAGCACACCGCACAGCTGATGGCCAGATTCGCCGCCCTCGAGTTCAAGTCGCCCAACGGCGACGCCGAGCGCGGCCGCACCACGTTCGCGACCATCTTGGCGACATGGCCGAAGCGGTTCGACTTCCACAGCCAGCTCGTCGACCTCGAGCTCTCGGCCCCGGAACCGGACGCTGCGGCGATCAGGGACGCCTTCGAGATGGGCACCAAGGCCAAGGGCCTCAAGCCCAAGAAGGCCATGAAGTGGTTCAAGCGGTGGGCCGACTGGGAGGAGAAGCTCGACCCGAAGGGCCGGGACAAGGTGATGGCCAAGGCGCAGGAGTGGGTGGCTGCCAAGAAGGCGGCGGCGGCTGCTTCTGCTGCTGCCGAGGAGGAGGAAGACGACGAGTAAGATTATCGCGAAAGGGAAAAAGGAAAAGTCTTTTTTTTGGGTGGTAATGAAAAATGCATGGGGTTTGACCAGCCTGTCGCCCCCCCTTGTCTCTATCTTTTTTTTATGTGTCAATATCATCAGTTCAAATTTCAGCGGCATAATACGGAACTCATGATGCATCTGCAAGAAATCGATAGCTCCAGGTCGGTCGGCCACCTGGCCGCATCTCACTCACCTACAGCTTACCGCCGTGGGGCTGTACTCAGTCTAGCGCCGTGGGTTAGGTGAGAGGAGACTGCGAATCCCCGAGATCGACGCCGGGATTCATATTGTTCTCTTTATTCTCGGTCGCCGGCGGACCGTGGTCTCGGAAAAGCCCATCGTCTCATCCAGATGAGGTGAGATCTGAGGCTGTTGGGCTGACTTGCCTTGGAAGACATCCATTATTATTCATGAACCCCATCGCCAGCTGACTGTTACTCATCGCTTCGTCCAATATCCTTCATCCACATCAATAACGTTGGGCTTCGCCCGGCTACACAACTTCTGGTATTTGCAGCGAGGTTTTGCAATATTCAATCAGCCCGAAGCTCCCACAACAGCTGCAGGGAGCCTGCAGGTCTCGGTCTTGGGATAAGCCCAGCTTACATTCCTCTCAAATGATGACTCTTTCAATTGACGACTTTCTCAACTCATGAGACGATGGCCGACGGGCAACGATGACCCGGGAAAATAGCCAAACAATGTGCTTTTTGGTTGATCCGCAGTCGATGCAGCGGGATGCCATGCGCCACGGCTGAAAATAGGTCATGCCTAATCTGGGCCAATACACATTCTCCGGCCCTTACAGCGGCTTCTCTATTCGTTCTTTCCTTTTCCTTTTCTCCTCTTCCTCATGCGGTATGTTCAACGAAACTCTCACAACATATGGAAATATTCATCCCTGCTCGCATGATAGCTAATCAACAGGTCCGTTCGGCTGAGATCCTTCAGGATGAACACAACTGTTCATCGGTTGATCGACGTGAAAACAAACTCGGCCGACCGAGCGAAGAACGCCGCAAACAGGGCTAAAAACCGAACGAACACCAACCTACCTTCGCGGTACCTGCGTCTGCGACAGCGTAAAGCTCGCTCGTCCGATGTTGTGATAAATATTACGCTGTGAAGCTGAGTTTGAATCCCTCGTGGCGCGGGTCACACCAGCAGCCGCATGCAGCAGCGCGCAGCACAAGACAAGACGGGAAATTGGCACTGACCGGGCCTGTGTCTTCTGTGCTTTGCTTTTCCTTCCCACCCGTCTTGATGTCTCTGCCCTACCGGCCCTGACTCCCTTGGAATGGGATCCTGGTGTTGGGGTAGGGGGTTAATGAGCCCCTTGCGATGAGCATTTACAAATGCTCGTATCCGATGTACGGAACTGACACTTTCATCCGAGCCATAGTCTTGGTATCCAAAGAGAGGCAAGTTTCTGCCCGCTCCGCAGCATCGAATCGACTCGTTCCAACATCGGACGTCTTGGCCATTGCCCTCTTGTCCCAATCAGATGGTATTCAATGGTCAGAAAAGGTCAACAACAACCACCACCTGCCAACGCATTTTGAGGCGTTCGATAGCGTCAGGCGGGGCAACGGGTGGCCGATTCGAAGAAGAAGAAGAAAACAGGACTCACCGACAAACAAAATGCATCGAAAAGAACAGAGCATCGATGTTCTTGGCCAATCATGTCGCGAGTCACGACGCACCGGTCCTGATCTCTCATGCCGTTCCGCGGTGGCTGTCGACGGCGGCCCAGCCCATTTGCAGCCCAGGCAACGGCTTTCTCCCTCTTCCTCGGGTCGTGCTCTGGTCTGACGGCTCACCTACCTCAATGTGGCTGACTGACGGCGTTGCGCCTCCTTATTCCTCCCGTGTCGCCGCTCAAAACTCAAGTCAGCACACGCTTCTTTTGTTGTTGTGAGCGAAGGTCCTGTGGCGCGGAACACGCAGATGAAGCTTAAACGCTTCTTCATCCAATCCCGCCCGCGCCGTCTACCTTGGCAAAATGACAACTGGTCGTGCGATGCGAAGAGCGCCGCCCCGGTGGACTGCACGGTGACACGAGGCGGATCACGGACGACCGACCCCCGCCCAGCGAGGCCGCCCTTGTGTATGCTTTTTAAGTCTATTGTTAGACCCCTGGTTTAGTTCACGTTGCATTGCAGATGAGCTGCACCGAAGCGCATGGGGCTCTTCCTCTGAGCTCTTTTCTCGACGTCTCTAGACCGAATGACCGGCACCCGACGAATGGGAACCGAGATATATCTGCTGAGGCGGTTGATGGCGTTCGGGTGAGCATAGGCCTAAGCTGCGCTAGTCGCGATATGCTTCTTGCTCCCATGAGAGCTCGGGAGGATTGTCATTGTTTCCTTTCTGCTTGACTTTGGCCTTATTCGAGAACGGCTGAGGCATGAGCCGGGTTTTCTTGGCACCGCAGACCATGTTCTCTCTGTTACCCCCGACGCCTCTCCACCTTACACTCGTGTTGAGAGATCTGACTACACTAGTGGGCAATACTGGTGTCGGCCTAGGCTCAGGAACGAAGAGGCTAAAGGGCTTGTCCCGGAGGATCAGCTATGCACGTCCGACTGCGAGCTGATATGAGTTTGTTTGTATGTCCGTGGCCTTGAACCGACTTGGGTTACCCGAACCCAAAGCTGGGGTCATGATGGGATGTCAACATCTTGAATCAGAGAAGATATAAGGCACTGTAATCTTCCGTCTCTCGTTTACGTTTCTTTTCGTTATCCATCCGGTCAATCTCCTCCTCTCTTTCTCTCTATCTCCAGCCCATTTCGGGTCCCATTCACTCACTTTATTCTTATTCTTCATTTCATATACATTCACTCTAATAACAGACATCATGCATCTCAAGTCCGTCCTCGCCACCTCCCTGGCCGTCTCAGGCACCCTCGCCTACCCCGGCATGAACGAGCAACTGTCCGAGATCCAGAGCCGCACCCTCTTCAGCAAGAGCGAGTCCAACGAGCTCCTCGGCGACCTCGTCACCCTCAAGGACCGCGAGCTCACAAAGGTCGGAAAGGACATCAAGGGCCTCCTCCAGGGCAAGGGCAACCCCCAGTCCGATGAGCGCTACAACAACGTCCCCGCCCTCAACTCGCCACAGTGCAAGAAGGACACCTGCTGCGTCTGGCGCTACGTCGCCGACGACATGTACCAGTTCATGGCCGGCTCCTCGGGCCGCTGCACGAAGTGGGCCCGCGCCGCCGTCCGCCTCGGCTTCCACGACGCCGGCACCTGGTCCAAGGCCACAGCCTCCCAGGGCGGCGGCGCCGACGGCAGCTTCATCCTCGCCGGCGAGATCAGCCGCTTCGAGAACCGCGGCCTCGAGGAGATCACCGCCCGCTTCACCGAGCTGTACGGCAAGTACAAGGACATGGGCTGGGACATTGGCATGGGCGACTTCATCCAGATGGGCGCCAACGTCGCCACCGTCATCTGCCCCCTCGGCCCGCGTGTCAAGTCCTACGTCGGCCGCAAGGACAGCGACGAGCCGAATCCGGAGGGCCTCCTGCCCAGCCCGTTCGCGCCGGCGGACCAGCTCATCCAGCTCTTCAAGGACAAGACGATCAGCCCGCACGGCTTGGTCGCGCTGCTCGGCGCGCACACGACCAGTCAGCAGCGGTTCGTCGACCCCGCGAGGGCCGGTGACCCGCAGGACAGCACGCCCGGTGTCTGGGACGTGTTGTACTACAAGGAGACTCTGAGCAACACCTCCCCTCCCCGTGTGTTCAAGTTCCCCTCCGATATCGCCCTCTCTCAGCACCCCGAGACCAAGAAGGAGTTCAAGGAGTTCGCGGGTCTTCTTGGACAGTACCACTGGAACGAGGTATGTGAAATCAATGTGCCGTGAGGACGCACTGAGACTGACAGACGTACAGGACTACGCCAGGGAATACATCCGCCTCTCCCTGCTCGGTGTCAACAACATCAACCAGCTTACCGAGTGCACCAAGGTTCTGCCGCCCACGACCAAGGGCTTCCGCATCATCGACCAGTTCAAGCTCGACAAGTGGCTCAACAGCGTCGGCAACAAGGGAGCTGCCAAGAAGGCGTCTGAGGATATCGAGAACGGTGACACCATCCAGGTCGATGTTCCTGCCAACAACAACCGTAACTAAAAGAGGGTGCTGGGAGTTGTGTGTTTGAAAATCAGTATTTAACGGCGCACTGGTCTTGGGTTTATCAAAGAAGTGGTATATACTTCATAAAATTTGTAATTATGGACAGATCTGGAGGCTTTGACTTGTACTCTGGTGGCGTTGCACATAGAAATGAAACTTAAATGATGATATCCGAAATGTCATTTGTAGTGTCGTTGTGGTTGACTGCGGAGTAGAAGACCCTGAGGAAGCAAGCTGGCGCGGCCGCTTTTTAGTCCAGCAATTACCTTCAACGATGTTGCGTTGCACTTGATCACATTTGCCCGCCAGCTTTGTTCATAATAGCCCATGCAATACCAAGAAAATGATGATATTGATGAGTGCAGGGCGCGAGATCTAGGGCGCTGTTCCGTTGTTCTGTTATTTCTACCAATCGTGTTGCGTCGATTATAAAATCACCCCGGCAGCATCGGGGACATCGGGACAGAGGAAGGCCGAGGGTGTTCGGTCCGAAGTCCAAGAACATGGATCTTTAAGCTTTCAAGCCAGTACTAAACCTACTGAACCCCACGACTCAATACAACGTGCTGGACCCAAAGCCAGAACAACTCTGACATCCTCAAGAGCTCGCAATCCAGCAGGAAACGACAGAATGGCCTATCGAATGCTGATATACCTACATCGCAAAGACGGCATGACGCACGCCGAATTCAAAGACCACTATGAGAACGTCCACGTACCACTCACGAGAGAACTCACCGGGTCGCTCTTCCCGTCGCTGCACGCGCGGAGGTACATCGAGCGCTCGCCCGAAGACGGCAAACCTGTTGTGCTAGTGGGAGCAAAGGTCGACGAGGAGGCGGATGCCGTGGTGGAGGTCGCGTTCAAGGATGAGCAGGCCGCGCAGGCGTTCTTTGCTGCGACGAACACCGGCGAGGCGATGGAGAGGTTGAAAGAGGATAATGCGAAGTTTTTGGCGTGGGAGAAGGTGCGGATCTTGAAGGTCTCGGAGATGTTTGAGACACGCGGGGATGCGTGAGACGTGGCTTCTCAGGATGAGTCTCGAGGAAGGCGAGTGAGTTGAGTTCTTTTACCTCCATTGAGCAAATCTGCTAATGCTCGACTAAGGCGGTAGGGTTATTAAGGAGACACATTATTTTAGACGAGGTCATCGGATAGCAGAAGTAAATCACAAACCTGCATACGCATGAAATAAAAAGCGGGCTGAGCCGTGACATGAGAGGGAGGTGTCCTGGTTGCCTGTGAGTCTTCTTCAAAATGAACCAGATTATTTAGAGCGCCACGGAGTTCGCGACCACGGACATTTGCGGCGAAACGAAGACCGGGACGGCTCCGGCAATCCTGTTCTCCGCGTTCAAGTAATCACAGCTTTCGAATCACTGGTGGAGAAGCCTCGGCCCAGCCTCCTTCGCCAACGGCATCGTACCCACATCCGGCCCGGCCCCCGGCCTCCGCGGAGGCGCGTCCGGGCTCCACCCGGTGGGGTTACGTGAGCTGCAGCCACGCGGTCCCTCCCTCCCAATCCACCGGTGCCTCCATCCACTTTCCTGACCGACGCATATCAATTGACATCTTGGCCTTAAAAAGAACAGACGAACGACGTAAACCACGTCCTCCAGAACGAATATCATTCCCGTCGGCTGAGAATATCGTCTAGAGACCCTGGAAAATATTTCGTCGGGGCAGTTTTCCCGATTGGTCCCGCTCCTCCGCGAAATCGTCGACCCCTGGCCCCAAAAAATTCGTCACGAGATTCTGAGTCGCGTCGCCTCGACCATCTCACTCACGCGTCACCAACATCACCAAAAGCATTGAAACAACTACCGATCGTACTTTCGAATCATCGTCTCCATCATGAGTCACAAGCACCAGACCCTTCGTTTCGTGGACGATGCCACGGCTGGGGACGGCATCTGGGGCTACCCCACCAGCAAAGCCAAGTAAGCAGCTCACACAAGACTGCGCCATCGACGGAATTGATGCTGACTTGGAGACCTCAGCTTCTGCGAGGAGGACTACCTCATCACGAGGTACATCGCAGAGTTCATCAACTGCCTGTCGAATGTGGCATACAGTAAGTGACCCCGAAATCTCTGCCAACGACTCCCGATGGCTGACCAATCGGCAGTCTACCTCGCGTTCAAGTATCCCCGGACCAACACCAAGGCGCGGGTTCCCTGGTACCAGCACCTTGACATCCAATCGATCGGCCTGCTCTTCGTAGGCGTCTTCTCCGGCATCTTCCACGGCACGATGCACCAAGAGACCCAGCTCCTCGACGACATCTCCATGCTCATCCTCGGCGGCTCCCTGGTCCAGCCGCTCTACGCCTACCGCCAAGCGCCCCTCGTCCGCGTCTTTGTCATCGCGGCGCTGTGGCTCGCCATCGGCGTCATGACCGTCATCTACGTTCGCTCGGGCGACATCCGCATCCACGTCATGGTCTTCAGCGCGCAGCTTACCCTGGTCTGGCCGCGGACGCTGTACCTGCTGTACGGTTCGGGTCTGTACTCCAAGGAGGAGAAGAGGAAGTTCATGCGGGTGTTTTGGAAGGCGATTGCGACGTTGCTGCTTGGCTTCGGGTTGTGGCATATCGACTTGGAGTTCTGCGCCGAGCTGAGAGCTGCGAGGGCGGCTGTTGGGCTGCCTGCGGCTTGGATCTTGGAGTTGCATGGGTGGTGGCATCTTTTCACGGCGATTGGTGCGAGCTTGTACATGAGGCTGATTCGGATGATTACCGACGAGGCTCGTGATGCCGGCGAGAAGAAGCAACAATGAGATGGGAACGCTGACGGTTACAGCAATGTCCCCGCGATACGTATAGGAAAGCATTAGAACAAAAGACAGACAACGCACCATTATAGACATAGAGCAAAGAAACTTAATTGGGCTTGAGTTCAACTCGCCTTCACTTGATCTTCAACTCTCATCTTCAGCTTGGTGTTGACGTGTTTCAATTCCATTCATATGTACATGGTGCCATCAATTTCAAAGAGACGACTTCAACATCTATGCAAATCTTGCCTGCAGACTTCGTCGACGCAACTTGATTTGCGTGACCTCCTCGCAGACATTTCGGGTGTTTATTTGCTGCTGCACTCTTCTCTGAAAACACACTGGAATCCGTCGGCAGCGCAGCAGAAGTTTGGTGGTTTGCACTGGCCATCATTGCCCTGAGCATCCTTGCAAGCCACTGGGCATGCAATTAGTCGTTGCCACTGGGAATATGTAGAAGGGAGCTTTACCTGATAGCGACAACAAGGAAGCGAAGATGACGATGAAGGAAGCCTTGAACTGCATTTTGGTTTGAAGGCGAAAAAAGTGTTTTTGCTTGTGATTCTCTAATTGGCGGGAGTCAGGCGGGAGCTGGCAAATGTGACTGCGGTAGATGCGGCGGCGATGACGATATCTTCATTGTGTTAGGTGGGAAGTTCACCACCTCTTATACCATTTGAATCTTTGCTTCACGCCGTTAAAAATGCTCTTATGATGGTCTGCTCATCTCGTGGCGTCCAAAGCTATACCAACCTGCGCGAGACCACTTATGAACAGGCACCTGATACAAACTCTAAGCTCCATCATGAGGTTCTCGAAAGTAGCACTTGTGTGTTGCTGCCGACGGCGAGGATAGTTTTCATGGGCCTTTAGGCCAGTTCTATTTGTTATAGATCCACCGACCGGCCTCGCGGTTTCAAGACTATGGCGGCAACGGCCCATGCCACCCATCATTCTCCACGACTGAGTTCATCTTGAGTGTACCCCACAAGCATGGATGTACGCGAACACATAGGTTCATACGAAAACACTCATGATGATACTGTACCTTGGAGAAATTTTCGACGTAGAGCGTCTCTGATGTCGCATCGACTCGAGCAAAAGTTCCGTTCAGTCGCGAGAAAGATGCAAAGCTGACTTGGATGAACAACAACATTCATCTTGTAAGGATCTTTAGTAACCGTTCTAGGATACCGGTTTCCTCGGTCTTTTCAATGTGTACAAATTTTAATCATTTTCTCTGCGGACTAAGAGCTGATTAACTAGCTATGCTATATGGCGACAGGGCCTCTTGCGAGCAGTGCGTGGTCTGACACATGTCACATCTATTTCCATGGTGACGGTAACTCCGTCAACCCTGTCGATATGTGCACTTTACCGAACCTCAAGTTGGGCCTGGACTTCATGCTTATTCCGCCAATGCGATCTTTGATTTCAATACTTTGCTGATTGCTCTCGGCGGTCGTAATCACCCCGGAGAGTCAAAGAGCCTGAGCCGCGGCTACTACGACCAGCATACTCTTCGGCAAGCAGCTAAATTGAGCCCATTATGAGTTGTATTAGAATCTGAAGTTTGAAAATAAAAAGACCCTCACTTCTCGCCCTGCGGCATCTCTTGCGACTTCATACTTGCCAGCTCCACCATAACGACAAATCTGCAAACCACCGCAGAGCCAAAGAACCTCAAGACAATCCTGATGGCATCCCCAGGAGACAGAAAAAGGGTAGAAGACAGCCAGCAGGTGCCTATGATAATATGAAACGCAGCAAAAAAGAACCCGACATTGAACAGGACAGCCACCCACGGCTCGAACTGCGGGATCTCGTGGACCCGCAGCGAAGGATGCCGCATGCCGGGAGTAAACTCCCTCGCCACAAACTGTGAGACCGAGTCCGCGGTGCTCCGTCTCTCAAGCGCCCCGTTGGGCGCCCCCGGATGCTGTTCTCGCCGTGTCCACTCCGGGCGTGGCGGGAGCGGAGTCCACTGGGTGTCGCCGAGACCCTCCGGCCCCGCGTCGACGGAGCTGCGGGTACCGTCGCCGGTGCAGTTGCGCATGTGCTTGGCGACGGCGGAGAACTGGAAGGGTATCGCCACCAGGAAGAAGATGCCGGCCAGGGAGGTGACCCATATGAGCGGGAGAGACCACATGTTGCACCGGAAGCTCATGATGGTACGATCGCCCACCCGCACCGCCATGTTGAGCACGTTCAACACCGCCGTGGCAACCACGAGGTACTCCAACACGCTCACCACGAAGCCCCATCTCGAACTGCGCAGGCGCGGTATGAGTCTCTCGCCCTGGACCATGGAGAGGATCTCGGTGGGCGTTTCGAGACGGAAGAGGCGGTCGAGGTAGAATCCCACGCTACCCAGAGCAATGAGCAGGGACAGGAGTGGACGGCGGGTGGAGAGGAGAGCGAGCTGGGTCATCGACGGGCCCAGCATCGCCAGCATCGAGGGGAGGATGCCGAGGAAGATGGCCGCGGACGCGTTTTTGGCTTTGATGGACTCCGATACCTCGCCGAGGACGCAGTCGACGTGGAAGTCGCATGTTTTGGTTGTGAGGCTTTTGTAGTCTGCTAGATAGGCGGCGAGGGTCTCGTTGCAGACGCCTGTTGAGATGTTCTGGAAGACCGGGCCGAAGCTGCTGTACCATTCCTTGAACCGGATGGGGTTTCCGACGCCGTCCCAAGGCGACATTGATGTATCGACTTGTGACTCGTGCACGAAATAGGAAGAAGATGTCGTGAAGGAAAGAGAATCCGTAGAAGTAAGGAAATTTGGCGTCGTTTGAGAGAACGTCGTAAAAAGAAGTCGAAGTCGGCGGAATCACCCCAAACTCATCTTACGCTGATGGCGATCTCTTAAATCAGCAGCGCTCATCTCCGAACCTTGGGCGGCTGAGGTCAAATGGGCCGTTGGTGACTTCAACTGCCCCCCGATCGAAGTAGGATATTAAACATCACGCGACAGGGATATCATGGCTGAGGTGGTCATCTTCGCAGCAAAGCTGGTAGCCATTTCCGAGGAGCTGGAAAGTCAGCTCGGACTTCGGCGGGCCAGTGACTCGGCTTGCTTTTGATCGGCACGGAGTAGGGTACTTGATTGAGTGGTTCGTAACTGCAGGACTGTACCCCTCTAGTTCAGCTGCAATTCCGAGGAAGAACAGGGTGGGATTGCTTGCGGCAAGTAAGCGCGATCAGCCGAGAATCTGACATGTTTTCTGAGTTATTGCCAATCATTGGAAGACGTCAGATTGGTCTCATTTACGACCGAAAAACACTAAGTGCCGTGTTTGATTCGCATCTGGATTTAGAGAACACGCTTCCCATGAACCATGTCATCGTCGAATTTGCAGCTGCGACGGCCTGACAACAAGAGAAATTGGCAAAATAACTGCGCGAACAGCTTTGGCCTCAAACAGGACTGTCGGAACTTACCCATGGCTAACGCAGTCACAGGAGCATTTACCGAGACAGCGATTTGGTGAACAAAGAAGTTTTTTCGTCTATTCGTCTATGATTCATCAAGTCATTTGTCCCCGTTGATTCTCTATCGCGAGATGCCTCATAGAACCAAACTCCCAAAATCAGGTATTCCTGTCCATTGCCAAACTCCAGAATCTGTGAAATTTCTGTACAATAGAGGTCGTCGCTCAACCCTCGTTGTCCGGGTTGCGCGTGCCGTAGGCCTCGGTGCCGAGAGTGAGGCAAGCCCAGAGATCGACGATGGGGTAGCAGTTGTCGAGCAGGACAGCAGCCCAGATGTTGCCGGCCGCGTAGGGGAAGCGGCAGAGGAAGCGGTTGTAGGTGCTGATCATACCCCAGAGGTACCAGAAGACAGCGAACCACCTGTGAAATAGTGTTAGACCCAGAAAGCACCAGAGAAGAGAAAGTTACTTACGCCATCATGGAGTTCTCGCGTAAGCCTTGGACGAGAGCGGCGATGTGAATCCAGGCGATCACCGGGCGAAGAAGACGCTCCATCATCTTGCGAGCCATTAGGGGTGTTTTGTGAACGTGTCAGTGAAGTGATTTGAGAGCAAGTGCTGTTGAGACCTACTTCCAGATCTTGGAGATGCCAGGCTCCACGAAGAGAGTCTTCCAGAAAGACTGGAAAGCACTGCGCTGCCAACGGAACATCTGGAGGACCAGGGTCGAGTCACGCATAACCTCAGTGGTGATCTCCGCCTCGGGGGCGTTCTGAATGCTCATCTTCCAGCCCTTTCTCAGAAGCCAACGGGTGAGAAAAACATCGTCGCCGCTGTTGAGACGTTTTCCGTTGAGGAACTCGTTCTTGATCGCGTGGGTGAACTTGGGATCCTTAGCAATGTCGGCGCGCACCATCATAGTACGACCAACGAGACAGAAGACACTGCCATCAGCAGCGAAGCGAACAGCCTGGTTGTTGTTTTGATTGTCCAGGGACTTGATGGAGGCGACTTCCCAGGGGGTGATGACCGTGGGGTCGCGGCGCTTTCGGGGAATGTGGGCGCTGAAGTCGAGTTAGTTCATGGACTCGAAATAATTGAGGATAAAAAGATTGAAACATACCTCTGTTTGCCGACCGCGCCACCAACCTTTGGGTCCTCAAAAGGGGCGATGAGGTGCTCAAGCGACGCGTAGCTCCAGAAGGCATCATCATCAACACAAGCCAAGATCTTGCCCTTGGCCTGTTCAATGCCAACAACCATCTGAGCACGCTTGCTGGCGTAGTCAGCTGTCAGTACAGTGATGCGGTTATCGCCCTCAGCAATGACGGGCTGGACAAGGTCAACAACACGCTGGAGGTCGCGCTCGATGGTGACAATGATGATCTCCTTTGGGAGGTTGGCAAGCCAAAGACGAAGGCTGTCGGTGAAAGTGTCGGGAGTATTGATGGTTGCGACAACAATGCTCACATCACCAGTCTTGTAGGTCGGCTTCCTAGGGAGCGGCACAGGCTTGGCCTTCTTGGCCAGACGAGCAGTGAGGTACTCATCGTAGAAGTACCAGCCCCTGTAAAGGCACACATGAGCATCACTGGAACTATTTCAGGGGAAGAAGATGAATGGGACTTACCAGAAGGCGCCAATAGCGGCGGTAGCTGCAGTAATCATGATGATGCTTGGGCCCGGGTTGATTGTTGTGTGGTGAAGCGATAGTAAATGGATGCTTGAGTAGTGAGTGGGATGAAGGTGAAGATGTGAGGTGAAGAGCAGGCTTTGTTGTTGTGTTGACAAAAGAGAAGATTTGTTGGCAACGCAGAGTGAGAAGGATTAAATAGCTGGGCTGGAGAGCAGAGGGTGGGTGGCTCGACTGATTCACTCGATCAACCTGGTGAAGGAAAGAGCGCGATATTTGGATGAAAAAGAGGTGGGTTGAAATTTCTTCTCACTCTTAAGGCAAGAGCAAGGCAAGGCAGGAGGAGTCCCTTAGCGCTTGAAGAATCTTTTCTGGTGAATTGATAAATGAGAGATGGATTGGTTGAACAAAGACCTTGATCAGAATTGTTCCTAGATACAAGCTCTAAGAACAAGGAGGTGCAAATGAAGAGATGGCAATCATTTAGTGCTAAATATAGATGCTTGGACATGCTTCCAAGTCCGAAAGCTTCAACTGTCACACAAGTCTAGGAGATATAGAATCAAGAACAGCCTTCAGCCTGATTTCGAAATACGTAGTCATAGACAATTAATGGCTCTTTGCTTATCAACCTTTACAAAAGTGGTTTGAGTCTAAAAGAAGGAAATAATTTCTTTGGACAACGTAGAATGATCATAAAATAGGATTGTTGATATGCTGCGATTTACCAATCCTTCTAGAAAAGCCTCACCCTAGAGTACAGACAAAGACTCGTCGGCTCATCTGCGACTTCCATCACAGCATATCCAAGGTATTATCATGAAGAAGCCGTGATCTGAACCTCAGTTCCGGGCTGCCCATACGCGAAAGACCCTTGCAATCAAAGCTGCCTCGTCTTCCCTCCCAGCTCGCCGCAGTCGCCGCCGAAGTCTCCTCCACTTCCATCCAACCGCCGCGGCAACCGGAATGAGGAAGAAGCCGAAGGTCCTCAGCTCGTTCGCTTCGAGCTTCGGCGTCGATGCTGCGAATTCTGCCCCTTGAGTGCCGAAAAGTCCACCTATCCACTTGCAAAGTGTTCGCTCACTCAGTTTCCTGGATCTGGCCAATGATTCGAATTCGCTAGTTGGATATGTCGGGAGTAGGATTTGCAGGAGCTGCATGAGAAGAATGAGTTCCGTGAATGCGATGACGGCAACGCTCTCCGCGTGTGCTTCCGGGAGAACGGCATCGGGAATCTCGGATCCGAGGCCGTAGAGAGTGATGACGAGGTCAATGGCTAGTAGACCAATGATCAAGCATTCCCAGAGCTCGAAGATGTTATTGAGGGCGAGGATTCCAACAGGGCTTTCGGGACTCTCCTGGGTAAGGTTGGCGTTCCACATGATTGAGAGGGTGTGGGTTGCTGGGTTGAGATGAAAATGGCAGTTGGCTCGTTTGGTGAAGCTGTTTTTGGGGGGCCTGGGAAAAGGAAAAGACGAGGTGATTCAACGATTGGATTTCGATCCGAAGAGCGACAGCATGAAAATCTAAGTAGAAGGAGGAAGAGGAGGTGGGTTAGCTTGAGGTCTGGTCGGGTGAGGCACCGAAGTGCACCCAGGCCGCGACCATGGAACCATGGAGAAGCAGGCATGAAGGAGTTACGAAAGAAAGATGAACTCTTGGAATACTATATAATAGAAGAACAAACATATTTCCAAATAAAGTGACAGTATCATTAAAGCATGCTTGATTTTCGAATAAAGAAGGAGGAAGCAAAGCAAACCACAACCATATCTAGAAGGGGCGCTGCTCTTTCCTCATGTTTTCACCATGTTTTTGAAGCGTATGGTGGCCAGTCTTCACAAACTTGAAGTCTGTCTTGCAAGACAAGCGCAACTTTTTCCTCTGGTGGTATTGATGTGTTTGACTCCCTGGAAGGGCTCATTTGCGATGGTCGTTCCAAAGTTTGGCCCAATCCGAACCACTAATGAGGCCATTCTTATGTGTTTTTTATCAATAAAATTTTGACATTTGGAGCCAGCTTCAGCGTGCTTACGTCCTATATCTGTTGGACGTCTGTCTTATCTTATGTAATCCTACGGATTTGTCGTGAGTCGAAGAGTGCCTCTCGTTTCTCGGCGTGTCAGACGCGGTTGGTCGGGCCCGATAATTCCCCACCTTCTCCGATCCATCGGCTCCGGTCACGGCATTTGCGGATGCCGAAGTCCGTGTGTAATCATCCGTCTTTGCCGAAAGATACCTCGGTGAATGGTCAGCTGCAATAGACGGGGTGGTCTACAAATGTGATCATGTCTGAAGTCGAGTTCAATTCATTTCATATCCTCTCTGCGCGACATCTAACCAACATTCTCTCACTTCCGCGAGACAAAGGGAGTCTTCCAGTATCCAGGGAAGTACGTCGGCAACTTCGTAGCGAGCCACCTCACAATCGCAGCGTTCGTCTCTTGGGGCCTTTCCATCGCGACCCAATGTCCAGCCTCAATGGTCACCTCGGTGAGATCATCGCACAACTCCCGCATAGGCTCAGCCAGCCTTGAGATCGACGTGTCACAGACACTATCCCACTGCGCTCCGATGAACAGAACAGGGTACGACAGGCGACCGCCGTTGGGGGCCTTCAGGGCGAACTTCGAGTTTTCCTCGTGGTTGCGGTAGTAGTCGTTTGGGCCCTCGAAGCCGTTCTTCTCAAACTCGGCCACCATGCGGTCGTACGCAGGCTTGTCATTCTTGAACAGCGTACCCTCGAAAGGCGTGTCCGGCGCCTCGGGGAGACCGCCCCACCATCCGCCCAGCTTGCGCAGCGACGCGAGGAAAGTGGGCTTGCCGTACTTCTCGGCGGTGGCGCCGCGGTACAGAAGCTTGACGGTGTTGGGTACGTTGGCCTCCAGCTGCTTAGCACTGGCTTCGGGCTGCTCGGTGTGGAAGGCCTGGTAGTCCCACTGGGCGAGAGGGAATTGATCCTCGGGATACAGCTCGCGGTTGGAGAGGGCGACGAGGCCTGCCAGGCCGTGCTCGAGAGTTCCGTAGGGAACGGTCATGCAGCATACACCGACGCACTTGTCCGGGTGCTGCGCGGCGAAGCCCCAGACGAGACCGGCGCCCCAGTCGTGGCCGATCCAGACGGCCTTGCGGCGGCCGAGGTGTTGAAGCAATGCGAGCAAGTCCGAGACGTGGTGCTCCATAGCGTAGTCGGTTCTCTCCTTGGGAACGCTGGAGCGTCCGTAGCCGCGAGCATCGGGGGCGATGGCCCGGAAGCCCAGAGCCGCGAGAGCTGTAAGCTGAGGCTTCCATGTCTCGCCGTTCGCGGGCCAGCCGTGGACGAGGATGACAAGCGGCCCGTCGGCAGGGCCGGCCGACCAGTAGAAGGTCTTCTTGTCACCGCTGTGGGTGAATTCGTTCTCGGCCAGAGTCGTAGACGCCATCTTGGGAGTACTCTGAGTATTGGATGATCGGTATGATGAGATGATGTTCAGCTCACCATCAGGCTGGGAGCTACCGGGGACGGCTTTTATAATGAAAGGCCAAAGACGAGGGGATCCCTGCTACCAGTTACCCACATTTCCATATGGGCATCCTGCGAGGATTCGTCCACTGCCTCGGAACTCCGCACTTTGCGTTGTCGTCTCAAACGCAAGTCCCTATTGTGTACGTCTCAACAATGTAGTGGAACCGTTGCCAAGTATCGGGCGGAGATTTCCCACTTCACATGCGTACTACACAGCATACCTTGCGGGATGTTAACGAACTCCGCCGGACTCACGGCCGGAAACTTCGTCCGTCGATCATACATTGACACCGCCATCTGATTCTGGGGTCCGCAGAAAATCGACGTCAGGCAGATTACTGATCTATGCAAATACTTTGCTCGCATACTTTGTTCGGTCGCCCTCTGCCGAACATGTCAATCTCGAAGATAGCAGCTGTCGATATTTCTCAGGTTAGTTGATATGCAGATGGACATCTTCACAGTTCCGGAGATCAGTAGGATGCCGAGAGCGATGGAGGGCTTTTAAACTTCAGCAAGTGGCAATAGAGCAAGTCTTCGGAGACGAATTCCGGTCGAGGATGACATGGCAGATATGACCCGAATAGGCTCACAACATTTCTTTGCACACGCATTCATCAGGTCCACATATCAAGCTTCGTCGTCCACTTTGGACGTGTAATACGAAGCGAACGAGTGTTGACGAGCTTGGTGTCGTACCAGAGGGCGGCCGCGTGAAAGTCTCCCAGATAAACCAATATAAGTCAGAATGCTATGCAACATTTGAAGTCACGGCATGCGAGCGATTTCTTCAAGGTAGACAGAAAAAGAAAAAGTGTGGACATTATTTCTTCAAGGTAGACATGGGGGATTAGATTAAGTAAGAAAAGATAGTTTATTGCGAGCAGAAGCTTATGAACCCAAGGCCTAAGCTCTATGTTTGGAGTTGCATCGACATTTTACGACGCCGAAGTATTAGACAAAATTGTCTCGAGCAGATGAATGCACGTACATGTCTGCTTCCGGTCAAGTTTCTAGTATGACATGTAAACTATTTCCTTTACTATGTTGGTTGAGATGTTACCACTAATCGCGCTAGAACCCGTCAAGGCTCGTGAAATACAATAATGCCTGGACCTTGATCGCAGCTTGTGTCAACGAAGGCAGCCCATACATATGTTATCTCCGCAAGATCAAGAAGGTCAGCCATGTTTCAAGTGACCTTGCGAGCTACGGAACTTGCAAAAACCGCTCGCCGGCCGCAAAGCTTCAGGCTTTAGGATCTGCTATCAGTATAAAAAGCCTGGCCATTTCTAAAAGCTGTCTTAAAACTTCCTGTTTCAGCCTCGCTCTATCAGACTTTCCTCACGTATCGAGCAGAGACTACTGCCACAATGTACAAGAATCTGGACTCGTTGAACTACAGAGAGACTTTTCTCTTCTTCTACTGGGACATACAACGTTACCGTTCCAATGTTGCGTTTTTCATTGACAGTCAAATTCTTCTAGACTTATTTAACCCAAGCCAAGCTGCAAAGTCCAACGGCAACACGGACTCATGGGATCAAACGCTTCACGACATAATGAGGAAATCAAAACACCAACTATGTAAGCTTTCAGACCCAATCAATTACGGTGAAACGCTCACTAATTGGGAGAAAAAAGCATCGCGAATACACCCCGAGCATGGTGATAGATGCGGCTACGAGTGGCTTTCAAGCCGCCATGTTAAGCTCAAGAGCTGGGGGAAGCCGTACGTCGACTGGGCTTGGCTTCGAGACGAAATCCTGAGCGGCTACACACTCGGGGTAGACGAAGGAGCACTGCGTTTACGGAGCATATTTGATCACATGAGCTCCGAATACCGCCGAGAAAGGGCGGCGTCGACGAATCTGCTCGACGTATGGCGTGGGAACGTGTACTTGCAGGATTTCGGCATGGCACACCAAGTCCCGAGCTGGAGCGTGCCGCTTCCGGTTCCATCAGCCGTGTTGAAGGACATATACCGTTCGAGCCAGATACGCTGCAGTGCAGGTCATGGATGCTCCTGGGGCTGCCCGCTGAGCCTGACAAGCTACACCCGTATCTCGGTTGCGGGACACTTCCCCTTCTTTCTTTTGCTTCAGGATTCCACCATATGGCCTGGATATTGCACAGCTACGCTCAGTGTTGAGCGGCCGAGGGATCACTGCGTCTATCATTGCGACGAAGACCACGAGCGAGCCACCTCAGCCTACGACCATTCCACCCTGGACAATTTCAAACGATGCTTCACTGGAGTGCTTAATTGGGCGGAGGAGATGTATCACATAGGTCGGCCCACACGCATCGATACGTTTCTGAGTCAAGAGACCGAGGAGGCCACTGGACCGAGCGGGGAAGCTGCGATCTTGGTGGAAAAGCGGTTGTGGGAGGCGCTTCGAAACTTCGGTCTTCAGCCGGTGGATACCAAGCGTCGGAGGCTGGTCTTAGACGCTGCAGCTCCCTCACACAGCCCTGAAGCAGGAAGCTCAACAAATATAGATGGAGGGCGCGGGTAGGAAACAGGCTATACGAGGGCGATGCTGGCTTGTGTCGATACGCGTTACATAGGCCTGCCCAGTAACATACACTGTCCTTTACATTTGTGAGGGCCTTTCAGCCCGCCCTCCAGCCATGTCTTGTCCCTTGTGTAAATCCTCAGCCTCGCAAAACTACCTAGGGGTAAACCAACCCCCTTACTCGACTGTGGAGTAGCAATAGCCTCACTTTTCTCGATGTAGTTTAACCCGTGATAGGATGTAGTGAGTCCATGGGCAAAAGCAATGTGTTACGAAATAAGCGAATTGCAGGCAGGCTGCAGGTAACGTTGCTATCAGCTGAAATATGCATGATGTCCACGTCAGAGCCAGTCGTTCCCAAACCCCGCTTCTCAGCCATTGATCATGCTAATTCTCACCTCCCAAACTTTCGCGTTCTTCACGAGCTGATGGTCATCCCAGCTGAACACTCATCACCCATCGTGTTGCCGCGACCCGCGCGAGATGACGGCACAAACGGAAGATCTCTGGGAGCAGGCATTGAGGAAGCTTCCACAGGAGGACCAGGACAGGGTCAAGGAGGCAAAACTCACAGGCAGTAGGCTGCTGACCTTGAATCTCGTGAGTGGACCACCATTCTGCGTTACAGCGTGGGCATCCAACTGACTACTTCAACATCAAAGATACGCGAGTCCGCTGAAAAAGCAAAGCAGCAATGCAAAGAAGAGGGTTGGACAATTCGCCGGACTTCCAGCGGCAGGGAGATCAAGTTGCGTTCTCTCCTGGAAAAGATCTCGTCTTGGGTCTCGGAGCTTGTCAAAATCGTTGACGTGGGTGTTGCATTCGATGGCAGTGGTCATGCAGCCGCCCCCTGGGGAGCCGTCAAGTTTCTCATTGATGTACGGCACCGAGTCCGACTTGGTCGAACGATGTAGAACTGATTATTCATGTGTTTTGTAGGTCGCAACCTCGAGCATCAACTTGTTCACCGACCTGGCAGAGGGCATAGAGCTCACGTGTCAGCTGATAGCACGTTACGCTGTGATTGAAAGGCTCTACCTGCTCGACGACCTGGAGACAACGCCAAAGCTGATGGAGCATATTGTCAAGCTATACACATCAGTGCTTTCATACCTTGCGCAAGCCAAAAAGTACTTTACTGGTGGGACTTTGAGTACGTTTCAGAATGCAGCCAAGTTATGGTCAACACATGCTAAAGTTGCCGATCTTGTAGAGCAATTGGGTCATGGCTTGGTTGAGTCGTTGACCAAACGATACGAAGGCATGCGAGCGATGATGTCCGAGACCGAAATCGAACGTTGGCTCAAGCTTGCGGATACTCAGTGTCAGTCAGCGTCTATCTTCCGATTATTATGCTGTCATCGCCAACTGACTACCTGAAAGTGCGTCAAAATGCAGACCGAAACGCGGCGGATCGCCACCGGGCCTTAGTACAAAGTCTCCAGAGAATAGACCAGCCCATCATGCAGATGGCAGTGCAGTTAGCGGCAATTCAAGACCGCCTTGAGAGCCAAGACCGCACTGAAATCTTTCAGTGGATATCCACGATACAATATAGAAGCCATTTCAGGCACAACTCGAAGAATCTTCTGCCTGATTCGGGGCAATGGTTACTGGGGAGTCAAGAGTTCTCCGATTGGTTATCACCAGATGAATCTTGCGTTTTTTGGCTCACGGGTGCTAGTGAGTTTTGACGCTGCAGCAGATACGCGGTTGAAAGCTAAGTTGCTAACCAAGAAATCCAGTGGGCACTGGGAAGACGAGTCTTGTGTAAGCCGCTGGGCGAAGGGCGCAACTTGAGGCTCAAGGTGCTGATCAAGAATACATGCAGGTCGCTCGTTCTACAACGACTTCAGGCGTACGGGAATAGCTGTCCACTTGCCTTCTGTTACTGCTCCAGAGACGCAGAACGCGCCAGGCCAGACAAGATTATTGGTGCCCTGCTCAAGCAGCTCACAGGCTCTAGTTCGACAGAACCTGTTAGGAGGCCAGTTGCCATCGAGTATGGCAAAAGAAAAGCCGCTGCGGACATGGATGGCCAGCAACCCGAGCCATTGAACGTGGAAGACTGCCAAAACCTGATAATTGAGCTTTGCAAAGACAATCCCGCCTTCATTGTCGTGGATGCATTGGACGAGTGTGATGAGAACATTGTTCACGAGCTTTTAGAAGCATTGGACATTATTGCACACCAATCCAAGCAGATTGTAAAGATTTTTCTGTCCAGCCGTGAGGAGTTGGATATTGTGAGTGTTATCTTTATGGCCTTTACCCCAGTGTGCTTTACTTCCCCCTCAACCTTGAACAGTACCTGTAAGCCTACGACAAGGCAGCTGCCATAAATTCAATTGCAATTTCCAAAGTTTCCAATATGTACTGATAGCTTCATCTACACAGGCTCAGCACATCCAGCATTCGAAGTTCATTAAATCTTTGGTTGTCGCAGAAAAGAACCAGGAAGACATCAACACGTTTGTTGAAGCAGAAGTCAATCGTTTGACCAAGAGCAAGCGCCTTCTGCGCGGTAGTCTTACAAAACATGAAAACAAAAAGTTACGGGAGGAGACCATCGAAGAACTGAAGAAAGGCGCCTGCGGCATGTTTCGCTGGGTTTCAATGTCACTCGAAGCACTCCAGTCCTTCAAGCACCGACATGATTTCAAAAACGCACTGGGTAATTTGCCTCCCAAGCTCTTCGATCTCTATGGCATCATTTACAAAGAGGTCAAAGAGTCGGGTGACTACGCCTCGAGCCTTGCCGTTACGACACTGACGCTTTTGTTGCATGGGCGTCCGCTGTCCACTGACGAGCTCCTCGCCGCTGTCTCTGAGCATCTCTTAGACGATAATCAGGCCGACCCATTATCACTGTCATCTGGTTCCGAGGATTCTGCCTATTCAGTATCTTCTCCCGAAGTTCTCGACATATGTCGCAATTTTGTGGCTGTGGACGAAAAGGAGCAGATCTTACGCTTCGCCCACCCGTCCGTCGCAAACTTCCTTGAGAAACATACAGATTATTCTCCGGTAGCTTCCCATTCGCGGCTTTTAAAAAGATGTTTGAACGAGCTCACCACACCAACTCCGATAACAGAGCACACGAACCATCGGGGTCTATTCTACGAGTACGCCGCTGATTGCTGGCTGGTTCATTATGACAAAGTCCATGCAGAGAAGTTGGGCGACACTCTCCAGGGCAAATTGAATGATTTTCTGTTCCAAGGAACTGGCATCGAACCAAGTCCATCCTACAAGCTATGGCTTGAGACGAGAGATGGTTGTTTCAAACGACGAATGTTTGACGATGAGGCTGTGGAATTCACTTACGTGACCACGCTATCAAACGCAGTGGCACTGGCCGCCTCTTGCGGATTCAAGTCATTGATGGAGGACACGATGCAGCGTGAAGGCTTCAACCCAAACGAGCTATATGCAGGTTATGAGACGCCTTTGCACCTTGCCGCCAGGAACTTGAAAGAAGACGTGTCGATCGTCGAGCTACTCCTTAGTCGTGGGGCACTTCCTAATACCAGAAACCTCAGCGGCGAAACTCCGTTGATCAGCGCCACCCACAGAGGCTTCGAACATATTGTCAACCATTTGCTGGCCATTCCGGGCGTCGACGCAAACATTGCGGACGAACAAGGACTCACCCCGCTCCACCACGCCTGTTCGAACTTCGGTCGCAAGAAGGATGGGAGCCACGCTCGTATTGCAAGGTCACTCCTGAAGAGGACCGAAGTCGACCCGACGTACATGACAAACGACGGGAAGACTGCACTATGTTTCGCCGCCAGTGAGGGACCCGCATCTCTGGTTGCAGAAATGCTGGAAATGGATGGCATAGACGTCAACTCGCCAACGGCGTATGACTCTACACCGCTCCACCATGCAGTAGCCCACGCAGACCTCGACACATTAAACGTCTTTCTTCGAAGAGCCGAGATAAACCGAAACAGCAGAGACCACCTGGGGAGAACACCACTCTTTTGGGCAGTAGAATGGAGAAGAGTCGACCAGGTAAAGCTGCTTGTCAAGGACGTAGCGGTCGATCCAAACATTCCGGATAACGATGGGGCGACGCCGGTTCACCGTGCTGTGCGATGGTGTCACGTTGTGATCATTGGGATTCTCTTGGGACGAGATGATGTCGACCCAAACATCCAAGCTCAAGCAATACGAGGAGACACTCCACTCATGCAATCGATCATTTACAAGGATAAGTCAATAGTAAGGCAGCTTCTAGACGATGCCAGAGTCAAAGTTGACCTCCAGAACAACGATGGCGAGACTGCGCTCCACATCGCTGTAAAACTCTTCGACGAGTCGCTCGTCAAAACTTTACTCGACCACGGCGCCAAGGTTAATATCTCGGACAAGCAGGGTCGGACACCAATCTTGTTAGCTGCAGGGGATGCACACCTAGAGGCTCTGAGAGAGGAGCTGGAGACGGTAGATGCCGACGTTCCTCTAGGTAAAGAGCTCCGCATCGCCGTGAAACGGTCCAACAAGTGGCTCGTCAAAGTTCTGCTGGACCACGGCGCCAAGGTCGATATCCAGGACAACGACGGCCGGACACCAATCTCATTAGCTGCAGGCGATGGGCACTTAGAGGCTGTCAAGGAGCTGGTAAGGATGGATTGTGTCGACATTGATCTAGCAGACAACAATGGGTGGAAGCCATTACACTGGGCACAGAAGAACGGACATGACGATGTGGTGTCACTGCTCAACAACAGGAAGCACAACTCAGGAGAAGCCTCTACCAGATAGAACAGAGGTCAGGGCGCATGTTATCAACGCCAAAGGATATAAGGCTGCTTTTCGTTCATGTATTTCGGCATTATTCTAGCTCCTCCGTCATATCATCCACTGCTTCTTCACTGATGACCTACCTAAATTATGGGCTAGGGCATTTGGCCACCCTTTTACCCGTTTTCTCCGTGCTTGAAGAGTGCCTATTACTGTTTTCTCAATGATGTTTATGCTGACAAGGTGTCTTCATTGCATGCTAAAAAAAACAAAAAAACAAGTTATAATGCAACGTCTTGAGGAGTAACCTTGCATATAGAACACGACAGAAGTGTTGATAACCAATAGTCAACACAATGCTGCTATTGTACTTGAGGAATCGCATTGGTAAACACATTTAAAGCTTATTCAGAGCTGGGCACCAGTTCGACCTCATACTTGAAGAATTATTGCCGAAGAAGAACAAACGAATCAAGGCTTTGTCTGACATACAAAACCAGGTAATACATAATTCCATTGACACACATCTAAACCCCAACAATGCTCCTTATTCCAGTAGAGAAAGAATGGTTGTTGAGGAAGTTGTCCTTCTTTTGAAAACAAAGCCTCGAGAAACCGTGTTGACATATGCATTGTTCCATGGATGGACTTAGATGTCTACTGAACAAGTCGTCCTTTGAGGACAAAGCCTTGAGAAATCGTGTCGACATGTGCATTGTCTTGTGGATGAGTTATAAGTCGCCGTCACCAGAACCGTCTTTCCATCCGAAACCCAGTCTCAGTCACCAGATTCACTGACAAACACCTCACAAACTTCTTGAAACTTTTTTTCACAACAACTTCCAAGACATCCAAACAAGCTTGCAGATTTGGGCGGAGATATCGTCGACAAAGACCCTTCCGGCTGCAGTAATACCATTGAGGCCCCGTTTTCTCTTCTCGATATTTTTCTTTTCTCGACACTTGACGATTGTCTAGTCAAGGCCCAGGCAGGACCTACCAAACACCTCACAACCAAACCCACACCCGCAACAATGTCTTCTGATCTCGTACATTACACGATGCCCAACACCGCACCGGAAAATGCTTACACCACGCCTACGATCTTCCCCGAAGCCCAAGGCAGCTGCAGCACCTCACCAGCCTCACCCCGCCCGAACCCGTACGCCATCACCATCCCGCCATATATCCAACCCTTCCCGCACCTGACGCCCGAGCAGCGGGTCGTCAAGCTGACGCAGCACCGCAACCCGAAGGAGATCAAGAAGACGACGGACAAGTACATCGTCTTCAAGAAGGACAAGGAGGGCAGGGACTACGCGGGCTGGAAGACCTCCGGGATCCCGACGCCGCGCGAGGTCAAGCAGATGCTGGACGCGTACCACACGCGGGGGCTGTGTCCCTTCCGCAAGGTCAAGAGCGTGCTGCTGCTCGGCCGGGGGCTGACGAACCTGTACTTCCTCGTGCGGTTCCACCCGGCGCGCACGCACGAGGAGGAGAGGTGTCCGCTGCCCGCCAAGGTGGTGCTGCGGTTCCTGCTGCCCGTGTTCGCGTCCGTCGACCCCAAGAACAAGCACGACTCGAAGCTGCAGTCGAAGCTCGAGTACGAGATCGCCGTCACGGCGCACGTGGGCAAGTACACCGACCTGATTCCCAAGGTGCTCGTGTTCGATCCGTGGGGCCAGAACGAGTTGCAGCTGGAGTGGGTGATGACGGAGTTCAGGGACGGGTTCGTTCTGCAGAAGTGCGGCGACCCTTTGAAGTGTACCTGCGAGACCGGGCTTGACGGCTTCCAACCTCTGGGTGGGAGACCGCCTGTCTTGAGCGGCGCTCAAGAGGACAAGATTCGACGGCAAGTACGCGAGATTTTCAACCGGGTCGAGGAGGGCTTCATGAGCTCTGCCAACCTCGGGCCCATCATCGGAGGGCTGGGGATCAACTGGGAAACAAACGAGCTCCGAAAGAGCGAGCTGACACTGGAGCAATTTCACATCAACGAGCGGAAATACGGCGTCAAGAGACTTCAACTGAGCCGCGGACCGTTTGATTCCGTGGAAGCCTACATCGACGAGTCCATGAAGGTCGCTTATCCGGATTTGGACGAGGGGGCGCTGTACACCAGGAAGATGACTCTCCTGTCAACCCTCGAAGTTGAAGGTTTGGGCTTACAGGAGGTTCTGAATTTCATGCGGCGATTCGACTTCCCGGCCGAGGAAGACGAGTGGCCGGTCACCATCAACCACACGAACCTCCACGAGGGCAACATCCTGGTGGACGGTAGTGGAGAGCTTGTGGCGATCATGGGGTGGGAAGACGCGATCGTGTTCCCTACGGCTTGGCGAGGACTTCTTCAGAGACTGGATTTGGCTTTCAAGCAGCTTAGTGACGATAACCTGTTCCGTCCTCTGAGTGACCTGCTTCGGCCTTTTCAGCGAGGAAATCCCTTTGGCCCGGCAAGACGCTCGCACGGCACCGGTCACGTATGCCCTCGAACAGAGATTGGCAGCCCGGTCTCGTTTCGTGCTGATGAGCCTCGCTCTGCTGAATCAAACAAGAAAGAGAAGGGACGAGCTGGTCGCGTTGTGCGACGCCTTGCACATTTCAAGAAGTAGTAGATAGAGTGGTCGTTGGAAAGCGTTTCTGACAGGTGTGTTAGCGCTCCATAGAAAATGGATGATATTTGATCACAAATCGTGTTGTTCCACTCAGTTGTTGCGGGTAGTGGTCGGAGCATCAAATCGTTGATACCTGCACCAGGAAGACAATGAGTGGTCACGATGGAAATCCTCGTCAAACGTGAGTAATTCGCCGCAGATTGTGCGACGAGGGCCAGGGTGGGCGGGCTAGATCTCAGTGGATGGCCAGAAGGAGAAGGTGCTCCGGGGTGCATCCCGCGGACAGCAGTTCAGCTTGCCAAGGTATCCTGGTGCGTTCATGGGGTTGCCAAGCGGGATCCTTCAGCCGCGTGAAAAGACGGGGGTCCTGGCAGGGAGATAACGGGAGGGATGAGCTTCGTTGGATGGCATCGTCCAGGCCGATCGGGGCTGGTGTTGCTGGACATGTGGCTGGTTGTCGGAGAGCGCGTACGGATACGCTGAATGTGTGTTACTTGGAAATTGGACAGGCGATTGAGATTGGTGGTTGGCTGGTGATGCAGTGGCTTGCTGCAACGCGGAAAATGGCGTCAGAGAGAGTCGAGATAGAGCATCTGAGAGATGCATGGCACTAGTGACTAGGCCTTGACGTCATGGATCGCTCTGCGAAGATTTCGTGGTTGTAGACGTGGTGTTATGTGTCGGCGACGGCGATCGCGATTCGAAGCTGGCGCCCTTAGAGGAAAGGTGAAGAAAAAGAAAGGCAGCGAAAGAAAAAAAAGTTGAACCTGGCGCAAGACGGCACAGACAGCTCAACAACACTGTGACTCGTGAGTGCATCGACTTGGACACAGCTGGACTAGTGTAGGTCAAGGTAGAAGATTACGTGTCAATCGCGTAGTGGCATCCACCTCGTGACGAACTGGGTCTAATTGACAGCAATAGAGTGCCTGAAATGGAGGTGATCGTTCGTCTTGGGGGACGAAAAGAGCGGCGGTGATGCCGCTGCCAATGCAGAATGCCACGGTCTGGGTTGGATTGGCACATTGAATGCGGCGCTTGCCAGGGCCATGCAGGATTTTGCAGGCCTTCTGCAGTTTTTTGCCGAATGCCGTGGCGATCCTTGGGTCTTGAAGGAGCAAAGGTCATTGGGTAGTCGAGACAGGTCTGGTGGGTATCTTATTGTTGAGCAGTGGGAGAGACAGCGAGACGAGATGTGCGAGATTGATTGATGTTGATTGTGCAAGTAATGGAGGTAGGTGAGAGGCACGGCGCGGTTACACTGACGCGGGAAGGATGAGGTGTGTGAAGGGAAGAAAAAGATGAAGTTGGCGATGGGAATGCGTTATGTGGAGGAAATGTTTGCCATTGGCGCAACGTTGGAAAATTCGTGGAAAGGGCGGCGGGAAGCAGAGACATGTCTCTCTTTCCTCGTTCTTGCCGTCTTTTTTTTTTTTTGGTCGCGCAGAGTTTTTTCTTTAGGTCCTTCCTCCTTCCTCGAGAAAGACGCTTCATCGGAAAGGAAAGTAGGAGCGCCTTCCTTCAATCCACCTTCCGCAGAAATCAAGCGGAAGCGCGATAGTCGTCGCGTGCTTCAGATTTCTGGTGGAAGGTGCGGTTGACATGACGACATGGTCGAAACACGCCACCAATTGTACAACTCCGAGGTTGGAGGAAGTCGCGATGATGCTGAAACATGGCAATCAGCGTGTCTTTGTATCCCTCCACTGTATTCCAAGCACACTGCAGCCAGCTCCATGCGACCGCGACTATCTTTGGCAGAAAAGCTGGAGAAATTCCCACCGACTGATGTAAGGTCTTCCCAAACAGGGCCCCTGGACATCCACACCATCTTTCGCACTAGCACTGCATCCCGTCCACAACCCTGGCGCACATCATCGAGTCGTCCAAACACTCAGATGGTGGCATTGGCCAGAAGAGGATCAGTGGCAGACTACGGAGGCCGGCCTCGCCTGTCTTTCTTGCCAAAGACGAGATGAGTTGGAGACTAGGCTCCGGGACTGTCAGTTGGCAGCTCAACACCGTCTCGTCGGGCTATCCGAAAGGACGAGTATTTGGAAGACAACGAGTGGAAGGTTTGAGGACATCGAGCCGTTGTAATTCCATAGCCTCTAGCCCAAACTCTGATTCGTGGCCTGATGTCTGTCGTGCAACGGGGACGGGAATTCATCACGAGGGACGGGAGGCTGGGAAACGGTCGTCTGAGAAAGAGGAAGAGAAAGGAAAGAAAGCAGCCGCCCGAGCGTACATATCATGCATTTCGGCAAGATGCAACAGGAAAAGAAAAGGGATGAAAAATCCAGACTGCGTTTTGATCGTGGCCTCTCGCAAACACTAGCCAGTCTTGCCAGTGGTGTCTTTTAGTCAACTCAGGCTTGGTGCTTCGACATTGACAATTCACCACCCACTTTCTGACAGGGCTGGACGGTCAACGATGCTCCTACTGCGCGTCGATTCGTGATACACAGACAGGAGGGCCACTAAGAGAAGGGTGCGAATCTGGCAATGAAAGACGGGATTGGAGCTAGCAAGCCGCTAGACATGCCAGCATCTAGCAATGCCAGCTGGAACAGGCCAATATCGGCTCAAGGCAGGACAGGGGCTAATTATTTCCATCAGAGCACATCTCGAGCAGCCGCTGGTCGTCTGAAATTTTATGTGGTGCGGAAGGAAAGTGCTCCCCCAAAAGATACATCCAGATTCGTACCTGCCTCCTTCTGCCACGACGGCTGCCAAATCGCGACCGATGACGTACTGCATCAACATTCCTGCCCCCTTCCTTCACTAACGTCACCGTCACAATTGCACGACCAGGACCTAGCAGGAAAAAAAGGCCCATTGAGTGTCCAGACCACACCAATTGACCATTGGGGAAGAGGGAAAGAACCAAGCTCCAGGAGTGCTCCTGCCCCCTTTCCTGCTTGTTACCTGACGCTGCCACTGCGAAACCGTCCCGTCTGCTGCCACGCGCCTCGCCTCGCCTCGCCTCGCCTCCCTGCCATACGCCAACCCAGAAATTCGCTTCTGACGCAAATGCGCCGCGTCGGCACCCAACCTTGCAACATCCTATAAACAACCGTCTTGCACTCATCATTCTTTTCTGGCCATCTTTCTTCTCTGAATTCTCTCCTCCTCACCGATACCTATTGCTGCATTTCCCTTGGTAAAGGAACACCAGCTTCACGATTCCCATTATACCCCAACCGCTCTGTGATACCCCGAACCACACCGTTTTCTTTTCATCCTTTTTTGCTCCCTGTACAACAACAATATCATCACCACCGATAATTACTGTCACCCACCAACCTCCCGAACCGAACGATTTTTTGCGATAATCACGATACCCAATCATGTCAGCAAACGTTAACAAACCGACCGACCTCAAGCAGAAGGAGGCGGATGTCAACCGCAAGCTTCAGCTTTACGGCATCATCTCCGCTTTCCAGGCTGGAAAAGTCCCCTCGGTACGTCAGTGCCGGCAGTTCTTGGCCCACGCGTCTCCGCTGGGCTGACCCCTGCCAATGCCCCTGCTCAATTGCATGATACTGACGTGATCCCCGTCACAGAATGACCAAATCGACATCGCTCTGAACAGCTTTTTGGCGTCCAAGGCTCTGTCAACCCCCCCAGAGAAGCTCTCTCCCGAGGGCAAGGCGCTTGTCGCCGACGCGCGAGATGTCGTACAGCAAGCCAAGTTCCTTTTGTTGTCCAAGAACCAGGGCAACCTGCTCCAAGATTTCATCTGGCAGACAGAGCAATTCGACCCCAAGGCTGTCGATGTCCCTGGCGCCCCTGTCAACAAGGACGTCGCCCAACAGCATGGAGACAAGGCAGTCCAGGGTCTCCGAACCCTCGGAACTCTGTTGATTACCAACGGCCAGTTCCGCAAGTTGCGTATGTTGCACCCAATCTTGTCTAGATGTTCCATCTTATACTGACATCATCCAGTCAAGGATGCCAGTGTCCTCCTTCGCGACATGGCCGGCGATGCCGCAACCGAGGCCGCCCAGCGTGTCCGGCCTTCGGGTGAAGCCCTGGACCAAATGGACCGTCCCGCCGAGGACAACACCTGGCATGACGCTCCCGACTTCTCCAAGGAGAACTTGAAGAAGCAAGCCCAGAACGTTTACAAGGGTTCTCCTGCCGACGATGCCCGGGAAGTGCTCAACGCCGGTACCCAGGGTGCTCACCCTCAGGGCCAGCAGGCCCCCCAGGATCTTGCTGCTACTGCCGCTCGCGACCAGGCTCAGGGCACCAACTCTGGTGTTAATGCCCAGAACGGCATCAACGCCGCTCGCGATGTCCTCGAGAAGAAGTACAACGAGAACGTCGACGATGAGACTCGCGAAAAGGCACGTCAGCGCAACGAAGAGTACCGCCGCCGTACCAAGGAGTATTTTAACAAGAAGATGCCGCAGGAGCGCAAGGAGCAGACCATTTGGCGTCTGAAGAAGATGGTGCTTGAATGCCAGCAGCACCCTGATTACGCTCAGGCCATCGAGACCCTTCTCAACCTTGCCGAGGAGTATGCCGGACACTCGCGGTCCCTTGCACAGGGCGGAAGTGGTACTGTCAGAGACGCCCGTGCCGGACTCGCCCAGGCTGAGTCGGACCTCAAGACCCTTATTGAGCGTTTCGCCAACGGTACCTCCACCGACGACTTGTTCGACTCCATCAACCAGATCTATCGTGATGCCGACCAGGATCGCGAACTCAAGGACTGGTTCAAGTCTATGGACCGTTACGTCCGCCGCTGCCTTCTCGAGCAGGGTTACATCCTCGATGACCACTCTACTCAGGAGTGGAACAACTTGTACGACCACGGCCGCTACCTCCTGCGCGACAAGTACCGCGCTCACACCGACCACGTTCTCGATGAGATCAAGTTCCTTGCCGACCAGTTCGACCAGGACCCTCAGAACAAGCGCTTCGCCCAGTCTGTTCAGAAGCTCTTCACTGACCTGGGCAATGACGAGAACGGCAAGCCCACGTTCAAGCCTCACCTTGTGAAGGATCTGTCCGAGGTCATCATCCCGGCCATCTTTGAGAATGTCGCGTACATCCCCATTCCGCGTATCGAATACAGTGACCCTCAATTCGATGCCGTCATTGAGAACCTCGTCCTTGAGTCCGACAACTTCATGCCCAACATTTTGGAGGTTAACAGCGAGAACTACTTCTTGTGGGGCCGAAAGAAGATCGCCAACAAGCACAAGCAATCCTTTGAGGTGAAGGTCGCTGGTGTTCAGCTCGATCTTCGTGATGTCGGCTACCACGTCAAGCGCAAGCAGGGTTTCCCTTCCCTCACGGATACTGGTATCGCCGACATTCTTCTCGCCGGCGATGGGTTCTCATTCAAGATGAAGATGTCGTCTGCCGACAAGAAGGACAGCCAGAACTTCTTCAAGATTGACAAGGTCGACGTTGACATCAAGCACATGAGCATCAAGTTGAAGAAGTCCAACCACAAGCTCCTCTTCGGTCTTGTCAAGCCCATAATGCTCAAGGTCCTTCGCCCTGCCCTTCAGAAGGCTGTGGAACAGGCCATCAAGCAGCAGGCTTCTCAGCTTGACGCTTTCCTCTTCCAGGTCAAGCAGGAGGCCGACCGTGCCCTCGATGAGGCTCGCTCTGACCCTGAGAACACTCCCAACATCTACAACCGCTACGCTACTGCTGTCCAGAAGCGTGCCCTTCAGGGCAAGCAGAAGGCTGAGGCAGTCGCCGCTGACAAGAAGGTCAACGTCGCCATCACTAAGGAGGAGTCTATCTTCCCCGACGTCAACCTTCCCGGCGGTATCAGCACAAAGGCAACCGAGTACAAGGAGCTTGCCCGTAAGGGTGAACGTTGGGAGAGCCCCGTCTTCTCTATCGGCAAGGCCAGCAAGTCCACCGACATTCCCGATGCTCCTCGCGTCGAGCGAAAGAAGCATGGCTTGCCTACCCAGCAGGGCATTGCTCCTAACGGTGTGAACGGAGACCTCAATGGTCAAGTGCACACTCTCTCAAGCAACCCTGCCCACGTCAGTGGTTACTAAAGATGCTGTGGCGACACTTCTTCTCCTTTGTAAGGCGGATGGAGATTGTATGACGAGAAACGGCAAACGAAAAGGCTTATACCCGGATTGCTGACCTTGGGGTTACGGAGGACCTTGAGTTAATGACGCGGCTCCTTAGTAATAATTTCTGTATTATCAATTTCATTGGGTTCACATTCACGATTATTCTCCAGATACGTGTGACAAGTCGTGAGGTGTTTGCAAAGCATGATCCTCTACACACCCTGAAGCAATCGCTGCAGTACGAAGTTGATCTAGGACGATTACTCAGTTAAGCCATGCCTGTATCACGTTGGCACCCCAAACGTGGGTGAACGTTCGACTCACCTCCAATTACGTTCACATAGTCAAAACGGGCAGAGAGCGCTCGAAGCGCAAGATACGCCCTACTGACACCGTCGCCATAGGTTTCTCGGATTTCAGAGCCTGGTACGATGGAAACATCTCCCTCCACGTTACGTTTCTCGAAATGATGAACCATCATCAAGGTGTACCCAGAAAGAAGTGCCGAGCAAGCGATGGGCGTGACTGCGTCAAGATCGGGGTTAGTCAGGCTGTTCAGCCCTCAGAAGGCGGACAGGGTACAGTACCGGAGCATCCGATTCTCACGAGCCCCTCCAGGTCGACCGCGATGGTTGTTGCCGAGTCTACGCAGATGCGGAGGGAGTCTTCTCGCGCGAAGGGGAATACGCGGGCTACGTTCTCGAGGTGGCGTTCTCGGTGCGAGGGGATAGGTTGGGTGTGTTGTTGGGATTCGGTGGTTGGTTGGAGGAGGGACTCGAAGATGCGCAGGATGGGGATGTTGGATATGAAGGCGCGGTATCTGTGTAGCTTTATACGTGCGCTGGAAGGGTGTTAGAGACGGAGTGAGTGGTGCTTGGGTGTTTGGGAGTTCACTCACCTCATTAATCGTATCCTGGACGTCACCCCGAGGGAGGCTTCGAGCTTTGATTCGGGATCTTGGTGCTGTTGTCCGTCTTCGATGGATGTGCACGGGGCGAGGGCGTCGAGCTGGTGTGTGATGAGGGACTCGAGGAGGTGGATGTTGCGGTTGAAGGAGGGTATGGCCGATTCTGAGGGGATGCCTTTAATGAGGGCTACCAGGAGGAGGGTTGCGGATACGAGGGTTTCTTCGGCGAGGATGTATTGGCGCCAGGACTAGGGGGGATGTTAGTTGGTGACGGGTGGTGAGGGAGCGCGGGAGGGGGACCTTGGTGGTGTTTGATGTTGTTGGGTATGGAATTGAGACTTTGGTTATGTCTATCGTCGACGTGGGGGACTGGGGCGTGTTAGATGGGTTGGTTTGTGAGAGGGAAGGGGAGGGAGGGTATGCGTACTTTGCAGCTTACGATGGAGGCCTGGCATAGACATACGTACTAAAAGCATCCACATCAGCGAAGAATCTCAGTGAGGAGGGTGACCTTGTGACCTACGGACATCCACCACATCCTCCTCAAAGCCTCGTCGTAAACCCCCTCGTACCTCTCCACCCCTTCCTCGACGAGCCTTCTCGCGAGCTCAAACCCCTTCTCAGCGAGCCTCGTCATCTCCTCGATGTCACCGCGATGGAGATACTGGAACAGGCTCAGCACGCAGTATGTCAAGGCCGTCTCGAAGGACTGAGGAAGGTGGGCGTGGAGGGTTGATGGGGAGGTGGAGGGGATGAAGGTGTCGATTGCGGCGAGGGCCTTTTGGGCGAGGGATTCCGCTGTGGATTTGAGGGAGGGGTCTGGAGGTTGGGTGTTGGTGGCGGGGATGAGGGTTAGGATGGAGAGGAGGGAGAGGAGGAGGGGTGATGAGGGATTGTATGCAGCGGATGAGGAGGAGGATGTTGTTCGAGCTGAAGGCGGTGGTGGGAGGAGGGGTAAGGAGTTGTGGAGATGGGTGTAGTAGTCTCCCAATCTGTGTTCACGATGAGAATATGGAGTTAGAAAGGGAGGGATAGATGGGTTTGGTGCACTTACACATCAGCATCTGAGGTATACCCGTGAACCGGGGACGCCGCCTCCGCCAAACCGGACGGTTCTCCTACACTCGCGCGGGGGAAAGACGGCAGGCTGAAGAGGTTCGCGAAGAAGTTGTCCAGGTCGTCTTCCGAGTCGCCCCTGAAGATGCTGTCGAACTGGGACACGTCGAGGGTGTCGTCGAAGAGGGAGGGGAGGAAGCCGCCGGGCGGGTTTTGGTAGAGGTCGTTTGCGATGCCGTCCGTTGAAAGTAATGTGTCGGAGGCTGCGACGTTCTGAGAGTCGTCGTGGGTGAAGGTGTCGTTGAGATTCTCGGCGACTGGATGGGCCGGAACGGTGTTGGAGCGCAGGCCTCGCCGGCTGGTTGTGAAGGTACATGGCTCGTTTCTGCGTAGGCACTAATCACAAATAAATCCGGATTTAGTTCCGCGACCATTTCCCCAAAGGAGGATTTCACGTACTCGCGTACAAGGGTTCTGGCCGCTGCAGCGGACGCGAGAGGTTCTGCTACTCAGTGTGAGAGGAGGAACTTGGGGCTGGCGAGGGCCGTGACGTACCATGACGTGCAAGCGGACTTTGTCGGAGGAGTCGCGAACTTTTTACGAATTGGAGGCATTCTCTCTTTCTGGTGCGAATTATGAGAATTTGGTACTGGTGGGTTTGGCGATGAGTTCGAGTGACGTTGGGAGACGATCGGGATGTCGTTGCCAGTTGGAGAAGATGGGGACGAATCCCGACTGAGATTGGAGACATGTCGGGATTTCACCACCCCTGACTCGTAAAAGCTGCCAAAAAGTTCTCCACGCCCGCCCCAAATGTTGGAGATAAAGTCACCGACACCCTCTCCAAAGTCCAACACGAACGATAACCCACATCAACACGATGAGCACGAGCTCGGGAAGACCGCACGTGTGCTCGTTCTGCGGTAGGGGGTTCCGTAAGAGCGAGCACCTTCAACGTCATCGGCGTATACGTGGGTATTCCGTTTGATCCCTGCCTGCCTGCCTGCCTGCCCGTCCGCTATTCTAACTTCTCTCTGAATGGCGTTCGCTTGAGCTGCATGGTGACGACATGAAGACACGCTGACGGTAATGAACGTATTGTAGATACGAATGAAAAGCCGTATGTTTGCGGCTGCGGAATCTCTTTCGCGCGCCGAGATCTGTTGCAGCGGCACAGGCGCCGCGGTCACCCAGGTTGTTCGCGTTCCGTGACTGCTGAGGTCGAAGTGAGACACGGAGATACGGCGACCTTAGGGGAGGTAGACAATAAGGACGACTCTTCGCATGATACCTTGCCTCTGCCCCCCGAGTACCACAACCTAGGTAAACATGCCCATGTGCAATGAACCGTGAGAGAGCGCTGATTACGGCTCTTCTCTAAGGCCCGTCATTCCCGGCGTTAAGACCTGATCAGAACGCGTTATCTCAATTCGAGACATTTTTCCAAAACAGTGGTCTACGACAAATGGCCGAGAGCCTACCTCCTGGACCCAGCCTTGGCTGTGGGGTCCAAGATGAGGTGACGGGAGAAACACCACCGATGGAAGAGGCGGAAAGGTTGTTGCAAGAGTATCAAGGTCAACACCCAGAGTACAGGCCGCCATCGTCCCAAGCCTGCGTCCGGTACTTCAAATCTTGCTTGGCGAACGATAGGTTTCAGTTGGTTCATCCCACAGTGAAGCCTGAGGACCTACATGTGGTCTTGCGGCTTGCTATGTATGCCCTCGGGGCGTATCACCTCTTCGAGACCTCTGCTGCGACGTCGCTATTTGAAGCTGGTAGAAGTATCGCGAGCAGAATCTGGACGGATAGGGGCCACAACATTGATGGTTATGACCAAAGGTGAGTGGTCACGAAGCACAGAACCCGCTGTGAGCGAGTTTGAAGAATGACGGATTAGCAGATCTGCTTCTCAGATGGCGAGTGCTGCTATCTTGATGTGTGAGTATGTTAAGCTGGAGCAGCCGGTGGACTTTATGGAAGAGTTTCGGGTTCTTTCGATTGGTCTGATTCACTTTTTTGGAGCTAACCGCACTCCTCCCGAGAGGACACCGTCGGCCAGTCCTAGAAATTGGATTGAGGACGAAATGAGCAACCGGAGTCGGACCTTCGGGGCCTGCATCTTGGTCTCTCATGCCTTTCTGCTTATGTGTCCCAGTTTCAGCGATTTCACTCCCGGAGACTTCAATCTACCATGCCCAGAAAGTGTTTGGACGAGGGAGAACGATGACCTCGCTGGGCAGAATCAAGTAATCGATTTTCACCATGATGGTGACGTCGTGTCATCGTTTGAGAAATTCCTCGGCAGCGACAATCCGGAAGATGACCAGGGACAACCAGATTTTGCATTCAAAGTCGCTGATCCCCAAACGGCTATGATTATAATATCCTGCGCGATGCAGCGCATGCGGATTTTGACGGATATGTCGGGAATGCCAGGTCTGGCGAAAACCGCGATATCGGAGTATCGGCGTACTGTGTAAGTCTTCGGTCTCAGAACCTCCGCCCTCCATGCAGAGTACTAACGAGCTTGACGTTTAGCAAAAGCATTCATAGATTTCAAGCAGTAATCAAGACGTCCATAAGCTCGTCGACGACAAGGACGATGAATCAGCGACTCTGGAAGGACGCAAGAAGTTTACTCTTCCTGACAAAAGCTCTGACCGTCCTGACGGATCGCTATTCATGGCTTGATGTACTGAATACACCAAACCCGGCAGAGCTGGCGGCAAAACTCCACAAGTTCCAGACTAATATGCAGGTTGACGCGGAAATATCTCTGGAAATACGTCTATCCGCGGTAGAAGACTCTGCGAGGTTCCTGGAAGCGCCCGCGGAGACCGGACTCACCTTCTTCGTCCGAACAGAGTCTAGCTCTTGGGGCTTCGAGACCACGCTGGCGGCGTTTTGTTCCTCTCTGATTCTTTGCAGATGGATGACGCCTTTGAATCCGTTCAGCAATATCGGTGGGCTCAAATACCTCCTTCCCCAACGCTTAACAAGTCTGAATGGAGCTGACTTGTCGAAGAAAGCACAGACTTATTCCAAAGGATTAGGAGGCTGGTCATCATGGCATGGGATTCTCTGGACGGCGTCGAAGCATTGCCAGAAAGACCAGGCTTTAAAGTCCTTGCGAGTTCAGTTTTGGAGCTTTGGGGGCGCATTCTCAGTGTGCCGGAGGCGAAGCCTCTCGCAAGATTGCTCGGGGAGAGTTTGAAACATTATGCGAAGTCATTGGAGAGCAGGCCGGTATTTGGACGCTGACATTGCGTCCAGCTACTGAGCCTGTTGTCGGTTCCTTCTCGTGAGGTTGTTCATCTGCGAGACTAGTGTTGAGACGTTCACGGCGCCGTATCCAAGTAATCTACTTACAGGGGCACATTAGAGAGAGATAGAGACTCGATCGCGTGTGACTGCAGAGTGGGGGAAGGGCATCAAACAGTAAAATTAAGCACTGCATGGGCGTAGCTTCAACATGCTCCAGACGTAAAGGGAAGCACCCGAATGTTTCTAAACATAATCTCCACGCCCAGTTTCTTTGACTCAGAACGGTTATCAGTATAAGGGAAAAGTAGTATGTAACGCTTATATGATCGTACCGATTCCCCAAGCTTTTCACTCTCGTTGATGCTCTTCATGGACACCGAAAACATTAACATAAACAAAATAGATTTCGAGGAGCAGTACCGGGACGACTTCATTAAGAAGAAACTTATTTGAAGGGGGGCGACGCCTGAGAACCGAGAAACAGACCGCGTCCAAGGCAGCTTTCTAGGTTATTCACAGCCAAAGTGAATAAGACGACGACGACAGCAACAGCAACAGAAACAGCGAGGACAGCGAGGACAGCAACGTAATTCCAAAAGGACATAACATTAGCGATGCTTACCGTCGGCCAGACCCACCCAACGGTGAGCAGAGTTCACATATCACCACAACCATCTGCGGGCACGACGCCGTCCATTGATACGTGCCACAGCTATCTCCCCTCGTGCGAAGCGATAGTCAATGGTTTTCTGGATGAGGTTTGACGGGCCGGTTCTAGGGTCAACCCAAATCAACGCCCAGTCACGCCCCACCAACCATGTCGGCCTCGGTGACGGATCCCAACGCGGCGACGGCGGCCCACACGGTAGTGACAACATTGTCAACAGCGGATGTAGCTTCTCTTCAAGCGCTATCCCCAACTCGTCCCGGTATACGAGGTCTAGGCGTCCGCAAGGACAAGATGCGTCGAGCCACATATTGACTATTTCCAAGCTCTGAAGGCCAGAAAGGCTGTCGCATAGTTCGTAGAGAGCTGGGATATCGCCGTGCCAACGCACTCGTGGGTCGTCGTAGGGGTCTGCCGCTAGCCTTCTAACGTTGAATGAGAGGTGCAGCCTTTTGATCTCGTGGGAAACTGAGAATCGGGATAGAAATCCGAAGTCGTCTCTACTCGATGGAAAGTGAAGCTGAGTTCGTCGTACAAGATGTGTCGGCAGTCTAGATACCTGTTTGTAAACTTAGAAGCAAACTCTATGTGAGAAGACGCACCCAACTCACATCTTCTTGCACGAGAGAAGAACTCCAAGGAACGGCGTCCGTTCGAGAGTTTCGCTACCTTGTGTCCGGGCAATCGCAGCCTCTTCGCATTTCCAGTGATTATTCCAAGACGACAACAACCGACGGGACCAAACAGGATCTTCTATCATCTCTACACAACGGCCTTCCATCAATCGCTCCAGTTCGACCTGACGCTCGTCCGGGCCATCGACAGCCGTTGTAATGCAGGGCGTGTGGGTGTACCGTCCCTTCGCGACGAAGACGTGCTGAGGCGGCATAGATCGCAAGAGCTCGCGGTAGATGGGCTCCCTAAGTTCGTATGGGAGTCTGAAGAAGTTGGATTGGAGTTGGGTGTCGGCCGACTCTCGCAGGCGTGCATGGTCTATGGGATTCTCGGCGATGTCTTGAGTGGTTACCGCTGAGGGTGAGGGCAACGATTCGGTGAGAGTGTTTTCATAATATATTGAGTCAGAAAACAGGCCATCGGCATTTTCCTTTGATTTTCGATTAGGAGGCCAAAGATTCTTCAGGTGCTGTTGAAGTGATTGCATGATGAACAGTAAAAAATCAGTCGAATGTTTTTGCAACCTAATTTGACGCTGTCTTGCATGGGCAAGCTCCAGTTTATATATCAATTCTCGGATGCCAAGATTCGAGCTGTACGGAGTGTGTTGGTCCTATTATTAGCACATAGTCAAGCAGGCAGCTCCGTTGCCTGCAGGTCCAGCACCGACAACGCCATTGTTGGTGGCGGTGAGTGCCCCCAACGGGTGGTTCGTACCAACGGATTGACAAACATCCAGCCCAACGCGGCCAGTAACTTCCGAAAGACACATCTGCACAAGGGACTTTAGAAAGGGGCAAACATTGCCCAGCATCTGAGTGCCAGGAGAATTGAATTGTTGCACTACAGTCTTGGCAGCAAATGGCATGGTCTTTTCAATTTTGCAGACTAGCATCGTTCATCAAGGTCAATTCCTTAAAGGTAAGACTATTCCCAATATTATACGCCTAAAAGCTGATGACATCAGAGTTTCATTCTCTTGAATATGAATGTTTAATGTTGAATAGTATAGTGTGGCACTAAGATAGAGAAAAACAACATGAGGGTAGCTGCATTTTATTGCGTAGCATGTGGCAATCCATTGTCATGGCTGGAACAGCACGGACACCAACACGGATTCCGCAACTTGACTTGATTGAGCTCGTCTCAAACTGATAAATTGCAGCAAACACTTAAGAATGTGGTTCGCTACTCAAAATCAGTTTTTCGGGGTTGAAATCAACCTTCAGCAGTGCTTTTGGTCCTCTATGTCTTCGCTACTTCAACGCTAACTGACCCATCACTTTGGACAGAATGGCAATTTGCATCGCTTCTTGAACCGAACGGGTTAATTAGTTAATTTCCATATACTCTTTTGTTATGCCAACATCAGAGAAACGCCCGGTCTAGTGGCGAGGTGAGAATGGAAAAAGAGACTGTTGAATTGTAACACAGAACTGCAAAGGTACAGTGCAACCTCGCTACATCTTACAGCCTAGTAGTTCGATAATGATCAAAACAAATAAATCAAACTTACTAAGAAGGTTTTACGCGGAAGCAATTCCGCCTGCTTCTCCTATAAGATAAAGACCAACTAAACGCTACAATACATCCGTGCATTGCCTCTCATCCGGCACTCTCCCGGACTTAAATACTTAAGTCGCACACATCTATTCCTTCACCCATCGATACCTTTCACCTCCCCTTCCTTGGTGACGTCAACGTTGAACTTGGTGATCAACTGAATTACGAGACCTAAGTATGCAAGACTGTCTGCAAATTGCGTCAGCTCGCGTCTGCGGTGGGGAATCTGCTAGCTGTTCAACGTACCTGCATTCTTCTCGTTCCGGATTCGCAAAATATTCTGCCACAGGTAACATTTGTCCTTGGGTTGGTCTACTGCGTTTCCCCCAGGATGAGTATGCATGAGCTGGGCAGAAGTCTTGTTAGCTTCATACGAAGTATGTCCGATAATGATGTGCACCAAAGTGTCTGATGCTATGCGGCCTTACCTCATGCAACATGATGACCTCTGGTGTCTGGAGGATGTCCACGTTGGAATGAAACTCATAACTCATTCCAAAAACGCGTGTAAACGTGTTGGAAATGTTCTCAAGAGCGTCATCAACCTTCTTTGCAAGTTCAGGTCTCATAGCCTTCAGAACCCTCTCTTCGCTGAAACGCTTCCACCCCTTCTCTTGGAGCCGTTTGATATATCTAGGGTTCATCGTGATTGACGCCGCGTATGTCTTCAGTTGTGACATTTTGGGATGGTCTCTTACGTCCTTGTCGCCCCACGACATCGTAGATGCCTCAGCTGCTTTAGTGCTCAATGCATGCTGGTGCATTATTGCATAGACTGCGTGATCGCTCCCAAACCCACCGCAGCTGATTTTGTCAAAATAAGGGCTTTTGCCGTTACTCGCCTTGTCTCGTTTGACGATATGATCAGTGTTGCAGAGTATGACCTAGTAAAATTGTAAGCCGGTTATAGTGTGTTGAGATAGATGTAGATCACCCACCACATCGTCCCAGTTTTCATGTTTCTCTCTCCAAAACCGATCAAAGGGATCAACGTCTGTGTGCCTCAGCCTAGCAACACCTGCGAATCTGTCTTCAAGGTTATATGATTAGCTCCTTGTACATGACTAGCCAAAAGCCTCACTACCTACTTTGTGCTCTTCCAACGGATGCAGGATCGTCACCAGGGATCCACCTTATCTTCTCATTAATCGCGGGATGTCTCTCGTTTTCAGGCTTCGAAAGCACCAGTGCAGCATCTGCAGCCCATTGGATCGCCTTGTCGACAGATCCCTTCATGTTGTCGTAGATTTCCGAGCCTGCATGATATGATTTGTGAGCAAACGACGCTCTTGATGACATTAGGAAAAAGTGCGGTCATCGTGTAGCACGAAAATAAAAAAAACATTCATATGAAGCAACACCTTGATGAATAACTTTTCGATGACACTAGGCATACGCACCTTCCGAGCCGCAGCTCTTCTTTTCAATTACATATTGACCAGCTGAAAAAACAGGTCGGAACAAAGCCAGCAGAAGAATGACTGCAAAATACATCGTGAATGTGGTATATCCTAGTTCTCATAGAACAAGGCTAAAGTATGGTTTACTGCTCACTTTTCTTTGGGAATGGCCGGGCATTTTAAATTTAAAATATGTGCGTCCGTCTGCTTCATCTCGGGTCATGTCATCCCAGAACTTCTCTGGCTCCAAATAGCATATCTGGTATTTGCTCGCCTGTCGTTGGGTGCAGTTAGCTGCCCCCAAATGCAAATGCGACTCATAGCCTCCAGCCCCAATTACACGATACTTGTCCATTACAAAGTTCCCGCACCAGTTGCTTTCTCGACACTTATGTTGGTTGGTAGTAAACGCCAACCACAACTATCGGAGTATGATTGGCTCAGGTTACATGTAGCCAAGAAACTCGTATCCCACCGTAATGAATTCCTCTATGCCCACCTACTTGTGTTGGTTCACTGCCAGGAACTGTGCATGCACTCGCATGGCATGAGCTTCGCCCCCGCCCCCGCTTGGGGGATAGTCTGTTGGAACGGACGCCGTCCCTTGTTGCCAAGCAGTAAACTGATGTTGAGGATATCAAGAACGGCCTCACCATCGACTTCGGGGGTTGATGCACATTGCCGCGTTGGGGTGAAAGTTGATCATTCGGCACATGTGTCACCTCGAATAAAGGCCAACACTGAAGGTCTACGACCCCATCTGGCGTAATAGACCCCAAGATACGTTGGTCCAGAATTGGAAACAATCAATTTTTAGCATCAGAGGTCATTAAACGACAGCTGGTTCTCGTGTTAGAATGTCACCATTGTCGGATCTCACTGTTGCAGACAGTCTACGGTGATAGTTCATTTTCTATTTGGGGAAGCATCCCTAATTCGCCTCACTCCAGCCGCTTCCTGCTGGGTAAAGTTGTAGCCTTTTAAAGTCTGACAGTTTCTGATGAGAATGGCAAGATCGTCTAAAGATAGAATCCAGGTGGCGCCAAAAGCGTCCGGTCTGGAGTGAGCTCCTGCCGGAAGTACGTGGCACTGAAGGTGGCAGGGGCGAGATTACCGCGACATGTTGCCCGTCTTTTCCATCACGTTATCAAAATTTCGGAAAGAGCAATAATGGCCGACGAGTGTACGTATTTAGTACTCGCAGAATATTTTACATAAGTAGGCCGTAAGGCCCAATGGTCCCTTCGCTCTCGAGCTTGATATTTGTATGCCATGCTCGACGCTCAAGAAAGTAGCAAGTCAGATCCCCCGAACTTCTCTCAGCAGTCACTCTTCGAAAACTTCGCCCATGATGATTTGTGCCGCGTTCCATTTAGGACTGCTGTTTCTACTTCCTCCTGCTTTGGGGTTTCCCCAGCCGCACGCCACGGCAACCTCAGCACCTACAGGCACTGTCAATGCCGCCATTGCGCCTGGGCAAATTCAAGTTGACCCTGTGGAGGTCCCACTGCCTTCATCGTAAGTGCTTTCATCTTCAAAACTAAGGAACCGGCTGATCAGATCAATCCTCAGGCCGCCAAAGATTGGTGTCGATACCAAATATCTCACACTGGAAGGAACCTCGACTAAAGTAAGCATTGAATACGTTCGCGCCCTCCATCTCAGATCCAATATAACTCTAATATAAACCAAAGTGGATTGGAGTCGATGACTGGTTTACCGAACCACCCTTGCCAGGCGCAACCGACGCCCCCCAAAAACAAGGGCTCAAGCTGTCAAAAGGCGACAATGGCCAGGTCGAAGTAGCCCTGAGCAAGTGGTTCCGTGATGAGTTGATCTCCATCTCGAAAGACGTGGCGAAAGAAATATCCTGTGCGCTCAAGCTCGGCGCCAGAGCTGGCCCGGCAGATACCGAATGTCGACGGCGGCAGCTCACACGGATCACCCAGAGATTGGGCCAGAACGAAAGGCTCATGCAGGAGATACAGCGAGGCGGCCAACAGCTGGCGAGGGTGGCCAATATCAATGCCGCCGAAGTAGCTTCGCAGGGCAATGCGGTAGCCATTGGTGAACCACTCGAGATATCAGAGGTGATGGCTGCTATGGGCCTTCATGTTGACCAGGATGCAGTCCTTCTGGGCGGCTTTGGTCTTTCGATGGCTATCATCATCTGGCAGGGCATGAACGTGGTGGATGCTGTCGTTCACAAGTTCGAAATGCCGACGCCGGAAATTGTTCCCCTGACCAATTTTCACGCACCTGACACAGAGAAGCCGAAGTCCTGCCCTGAAAAGCTAGAAGATATGGTAAGTCTCGCATTTTTGAACAACTATTCAGCTGACAATCGTTAGCCGGAATGCCGGCTGTGCGATGGATCCCGAGATTCTCAGTTCAAGTGTACAAAGGTGAGTTCCAACTTCCATTGTCCATGGTGATGCATTCAGTCTTGATATACGTACTGATGAGCCATCATAGGAGGGAGATTTCAAAGATTGTACTTGCATGCCGGCACCTATGTCTTTCGCAAGACCTGAGATCATTGAAGAAATGTTCGACGTCGAACAAATCATTATAGACTTCAATCTTCAGAATCTGGACGAGGTACCAAAGGATCCGACAATTCAGTGTGGGAAACGAGAGGCATCCGGTCTACCATGGACTATTTTTGCTGGGGAGAAGCATACTCTTACCGAGCAGTTCTGCGCAGAAGTCGAGAAGAACCGCATGTCGAAGCTGAGGTGGATCGTCGACACAGAGGGACACAAGCTGCGCACGATGTCTCTGAGGCGTCGGGCTCCTCCTGTCACGCCGGATACTTATAAGGACTACTCAGTGGAGCTCGGATGGTCCCCTAAGCCTTTAGGGTGTACAAAGTCTTGCATAGATGCGTACAAGTTCATCGCGATGGGTGACTGTAAGTTCAAACTTGTCCCATTCCACCAGTTGATTTGACCCCTGACGCTTCCCACAGGCGGCCACTATGGTGGCCAGCAAAACGAGATGGGGGTAGATGGTTCGTGGACAGACGCCTGCGGGACTTATTCATGGCATGTTATCCGACCTCAAAGGGCTGCGAAGAAAACGCCATTGGAGAGAGGAAAGGCCAAGTGCGTAACTGGTCCAGATCCTGGCAATGTCGACCTCAAATTGGAGAATGCGTCGGTATGGGCATGCGGCAGACTCGACGAACTATCCGAGCTTCGACCAGGCCAAAGCTGGAATAACTCGGAGTATGAAGGCGGCAAATCGATGTACAAGCTCTCGGTTGAGTGGCCCCAGGATTGCGTCGCGGATGGCCTCGCCGAACAAAAGGTCAATCCTGGTCAACCACTCAGTCCTGTGGAATTTAGCTGCTGGAGCGATGGTTGGTGGAACATCCGTAGGGATTGTGAGTCTTTTTGTCCCAATAGTAACGGCGACTGTACGAGTCTAACCCTGGTTGACAACAGGTTGGAATGATGGCTACGGGCTTCAAGGTGAGCTGCCCTACCCAGTATGCTGAAAGGGGCTTGAAAGTGGAATACTAACCCATCTAGGTGGTATCAATACCGTTGGCGGGGAGCGCGACTTTGGCTGTGTGAAGTACAAGTTCGCCATGTAGAGAGCGGTAGCTTGAACGGGTAGGAGTGATTTTGAACATTTGCAGCATACGTCCGTGTAGAAAGAATTCAAAGATGATTTGATTTGTGTACAGCCGAGATGGATAAGTCCCAATGTTGTCATAATAACCATCAGCTCCTCTGAAGCATCCGAGGATGTTCAAAGAGACTCATACTGTGTGTGTCATCTCGGCCGAGTTCCCCGGTCTCCGACCCCTCAATTTCCCCACGGCGCACCGGCCCCCGTGCACGGCCCCGTCCGATCTTAGCGGGGCTGACTAACCCCACAATTCCCGGGCCGTCCGCGTTCTCCTCAGCAGCAGCTTGAGCACAGATCTACGTCAGCCACAGACTACAACTCCTGTGACCTCCCCAAAAGCCATGTGCCGCCCCTGAACACCGTCCGACGTCCAACTTCAACCTTCACTCACCTCAGTATCCAAGGTCCAGAGCTCAGTCAAGGTACCATCCTCTCAATCGCATCACTCACGCCGCACTTTCAAGTCTCACGAACCACACTCTCCCTGTGCAACCCATAGCCACAATGGCCTCCCAGAGCACCATGAGCCAAATAACAAACTACCTCACCCGCCATCCCTTGGAGACCTCCATCTCCGCAGCCGTCGCCGCCTCCTTCCTGGTCTGGGTCGTCCAGGACTACCGCGCCTACATCGCCCTCGGTCCCGGCGGCGTCCCGCACAACTTCGGCGGCTGGCTCATGGTGACCCTTGGCATCCGCCCCTTCGCGCTCTCCAAGTCCTCCGCGACGCACACGGGCGACTTCCCGGATGAGGGATACCACCAGGACATGAAGGAGCTCCCCGAGAGAAAGGGCAAGAGGGCCGAGCTGGGCGGCATCGTGCCCCATAGGCAGCTGAGTCAACATGCGCCGGAGAACATGAGAGAGGTAAAAACTCGCTTGGCATGAAAAAACGAGTGAAAGTGAAAGAATGCTGACGATGTCCGAAAGTTCATCCAAAACCTCTTCGCCAACGCGCAATCCCAGAACCCGACCCTCCTCGAGACCAAGAAATCGCTCTACGAGCGCATGAACCCGGCCCTCTTCGTCGCCCCCAAGGTCCTCGCCTCCGGGACCGTCCCCGACGCCGCCGAGACGGCCCGCGGCGAGATCGGACACCACCACGGCGACCTCTCCATCCACCTCTACCTGGACCCCGCCGACGCGAAGCTCGCCATCGAGAAGGGCTGGGCCGAGCGGCACCGCCTCTCGCTCCCCAGCACGGCGCGCTTCGCGAACCGGTTCCACGTCGCGGACGGGTACGTCATGATCTACGGGCCGCGGGACGAGGAGGAGATGGAGGTGCTGGCGACGATTCTGAGGAATGCGGTGCGGTTCATGACGGGGCGGGAGAATATTGAGGCTATTGAGTGGAGGCAGCGCATTGTGTAAGGCTTGTTGATGGTAAGACGGGATTCTGCATTATCACGTGTAAGATAGAAGTACTTCAATGCTTAGTTGTTATTAGTCGAGATCTAATTATCATTAAATGAGATATTCTCAGGCGAGAACCCTGTAGACGGGGTACTCATCGCCCTCCTCCACCGGCACGATGTTCATGCTAGCGTACGAATCGATGTTCTCCGGCTCCAAGGCGTTGAAGGCGATCGCGGCGTTCTTCTGTCTGGTGCTGACAAGGAAGCTGCCGGCAGGCAACTCAACCTCCTTAGTGAAAGCAGCCGTGGTCACAGTAACAAGGATGACGCCCTCGTAGTATCCCGACTCGAACTCGGCCGAAGTGACGTTGAGAGCCTCGACGCTGCCCTTGTACGGCTCGCTCAGGGTCTCGACCTCGAGACCGCCGACCCTCAAACGCTCCGCCAGATCGGCCCAGGCGGCGGGGATGAGGTAGGCCTCCGGGCGGGCGCGGGTGACGTTGGCGATCACGGGCGTCGTGGAGCCGAAGTTGATGGGCACCTGCACAACAGAGCCGTCGTCGATCTTGACCATGGTGAAGTTGCGGTCGACCACAGGCGAGGAGTCCGTGATGACGATATCCGCGTCGGAGGACTTGAAGTCGGCGATGGAGGACTCGATGGTGGTGTACACCTTCTCGGCGTTGTCGGCGGCCGTCTGCAGGACGCTCGAGGCCATTGTGAGGCCGGCGACGGTGCGGCGCTGGAACTCCTGGTCGGCGAGGAAGATGCCGCGCATCTCGATGAGGAAGGTCACGCACTGCGTCAGGCCCATGGCGTTGCGGCCGATCTTGGCGTCGGACCCGGCCTCGGCGAAGGTGGGCTTGAAGTCCGGGTTGGTGCTGGTGGAGCCCGTCACGTAGGGCTCCCAGCGCAGACCGCGGGACTCCATGGCGGAGCCGATGTTCTTGGCGAAGAGCTCCTCGGAGAGGGAGCGGATGTCGGGGTGGATGTTGAGGTTCTTGGCGGCGGAGAAGAGGCCGTCGGCGGCGTGGTAGTAGCTGCCGTAGCGGGAGGTGGCGCTGTACTCGTGCATGTCGACCGCGACGTGGGGGTTGAACTCGTTGAAGAGGGACTTGATGTCGCGAGTCTGCTTGCGGGCGAGCTTGATGTGGTCGCGGTTCGGATCGTAGTTTGTGGCCAAGGTGCGCTGAAAGTAGAATACGCCATCAGGGTTGTAGCGAGGCAGAATGACTACATCGAGTTTCTCCAGGAGCGAGGCGGCCCAAGTCTGGTTCGCGTCGAGGGCTCCCAGCAGGGCTAGCAAAGATTGATCGCCGGCAGGCTCATTGCCATGAACGGCACCTTGAAGCCAAACCCGAACCTTCTCGGTAGAGTTGGCTACCCTACGAGATTTCTTGGATCCAGTAGAGAGATAGAGGTATGGGAACGGGCGGCCCTCCTCCGAAGTGAAGTTTGCCTTGTTGTAGGTCAACCAGTCGTTCTTGTCGGCGAGGTCCTGAACAAAGGTGTCTTTGAGTGGGTTAGCAGCGCGTTCAAATTGCTCAGTGTAGGTTCTTTCAACGTACCCAGAAGATCGTCGTCTGTTGGGCCCTTGGTGCCGTCGGCGAAACCTGCAGGAATCCCCTCGGGACTGAGGAACGCGGGCGAAAGCAAGTCAATGCCTTCGACATCCTGGAAGTTCGCGGCGATGACGTCGGTGTCTTGACGAACCACGACATGGTTGTAGCCATACTTGACTGCTTCGACAGAGCCGAGCAGAGAGGCGCCCAAAAGGACCAAACGAGAGGAGGCAACCATGATGTCGATGTCACACCTTTTCAAGTGGTTACGCGACTGCAAAGATGCGCTGGACCTTCGATATTCTGTGAAAGACGGGTGTCGACGGCTCTTTACGAAAGTTTTATAGCTCCCCTACCGTCACATCGCGGCCTGCGGGTGACGTGAAATGGCTCGTGGGCGCATGGCCGGAGGCTGTTCCTGGCATGCCCGAAGGCTTGGCTGAGATCATCCAGATAGTTGGGATTGGTAATATCACGAACATCTCAGGAAAGGCCCGATACTAGGAGCAAATATGTCCAACAAGGTGCGAAATTGGGGTCCATCTGAACCCGCGTCAACATTGGCAACGAAACTGGATAAGGCAGCTCGGTAGAGCAGATGAGGGGAAAGCGGGGGAGTCCCCGTGGGCGAGATAACCGCGACCCATGACGCCAAGACTGAGAGACCCATCGCGAAATAATTCATCTGCCATTGACGTATGAAATGGCTCCAAGGAATCTCAATTGCTCCACGTCTCGATACTGAAGTGCCGACGGTCGGGAGCTTGAGTCCCGACCACGCTCGCCAAGAGCCCGGCTGTACTGGTGAGGATTGAGCAGTAGATATGCATTAGGCCGTGCCCGCGGAAAGGGAGCAAAGGCCGGGCCGGTCGATGACGACGGCAGCCGTTGCTGGATACGACAGACCGGAAATCGGAGGACATTCGCCGTTGCAGGAGCCGGCGGTCACAGCGCGACGCGTCATTCTGCACACCGGAGACTAGAAGGGTTCTCGTTCCTCTTTCTACGTGATCCCTGGTCTTGCCGCGAATTGTCAAGAAAATAATGTCGACATCAGGAGCCTCACAAAGCCGCCTTTCCCCTCGACTCAAATGGCATTACCAACACCAATAGTCCGGCTGCGATAAAGAGAGCCCCACTTGTGTATACGGGAGCGGCGGTTTTGAGGTTTGCGAACATGGCGACGATGGGCTACGGGTAATGTTAGTGCATTGCTTCCACCAGATGTCCAAGTCGCGATGCTTGCACTTACTGCCATAATACCAAAGATACGGTTGCAAGTTGCCGTCAGTGCATTGCCGGTACCGCGCTGTGGTGTCGGGAAGAGCTCCGGGGTAAAGCCGTAGAGAACGGCATACATGACGTTGCTGGCGAAGTTGAAAGCGCAATTCCAACCTAGAAGCGCGTTGCTTGTCAGCGCAGTTGTCGAACAGTAGAGGAAAACTCCAGTCAAAACGGTGCTGATCGAGAGTGTCCCCTTTCGCCCTAGTCGAGGGAGTTCGACTAGCCATCCACCGAGTAACGCGCCCGGCACACCAGTCACAGCAATGATCAAGCTGTTCCGGTACGTGATATATGTGCTTCCATCACCAAGCTCCGCCCCTCTTGTCGCCTGGATGTACGGCAAAAATGCGTTGTACAGAGGATAGCCAAGTCCGATGAGCGCCCATACGGCCATGATCAGCCCAGTGCTTAGAGCAAGACGAGATGTCGAGAAAAGAACGCGAACGTGGCTGAGATCGAGTTTCTCGAGGTTTCGCTTGACGGCAGCCGTGGCGTCGGTACGAGCAACGTATCCCTCTGGTTCGCACGCCTTGAGATCTTCCACCGACAGAGAAGATATCTTGCCATTACGCCGGGCTACCTCGTGAACGATTCGGACGGCTTCTTCGTCGCGGCCTTGCCCCATCAAGTACTTTGGCGACTCAAAGACCGTGAAAGCGACGAATCGTATCAAAAACATAACCAAAGTAAGGCCGCCGATAGTGATGATGAAGTATCGCCATCCCATATTCCTTGACCTTGTACAAGTCTCGCCCTGCTGGCAAGTCAGGTTTCCGAGAAGAGGCCAGGCGATAAGAGTCGCGATGACTTGAGCGACAGCCCAATCAATCGACAGGACCGTCAACAGATATTGGTGGGTTCCAGGAAGGAATTCGAGAAAGATGGCGGAATCGACAGGCAGATTCCCGCCGACACCGAAGGACCAGAACGCGGCGAAGATTCCGATGGCTGCAAAGTTTGGAGCGCTAGCGGCGATCATGCCCCAGACTGCCGTTAGACCCAAAGTCAGGTTGAAAGCCATCTTCCGACCGAATATGTCGCATCCGAATCCCCAGAACATGGCTCCAGCCAGTAGACCGATGTTTTGGGAGAGCGATAGCAGAGGAGGTCGAGTCGGCTTGAACTCATTTGCGATCGGGGTGAAGATCAGCGACGTCACGATGGGCCACAGGTTGTCGCTTGCCCAACCGAATCCAACAACGATGAATAGCTGCCATTGATACCATCCCATACCGATGTCTTGAATCTGAACATAGTAGTCAGCGCATGCCACGGTAGTTGTAGCCCGCGAGGTAGTCGTTACGTACCGCACGGTTGAGGACCCGAGCCTTGGCTTCATAGACGGGGTCGAGTGCGCCTTTGGGGATGATGGCAGCGTCATCAATACCATGGACATCGATGCTGGTCTGGTGCGCGAGAGGGGCTGGAGATTCCTCTTTTCTCGCCTTGTCTTGTTCGACGCCCATCTTGATCGACCCTCGTGCCTGACTTGACTCAATCATTACGCAGTGTTGTTGGCGACGCACAATCTAGCTACCTTGTCGTCCTGTGGAAGGAAGCAGGCAGATTTGGGGTTGACAAGGTTGCGCGGCTCGGGAGGGCAGCATTCAAGTACCAGCATTGCCGCGCTCAGCTTGGATGTAACCGCCGCAGGTTCCCCAGGTCGACCGGGTCGTGTCGCACGTAGCAGCTTGAATGGCGCAATCCGTCCGGTCAGTGAATCTTCTGGTCATTGATTGGCCTCGCTGGCATTGAGGCTGCCGGAACGCATGCCGATCCGCACTTTGTTTCTGCCCTGTCGATGGGAGGGAGGGGGGAGAGGGGCCCTAGCGAATAAGCGTATGGGGGATCTGCCTGTACCTTGTCGACATTCGCTGCGTCTCGTCCGATATCAAGCAGCTGGTGGTCGTCCCAGACATCCCCAGAGGGGGTTTCTGCGTCATGGACATCGCATTATCGATCATCTCCATGTGCTGAAGTCGGCAAGCTGTCGTGAGGCAGATCATCCAAAGATATTCAAGTGAATAGTGGTGATTGAAGGTCAAGTACGTTGGCAGATGAAGTTGTTCAACATCATTGAAGATGATTAATATCGTGACCAGAGTTTTGAAGGTTCGAAGTGTGCGACGATAAACAATCCACGATGTTTCAATTACCGCGCACCGATTCCATTAGCGTCCACAGGGGGTTCCGCCTCCCCACAGCGGCTGTGGCGGGGCTATCGAATGCCTCCACTGCCCTAGATATCTGCAGCTGGCAGCAGATGGTACCATGCAGCGGTGTTATCCCCTCATTTCCACGTTATCAAGCCACCAACATCAGATGGATATTACTCACCGACAACTTTGAAATGTTGAGCAGCCTGTTTCTGTTTCTAACCGCAGTTGTCATGGTTTCAGCTCTCAAAAACCTTATTGTGGATACTGATTTGTTCAGTGACTGCGAGTAAGACTTTCAACCAGGCGAAGCGTTCGATGATGAGCTCTAGCTAACATCTTCTCAGTGACGCGGCCGCGCTCCTACTGGCGGCAACCTCGCCAAACGTCAACCTCCTCGGAGTGAACATCAACTCTCAGTCCTCATACTCGGTCTTAGCCGCCTCGGCTATCCTCAACCACTATGACCTTCCAAACGTACCCATCGGCGCCCGACGTCCTCTGAACGACATCCCGTTCTTTGACAACTGGGGCAAGCGAGCGGGAGAGTTCGCGAGTAAGCTGGCCACCCATTGGCCCAGAAGCATGACGAACGCCGAAGAGGCTCATGATCCTGTCGAGCTCTATCGCGAATTACTCGCCGAGGCCGAAGACGACTCGGTCACGATTGCATCAATCGGATTCCTGCACAATCTTTCGGGCTTGCTTAACTCGACCGCCGACTCAATCTCAAATCTCTCAGGCCCTGAACTCGTCGAGACCAAAGTGAAGGAACTCGTGGTCATGGGGGGCGATTATCCCAGCGGATACGAGTTCAACTTCTGGGGTGATGATCCGCACACCACCGCGCACGTCATACATGAATGGAAAGGACCGATCGTTTTTGCCGGATACACACTAGGACAATCGGTGCAATCCGGAGGGCCGTTAATGGCCGATGGCCCGGAGACCGACCCGGTACGTGCTGCCTACATCCTGTACACGTACTACCAGCCGCGGCGGTCTTATGACCCTATCGCCATGTTGTATGCGATCGAAGGTCTGGGCACGTTTCTTGAATACGGAAACGCGAACGGATACAACAGCATCAATCTCGATGAAAAGAAGGGTCAGGTTGGTCGCAATGAGTGGGTGTTTGATGAGAATGTCACCAATCAGCATTGGCTGAGCGCGAAGGTCAGTCATGAAGAGCTCGGGATGGAGCTCGATAGACTGTACCTGAAAGGGGCGAGATCCTCCAGTAGAAGCTCTGATCCCGTGGGTTCACTGCCGAGGTTCGGTGACTGCAAGGTAGTGAGAACTTCAAAGCCTGAAGTAGCAGCCGCGAGACTGGAGTTGTAGTGGGTTGTTTCGGGCGCAGCATATGAATCATGATGAAGTTGGAATGAAGGGCAAACCTTCCTTTGCTTGTCTAGCACCTCGGATACGTGTCTGATCTGGTAGCTCAAGCTCGTTCTCTGATCATCGCCCACAGCGTACACACTTCAGGGACTCCGAACTCCGTGAAATCCATGCGGAACGTGTCCAAGTCCAGAAACCCGCACTTCTTGTACAAAAGGCGACCATCGGCCGACACAACAAGAAACGCAGGAATATCCAACCTTGCTGCCTCATCTAACCCCCATTCGATCAGTCTTTTACCAATCCCTCTGCGTCGGTGATCAGGGTGCGTGGCCACCGGCTGTAGGTCTTAGAACATTCATCGTTAGCAATAGCACATATGCCAACAGGTCTCCCGTATAACGGTGGCCTACAAGCACAGAATTTTCCAACCATCAACCTCTTCCTTACCTCGTCTACGCCCCCATGGAACTGATCGCACGCTTCCACGTTACATCCAGGCCACCATTCTCGCTTGGGAGGCGGCGGCATGCCCTCTGGCCAGATGAACCACTTCGCAAAGCCGACGATAGCATCGTCGCCGGAGAGGTCGGTGTCGACAGCTTTGATTAGATGAACGAAGGGATCTTCCCTCATTTGCTTGATCATAGCCTCTCTCTTGATGGAATCAGCGAACTCCTCGTCTCCAGGGTTTGTTGACGTTGACGCGAAGAGGACTCTGTCGAACTCGCCGTCGCTGCTTGCCTCAAAAGCTGCTTTATCCAATTTGACGATGATCAGACAGTCGGACTCGACTGCAGATTTGATTTCAATTGCCATGGTACAGACTCTCGACGTAGATGGCTTCATTCAGTTGTTCGATCGGCGGCGATGTGGTGTTTAAATACGATGCTGACATGCATGATACTTGGCACTTTTGGGTGACTCATCCGCGAGTACAATATTTATCCCAATCTAGAAGACCTTCCAATTTCGGTAAGTACATATAACTTCTAGCACGAGGTGAGAAAGGCTTGAAAACATAATGAGGAATTTGGTCTTGGATTCTGATGTCATAAAATGCGCTGACGTATGTGGTGATTCAACCAGTTCTGACCCCATTTGCCAGCAGCCCAACTGAGAATTGGTGCTAAGACGACGACGGTGATCCAGTACAGGCAGTTGATGGTTCCAAGCCAGGTTACATCAGGGTGTTCCATGAAATCAATCCATATGCCGAGGCCCTGGAAGCCGTTCATGAGTGTGCCATCGTATCCGTTCGTCGAGGCTGAGGGGGAAAAGACAGAGTTAGCTATGCGTCCATCCGGAGAGAGACCCAATTTTGGTGTGTACAGATCTACTACGAGCACATCCCAAAACATCGGGATATCTTTCTTAGTTCCGAGTATGGGGGTCCAGCATTATCTGTCTGCCTCAGAATTTCCAGCGCAGCTCAAAACTTATCTTGGCCTAATCGAAATCTAGCCAGACGCCCGTTGACTGCTGGGGCATTCCCATTGTTCCGAGTCAATGTGATCAAAGCTCGTACGAGATTTCTTCAGGCACGGTTCTAGCCCGATAACACCATCTAAGAGTTTATGCGGCACACCTGAAAAGGCCTGGAAGCAGACCATTGACTGGTCTATGTTTGAATACAATCTGTTCAGCATAAAATTCGTGTCCTAGATTGCGGCATCTTCTTAAGGCACACGACCCGTCGTACGCGCCAGCGACATTTTAGCTCGACTTTCTGCCCCAGGAACTTGCACCATCTTAACTGACCACCTTTTCCAGCTCTCCCTGCAGACCTTCAAAGCAGTCCACGCTGTACATCCCCGGGTCGAAAGCCCCCGTACAGTCCTCAAAGAGACACCCGGGCTTGCTTGCAACCTCGACCTCGGCGACGGCTTTGAGCCTATCACAGTAGCCCAAGCGCGGCCATCTCTCGCATATACTGATGACGTCCTCCTTATTCACGAATCTGGCGCTTAGTCCCATGAGGTCCTGGCCCGCTCCGAGCGACACTAAAGCGCCGGTAAGACGGACGCGGGAACTGAAATCACGAAACTCGATCGTGTGGCGCGCGATGGCCTCGCACACCTCGTCGGCCCAGGTAGCCAAATTCTCGGCCGTCTGCGAGCCCTGACACTCTTCGACAACCTGCGCCGTCTGGTCCAGTAGCCACTGGCGGGCTTTGATCGCCCCCCACAACTCTAGGGACATGGGGCTTTTCTGCGCGTCCGGGTTGAAGCCGATCTCGTGCAGCGCGCAGGTAAAGAAAACCAGCGGGATGGACCGTATCGCCTGGTGGGTTATCTGTCTATTAGATATAGCCCCCGTCTCCCCTTGACCCTTGAGATTACATGAGATGACTGGGACGTTCCTACAAATACCTATGTACTCAGACTCAGATCGGCTATTGAATAGAAACGATACACCCAAGATAGTGCGTCTGCTCTCGCTGTTAGAGAATGCTGGTAAGACGCTTCAGCCAACCGCGTGTTGTCAATTATGCAGAAACGTAAGTGGTAAGAGTAACTAAATCCCGGCCCCAAACCTTCAAGCGTCTTCGTGGCTAAGAGTTAGGCCGGTTGGAGACCGGAGGGCATGCATGTACGTCGTTGATATAAGGTAGGGCTGAGCGGTTGCCCCCACTAAGAAAGATCCCGAGAATATTCGGCTCACCAGCCCCGCTAGAATCCCGTGAGTTGACGGGACCCTGCGGAGTTGATACCGGGCGAAACGTGGGGCACCTCCACCTCAATCCCGAAGCTTCCAACGGGTCCGACTTGGGTCATGTTTATTATTCTTGCTGGGCTGCTGGCAACATGTGCAGCAGCAGAGGCAACATAGCGGTCTCCAATCTGAATTTGCACGACTCATCAGAATGAGTCGGGTTATCTTGGTGACCTAAGCAGGACTCCAAAGCGCCCTCTGGAGGAAAACCCTCAGCGTCCCCGAATCTATTCGCTTTGTTTTGTGACCAAGTAGTATATAACCGGCGTCCACATTTTCTACACCTCGGTCCGCGTCGTGGTCCATATACCATCATCACCTCCGTCGATTTCTGTCCGCGACACACAACTCATCACCATGTCTCACCTCACTTACACTTCCTACGAGGGCTACGGCGAGCGCGTCAAGAAGAGCCTCTGGTACAGCCAAGCTGTCCGTGTCGGTGATGTCATAGAGTGCTCCGGCCAGGGTGAGTTTTAATCCACATAGTACCTTTCTCGCATATAAAGTACATCTTTCTAACAGAATATCTTTGCTTTGGAGGTGGCTGGGACCGTGACACCGACAAAATCGACCCGAACATTGTCGTTCAGATCGAAAAGGCTTTCGACAATGTCGACAGGACCCTCAAGCTCGCCGGCAGCCGTGGCTGGGAGGACGTCTTCTTCCTCCGCTCTCACCACCTGCCCTGCAACCAGGAGGCCATGGAGACCATGGTCCGTTGCCTGAAGAAGTACTGCCCCGACCACCAGCCCGCGTGGACCGCTCTTGGTGTCCCCCGCCTAGCTTTCGATGATATGAGAGTCGAGATCGAGGTGCGCGCTCACGTTAAGAGAGACTAAGCGCTACTTTTCGCATGAGCTTTTATGAAAGGGCTTGATGATGGGATGGGGAAAAAGACGCAGACATAGCTTCTTGTAGGTTACTTGACAAATGAACCATCATTATTATTCCTATTTCCTGTATTATTGTTTCTTATTTATAGGGTGGACTGTGTGAGCTGCTGCTAGCGGTGCATCACGATCAAACACTAATAAATTCCTATTTCCTGTTTTTTTGTGAAAAGGCTCAATTGCTGTATGTCAATTTCGGCCACCACAATTATAAGCCCTTTCTTCTTGATGAGTAGTTATAGCAGCATTAATGCTAGGCCGTGGTTGCCGAAGACCGTTGCAACGAGCTCAACTGGATCGGCCTGCGGGAGACGCCAGCGACGAGAAAGCGTCTCCTAATGGGTTTCTTCGTCATTGTGGCGGCCCAGAGCAGTGGTGTCCTCATCATCAACAATTACCAGATCATCCTGGACGAGGGACTGGGCATCACCGGCTGGAAGGCTTTGCTGCTTCTCGGCATCTGCACCTCGTGGGCCGCCGCCAGGAACTGGGTCAACGCCTTGCTTCTCGATCGTGTCGGCCGTATCAAGCTCATGGTCGGCGGCATGACGATCGCCGCCATTGCCGTGGCTTGTGAGGCGGCCATGGTAGCCAGTTTTGATGGCACGGACAACGCCGTCGGCAACGAATTTGGGGTCTTGTTCCTCTTCTTGTTCATCACCTTCTTTGCTGGTGGTATGGACGCATGTAAGTTTTCCCAATTGTGTTCAGATTTTTACGTTGTCACACTGGGGCTATTACTAACCTATCGGAGCTTGCTACGTCTATCTGTCCGAGATCTTCCCCACGTAGATGCGTGCTCAAGGCGTCTCCTTCTCGGTGGCCGGCTTGTTCGCCATCACTCTCATCTACACCGGTTCGGCATCGACAGCGTTTGCTTCGATTGGCTGGAAGTATTATCTCGGTAAGCTTTACAAGAGCCCCGTCGGTTTCCGAAGAATGTTCACTCAATCAAGTTCTAGTCTTCGTCTTTGTGCCTCTGGTCTGCGTTGTCATCATCTGGTTCTGGTTGCCCGAGACCAACGGATTCTCTCTGGAGGAGACTGGTAAACTGTTCGGCGATAATGTCGTTCTAGAATCAGATGTCATGGGAAAACTGGATGCCCGAAGCGGTGGTGCCACCAAGAGTGCCTTGGCTATCTTAGGTGATGTAAAGGTGTCGGGCGGTAGCGATGAGAAGACCGCGGCCCTTTCCCATCCCCGCGCTCGCGCCTTTTATTCTAGCCGCCCACATAGCCCTGCTAAATATATGTCATACATACATACATACCTTTCTTCTCATCAAAAGCAACCTATTATTCCTGGCATCTTGTGCATGGTTGTCCTCCTCAACGTCGAGGACGCTAGCACGGTCTGAAGAGCTACCTTGAAGGAAAGTCTGATTCATGGAGAGAGGCCTGCCCTTGGTTGGGCAGGTATTTGTGAAGTTCATCAATGGTATGTTCTGGCCAGGTTATATGTGAATCGGCAATACTGCCGTATTGGTGGTGAACTAGGAAGGATCCAGGGGAGCTGGCTGGAGGCGGCAAAAGCCAACATGGACGCATGGGCACAGGCCCTAACATGATAAGAGAATTCATTACGAAAAGTACAAGGACCTACATGTAGGCTGCAGCTCATTACGTTAAGTGCAGTCCTCCACGGTTATTTCCTCCTCGCAACTACTCCTGGCTACAACAGTGATTGCCCTTGCCGTTGGTAACTCTAGTATTGCCCTCGCTGTTGGTAGGTCCAGTGTAAATACCAGCGATGGTAAGAGATGGTAGGAAGGCGGGCATCCAGGCATGGCAGAGCGTAACAAGCAAATGTCAGAGGTTTCAATCCACCCATATTTCTGCATGCTAACAGTGAATCTCTTGCGATTACCTATTCAATGATTGGTCATCTACATGAAATTGTGACCCCAAAGACATTGATGTCAAACGTCCAACTCAGGTCTAAGAGAAATCGGGCAGAACAGCAACACCCGGCAGCGGCGCCAACAAGAACATCAGCACCTCATCAGTCAATCCGGGATATCCGCAATATCGGGTCCCCTCTCTTTAGGTGTGGTCCAGGACATCCCTGCCCTTTGTCACAAGGCCCTGGGTCGGGACCGGCCAACCAAGATGCAAAAGTTCCTCGAGCAAGCCATTGCTGGCGGTGGAGACCCGACTCGTGAGGCGCGGACAGCGGTGGGATAAATAACAGGCAACCCGATCTCACTGCTGGGCCCGAGTCCGTCTGCAAAGTGCTCTTCTACTACCAAGAGAGTAGGTTTGTTCACCAGTCTCCCTTACCTTGATAGCCTGGTATTTTGTATCTGGGACTTATTGTTGTTTGGAATTTGATCGTCGCTCACGAGGAAGTGAGATGGAACCTTCTGCGGAAGACAGAGACCAAAGATGCGGCATTTCGAAACTGATTGCAGGAAGTGACTCAGTTTTCTGGTCTTGAAGTACATCTGGCCAAAGTCCAGGGATGAAAAACCAGTTCTGCTGCAGACCAAGAGTTGACAAGGCCTAGGAAAAGCCGGGAACCCGAATCCAGCCCCAAGACCGTGTTTGTGCCGAGGAAGGCCACATAGTGATATTGCCCTATAAGGAAGTGAATCCCACCACTAGGATGCGATTGCAGCTGGGCATCGTTGCAGAGAGCGTTGCGCTCTAGACTGGTGGTCAGCCATGTCTCGGCAACGAGCTACAACTCGTCCGTCCACGGATTAAATCGATACAAGGCTGTTGAATGGGCAATAGAAGTATAACGGCTTCTTCATCCGTTTCGATTTTCGTCGACGTCTTGTCTTTCGAGAGGTGTACATGAGCAGAAGAGCGAGGGCATGATTTGCAGTTGCTTGGCTTCTGAGACCGAATTGATAAGTGCTCTAGAATGGTCGCTTTGAAAACCCCGGTGTTTTCACATGCTGAATAATTTATCTGGGCCGAGAGAAACCTGGAACCCGCCCGATTGAAGACGCGATATCCTTCTGCGCTGAAGTGACTGGGGTTTCGGAAAGCCTGGGCCGAGTTCGATACTGCCGCACCTTTGACTAATGGACTGTCATGAGATGGAGCATGGTCTTACCAATATCCGGTCTAGCAGAAGAGGGCTGACGGAACAAGGCAAGCAACTTGTCTGGCCAGCTTATCACCGAGCGCGCGGCGAGGTGACTTCGGCCTCCGAGTTTAAAACTTTGCTGGGCGCTGATTCGTGATTTGAAGACGAGCTTCTCGAAACGGGTGATGGCCAAGACCGTTTAAACTAGATGACTGATACCCCGAGCGGCGGGCGTTGCCTTTTAGAACCAACGAAACAAACCAAGAGTCAGTGAGAAGAACAGAGATTTCTGTCACGGCCGGGGCAAATACGAGAACGGGATGCCGAGGCCGAGAACAGAAGAAGCTGGCCGTTGCATCGAGCGACACTGGGTCCCCCCGGCCCCCTTGCCGAGCGACGCTAGTGATGCGGAGCTGATGCGCACGCCCAATGGGCGGCGGGGGATCCATCTTATCAGATGATCAGATATGAGGCGATTCCGCTCCTGGGTGGAGCAACCATCGAGACCTTAACAGCGCCAACGTGGTGGGACCGCGACATGGGCACAATTTCATCAGATAACTCTCTCGAGTGGGGAGCCACACGCAAGGTGGGACCGTCCTGCGCGAGGTAGCAACACCTGCGAAGAGACCGGGACAGGGTCGTGATCGGTGCCAGGGGTTGGCGCCGGTTTGGTCGGCCCAACTGAACCTTGGCGGGTGAGCCCGCCGATGGATGCGTTTGTTTTCCTGTTCTTTGCGTGTTTCTCGGCATGGGAAGCGGTTGGCTGGCTCGGCGCCCGTCTTGCAGCAACACCACGCGAGCATATATGGAGGGCCGCATGCCCCTCGACTCTGTCTTTTGGACTCTGGTTTTCTCAAGTCACTCCCATCCTTCCGAGCCTTGATACTTGCTCGAACTTCCTTGCCTGAGACCTGCGTTCCCCCTTCTCAGATTCTTGTCAAGTCAATCTTCATCAAGTTTCACCCCGTCAAGATGGTTTCTGCCAAGTCAGTCGCCGTGTTCGGCAGCATGCTGCTGGGCAACGTCATGGCCGCCGACAACATGGGACCGGCCGCTTTCCTCTGGCCTCCCGACCGTGAGTGGAGCGCCGATGCCGACAACACCGCGCCGTGCGGATCGACTAACGGCGTCGGCGCCCGCACCGAGTTCCCCCTGGGTAAGTCCCTTCAAGTCTGAGCTGTTCCGGCGCCTGTCCGAAACACGGCGGACCATCAAAGCGGCATTCTAACGAAGACGTAGTCAACGGCAAGCTCGCTCTCGTCACCCAGGACATGACTCGCGCCGTCCACTTGAGTGTCTCCTACAAGAACGGTAAGATGGAATCTCCGCAAACCAACGGATACAACCAAGAGCATCCGACTGACATCCGCCACAGACCCCAAGTCTGCCTCCGACTTCGAGACCTTCCTGGGCCCCAGCGACGTCGGCAGCCTCGACCTCGGCCACACCTGCGTGACGGTCCCCACCGCTCCCGAGGGCACCGCCGCCGGCTCCAACGCCACCTACCGCATGCTCTACGTCTCCAACTTTGAGCAGGACGAGTCCAAGCGCGAGACCTTCTACGCCTGCACCGACGTCACCTTCGTCGACGTCTTCACCACGCGCATCCCCTGCTTCAACACGACCATCAGCGACCCCGAGGTCAAGAGCGACCCCTCCGTCGACGTCACCACCACCGACTCCGGCGGCAACACTCCCCACACCGCGGCCGACTTCACTGCCGCCGACTCCAAGTCCTCCGGTGGCCTCTCCCGCGGCGCCATCGCCGGTGCCGTTGTCGGTTCCATCGCTGGTGTCTCCCTGCTCGGTCTCGCTGCCTTCTTCCTCTGGCGCCGCAAGTCTGAGAAGAAGACCGTTACTGAGCCCATGCAGCAGCGTTGGGATGCCGAGAAGGCCGTCAGCGAGACTTCTTCGCAGCACAGCGGTCGCCAGTAGGCATATGGTAATGGCACACTTTTAGCGCTTCCATCTTGCCGGGGTACTTTCGTAGTCGAAATCTGGGAACGTGGTGTCCGTATCTAGTCATGAGACATGGAATGATTGATGTAGATCATGATTGTAAGAAATTCAGTAGTCAAAATCAAGAAAGGGCGTGGAGGAGAAGTTCTGCGCCTTAACAAATTGTCTTGCGATTATGCGAAAACTGCAAATATGCTTAACTATGTTTGGTGCATAGAGGAACCCCTTTGGGGAAAGATGCAACTAAGCGAGTAAGACTGTCTGTGACCTTAAGAACGGGGACCCACCTGTAATGGTTTCCTGCAACAACTCTAGGCAGCATCACCCAAGGCAACCTTTCCAGCCAGTGAGCTACCGTCAGTTAGTTCACCTTAGTTGGCGACATGCGACGAGAACATTATAAGTGATGACGCGACCCGACGCTTCGAGTTTTCTCAAATAAGCTTCTGTTTTTTTTTCACCTCGCCAGCCGGTCAGCCACTTCCTCAATGCGCATCGTTCTTTCCAGTCAGCCAGAAACAAACTCGTCTCCACTGTCGGAAAGAGCTGTTGGCGCATCTTACCAACCATCATGAGCCAACGCAAGCGTCAGCGGTCGCCAGACGCGATGGCGATCGACGAAGATGAGAGACAGTACGTCGTCGGCGGTATGACGCTGGCTGAACTCGACGAGAAGTAGGCGACCCCTCCAGATCGTTCACCTCATTACTCACACCAGCGCAGGTACCCGAACCGTCCGCGGAACCACTCGCAGACCATGCGCTTCTCGGAACTTTTTCAGAGCCTCTTCAACCCACTCAACGAGAACAAGAAGCAGCCTCCCGGCAGAGGACCACCGCGCGCCAAGAGGGGCCCTCAAGCAACCAAGCTCTCGCCCCAGGAACAAAGACGCCACATCATCGAGCGCTTCATCTCGCGATGGCGCAACGAAGTGGGAAACGACATCTACCCGGCATTCCGTCTCATCCTCCCAGACAAGGATCGCGACCGCGGCGTCTACGGATTGAAAGAGAGCGCCATCGGCAAGCTCCTCGTCAAGCTCATGAAGATCGACAAGAACTCGGAAGACGGCTACAACCTTCTCCACTGGAAGCTCCCCGGCCACACCACCGCGTCGCGACTAGCGGGCGACTTCGCGGGTAGATGCTTCGAGGTCTTGTCGAAGCGGCCCATGCGGACGGAGGTCGGCGACATGACCATCGCTGAGGTCAACGAGCTGCTGGACAAGCTTGCGGCGTCAACCGGCGAGCTCGAGAACCTCGAAGTATTCGAGATCTTCTATGAGCGCATGAACGCGGAGGAGCTTATGTGGCTGATCCGTATTGTGCTGAAGCAGATGAAGGTCGGCGCGACCGAGAGGACCTTACTCAACCTATGGCATCCGGACGGTGAAGCGCTCTTCAGTGTGTCGTCGAGCTTAAGGCGTGTCTGCTGGGAGCTGTGCGACCCCAAGGTCCGCTTGGAGCAAGAAGATACGGGCGTCTCGCTCATGGAGTGTTTTCAGCCCCAGCTCGCGCAGTTCCAAATGCCATCCTCGTTCCAGAAAATGGTGGATTACCTCCGGCCGACAGAGGACGACCCCGAGTTTTGGATCGAGGAGAAATTGGACGGCGAGCGCATGCAAATGCACATGATGGAAGACTCCGCTGCACCCGGAGGCTTTCGCTTCTGCTACTGGTCTCGCAAGGCCAAAGACTACACCTACCTGTACGGCGTCAATCTACGGGAGGGCGCCTTATCTCGCCACATCGGTAATGCCTTTGCAGATGGCGTCAGGAACCTCATTTTGGACGGCGAGATGATCACTTGGGACCCGGAGGTCGACAAGATAATGCCTTTCGGAACGTTGAAGACGGCGGCTCTCGCGGGCCAGGACGCGCACAACACAACTGGTCCTCGCCCGCTTTACCGAGTCTTCGACATCCTCCTCCTGAATGATCAACCGTTGACACAGTACACCCTCCGAGACCGCCACCGAGCACTGGAAAAGGTCGTAAAAGGAGTTCACCGAAGACTCGAGATCCACAAGTACGAAGCAGCAACGTCGCCAGACGCCATCGAGCCGCTCCTCCGCAAAGTCGTCGCGGAGGCGTCCGAGGGTCTCGTACTCAAGAATCCGAGATCAATGTACCGCCTCAACAGCCGTAACGATGACTGGCTGAAGGTGAAGCCCGAGTACATGTCCGAGTTCGGAGAGTCGCTAGACTGCGTCGTTATTGGCGGCTACTACGGCTCCGGACGCAGAGGCGGTGCTCTCTCCAGCTTCATGTGCGGTCTTCGCGTCGGCGAAAATCACATCCAAGCCGGCGCCAGCCCCGAGAAGTGCTTTAGCTTCTTCAAGGTCGGCGGTGGTTTCAGGGCCGAGGACTACGCCGAGATCCGGCATCGGACGGAGGGCAAGTGGCACACGTGGGACGCGAAGAGGCCGCCTGTCGAATACATCGAGTTGGCTGGAGACAGCCGCCAGTTCGAGAAGCCCGACGTCTGGATCCGGCCGAAAGACTCTTTCGTTCTCGAGGCGAAAGCGGCGAGCATCGGCTCGTCAGACCAGTTCGCCCTCGGCTTCACCCTTCGATTCCCACGCTTCCGCAAGCTGCGACTGGACAAGAACTGGAACGAGGGGCTTAGTGTGCAGGAGTTCCAGGACCTTCGCAAGCGCGTGGAGGCCGAGTCGAAGGAGAAAACGATGAGCGTCGAGAACCGCAAGCGTAGGACGACGAAGCGTGTCAAGCGCGAGTTGACTATTGCCGGCACGGAGAACATGCTTGTGGAGTTTGAGGAAGCAAAGACGAAACTCTTCGAGGGACTCGAATTTTGCGTCTTGTCGGAGTCGATGAAACCGTTCAAGAAGACCAAGGCCCAGCTCGAATCGTTGATTAAGGAAAACGGTGGCCAAATCTCCCAGCGCGCGGTTCCCCGGTCGGGAATGATTCTCTTAGCGGACAAGAAGGTGGTCAAGGTCGCCAGTCTCGTGAAAGAGGGACAGAAGGAGGGGGGCGTTGACATCATCCGGCCTAGGTGGCTGCAAGACTGCCTCTCGCAAGATGATCAATTCGTCCTACCTTACGAAGAACGACATCTCCTACACGCAACCGAGGCATTGAAGACTGTCGCTATCCAGAACACGGATATGTACGGCGATAGCTACGCCCGCGATAGTACCGCCGACGAGCTTCGAGACATCTTCAAGGATATACCAAAGAAAGAGCCAGACGCTCCAGCTTTCAACAAGGCACAATTCTTGAACCAACTGGAGGAGCGGGGTCACAGCGTGGGTCAGATGAAGGGGGCGATATTCCACCGCTGCCTGGTTCATCTGCACAACGCGGATGATGGGGATGGTGTCGACGAGGTCGGGCTAGTGAAGCTTAGGAACTTCCTGCTGTATGGCGGCGCCCGGCTGACGCCCGATCTCGAGGACGAGGAGGCCACTCATGTTGTGATTGTGGGCGGTGGAGACCGCCGAAAGGAAGCCGCGGCGGACCTGCGAAGTCAGGTCAGCACCCGACGGCAGATCCCTCATATCGTCGCTGCGGAATGGGTGGAAGACTGCTGGCGTGAGAAGACGCTGCTTGATGAGGAGAGATACACGCACTTGTGAGGGCGCTAGAGGCAAAACACCCAGAGCCATACTTCGGAGAGAGTCTTATACCAAAAATAAATGACATTGTATTCAACTCCAGCACCCAGCCCCCTGTATGAATGCTATAATCTAACCACGAAGGTCCCCAAGCAAGCAAGGCACGCACGCAAGCTACCTATTATCATCCGCACACACGGACCCGCCCACTTCATTTGCCAATCGTCAAGAACAGGCGGTCGCCGACGTCGCCCACGCCTGGCTTCAGCATGCCGCTCGACGTCAGCTCGGCGTCGACGCCGGCGATCCAGATCTCGGTCGCGTTGGCCCACTCGGAGGCGGCGCGCTTGACGCCCTCGGTGGCCCCGATGACGGCCATGACGATGATGCGCTTGACGCCCCACTCGCGCAGCGTCTGGATGGCCGCGGCGCAGGTGCCGCCCGTGGCGATGACGGGGTCGAGGATGATGGCCAGGCTGCTGACGTCCGGGTTGGAGCCGTCCGAGGAGATGTGGTTGGGCAGGTTGTTGTAGTACTCCACGGGCTCGAGGGTCGAGGGCTCGCGGTAGAGGCCGAGGTGGTGGACGGGGACGGGGCCCGGGAGGATCGTCTGGACGGCTTTGGGAGGCATGTTAGTCCAAGCTGGAGACTGGGATTGGAGGAGGACTATGTACCGTCTACCATGCCCAGACCGGATCGGAGAATCGGGACGAGGCAGAGGCGGGAGGGGGAGATCTCGGTCGAGGTGAACTCGAAACCTAGCGGTGTCGCGTCCTGGAACGGTCAGCACATCTCGTGGACACAGCTTTCGGGGAAGCTTGTAGACGTAACATGCCTTGGGGCCATCTTTCGCCGTCGTCGAAGCAGCAAGAGCTTCAGTAGCCACGATCAACCCGATCTCGTGAACCAACGTCTTCACATCCTTGGCCGCCGTGGATTTGGACCGCAGCTGGGATAGCTTCGCCCTCAGACAGGGGTGCTGTGAGACGTGAACGTTGGAAGGGAGGTCTGACATGATTTACTCTGCGATTACCGACTCAAATACCCAGAAGATGGAAACGACTCAAACGAAGCAATTGGTTTGTGAGGACAGAAGACGATTGAAGTAGGACTCAAAGAACGATACGATACTAAAAGCAACCCGAGGAATGGCTGGGGGCGGCAGCGAAGGAGGGGTGCTGCTCAGCGCCAGCGACCGGCTCAACGTCCGTCCCTTGTCCTCCTGATCAGCGGCCCGGTACCTTTGGTGGGGCATCTTGCATGCGGAGGAGCTGTCTCTGATAAGATAAGGCCGGTTGGCGCCCGCCAGCTGGCTTTCCCTTGTAAGTTGTGAGGATTGCACTGCGCTAGAGGTAAGGTAAACTCCGGCATCCGGTGAGGCGTCGGAGGTCGCCGCCTTGCAGCAGCTCAGGCGGCAGCGCATGGTTTGATAAATAGGATGCATGCAATGGCGGGGAGAGGGGCTGAATTGATAGGAATGAGGGGATTAGCAACGTGTTCTTCTTGAGTTGTTGAATCTTTCCACTTCCACCTTATCCGACAAGATATCTGCTGTATCGATGAGGGAGGGGAGGACCCTCCCGCTTCATGTTGATGTCACCGCTCGGTGTACTCCGCCCTTCTTCGGTGAGACACCCCACCTGACGTTCACCGACGATGAGTGGTGGTCGGTGCGTCGGTGAGCTCTCCCAGCCGCCCTTGCCGACGTAGCCGTCCTAGCCGTTCTCGAACGGGGCCGAAATTGTGACGTCCACGCAGCAACTCCCAACCATCGAAACCGGATCCGGCGCTAGAAATCTTCTCTCTCTCCTTTCCCAAAATGCTTGTCTTTAGCAGTCCTTGTGTTCCTCACGGCTGAGAAGACTCTGCGCTCGCAGAGAAAGAAAAAAAGAAGAAGAAAAAACGAAGGAAACACCACCGAGCCACCGACGCGGCCGTCATGAATCGCCAGGAGACAAATGGCAAGCAGGATGGAAAACGGCAGCACGCGCAAACCCACGCCGGCACACAACCCCGGTGAGGAATACGATCGCTTCGACGACACCGCGGAGGAAGCATACGGGGTCGAGAGGCAGGGAACGTTTGGCAGGCCGATTTTGACGAGCCGGGCGAGGAACAACGATGGCCAGCGGCGGCGGGAGGACTCTGGCGCGTACGATGCGCCGGCCGAGTACGGCAACCTCGACGAGACGGTCGCGGACCCCGTGGGCCACGATCCGAATGGTGTCCGAGCCGGCAAGGCGCCAGACCTGGAGGAGATGCGGAGCGGACGTGAGGCTCGCGCTGGCCCGGACGATGTCGAGATGCAAGACGACCACGCCACGAACGGGACGGCCGAGACGGCCGAGAAGCCCACAGGGCACGTCTCGAAGATGGCGACGGAGCTCTACACGCTCTCTTACCTCGTCTTCTTCTCCATCTTCGGCACCCTCGCCCGCCTGGGCCTCCAAGCCCTGACGACGTACCCCGACGCGCCCGTGTCCTTCGGCGTGCTCTGGGCCAACGTCGGGGGAAGTCTCGTCATGGGCTTCCTCGCCGAGGACCGCAAGCTTTTCCGGCACGAATGGGGCACCGCGACGTACGACGCGCAAATCAGAAACGCCCGCCGCCAGCGAGACGTCGACGCCGTGGACCTCGCGGCGGCTAAGAAGGCCCACCTGGCCACGAAGAAGACGATACCCCTCTACATCGGCCTCGCCACGGGCTTCTGCGGCTCTTTCACGTCCTTCTCGTCCTTCATCCGCGACGTCTTTCTCGCGATGACCAACGACCTCCCCGGCGCCGGCGATGTGGCCCCCAGTCCGCGGAACGGCGGGTACTCCTTCATGGCCATGCTCGCCGTGATCATCACGACTGTCGGCCTCTCGCTTTGCGGTCTCTTTGTGGGCGCACACCTTGCCGTCGCCCTCGAGCCCGTCACCCCGTCCGTCCCGTTCTCCGTCGGCCGAAAGGTCTTGGACCGCGTGGCGGTGTTGTTGGGTTGGGGATGCTGGCTCGGCGCGGTGCTGCTCTCTATCTGGCCGCCGCGCGACGCCTGGCGCGGACAGGCGGTTTTCTCGCTTGTTTTCGCGCCGCTTGGGTGTCTTGTGCGGTTCTACGTCAGCATGTGTCTGAACTCGCGCATTCCGTCGTTCCCGTTGGGGACGTTTACGGTTAATGTCGTCGGCGTGGCGGTCCTGGGTATGTGCTGGGACCTGGGCCACGCGGAGCTCGGCGGCGTGGTGGGATGTCAGGTACTGCAGGGCGTGGAGGATGGATTCTGCGGATGTTTGACTACTGTGTCGACCTGGGTCGCTGAGCTGGCGGCTTTGAGGAGGCGCCACGCGTATACCTACGGTACAGCCAGTGTTGTTACGGGGTTTGCCATCATGGTGGTCATAATGGGAGGTATGAGATGGTCTGATGGGTTTGGGCCGCTGGTGTGTATCCATTGATGTACCATCCGTCCATCGGCTATGACGATGAGAATCTTCACTGGTCGGGTTGATGTTCACTAGACACAAGACTACTAGATTACAATTGCACTTTCAGCTATGTTATGGGTGACAACATTAGTCCTTCTTCGACCCGACCAGACCTGCACTTTACGCCGTGTAAACAGCGCGCAGTGCATCAACAAGCTCCACCTCGCCCCGAACAGTCCGCTCATCCCCGTCGAACTTCTGGTACATGACCCCACCGGGCAACGCCGCCGTCGTAAATTCAACCATTTCCCTCACGACACTCTCCGGCACCTCCATGCCGGCGAAGTACTCGCCAAGCTTCTCCTTCTCAATAAGCACCACGTCGACCTTCTTGCCAACGATCTCCTCGACGGCCAGCTGCACATCCCGAACGCTGTAGTGCCGGGGACCGAACAGCTCGAAGAAGTACGTGCGCTCCGGCAACGGGACCGACAACTCCAAAAGCTTGCGGGCACAGACTCGACCGACGTCTTTGATGCTGACCTGTTTTTTCCGTCAGCAAAGGTGCGAAATGTCATCGGGTGAGTCCTCAACTGACCATGGGAAGCGCGTTGTCGATCGGGCTCAGAGGGGAGTCGAAGAAGGCATGCTCGGCCCTGGCCGTCTCGAAGGCGCGGGCCCAGTTCTCCTGGAAGTAGCCGGGCTTGACGATGACGACCTCGGGTGCCGCGGTCTTGAGGATCTTGTCCGAGATGTGGTTGATTTTCAAGATGCCCTGGTCATCCTCGTTAGCCCGGGGTTTCATGCAATGCGAATCCCTGCGCTAAACGTACGATACCATGGTCGTTCTCGGCTCCCATCGATGAGAAGAGCAAGAGCCTCTTCACGGAAGGCGCTTTCTCGAGCGCCTGTTTGACGTGATTCGCCGCGGCAGCTGCGAGGTCGGCGAGGGTTTGGTCGCCTGGGTCGAAGAAGGGTGGCGGAATGTAGAATACGGCGTCTGACCCGATGAAATCGAGACCCTTTCCCGTTGTGACGTCTCCTTGGAGGGCGGTGAAGTTTGAGTTGCTCGTGAACTCGGTCGGCGCCTTGGAGGGGTCGCGATAGATGGCGCGTACACGGGGCTTTGAGGCATCGCTGAGAAGGATCCGGATCGTCTCCTTTGCGGCCTGGGTCGAGGCGGGAACAATGGTAAATGTGCAAGTCATGTTTGCTGATAAAAAGGCGTTGCTGGTTTGGATTACGAGACGGGATGTGTTTGTAGGTGAGGAAGTTGATGGCAGAGCACATTGTTATTGTGAGGCTTTTGTGCCTTTCTATATACAGACTTGCGCTTAACCTACCGCTTTCAGCTTGAGGGCATCACGATGGAGATTTGTAAGACTCGGTAGGCCGCGGACCCGCGAAGTCCGTGACGAAGTCTGAGCCGGCGCTCAAACTCCGCAGCCCGGATGAAGTCCGCCGGGTGAGCCCCACTAATGCCGCTCCGGCTCCGCAACCGAGGGGTTCGGGTGAGTCGGGTCAGGCCCCCGCGGCGGGATTATCTGGCCGCCGGCATCTGCGTGTTAGGCCGCTCATCTGATTTGGAGATGAAACAGCCGATCAGCTGTGTCAATCTAAACTACCTACATGTTACCCATCGCGGCGGCTAATCATTTGAAGGCTGTTCCACGACGTCGACGCATCAATTGGCATCTGGGTGGATCGCGAGGAGTCCGCTCACCCAGCTATAAGCAACCAAAGCTGACTTATTGATACCATTTGCCAGGATCTTGACTTCAATGCCCTTCAACTTTGTCCGCATCAGGTCTCTCGGGTGGTTGTCACGCGGACATGGTTTTAATTGTTAATGGCTTTCATGCCGTGAGTTGAGGGACTCGCTTTGGCAGTCCTGTGTGTCGTTGAAAGAAGCGAGCCCTCTTCGCATCATTTTAATAAGTTTCATCCTTTCGTTCTGTTATGACAGGTCAAGGGTCAGGCGAGTATACCTCGCTCCTACGACCCTAGGTGTTGTGAGAAGTCGGGGTGGTACTGCTCGGACTTGAATTTTGAATGGAGACTTACTGGCATGAACGACGTATCCGCGGATCAAACGAAGCATAATGAGTGCAACTGGCGAAGTGTTCCTTAGACTATCTTGAGCGAGACGACTGAAAGCCAACCGACCTCAAAGATTCGGCCCGCGACAGATTTCCCCGAGCCGATCGGACCCGGGGCCAAGAGACCGCCAACAAACGGAAGCTGCAAGCGCACATATCAAGAGTTGAAACCCAGATCTCGTAGATTTGTCCAACGCCTCACCCGCGCATGACCAAGTTACCTAATCCACCGCCCAACCTCCCACACAGCCAGCCATCGTGAAGCATCGGAGTTCTGTCCGCAGTTCGGTCCCTCGTGCTGATCGAATCACCCCCTCACCCAATCGCGCCAGAAAAAGCAATGATTGTCCCGTGAACCGCCGTCAAGGCTTGTTCGGTGGATCTTTCAAACCCCAAACTCCCCCCGGTCCTTCCCCACCCCCGCTGCAGGCTTCGGCGATTGTCCGGTCTATTCCCCGACCTTTTTCTTGCTTCGTTGCGTTGGTGTAAGCGCTTTTCGCTCCCCCACAATGGTTGGACTCACAGGCGCAACAATCAGCGGAGCAGGAGAAGAAGAATCAGGGAATGATGTCATGGGCGATTTTGAGGTCCAAATGGCTTACTTCGATCGGAACGTGTGGGGTTGGTGGGGTCATTCTCACGATGTTCTTCTGTTGCGACCTGGAGGGGTAAACGGAACTTGCGTTTTGATTTTCTTTCTTTTCTCTTCAGCGCAAATCAAAGAGAAACCTCCCCTTCTTCCTTTATGACCTCGTCTTATTGCCAGCCTTGCTTCTGATACTCAGAGTATACGGACCTGACTCTAGCCCTCCGCACAGCCTGTAGGCCAAACCAGCAACGATGGCGAACACGCCAGGCCGTCTGGCGAAATACAACGTCGCCAACCGGCTCTACAAGTCCTCCCTCCTCAACACCGTATGTCTCGTCGCCGGCATTTCCATCTTTTTCTTCGGCTACGACCAGGGCCTGATGGGCGGCGTCAACACCGCGCGCGACTACGCCGAGCTCATGGGCTTCGGCCACTGGGACGAACAGGAGAAGATCGTCGTCGTCGACAAGCCGCTGCTGCAGGGAGGCATTGTAAGTTTCACCGATCTTTATCTGAGATGCGATGTCAATGTGTGCTGACTAGGGGCGGCGCGCAGGTCGCGGTGTACTACCTCCCCGGGACGCTGGTGGGATGTCTGATTGGAGGCTGGTTCGGTGATCGGTACGGGCGGCTCAAGACCATCGGCGTCGCGTGCATCTGGTCGATACTCACCGCTGCGCTGCAGTCCGGCGCGCAGAATGCGAATATGATGTTTTGCGGTACGACTCTGGTTTTTGGACCTATAACTACCTTACCGAGGAGGAGAATGCTGACTGTCGGAATAGCGCGAGTCTTGAACGGCATCGGAACCGGCATGCTGAACGCCATCACCCCCGTCTGGGCCACCGAAATCGCCTCCCACACCTCGCGCGGCAAGTTCGTCGCGATGGAATTCACCCTCAACATCTTCGGCGTGGTCGTCGCCTACTGGCTCCAATTGTAAGTCCACAACCCCCGCCAATCCCACTAGCTACCCACCATCTCTAACACCAAAACCCACGAACAGCGGCACGTCAAAGTACAAAGACCCGACCTCGTCCTTCATCTGGCGCTTCCCCGTCGCCTTCCAGATCGTGCCCCTGATCGTGCTCTTCCTCGTGATCTGGTTCATGCCCGAGTCCCCGCGCTGGCTCGTCAAGGTCGGCCGCGAGGAGGAGGCGCGCTTCATCCTCGGCCGGCTGCGCGGCACCGAGGGCGAGGACGGCGAGCTCGCCGAGGCGGAACTCCAGGACATCATCAACATCCGCGACCTCGAGCACGACACCGCAAAGCAGCAGAGCTACCTGGCCATGCTCTTCGGCTGGGGCTCGGGCAAGCTGCACACGGGCCGTCGCGTGCAGCTCGTCGTCTGGTTGCAGATCCTGCAGGAGTGGGTTGGTATCGCGGGAATCACAATCTACGGGCCTACCATCTTCACCATCGCCGGTATTAGCTCCGAGCAGCGGTTGTGGGTTAGTGGTGTGAATAACATCACGTATATGGTATGGGACGTCCTTGGGAATGTGGTCTGGTAGTGGTTACTGACGTTGGGTGTAGTTCGCGACGCTCATCTGCGTGTTCACGCTTGACCGCATCGGTCGCCGCTGGACCCTGTACTGGGGCGCGGCCGCGCAGGGAATATGCATGTTCTGCGCCGGAGGACTGGCCCGGGCGACTCTCAACGCTGATCCCGGAAGCCGGGCGGGGCTCGGCGGCGCCGCGACCTTCTTCGTCTTTCTTGTAGGGTTCACGTCTTTGCAACAGCTCAAGAAAGCTCGGCTGACTCTGAATAGTATACGGCGGTGTTTGGCGCAACGTGGTTGACGGGTAAGTCCGCCTACGACAGGCCATGAAAAGAAACATGATACTAACACCGCTCGACAGTTCCCTGGCTATACCCAGCCGAAATCTTCCCCTTACAAATCCGAGCCAAGGGCAACGCCTGGGGCGTCGTAGGATGGTCCATCGGAAACGGCTGGACTGTAAGTCTCCGTTCATTCCCTCACACCCCTTTTCCATGCCCCTTTCTAACTAAAACTGCAACCTAGGTCCTCCTCCTCCCAACAATCTTCGAAAAGCTCAACGAGAAGACGCTGTACCTCTTCGGCGCAGTCAACGCCGTCTGCATCGTCGTCGTCTGGGCGCTCTACCCGGAGTCGAACCAGCGGACCCTGGAGGAGATGGACCTCGTCTTCGCCAGCGACAGCATCTGGAACTGGGAGGCGGAGAGGGAGTTCGCCAAGCTCAAGGCCGAGAACCCGGAGCTGGTCAGCGCCGCGCACAAGGGCGATGTCGTGGTGCACTCCGAGGCTGGGGTGGTGCAGCCCTCGAAACTTGGTGATGCTAAAGTTGTCTGAGAGGATGAAATAAGGGGTTGGGAGAAGGCCTGGGTCTGGCGATCGGCGTCAGGACGGCTATATAATCATTGGATATTGCAACTATTGGCTTTTGAAGATGGGCTCAAGAGTTGCGGATAAAAGGTAATATCTAGATCTTGGATGGCAAAATAGCATTGACGTGCTGGCTACAAGGGTTCTGCAGCCCACATTTAGACAGGCTGCATCACCGACTCGTTTATTCGGCGAGGACATTCTCGTTAGAAGTTATCACCATCAGCAAGACTGGTTAGATCAACGCGATGCAGGGAGTAAATGTGTGCCGTATCTCCAAAAACAACTCTGCTTCAATTCTGGCAACTAGGTCTATGTTTCTGGTAATACTGAACACACAAACCTCGTCAACTGCTTGTCGGCCAAATTGCCTAGGCAGCATCACCATCGGTGATAGGCCTAAACAACAATTGCAGGTGCCTTCTCCTTTACGATAGCATCCTCGGCGCTTTGCGTTTCCTCCAAAGCGTCGCTAACATCCTCGTCCAATTTGGTATCGTCCAACATCGTCGGGTTGAAGGTCCGTGAACCCTTCGGAATGAAGGTCGAGAGCAGTACGATACCACAGATAACGGTAAACTGAACACCGGCGGTGTTGAACAAAGCATCACGCACGTCCCTGCCACTGTTGTAGATCCGGTCGACGTATCGGCCAAGGAAGGTGTTGGCCACGGCGTATGAGACGATGTAGAACGAGTACAAGAAGGCCATGACCGCGCCCAAGGGCGACACCCTCTGTTCCTTGCTCTCGAGACGAGCCAACGACGCCTGGATGTATGCGGCGAGGGAGACGTCGCCAGCGGCCCAGCCGAAGCTGATGGGGAGGAAGGTGGCGGCGACGACCCACGCCTGTCCGACTTGGTCCTGCGGCGGCCTCCAGAAGGGGATGTACCAGACGATGAGCAGCGCCAGAGCGTCGAGTCGCAGCCAGGGGATCGGCGTTTTGATCACGTTGGTGAAGAGGAAGACGAAGAGGGCGCCCAGGAGTTCACCAAAGTTCGATCCGCCGACCATGATCTGCGACCAAGCCGACTCACCAAGGTACCGGCGGGCAACTTGCGGCGCGATTCCGTTCTCGAGATATCTGTGTGCGTACAATGCGACACCGTAGGCAGGCAGCAGCCAGATGAAGCGTCGGGAGGTGAAAATGATCCTGGCACCCACCCAGATGGACTCGAAGAAGGTGAGGAAGCCCTTGCCAGTTGCGACGAGATAATTGGAGCTGCGGGCCTCGGCGCGAGCCAGGGCGTTGCGCTCGTGACTGCCGTCGACGACAAAGAACCATAAGACGGCAGCGAGGGCGAAGCAGATCGGAGTTATGACGAAGGATCGGTTGTTGCCGAGGTTCGGGATCAAGACGAGCGCGGTGACGAAGGCACCTGTGGTTCCGGCGATCTCGTAGAAGATGTGTACCATGGCATCCATCTGCCGAAGCTTTTGGACGTTTCCGCCAACAATATCTCGTGGGATGACACGCCGAATGAGTTCGACCATGCCGTAGGTGATACCGGAGACGGCGTAGATGGGAATGATGGCATCGTTCTGGTACTTGCCGTAGTATGGCCAGAAATCTTCGGGGTGGTCATCGCGGAAGGCGGCGGGGATAAAGGTTCCCCCGGTTGCTGCGTCCAGGATGAGAAGGATTGCCGTCATCAACCCGAATAATAGTATGGCCGAGGATAGCACGTTTTTCGTCTGGAAGTGCTTGATGAGGGGTGCGATCAAGATCGAGCCGACGCACTGCGTGGCTTGGTTCAATCCCTGAATTAGGCCGAGACGTTCGAAAGTTCGGGACGGCGTATCGTTCGTGATGGATTCGTAATCGTAGCGGTTGGTTACCAAGGCGGTGATCGAACCATTGAAGGCCTCGAGGCCAAACTTGTACAGCATGATGCCGCATATGTAGAAGAAGATTGCCTTTCTCTCCTGCGGAGAGAAGGACTTGAGCCTCTCGCGAAAGCCCTGGAGTACCATGGTGGAACACGTTGGTGACAGGAGAAGTAAGGAGCCGAACGGTGATAGATGCGAGCGTAGGCGTAATGTCCAATTTATGCAGTCCAGGCCAGCAAGGTTAGTCGGTCATGTCCGAAAGGATATCGACCTTAGATATTGTCACCTGGTTGGCCGGCAACTTAAATAGGAGCCATCATTGCACTGTTTCTTTGGAGAGTTGCAATTTGTTCGTGGCAATAGCAAAGAGAAACATCATCGAACTTTTGGAAAGCACGTTGACGGAACTTCGCTTCCAAGTGGCTGGAATATCTGTCAAAGTAAGCGGCAGTTGTTCAATGATTTGTTTGCCATATCCGTAGGCGACACCACGAGGAGGCCGCCCAACTCTTGGCAGGATGAGGGGATTGACTGGCGGCGACATAGCGATGTCTTGGCTGGACAAGAAGGCCAAGAATGATGGCGACTGTTCTTTGCATCCTCAGGGAGAAAACGACCCGGTTCCCTGCACGACCAAAAGTTGCCCAGCCGGACGATGCTTCTCTTGTTGAACTTTGGTTTTTTCGTTGATTCATATCGGCCACTCATGTTTGATAGTTGTCGCTCTAGATGGCGTCGTATTGAGGCACTCCATGCAAGATTGATTTGCTGCGTTGGGTGTATTGAGCGGCTGATATTGGGAAGGTGAAAGTTACTGACGAAGTTGAACGAAGTGCCGTCCACCAGTGGAGAGCTCAGAAATATGGACCCACTGTTAGTGCGCTCGCAGCAAAATAAGCTTCTGCCGTATCTTGGAACTGGCCTGGAATACCAATCAGCATTCATTGTTCTCCACCGGTCTGCAAGGTGTATGGGGCAAAGAGGTACGTACCTTCATTGATATCGGCCTGTCCTTTCTTCTGGCTTCTGGGCATCATCGAGAAAGATCACCAAATTGGAGACAGACCTTCGACAAATATTGAGAGAGAAGAAGGGAAGACCATGTGTTCAAATGGTTGGCTCTCAATGCTTCAAATACCATCAAGACTTGCGCCATTTAACTCGTCGCCAAGCCGCACCAGGAGCATAAGAAGGGCAGTCCTCCCCCTTCATGCCAAGAGCACAGCATTTGCCAAGCCACTGGACCGACCATCCCATCAGCGAAAAAGAACGAATATGGAGGAGAATTCTGGGAATCTTCGATCGTATCCTTACACCACCGACGAAGCATCGGGCACAGCCACCGTCTAGGACCACCACATGCGATGCGCGCGCTCTCTGCGTCACGACCCTGGGCCGTAATGGATCGCTCGTTGCACAGCCCTCTTCACAGAAGTTCGTTGTGGACGACAACGTACGCCAGATAGTAATTACCGAGGACCATTTCGAGCGCAGCTTTCAAACACGTTCTTCCTAGAGACTGGCAGCGGTTGTCTAAGTGTTTTGGTATCCCGGAACCGATTCCCATTGATACCAGTCACCCCCTTCAAACCTGAATAATGGCCGACTGGGTGAGAAAGTTGCGATATTTGTATGGATAAACATAGATGCCCGGAGGTCTAGTGAGTTGACTCCTGCTCTGCTGACCTTTGGCGCAAGCCTTTCCAAACCAGTAACAAGCTTCCATTGGGTACAGACAACATGCAAAAGTACCTCAGGCCCATTAATCCAACACATCTCTTCCGTAACCAAGGCGATATCCACAAATCTCGAGCAGAATCCGTAGTGTCATGATCTTCCGTATCTCTTCAAGATTAGGCACTGATGTTTCTGGCGTATAGTCCGAGGCGCAACGCGGTGATCGAGCTGGTTGAGGTAGACGAGAAGATCGGCTTGATTCTCGGCATAATTCTCGAGCCATCAAGTTCGTCGTGTTCTCGACCATCCACTGGTTCTCATTGCTTCATGGGTGACCTTGTCTTCCTCTTCCTCTTCCGGCTCGACAGGAAAGATGACAACATTATAGCCGAGCGAGACTCATCGAGGTCGGCGTCGTAGTGCGAGTCTTTCTGTTCCTTGCGCGCGGCCTTCCACTATTCGGCCGGCGAAGTCATTTCGTGTCGCTCACGAATCTCTCGACGGCGACGCTGGTCCTCCAAGTGTCGGCGGCGCAGCTTTTTCTCGATCAGACGCTGCCACGCCTCGTTCGTTGTGGTGAGAGTATGCTGATACTCTCTGAGGAGCAGTGTGGTTGGATCGGAAGCGGGTAGACAGTGGCTCGGCATCGGGTATGCGACGAAGTTGTAGAACAAGGTGGTGGAGATATCGCGAGCGCGAAAGTTGAGGGTGCCGCGAATCATGGCAAGCTCGATCTCTTTGGGGGACTATAGAGATTGTGTCAGCTTTTCCGTCGTGGGAATTCGAGCGAAGGATGAACGGAAGACGATCGTTTGGATGGAAAGGCTCCGATCTTACGTGGAAGGAGCGAGATCGAGAAGTAGCTGCTCATGGTACTGGAGTTGGAAGAAACACGACTTACCGCATCGTCAGGGGCCTTGTATCCCTCTTCTTTGTACTGACGCTGAAAGCTTTGCATCTGAAGAAAAAGCGCGGCAGCTTCGTCCTCGGTAAACGGCTGGAGGTCGGGCGCATCTACCATCTCCTCGTCTGTCGCCGGGCAGGTGAGGGGCTCCATCGCTTTGGTATGGCGCGTCTCGAGGTGGCTGTCGCCTGTCTCAAATCAAGACATTGATTAAGGCAAGAGCCGGAGCAAAAGTGTGTCGAGAGCGATGAACAAAGCTGATGCGGCCGGGTGTCGAGTCGAGGTACCTCAGGCATACTCCTAGCGTTCTACCCCTTTCGACGTGGCTCGGGGCGAAGAGAGAATGGAACAAAGGATTCCGCGTCTATCCCCCTTCAAATTTCCTCCCATTTCGCGACGTCTTCTTTGAACTTTCATATATCTGGCTACTTCCACCACAAAGATCAAAACAATTACCCGAACCCGCTCCAGCAATGAACCTCGAGGAGGCAAGTCCGAGTGCCGTCCCGCATACTCGTCTGCCGCTGCTAACATCCTCTGGGAATCCGTCATGATGTCCAAGACACCTCCTGCTCGGGCCGCGAGCTCGAACTCAAAGGTAAGAAGCACCACATTCTGATCATCATTCTATCAAGCCTGACTGTCTCCAGGATACGCCGACAGACACCGCTATCGCCGTGGCTTGCTATGAACAGGTCGCCAACGCAGTCACCAAGGGGAACCCCGACATACGAGAGCTCATAATTGTGGACAAGCGCACCTTTGATTTGATGAAACACGAGGTGGCCGAGAAGCGACGCGAAATGGACAAGTATCGACAGGAATATGACCGCATCTTCAAGAAACTCTACGATTTCGACTCACAGATTGCGAGAAGCCACGCCGCGAGAGAAGGCCTTGGAGGACTGCTTTATCGAAGTAGGGCAGGGCCGTTTGTTTTTGAAGTTGGTTTGCATGTTGAACACGCCTGTGCTGTTAGAGAGAAACAGCAACAGGTTCGGAATCACGATGTGTTGAATATCTGGAGGCAAGACTCCCTGGATCAGATTCATGGCGGGCAGACTAGCTGATAAGCCGACTGGCTTCCCTTCAGACATCACAACTTGGGGCATGTCTCTACAGCAGGCCGGACAAAACGTACATACCCTGGAAAATCGCAATGCTATGAAAACCTACTGCAAACTCTTCTACGGTCTAAAGAACGTGCGCGATGGAATGGGGACAAATTCTTAGGCCACGACGTAATGGAGACGATAACGTGTACATCACCGTGGGCGAGAGGACATATATGTACCGCGTGTGGTCGGTGAAGGACCGCAAAGATTGGGCCTTGTGCCACGAGACGTTCATAAACACAACAAAAAGCCAGATTCTCACGGTGAAGAAGTGGCATAGACGGCCCAGAGCCAATGTCGTCGCCGTGATATGACAGCGTCAAGAACTGCGCTAAGCAAAAGGACGCTGGATCTCTCCCAGGCCATACCGTGGACACAATGAATTGAAACCAGATGGAGACGAACCCGGAAGAGTCCAGTTGAGAAACTTCGGAGAAGACCAAGATGAAAGGTCGGAGCTCAGCGCTTTCTCCAGCCCAAACACGCCTACCTAGGCACGCCCATGTCTCGTAATATAGACATCGCGAGACACAGCAATGTGGTATGGCAGGATTGCTCATCGTACTGAGGATCGAAGGCCGAAGGTTGTTTAACTTCGATCGTTATGCCGTAATCTAAGCCAAGAAACCCCCTAACCCAATGGAAGCAACCCAATCCGACCTTCGCATCTTCAAGATCGTTCTCTCTCAAGAGGAAGGTGCTTGAGCCCGACTGGTGCCTTCCTTCTATTTCCAGCTCCCAGCAGTCGTTCCTGGATCCACCTTTTGACCGCTCCTCTTCCACCCTCCAAAAGCACCTGCCTCCCAGATTTCTCACCACCTCAAACAAAAGTCCACCTTTTTTCCCACACAAACTGCCAATTGATAATAATTATTATTATTTACCTGTCAAATCGTCAGTATAGTCATTGGGAGCGCCTTCCATATTTGTTTCCCTAGCCCATGGACTTTTCTTTGCCAACTCAAGCCGCTTGATGCAACGCAGCAACCCTTCTTTTTTTTGATTCTACTCAGAATCTCACCATACCCAGCGATAAAGTTGGCAAGTCGCACTTGGGATTTCTTGAACAGAGAGGAAATAGGATAAGGGTGGCTGCATTGTATTGGTATCGCACGGCATATTGCAACTTTTGCTGCTTCGTCGGTCTGGAAGTCACCAAGGCCGGTGACAGAGAGTCCTCGTCGCAAATCTTGAAGAACACAAACAATGGTATATTCTCAGGAGAAAGCAGACTTCCTTAGGAAGGAACTCAGTATCATGGCACACTGCTAATAACTATTATCATAGATAGATCAGAAGTCTTGTGAACATGGAACTCTGGCTGCTATTTCAGCTTTACCTTCGCAATCGTTTCAACACTGAGGATACAGCAACCCGTCATATGGAGGCACAAAGACTACAGTTAAAGATATACTGGTGTCTTTCTGTCCCATTATTTGACTGCCCAGTTTCCTTCTCCCTTCATCAAAGAAAGAGGATAAGGCCTTGACCAGACCGGGCTGGCCCGGAACAGGTCACTCACGACAGCAAATGCAATTCTCTGCGCAATACAATGCAGTCACCCTTATTGTTTTGGCTCGCCATATCCAACAAGTACACATTGAACATTGGAAACCACTTGGTGGATGAGGCTCCCAATACTGGTACGTTCTCCCCCTCTGCCTCCCAGCTCCCAGAACTGTCCGCCCTGAGCTCTCGTCCTTAACCTCTCGTCCTCGACCCCACGCCCCTGACCACCTCGCGGCCAGCTCCTTCCCTCTTCAAAAGAGCTTGCCTCGCATCTCGAACTTCTTGCAAAGTTTTCTCCCCTCCCACAACAAAATCCGAGAAATCCTCCATCCTCCAAGACAAATTTCTCACCAACAATCATCAGAACGCCCTTCTACGGACGGGCAAGAATCTCTCGACGTTCCAAAAGAACGAGAAAACCTCTGACAGGTATGGAAATTTCCGTTTTCCACTGGTCTCCGACACCAGCTGACATCTCCCAGCAAAAATGCTGTACCCCAACGAAGACGAGGACGTCTTCCAGATGACGGCGACCCTCGACGAGAAGATCAAGCAGTACGAGGCCGCCCATCTCCGGGCTGTGGCCGCTACCGAGTACTACGAGAAGCAAGATGACGACTACAAGTTCATGTGCGAGAATATGCCCCTCCTCAAGAAGGCCATGGAGGAGTACGACAACATGAAGGCCGAGCTCATCGCCATCGGCAAGAACCTCGCTTTCGTCGAGACCCAGGACCTGATCCACAAGGTCACCGCCATCGACATCAAGCGCAGAGAGAAGCTCGCGGCCGTCCAGGACCGCCTCGAGGCCTGCGGCGCGCTCTCCGGCAAGCACGTCGAGGAGATGAGCAAGATCCGCGAGGAGGCCGACGCTGAGGTCGACGCCATTCTCGACTCGGTCAAGGTCACGAAGACATTTAAGAAAAAGAAGGAGAAGATGCACATTACTGTCGCCTGGCACTTTTTCCTTCCCATCGTTGGTTTGACGCTGGTGGCCCTCTCCTTGTTCCTGCTGGGCCTGTACGGAGGATCCATCTGCTTCATCATGGCGTATGTCAACTACGTTGTCTTCTCAGCTTACAAAGCGTCTTTGAAGAAAGAATGAACACTGTTCAATATCACGGGAAATGATGGCTTCATGGGAGGCGTCATAGCAGAGGTCTTTGGTGGCAGGATTGTTTTTACAGGATGGGAGTCTTCATTGGACGGGTAGATAGAGACTTCTCGACGACAAAACTGGCATGAACCAAACTGGAAAACCAGAATCAAAGATTTTCCCCACGCATCATCATTCCCAACGTTGCAAAAACATGTGGATGCCACGCAATGTCTGCAAATAATACGAGCAATTCCCCACACGATCATCAAAGCCACAACCCTCCGTAGATCGCACGACCACCTCAATAGCCGAATCTCAATGTTTTCCGTCCAGCCTGGAAGCAACTGCATCAATCTTTCCCTCGATACGGGAGATGGCCCGGCGGAGCGGTTCCTCTCTCTTAAGAGAAGGCGCCTTGTAGCCAGGCTCCTCGCGGTGCAAAACCTGCCATCACCGTCAATATTCCAGCCTCACCTCGCAGTAGCACCGTCGACTTACCAACTTCATTCTATCAGAGTAAAACGTCTTGCGCTGACCCTGAACGAGAAGGCGATACGCAACGTCCGTCTGCAACACATCGCCGATCTCGTCCACAACCTCCGCCAGCTCCTTCTTAGCCTTGCTCACTTCCGCCTGGGACATCTTCTTCGCGCCCGCCCCGTAGGCGGCCGCGCGGGCGGCGTTGAACTTGGCCGCGATGTGATCGAGCTTGCCCTGGACCTCGTTCTCCTCGTCCATGCGTTTGCTGAACTCGTTCATCACCTGTGACGTATCCCATATCAGCATTCACGAAACGCAGAGCTCGGGGGAGGGTAGGTAGCTAGCCTGACCTTCTCGCCGCCCATGACGACACGCAGCTTTCGGCCCTTGGAGTCCACGGCGACCATCTCCTTAACCTGTCCGCCCATGCCCATGTTCGCGGCGAGGTTGCTGACGTCGCTGTAGTTGGTGACGTCGAGGCCCGGGACGGGCGGCTCGTCGGGGACGGGGTCGGATTCCGGGGTGTCGGGTCTCGTGGGGACGACGCTCTTTGCTTTCTGTTTCTTGAGGCGGTCGCGCTGGCGCTTGCCGAGGTTGCTCTTCTTCGAGGCCATGTTGGGGCGTGGTTGGTGGATCGTTAGGAGGGCGGCCTGGAGATGGATGAGATCAAGAGATGATGAACTCAGGTCGGCGAGGGAGCAAGTTCTGAGCGAGTCGATTACGCTGGAGGAGAAGTCGAGGCAATGTCTGTTTGCGTGTTCGTTGCAATGAAGTGACAGGTAGACACTCTGGGAGGGCAAGTAGGTGAAGGTCAGGCAACTTCGGGACTCGTCGCTGGCCTTCTGGAACTGAGATTTCCTTTGACGAATGAACAGGATGTGTCGAGACAAGTGGCCTCAAAATTGCCGGCATGGACAAGAGAAACAGGTTCAGGTAGAGTGAAATATTTCACGTTCTGACTGTGTCGTGTCGTCACATGTCTGAAGCTCTGTTTGTCTGTCATTTCTTCCGTTTGTGTCTTGGTGGATCCGTTCGTGCGGCTACCTACATCGCCACTCCACTCGAACGGCCTCGATGATGCTTCGTACCTCATAGGATGGACATTTGGCTCTAAAATAGACGTTGAAATTGCTCGAGTCGGTCGATAAACCCCAACTTCCAACCCCAACTTCCAGCCGTAGAGTTGCCAACCACAAGGTATTTTGAGCGCGCTTCTTATTTAAGGAGATTGTAATCTAGCACAGCGACATCAAATGACCTATCCTCGTCCTCATTTTAACTCGTCACTGGTATAATCGCAGCCCTCGCGTGGCCCCAGAGTGTATGGACGTCAGGGGAGGGCAAAGTCAAACAGCAAGCGGGTAGATGAGCAATGTTACGTTCACGCAATAGTGGCCCGGGCCTCATTGCTGTTCTCTTCCATCCCTGGCGATGTCTTGTGTATATTCATATGTAGCGATTATCGAACGCCATAGCCTCATTTCTTCTTCAACAGGTCCTCCAGGTAGGAGAGGCGGACCTCCAACTCATCGTTCTTCGCGCGGAGGGCTTGGTTCTCCTCGCGCAGCTCATCCACGTCCTCAGCTGCAAGCTCCATCTTGGTCTCGATGATCTCCGCCCTGGTACTCGCCTGTCGTCCCTCGCGCAGCACGTGCTCCCGGAGCTGGTTGTGGCCGCGGGCGATGTTCTGCACATTGCGCTCGGTGCACCGCATGCTCTCCTGCTGCGTCTGGCGGAAGCTCGCGTTGGCCATCTCGACGCGGTGGCGCCAATCCCTGTTCTCCCTGGTGGCCTTCTCGATGTGGTGGTTCATGGCGGTGGTCTCGGCGTTGGTCTTGGTCTCGAGGTCGTTGAGCTGCTTGCGCGTGATCCGGCGCACGTGGTTCGTGGCCTTATGTAGACACAATTCGTTAGTAGGTAGTTCGAATAATGATATGAATAAACGTCAAGGACAGTGCTTACCGTGATGCGCTCGGATCTGGTGAGGTCGGGGGAGACGCCGGCCGCGACCGAAGAGGAAGGAGGAAGAGGGGGAGGGGGAGGAGAGTCGCCATTTTTGATGGCTTGGGCGGCTCTGGTCTTGCGCTTCTTCTCGCGCAGGCGCGACTCCTTGCCGGGGCGGGGCTCGTTCGTCATGGTGGTGGTGGTGAAAAGCTGGTGATGTGAGACTGGTGGGAAAGAAAAGGCGTAACGGAAGACTACAAAAAGAATTTCGACCGCGACGAAAAAAACAAAGAGGACGACTGTTGGGCCAAGAGCCCTTCTCGCTTAGAATTGTCTAGTCTCTAATGCCTCAAGTTTAAGAATTTCCCTTCATGTCATCTAAAACTCGTCACTGCAACTCAAACGCAGAATCGGCCTTGGGCCATTTACAACATCTCGAATCGGTGCATGATCGTCTCCTCATCGGGACAGTCTAAATTACGGCGTCTTCGAAGATCTTGTGACTCTGTAGCAATTTCAGATGGTTTATGAAGAAGGTCCTGAAGGCAATGTTCACCGCTTGTTGTGAAGGTTCTTTCATAGGTCTTCAGTCCGCTTTCATGCCTGCCCTGATCGTGGCATTTCCAGCGAATTCGAAATGGACAGCAACAGGCGATGCGGAAACAGACAGTAAGGACAACAGAGATGGCCAGGTCTCATCATGCCTGCGACCAAATGACAACATCGAATGGTGCTCCACTCCGATTTGGACGAAGACAGCATTGGTAGACACTTGCTCAAGGACGACCAGGCATGTCACAAAAGACATTGAACACAATCTTCATTTCAGTCATGGAAAGAGCGAAAGCAAATTGAATCGATATTCTACAACTATTGAACACGCCATGAACACCCCATCAAGCCCAAATCCCATGTCGCAAAACGTACCTGCCAGTTCGCGCCAGAACCAACGCGAAATCGGCAAGAGAAAACCTGTCTTCCATCCAGTCAGTAAAGAGATCAAAACTGAGTAAGTCTGCAAATGCACTGCTTGAAGCGGCTGCTTGCCCGCGTCCCCCAAGAGCGGCCCAGGATGAAACCCGGCCACATACCCTCCCCGGTAAAACCATCGGCGTAATCACTCTCCTAGCGGGTGCCAACCCATTCGAAGCGAGGCGCAACCGCCCGACCCGTGGTCCAGGAGGACTCGGAACAGGGCAGTCGGCTCTGGAGGAAGACGCTCACCGCGAGAGGCAGCCTCTTGCTCCCGCTCGCCTCGAAAGGCAAGCGCGTCGTAAGAGGTCGGCTGTCCTTGTCCCTGTGACGAAGATCGATCCGAGGCAGGCGAGAAGATTCTGCCACGGTGATCATTCGTCTCTGGTCCCCGGCGCGGACAGCCGGTTTCGCCAAACGCCGTCGCATAGGCGGTCTCAAAGCCAAGAAAGCAGGCAGATGTGGATGAAGAGACTTACCAAGTCATGGGAAGTGGGAGGCCAAGCCGCTGTGAAGTGTGAGGAGAAGGGAAAAAAAGGTTGATCGATGATGAGATGAAGTGAGAAGATGGAATAGTTGTTAGAATATTTGGGAGGAGAGTGGGAGAAGTTGGGAAGAGAGGAGGGGATTGAATAGTCGTTTGAAGGGTTACTGATTAAGCGAGGTGCGCGGTACGTACCTGAGACGGTTTTTGTTTTATCTTGAAGGTGCTTTTATTTATTTCTTTATCGACTAATGAGGAAAGTCTTCTTATTGTGGCGGCCTGAGGGAGAGAAAATGTGAAGTCGACAAAGGTGGCCGATGGGGGTGAAGTTAGGATTCAAGAGGAAGGAGCGGCGCCGAGTGGAGTAGTGCAGGTCCGTGGGTGGGGCGGCACCGGGAGACCTGCCGGTGGGTGACGTGGGAGAATACGGCTTCGGTCCTGACATCTCAGCACATTTTGTAGATAACTAACCACTTATGAACCAAGAATTGTGTATTTTAAAGGTGCAATCAGTTAAATGAGATTTTTGACCGCCATTTTCCTTCGCACAAGCACAAACATTGGCGACAAACTTCTCCTCCTTGGCAACATCGGTGTGAAGCTGCTGCTTACGCTGCGCAGGCCGGATCTCGGTCCCTGCCTAGTCTCCTCCTCCATGTGAGCCTGCAAGTCCTTGGATATCAGCTTCTTGAGGTGAATGACGGCGGACTCTCTCTTGGAATGCAGCGGACCGTCCACGTACACTCCTCTGTTCAGATTCTGCTGGACTCCGTTGCACAAGACGACGTCGTCGCGATACACCTCATCGTAAAATGCGGCGGCTTGCATGGTTTAGGTCGCCCTATGTGAAGGAATTGCCGTAACGAATGTGCTGGGACAGCTCGATGACAATGAACCTGCTGGAAAGCCCTTTAGGCCACTCAGTTCCCATCGCCCTGAATCCGGCGGCCCTTGGACAGAACGTCTCTGATCCGCTCTGTTTCCTCTTCGTGCCCGACAGCCAACACCAATGCGTCGGTGGTTTCCCTCACCATTCCATGCCTGATTCGCAATGTCTTCATTTCCTTCGCAAGTTCAGGGCCATCCATCCACGTTATCTCAAAAGGAAGGTTGATATACTTGGAATTTCGAATCGTTGTCGAAACGTAGCCGAGAGTCTCAGGTCCGTACGTGAGGTGTGTAAAGATGACGGTGAGAACGGCGCCGGCGAGCAATACGATGCTAGAAAGCAGATAAAGCGAAACCCAAAGTTTCTGGACCGCGATTATTTCTAGGAGGGCAATTGTTTCACCTCCCACGGTGATGTTAGATACGAAACCTACGTCCCCAGTTGAAATCTTCTCTGATGCCTGGCTCAGTAGGAGGTATGTGTTGATAAGCTGCCCAAGTCGCACTCCAACGTTTTCGACATCGATCTCATCAGATAAGACTGCCGTGCCATTGGAGATGTTTTCGAACCTGGGATCTTTGAGATAATATATACTCGGGTCAGTGGAACCGAGAGATTGCCTTCCTGTAGCAAGTGGTAGCTCCCTAGAAACGAAGTCGAAGACTTGAGGAAATGAAAGATGTGTAATACTTTCTGCCGCATGTTTCTGGCGAGAAGCCCGCTGCTTCGCCACTTGACATTGTCGCTGGTCGTTGATCTGAGAGCAGCTGATATGAGATTCAACATATTGTTGCGTGATGTCACAGGTGATTTCGATGTTGTCGAAGGCTCTGTTGGAGTTTCCCCCTCCGGGTGGCATCATGAGCCGTACCAGTATTTTTGGGGGACGGCTACTGATCTCTTCCTCCTGGGCAAGGATGGCCGGGCTGTTTGGGTCGTTGCTTTTGAAGGGGTAAGTATTCTCCGGTACATCGGCAAGCCAGAACGGGTCGACAAATGTATCAGTAGCGACACCCCATTGCGCTGAGAGGTCGCCTCTTCGGAGCGGATATCCGCGCCAGGTTCCGTTTGGAGGGCGTTGTATTTTTGAAATGTTCTCTGTTACATTCGCTCTTGAAGTCCAAGGCGCACCACTTTTAAGGGCATAAAACCTGGTGGCATTACAACCTGTTAGATGTATGTGGCTGGATTCCAGAGGAAAAGTGGTGGTGGAGTTTCTCTCGCCAGTGTAGTAGACAGGAACTCCCGCCAGAGATGAATATTCGATGGCGGAACGATTATCGGGTACAGCCACCCATTCTTTGCTTGTATGTGAGCGCATGTAAGGGATTCTGACATTTCCCCATAGGTCCATTGTATCGATTTTGTTCATCCTTGGCGCTGTAACAAGCAGGGTATAAAGAGTTCCCTGGCTAGAGAGTAAGGGCCTGGCTTGGCCATCACCGACGCCGCTCGACCCCTCATCTAACATACTCGAGTTTGGAGGCAGGCTGGTGTTGAAGTACCTTATGATCGTTGGGGAAGGGTCTGAGCGAACACCGGGTCGTAGCATACGTAGCAGTGCTTGTGCTCCGAGGGGAGACAAGGACCAAACAAGCAGAAGAACAACTCCAAGAAAATTGATAGCCCTTAATTGAAAGAGGGAAACGAGGGCTGAACCAACTGTCTTGCTGCCTATTAGCTGTTCAAGCAAGCCGATGCTTCCCCCCTTTTCAAGTTTCCACCGAGCTGACTCTGACATTAATCGTCCAATGATAGCGGCGTACAAGATCGGGAATGCTGTCGCGAGCTTTCATGGAAGAAGTTATTACGATAATGATTCCAACATGTAAGATATTAGGCAATTGAGGGTGACTCACGATAGTAGTAGCGCCTTGCCACGCTGAGAAGCTTTCGTCCATTTCTGAGCCGTCGAGGGACCAGACAAGCACGCCAAATATGACTGCTGCCATTGGAAGGCAGAGGATGACAAAATCCGAAATGATTGTAGTCAATGATGTGGTATTTCTGCGGCCTGCAATACTGTTTGCCGTGTGGCCATTTGTGGCAACAGGCTTGTATCCTGAGGATTGATCCTGTCTGTTGAGCGAAGACGGTATGTCTTCGGTATCAGACGCACAGGTATCCGGATCGCCGTCCTCAAACGACTCAATATGCTGTCGTCTTACGTCGTTCTGCTCATTGATTACATCTTGCGAGTGTCGAGAGGGCCTCGAGTAGGCCGGCGGGCGTTCGGTTGGCTGGTGGGATGACTCTTGCGGCACTGGAGGAGAGGTACCATCCGAATTTGGCGACATACTGAGGCTCATATCGTAGATTCGGGGGTCGCGAGAGACGCTTGATGTAGAGATCGCGTATTTTCGTAGGTTCAGACAACACGAGAAAGCAAAACGTTGAGTCGAGAAAAACGCAAAGAAGCCTTCCCAGGATCGGCCGACATCTTCACTTAGGGGCGAAAGGTAACGTCTTACTACGTATCTCTACTTTTAGAACCTCTAAGGGGTGAAAACGCCTTGCAACAAGGCCACCCAGGCTGACTGGGACATGCCCATCCATTCGTACCGTGCTTGTCTAACACAGTAATTACGTCATGTGGCACAAACTTGATGGCGCAGTACATACTACTACTTTAAACGGAAATCGGTCAGGATTTCAAATGTTACACCCTTGGTTACGCAAGATTGCCGTCGACGCCATGTCTTTGACAACAGTTAAAATATGGATCTGGACAGACGACTACTGGGCTTGTTTAACCTAGGTCTGTACGTCGACGAGTCGCATTTGTGTCCACAATGCTTTTTAAGACGAGTTAATGGAACGAATAATCTAAATCACGAAGGAATGGGCGAACCTTGGCGACCCTGCCTCTGAGGACGCCAATCAAGGGCCCCAGATATAGAGGCCTCAATTCAGCAAAGTGCTGTCTCACATCGAACAGGGCAAGGCTTCGGGAGGTCGACTGCTCAACAGCGGTACGGTACACCGTTCCAAAGGATACGTTTTTCACCCGACAGTCTCTGGGGACGCATGTTACCCCACAGCGGCTGGGTACTCATTATCCCATAAGCTTTTACTGATGCAACCCAAATGAACAGACTCAGGAAGACATGAAGATTGCCCAAGAACAGATCTTCGGACCGGTACCAGCTCTTTGCCAGTCAGTACGGTCTCGCGGCCGCCATCTTCACGGGGAACATGAAGCGCGCCCATGTGGTGGCACGTAAACTACAATGTGGACTGGGCGGCGGCGCGTACTCTGGGGCATAGTAGGGCAATCGGGCTGAAAGACCATACTCTGTCTTAAGGGAACCGCAAGTGCATCAGGCTGTGGACATCAGCTGCACCATTCTTATCCAATCACATAGCTACCAGCTTGGCCACATACGTGCGGCCCTGCTGCATGATTAGTACGAATGAGGCACTGCCACCTCACCTTTCATCAGGCTGCTTTTCTTTAGTCTTCTGGGGGTTTGTCACAGCCTTGTTTATCACACCTACACAAGCCTCGACACTGGTCGCCGTTACGGATTCTTGAAGACACAGCAACCCACCTGTATAAATAATTGACAACCTCACCCGACGCTACCCAGAGATCGGACCGCAAAATCAAAAGGCTTGATAGGTGGTATCATGGATATTGCCCGCGCCTCGGCGCCGACCTACAATCTATCGTGGACAGACAATGCGAAGGAGACACTGGCGTCAATCCAAGGCCACAACCCGCAGGGGACCCCACTGCGTGTGTATGACATAGAAGAACACAGGGTAGTCAGGAGGAGCAACGTCTGCTATGCGATCCTATCATACGTTTGGAAGCAATGGACTCGAGATAACCTCCAGAACATAGTGGAACACATGGTGCGGCAGTGTGACCTGCGTTATGTATGGGTGGATGCCTGGTGCATCAACCAAGCCGACCCGGAAGAGAAAGTGAGAGAGATAGGAAAGATGTGCACCTATTACAGAGAGGCAGCAGTCGGATTGGTACTGATCCCCGACTGGACGCAGAGCCGCGGCGATGTCGTCGCAGGCGTGATTCTTGGTTGTTGGGCCGATCGAGTATGGACATTTCAAGAAGGAAGCCTTTTATCCAAGGCCCTCATCGTGGGCTATTCAGAGGTTGCGGACCACAGAGACTACACGAGCAAGCTCTGCTAGGACACGGCTATGCATGTTCCTCTTGCGGGCTCGAAGGCCACGGACGGCATGCTCTACGAGAGCTTTGAGGAAGCTTGGAACGACACTACGCGCTACTGCTCGGTCAAGGAGGACTTGATCTGGGGCTACACTGCCGTAGTTCGAGGGGCTCACAAGATAGCAGGGAAGTACGGACGGGACTGGCCTTCGCTGCTACAGGAAGCCGCCGAAGCCGGGTGTATCACGGCTGGATTATTGGCGTCGGGGCCGCCCGAGAAGGGTCCAGGGAGAAGCTGGATGGCCGAAGTGTCGACCAATCCTTCCGGAGACTACACCTTGACAGCCTCCTTCCTACAGCAGTCTCCGCACTTTGGTCCAGTGGAGATAACGGATATGGGTATGGTGACTCAAGGCACGATTGTGACGGTCGAGGTCGGAACGTTCAACTTCACCAACAACAAAACACCAATACGTCTCACCTCCAGTCAGTGGATAGTCAACTTGGGTAGTAATCTCCATGGAGGTGGATGGGAGAAAGGGGCCACAGGAATAATCTTCACCCAGAGAAGTGGATTTGGGGGAAACGCAGCAGCGCTCATAATGGTAGAAGATAGATCACCAGGACATTACCGCAGAATTGGATGGGCGGCGGTTGACACGCCTAGAGTTGAGCTCGCAAAGGTCAACGTTTGCATAGGATAGTAGGAGGCTGTGCTTTACTAATAAACAAAGCTTGTGGACGGTTTGAGACGAGGTTCAGTTAAGGAGTACCCGCTGGCGTGTACCATTTCTGAGATTGAGAATATGGAGGGTATTTGTGCGAAGCTCTAGTGTATGATCATAATGCACCGCCGCCAGAAGCTCGCGCAGTTCACCCATGAATGGAAGTACTATTAGACGTAACAGAACTCCTAGTATACCGCGGATGATTGAAAACCATGCGTTTAGACTCTGACTTGAACCAACGCCGCATGTAGCCAGAGATGTAGGTTGAGGCATCGCCGCCAGTGGCAATTCAAAGCTCCAAGCGAGTAGCAACCCTTTAAAAAGACTCTATAAGTCTTCACACATCTCCGTTTATTTTGAAAGTGTCCCACATATCACAGTTGTATCAGTCTGAGGAGATTCAGGGGCTTGTCTCAAATCTGGTTAGCATATCCCCATTTGATGGCTACGTGGACTCTCAACTCTTCGTGCGATTTCCATAGAGGCTTGCCCTCGCCTCTCTTTCTCTCTATCTCTGTTTCTATCTCTGTCTCTCTCGTATATATAAGTAATATGTGTTTTGTTGTCCTCTACTCCCTTTGCCTCTACGAAACAATGTGCTTTGTATTCGTCCACAATGATGCTGGTGGCGCTTATGTCAATGCGACCACTCCATGTTCCAAATTGGACCAGTCTCTTGTGTCTTTGTGAATCGAAACCTGTGATTCTTTCAAGCTCCAAAATCCTCTCAAAATCTCAATTCTTTGTCTGAACTCCATCTCAATGTTCGCAGAGCTTACGATCATGAATAAAACAGGACGGCTGGCAGCAAAGTAGGAGGCCCAATATGATATGTGACGCAAAATTATTGTCTACTTTATCGAACCATGGTTCATGGTGTATTTAAGGCCTTCCAAGTTCAAAGATCTAGAGTTTTGCTAGAGTCCATTCGTCCAGCTCTTCTTTCTGTATTACCACACCAAATCCAATCGGGTTGAATTGCACCATGCGTCTACTTGGCCTCAAACCAACGCCTCTTACAGGAAGTCGTTCCCCAAACAGCTCTTCCTCGAGTCCCCGCGCCCCACGCCAGCCCACGTTGAGAGAGTGCGCCCAAATCATGGGTTTGATCGCCGAGTACAAGGACCTGAAAGACCAGCCCTACATCGGCGATATCATAGTCAGTCAAATTCCATCCCCCCCAACCGCGAGCTTCCTCTTTCTGATTGTGTCACAGATCAATTTCGCGTTTGCGGAAGAAGTATCAGAGGCACAGAGACTGGCCCAGAGACGGCCGGTGCTTGATGGAAAGGTGGCGCAGGCGTGCGCCGTGATTGCAAGTCACCTCAGACGCTTGGCTGGAGGGTTGCAACCGACTGAGATCTTGCCCTGGGACTGGGATGCGGAGGCACTCATATACGCTCTGGAGGTATATAACTACGAGGTTAGCTTGTTGACGGTGAAGATGGATGTGATGAGGGAAGACCTTCAATCTCCATGGCGTTAGGTACTAGCTTCTGTTTGCAACGAGGGCTCCAAGAGGGCGACCTTAGGAAAGGAACAGAGGTTTAGCGGGCTTTTCCCAATTCTCAACATGATACAGCATCCTTTGTAACCGCTATGTTCACGATGAACTCGATATGTACAGCTTCCCAATCAGGTAACGTCTGGTCGACCGACGAAGCCTGCTCACGTACTTCTAATCCGTATCCAAACTGTAGAACCGCTGCTGGCGCACCTAAGGAGCCACCGCTGTACCAACTTAAAAAGTAATATAGCTCCCGATTGTCGTCATCGTCGCCGGATGATGACCTCACGGCAAGTTGGCCCCAACCATGGTAAAGAGTGTATCAATCCTCTTTTGAACAGCTGAGAGTCTGTCCGAAAATTCGGCCATGATTTTGAGGGTCGCCTCTTCGACGATGGTTCCGAGAGTTGTACCTGCACCGTCGTCGTCGCAAACGTCAATCTGGACATCTGTCAGCATCCTCTCGAAAGCTCAAAGCAACGGTATTGTAGATCACTTACCAGCCGCAATTCCTATAGTCCCAGCGTGCCCGGGTCGCGATTCTCTCGGTTCGCCTTGTTCTGGAGCAACAATCCTCGCATGTCCTTGCCAACCTCGGCGACCTGGGAGGTAAGTAAGACGCACTCCGCCACTGCTTCACTTTGCCCTGCGTTCACAGACAAGTGGAATCGAAGGCTTGCGAGTTGATCTGAGATTGCGTCAATGGTGCAGCGAATCGCCTTGGCCCTTTCGGCAATAACGTCCTCGGCGGTCTAACGAGTGGTGGTCAGCGTTTTATCATGACCCACCTGGTCTGATCAAAGTTACGTGAGCATTTGCCGCCGTAAACGCCGAGGCACCAGTCAGGCCATTGCCACTCTGCTATTGCTGAACATGCGAAACTTCCGTGTCGTCTCGGGGTCGCTCGGATACCTGCTGGAAGGACGATTCGATGCCGTCCATCATCTTATGCATTGTGGTATCGGGTGAATCGAAGGATGGTGCCGGAGGCGACTTCTCGCGGCGTCGTTTTGTCTCGTCAACGGACGACTCGTCGTCCTGCAGGGGTCGCTTCGACATCGTGGGCTACGAAATTGTAAAACAGGTCGGGAAGGCTTTTCGCACGCCTGGTGGCTGTACAAAACAATATGCGATGGTATTGGCTGAAAAGTAGAGTATGATTTCCCTGTGTGCGTTGTCAAGTCGACATTGAAGAAGACACAATGGCCTACGCTATTCACGGGAGGGGAGTACATAAAAGGGACGCAAACCGAGGATTCCCCCTCAGCATCGATACAAGCATGTACGATGGACACTGCTTCCTTCCTAGCGAAATTGAAAGCAAAGCCCTTCCGATTCTCTGTTTGCTTGCGGGGCTGCCATTCAAGTACAAGCACGATGAACGCCGGTCCTGCCCAGTGGATCCTCAAGCAAGGTGGCAGGAGACAGCCAAGGCAATTATCGCATATATCGTCAAATGAGATAGTTACAGTTGATATCTGAGGGGGCCCTACCTTCTGAGCGTAAACTCAAGCAAACTCCTTCTCTGTTCTACATGGTATCGCCACAATGAGGACGTCGCTTTGTTTGGACGCTACTCTCTGTTAGGTCTTGTAGGTAAGATATTGGAAGTCCTTCTGAATGGAAAGTGATCCAGACTTCCGGAAAAACAACAGAGGTGAGGCGCGTGGTGGGTGGAAAAATCCGTACTCAGAGGTAAGGCATGCTTTCTGCTGGATGCCCAGGTGCGACTGCCTTCGCCTGGCTTGTGGCTGACCCACTGGAACGATCGAGAGTCAGCCAAGACTCGGAGATGGAATTTTTTGCAATCAAAAGTTCATGGTCAAGTTGCTGCTGGATGCGTGCCTCGTTCGTCGTAAAAGCCAGAATGGAAGTAAGTAATTTGTCATACGCCGCAACGCCTAGTTTAATCGTCACCACTGCGTATCGAAATTGTGTTAAGATCCATGGAAGCCTTCGGGACGTAGCGGCGCCTAGCAGGTGGTGCCGGGATGGTGGTCCACAGGGCAGGGCGCCGTCGGGCGATCTCCCGGTGTAGCCCCCTGCCAATGACCAGATTCGGCAGGTGCCCCCACGCCACTCGCTCCTGCCCTTTTTTTCAGCCTCAACTTTAGCTTCACCTCACCTCCAGCTTGCTCACTCCATCCCGAATCTTTTTTTCTTCTCAGACTGAAGAAAAAGTCCCCTTGGTTCTTTTTTTAAATGCCTAGCCAATAAGAAAAATCGTCCCGAACCCTCAGGTACTCAGCCCTGGTACGTACCGCCGGTCCCGCAATCAGTAACCGCCCTCCGACAACATATAAAAGCCACCCTTTTCTCCCGTCAACTCTCCAATCTCTTCTTCTTCCCATCCTCATCACAACTTCTTCTTCTTTTATCTCCTCCTTCACACCACAACAATCTCAACTGGTAAGTTCATCCATCCACATTTGCCCCGCGTTCTTCTGGCTTCGCGTCCGATGCATCAAACACGGTGGGCCAAAGGACCTGTCGAGCCGGGGACCAAAGAAGTCGAAGCATTGCACGACTGGGATCTTCTTCGCCCAGTAGCAATGCTTCACTCCACGGAACCTTGACAGGAACCCGACTTTCCCTCGCGCTCTCCTTCACCTTCGGGGGTTGGTGAGCAAAAGGGAAAACAGGAGGCCATTCTTCGCGTTTTGCAGTTCCCCTGGAGCCGCGGTCCGACCTTCCCTCACGTGTGTTTACATGGAGCCGCCTCGGCGGTACCCAGTTGGGCAACTTGGGATCAAAAGGTAGAGACTGTGCATTCCGCTCCGAGTAGGGTGGCAACCCTCCGAGAATAAGGCTTCGGCAATGCCGGAGTCTAGTGACCGTGCGGATCTTGGGCCATGAGGTGGGTCCCTAGACCGCTTCAGGGGACGGTCCAACAGCCAATTCACCTGGACAGCACTTGCGAACTTACTTAGTTGTTCTCAGCTAACTGGATGAAGACAGGAACATTTTGACCTTTTTTTTTTCTTTTTGGCCGGGTTGCTGGCTTGGGGTTTGGGGTGCTTGGGCAATTGGGCGGTGTTTGTATCTAGTTCTTTTCTCCATCATCGAATTGACACCTGAATTGATTCCTCCAAACTGGTCACATCTTGGGTGGCTTTCCGCGAAACGTGTTGTGTGCTTTGCCGTGGTCTTGACTTGAAATACGATTAGCGATTGCCGTTGGCAGGATTGTGATGCTGAATGTCACGGGAACGGGAAACCAAGGCTTCAACGTTGGTCGCGGCAATGGTACGTTCAACCTATGTATGCGCTTGAAGATGCTTCTCGTTGCAAGGGGAGCCTCGTCGCAAGGGCAGCGTGAGGCTCCAAGTTGTCTTGTCAAACCTCACTTCTTCCGCAACACGACTGGTTCGTTGGTCATCTGAGAGCCACGGCGATGGCACGAAACTGGTTCGATTTCCACTCAATGGAGCTTCATGTTGAGAACACATTCCTAACTGTTCTATGATGCATCCCGATGCCAATACAAGCCCTAAACGCCCTGCCACCTTGTACAAGATCGACGCTGCAATCTCAACATAGCGACAAGCCCAACGGCTGCAAAAGTAAGGAAGGAAAGAACCCAGTGAAATCTAGCCGCGGTGAGACACCAATGCCTCCATCTGCGCCTTCCAAGCGTTCATCTCCTCGCGCTCTTTGTTGCGCTCCTCACGCTCCGAAGCGATCTCCTTCTCCAACTTCTTGCATTTCTCCTCGAGCTCAGCCTGGTTCTTCGCGAACTCCTGGGCAATGCGAGCCTCGAGGTCCCGCATCGCGTTCGCGACGAGCTGCTCAAGGAAAACCTTCAGCTCCTCCTTGGCCTTGGGGACTTGGTACTCGAGCTCGTCCTGGATTCTCTTATCGCTGTGCTTGTGAAAGCTGATCGCATTGTTGACCCTGGCGCGGTCCTGACGCAGGGTCTCCTGCAGCTTCTCGTTCATGTGCGCGAAGCGCTCCTCGATGGTGCCGAAGATCTGCTTGGCCTCCACGAGGTGCTCGTGCGACTCGCTGTTGTCGACCGCCTGGGAGACGGCGTAGTGGTGGACGTTGAGCATCTGGCCGTTCAGCTCGGCGATGGTGCCGTCCTGCTCGCGGATGCGGTTGTCCATAAGGCGGACCAGCTCGTTCGTCTTGGCGGCGGCGTAGTCGATGGTGCTCTCAACAGCGGCGCGGAGCTCGGGAGAGACATGGCGGAGACGCTGGTCGATCTCGGAGGCGATCTGGGCCGAGGTGCGACCGGCAACGGAGTTCTGCACGGCCTGCTCCGCCGTCATACCGACGGGGATCGTCTGTGTTAAACGTTAGACCGGCAACAGTCATGAGAAGCCTCGAGAGATCGAGAGACGCGGTAGGGAACTCGACGTACGAATTGGTGCTGGTTGGGGGTAGCCATCTGCTTATCCAAGTCAGCATTGGTCGAATGAGGGGGTTCGCCGCCGGCAGGTGAGCTTACGTTGTTCATGTAGTTCATATTGAGGCAAGCCGAGCAGCTTGCGTCTGGTTCTTGATGATCAAGGGCTTCCGACGAATGTATCAATTAGCTGGACAAAAGCTCTCGACGAAGTAGTGGGAGAAAGATGCAGAAGGCGAGGTGGAAAGTGACGAAGACGGCACAAGAGAAAATTCAAGTTTAGTGTTCCTTCCTTCTCGAGGGAAACGAAAGCAGAAGCGACTTGGTGCGAAAAGAACTTTTAGAAGAAGATGGCGAATAAAGTGAGGTGGTCAATTTCCTGAGGTACGTATCTTTGGCGGGCACCGACAAATCTTTGATGTGATGAAGGCCCAGGCAAATCGCTTGCGAGGTAGCGCGATGTAACAACTAACAGACAGGCCCTCACTTCCTCGCCTCCCTGAGGGCACTGATCTCCGCCATCATGGCCTCCATCTGATGCTCCATCTTCGCGATCTTTGCATTCGCCATCGTAGACTGGTCCATTCGCATGCCCATGTCCTCTTCCATCTTGTTGAACGTCTTGACGTGCGCGTTGAGCTTGTTGGTAGTGTTCTCAAGACCGTCGCGGACGACGTTGAACCTGTTGTTTCTGACGTCGGTCTTGAAGGTCGAGGCCGCGGCCTTGTCCTTCTGTCTCTGCTGCTCCTCCAGCAAGTTCTGCTGCTGCTCCTCCATAGCTTTAATCTCCTTGGAAATTCCGTCGAGACGCTCGTTGATCTGCTTGCGCTGCTTCTTCTTGGCCTTGGTAGTAGATGTTAGCTCGGTTGAATAGGGATCTTGCAGACGAGATTTGATGCTGCTCACGATTATGCGCTTTGAGCGAGGGATGGCACTCTCGGGCACGTGATTGCCAGTCAGGTAGGCCTCCTTGTCGCGCTGTTCGCGGTTCCTCTGGCGGCGGCGCGCACCTTGGCCGGGACGATTCTTGGCCATTGTGATGATGGATTCGTATTTGTGGTGAGATGTGGGAGTGTTGGGATGGGATTTGGTTTGGATGATTGTTTGTGGGTGAAGACGACACAGTGATTTTCGTGGGAAGGAAGGTGTGGGTCATTTTTCTGGCTGCGGATCGGGAAGCAATCTTGTTCCTCTGTAAATTACCTAAGGTCTCTATCTGTCTAGGTGTCCAGCACCTTTTATCACTGGGGATGGCGACGACCTGAGTAGGGTCAAAAAGCAAAAGGCTGCTGCATTCCAGTGCGCGGCAATTGCTGTCTGTGTCTAGGCACTTTTCTCTTATGCTGGTCCCCTACTCCAACTTGTTGCACGTCTCGTCCAGATCGACCAGGACTCTGACGAGCGCCATCTCGACGCGAAAGTCGACGTCCGGCACAAGGTAAGCGATCCCCTCCCTAAAAACAGCCTTGAACTCCTCCGTCTGACCCTCCAGCGGCTGCTCGAGCCTGGCCCTCCAGTCTCTCCTGGCCTCGGCGACCTCGTGCTCAACAATGGCCTTCAGCTCTTCCTTGGACTTGGCGGGCTCGTCGACGATGTACTTGGAGTCGAAAACTAGGGGCTTTGCGGCATCTGGCTCTTGCTTGACGATGGAAACGTCGACGTTGTCCAGTGCGCGCCTGGCCTTTCCGGTGGCTGTAATGATGACCATGTCGACAACCTGCACAAAGAGTTAGGCTGGAGAGTGGCGATGGGTGTGAGGCAGCTTGACGTACATGCTGACACATGAGGGGATCACGCGGCTATAAAGTCAGCATCATTCCAAGATCGTTTGTTTGTTGGCACGAAAGCTTACAGGGAATCTCATGGTGTTGATCTTGAGATAAGATATTGCTGTGGTCTGATTGTGCTGTGGTCTGATTGTTTGGAATTTCGTGATTTGTGATTGTGATGGGTGGTGATGTGGAAGAAAGGGCTTTTGGGGAGAGTTGTTTGTGAAAGGTGTTGGTGGGCGGGCAAGGGAAGGTTCATAAAGTCAACATGTGGAATCTCACATTTCCTTTCAACAAAAAGGGAAGGGGCCCAGTGTGGGAGGCAGCTTCCCAATCAAGCCCCAGGAAGGAGGTGGATAAAGTGAGGTGTTCAGCCTCTTGGGTACGTATCTTTGGTGGCCAACTGCGCATCGTTGGCATGAGCGACGGAGAACGAAAAGATGAGCTGTACCAGAGGCACTACCATGTGGGAATGGTGATTTTAACATTCCGGGAAACTGTTGTTGAGAGTTGCAGAGGCGAAATCTGAATGGGATCTACTTGAGAGCGCGTTTTCGCGATTACCTTGCCAAAACACCACCATTCCTGACCTCCACAGCATCGCAGGTGGTTGTCACTCGATCACAAAACGCATCACGACTTTGTCCATTATTCAAAGCTTCGCGTACGGTATTTAGATACATGCGCCCGGAAGACGGTGACAGCAAGGACGTCGTCAGTCTCTAACGGCGCTGGGCCAGGAAAGCCTCGATCCTCGCCTCCCAAGCCTTCCGCTCCTCCCGGTTCGCCAACTCCTGAGACACGGCATTCTCAATGTTCTGAATGCGCTTGTCGAAGGCCTGGAGCTGCTTCTCGAGCTCCGCGGTGACCAGCTGCTGAAACTTGTGCATCTCCTTGGAGACGGCCTCCTCGACTTCCTCGGTGATGGTCTTGTCCATGGCTCTGACGAGAGACCTGTAGTTCTTGAGAAGCTTGGTGTTCTCCGTAGTCTGTTTCTTGAGAATTTCGGCTTGGGTTTGGAGGCCTTGGAGTTGTTGGGAGAGGCTGTTGGGGTCCGTCTCGGGGGAAGTATCCGACTCGGGCTCTTCGATGAGGTCCAGGTCAGCCATTGGGGAAGCCTGGTTTCTTCCGTTAACATTTGAGCGAGAAAGATTCTCCTGGTGTTGAGCCCGGAGCGAGGCTGCAAGGCCGTACCAGCTGTTGGACATCGGTATCCATCTCCTGGTTTCAAAGGTCATCGATGGCTCAGACGTATCGTCGCAGCAAAACTTACAGAATCCATGTCGACGTTGCTCTCAGCAGGTACTTGAGGGTGGGCTTCTGAAATGTTTAATGTGTGAGAGGCGAGATCCACAGTTTGGGATCAGAATGGTGGAATCGGACTAATGCAAAGGTGCAGGCCAGGGGATTTTGAAAGGAACAATGACGGTTGGAGGAAAGAGGTTTGTTGGCCTCTCGTCAATTATGAGGTGCCTTAAGATGAGAGGCCGGTTGAAATCGGGCTGGTCCACTGACAAAAAAGATACGTGCCTTCTATTGAGCAACAGTTACGGCCAGCAATATAGTATATTAAATATATTAATTAATATATAACTAGCTAAAAGGGGCTAAGTTGGCCTAAGCATTAGAAAAAAGGAGGGTATATATACTTAATATAAATAAGCTATATTTAGGTAGAAATCTATAAGTAGATTTATTAAGTTAGTATTTATACTTATTAAGTAGTATAAGGTTTAATATAACGTGGTTAATAAGCGAGTAGATCAGACAAGCAAGTAAATCAGCTGACTGCGTAAAACCGTCTTCTAACTTCTATATTATATTATACTATAACTAAATATATTATTATAGAGTAATAAAGGTTAGATAAACTTAGCAATCTAAGCTATTAAGAAGATACTAACTCTTAGTATTTAAGCTATATCTTATATCTACTTAGTACCCTTTTTAACCTTATACTATTATTTAGAGGGAAAGGGATTATAACGTAATACTATACCTAAGTTATAAAATTTAACTATACTTAAAGAAGAGAAGCTAGTTAAGTATATTCTTAACTTAGATTCCTAATTATTTCCTCCCTATATTAGTAGTATAAAAGATATAGCTAATTAACTACTTACTAACTATAATATGCCCCCTATTAGGAAGTATTAGGCCTTAAACTTTATTAAGTAATAACTATAGCTCTAGATATACTTTTTTTATAAGTCTAACTATAAGAGGGCTTAATATAAAGACCTAGACGTAATAAATGCGTAGTTTTAGCTTATAGTAAATATAATTATAAAATATAGTATTATAGACTTAGATATCTATAACTTTAATAAGATTAGGTTTATAATAAGCTAGATTATATCTAAAATAGTTATAATAAGCGCTAAGAGGCGTTTAAATATAAAAATAATATAGCCTAGTAATTATAAATAGGTTATAGTTATTTAGACTATTAGTTTATTAGGCTATAGCGTTCCACTATATATTATTATTTTAGGGCAATATTACCTCTCCACTTAGTATATAGAAATAGGTCTCCTATATAACTAGGTTATTATAACGTCTAAAAATAAATAGATAATAAATAAAAGAGGCCTAAATTAGCTCTAGTACTTTAATTAGTATATAAAACTATATATAAGTAGTAGATATTACCTCCTTATTATTAATAGGTATAAAAGTCACTACGCTACTAACTTTAAGATATATTATAAGGAAAATAATATTATTATACTTTATATACTAGCCTATTCCTCTTATTTACTTTAGCCCTTAGACGTTAGGTATTTTAGACTACTAAAGAAGGTATATAGTTAATAAATTAAGGATAAGATATACTAAGGTAATACCTATATTATAAAGGAAGACTTCTTCCCTATATTTTATAAGGCTTTTATATAAGCCCTTATAGTTAAAAACATCTAGGGAGGTTTCAAAGGGGCTGGGCTTATCCCTCTTAGTGTAGAAAGTATGCTATTAAAGCTTGATATTAAGTTATATACTCTAATACCTCTAGGGTCCCTCCTAATAACACCCCCTATATAGACTTCTTAGACGCTAAATAACCTAATAGAAGTATCTTCTCAGTCTAAACTTATTAAGAGGAGA